CCCAATAACAATAATAACGGTAACAACCATTTAAATGAATCACTTTTTCCGCCCGATTTGTTTATGACAAACACTGGAAACTTTTGCAAAGGATTAATACCATTCCATTGATCAAACCCTCCAAATCCGCCTCCGCCAAAGCCACCTCCAAAACCTCCTCCAAATCCGCCTCCGAGTGGATTTGCAAAGGCACCACCAGCTTTATAATTAAAAGACAATTGTGTATTTGCATTGAAATAACATTATATATATTTTTTATTAGTTTGATGATAACATTTTATAATTATGTAATTAAATACCTGGAAGTGCCGTTATTTGTATAGTACTGGGTACAGGTTCATAACTAAAAATATCAATAAATTTTGTGAGATATTAATTATTATTCAATGATAATTATCAAATTATTTCATTTAATATTAAAGTAAAATTTTAATTTATTAAATAATCTATTTTTTGATTAGATTCTAAATTTTTATTATATTCTTACAAATTTACTATTTTCTAGAAGAATTATATTCAATATTAATATAATTTTAACATTACTATACATTTAATAAAATAGTATTAATAAAATATTAATTATTTAGTTTATAATTTATAAATTTATAACATAAACTAAAATTAAAATTTGATAATTACTTTACAATCTTATTAACATAATATAAATATTTTTTTTTATAATTTAGTGATATGTAATTTAGCTTTCTAATATTTAATAATTCAATAACTTATAATTTTATTTTTAAAATAAATTAGTATAAATTTTTAAATAAGTGAAAAGTATTAAAATAAAAAATAAAATAGGTGTTTAAAATGACCATAACACATTATATTACTGTATATACTATATATTAAATTATATGCAAGAGTAATCATATGTAGTTAATAAAAAAACATTATAATTTATATACCGGTATGATCTACAGTATATTTCTAAACAACAGATATACAAACTAATAAATTATATTAATATAAAATAATAAACACTAAATAATTTTTTAAATTGTAATAAGCATTTGATTTGCAAATTTTATAAATCGCAATTTTGTGATTTTCTTTGATTACATGGGAAATAATTGTAAATATTGTAGATTAACTATAATATAAAATTTAAAAATTTAATTTAAAATAATATTGAAACTTACGGATCATTATTATTGTTAGGTTCAGTAAAATATGGCTCATTGTTGGACTTTGCTTCGCGAAGATCCCGATTTCTTGTATACAAATAATTAACATAATTGTTATGATTTTTCCAATAATCAGAAACAGTGGATCTTTTTCTGTCAAACTCTTTATCCTCGTTTGTGTACGAATGGGATGAATGGGTCGGCGTTTCAGATTCGGTACTAATTTCCTTAATTAATATAATAATGCAAATAATTGAATACACAATATATAGATTTACATTAATTTGCAACATTTTATCACTGAATCAAATGAAATCAATAAATTATCACAAGTTTAGTAACTATGACTGTACTGTAAGATTTTGCAATGATATCATGTTTGGTGTAGTGATGCCATCGATTAATTGATAGACACTGTTCTAATCTAACTATCAGACAATGGCTTTTATATATGAGAAAAATTAGCGGAAATCTAAAAAAATTTTTAATCTTAAAAAACTGATGCAAAAAAAACTTCAATGGCTTATAATTATAATGTGGTTATACTGTAAACAAATTTATCCTAAAGACTCAGATCATCCAACTATGAAAGTCGTAGGAAATTCCAAACCAATACCATATTGACCTCTTGTAAGATGTATCTCACCATTGGATGTGTTGACACTTGTGTTTATATTGCGGTGTTTACAGCAAGAAGTTGATGACAATCAGGTGCTTTCATATCACAAACTAATTATTATCGGATCAATGAGGCGTTCATTAGTTTCCAAGAGATCAAACTTATCGTATATATGTTATTGTATTTAACTATAAGATTATATTAGTTTTTAAGCACAGTCTCTATAAATCAAATATCATTCAATAATGTTTTTTTGATTAAATCAAATTTATTTTAGATACAAATTTATTTATTTATTTATTGGACCTGAAATTTTCATTAGTTGTAATAATTTTTTTAAATATTAAATTGTGCATTAATATCATATTTCTATATTTAGCATTTTCATATTCATTTATTTCATATTACAGTAGATATATTGTATGCTGACTTCATAATTATAGATGGTAAAAATATAAATTAAATAAAAAAATGTTATTTTATCTACTTTTTGCTTTATGATTAAAAATATATGTTTACAATTTGCACTTACAAAATTACAATGGTTACAAAATTATTATTATTTTAGACATTTGTTTTATTAGTATATACTAACATACTTGACTATAATAGTCTTATTTATATTATATTGTACTCAATAAAGTTAAAACTAAACAATATTGTATTAATAATTTATTTTCTAATAAATATGTTAACCAATTTTAACATTTTATCAATTTTACAAAATATAAGTCTAACTTACATTATGTATGATAAACTTTGACAGTAGTTTATCTGTTAAATGTTTTATACACTATAGAAGACTGACTAAAAAACATTTATTTTGAAGTTTTTTTTCTATTATGGTTTTAATAAATGACTTTAATTTTTAAAATTAATTATCATTAAATTTACGTTGAGATAAAATAAATTTATTGACGAGTGAGTACAAAGTGGATGTCAGTACAGGATTTATAGTGTCATCGCTTCTCCGTTTTCTTCGACCACCACCGCCGCCAATATTATTGTTTTGTTGGCCCAAATTATTCACTGTCTAATTGTATGCATTATAAAAAGTATACCATTTAATGAAAATATTCTAACATTTTCTAATTATAAATAAATTTAGATAAATATTATAGCTATATAAAAGTTATAACATTTATTATTGAGCCCCAGTATAATTAAGTTAAAATGTAACTTAATTTAATAAATAAAAAATATGTAATACGAAAAATGTTTATATAAAACAATAGACAATATAGTCTATTGTAGTGTAATGTAATGTAATGTAGTGTACAAACCTGTTGAAGTAATGCCAGTAATTGAAGAATATTTGTAAAAAAGGCTGAAAATGTTGTAAATTAATTATATTGTCATTTAATAACTGACTGACAAACTTACTAAACAAAAGGGGTAACAATACCAGTGCTCCGATGATAAAGGGTAACAGTGCCAACAGGAACAATGGGATCAGATAACTGTATTCACTTTTTTCTTTATGATAGGGCGCTGTGTGATGAACATGAACTGTAATAACTCAAACATTTAGTACACAAAAATAATTATATGTTTTTATCTAATAGTCTACTGATAATTACTTGGCTGTACTTCTTTGGTAACCACTTTGGTCGGCCACTTAGCCTCATATCCCTCATCTGAATCAAACCATATTTGATATTATTTTTTAAAATGAAATATTTAAGATTTGATTAATTAAAACAAAAAATTGATAATTAATATAAAAATATTTTTTTTTTAATACAAGAATCATATCCACGGTCTTCAATAAAATTCTCGGTTTGTTCTGTGAGTTGTCGCGACTGAGTTCGTGGAGTAAAAAAATAATAGTATTTTGAAAGTGGTTTTTGATATTCAAATTGATTTGAATAGTCATTTAGGTAACCATCCGATTGGTAATAGGATGATGTGGTAGACGTTTGGGCACATATTTGGTGAATACAAAGACTATAAACAATTATAATTAAAAACATTATTTTTTTATTAAATGAAATTTATCACATTTACATTATTTAAATTTTATTAGAAATAAATATATTATTTATAAATATTAATTTTCATAAATTTTAATTTTAATAAGTTTAGTGACTTCAAACTCGAAATCGTTTGAGTCAAGTGTCGGTTAAACTGGTGAATACCTATCTGTTCAAAATTATTTATATGTTGTCTCTTTTAAAACCATAAAAATTGGACAAAACGAGTGACAAAATACACAAAACTTTTATATATAAATAATTTGTCTTTTAATGTATGGATCACTTATTTTTTATAATAAATTTTTAAATGTGAAAATCCTTTCATCACTTTTGATGACAAACTATTTGATTACAATAAATGCGTGTATGAAAAGCATTTCACTTATGAATCCAATAAAACATATATTTTTTGTTGAATAACAAATGTTGGCAATTGTTTGCCACTTTCGGGTGACTATTAATGTAAGACTTTTTTATTGAAACGGATGGAAAGGTGGGCTCTAATTGAAAACATCAATGAATATAAACGTCTATCAAATTCATGGCTTCAGTTAACTCAAAGAAATTTTTATCAAATATGAACTTTCGTTTTGTATTTATTTAATTTTATGGTTAATATTTAGCTAATTGTTGACATTTTTTGTTATTTGTATTGTTATCAAAATCAAATTTCATATTTTTAAAATATTTAAAATCTTTACTTATAATCTTAAAAACATTACAGTAATTGTAAAATATAATTAATTTTTATCAAATCGATCGTCGATCAAACCGATTATTAGTAAAAAAAAATTCTTATAAATTTTATTTAATAATATACTTAGAATTTAAAGTAATTTAATAAAAATCATACTAACAATTCATTAATTTATTTTACTAAAATATATTTATAATAAAATCTTTTTTAGATAAATAAAATAATAGATTATATGATTTTTTATACATGACTTATAAAACAGTATTACTATTATATTAATCATAGAAATAAATTCTTAATCTATTTTATTTGTGAAGTGCAGTACAAGTACTATGATTTCGCAAACAATAAAACTTCAATAATTATACCGCAGAGAAAACAATTAGAAAATAATATTTGTATATAATTTACTATAATCTCATTTATGACAGAATATCATATTATATATATACAACATAAATGAATAACAATGTATAGATATCTGCGAGCTATTGAAATTCAATAATGATCAATAAAAAAATTTTAATAATTAAATTTACACTACTATCAAATAATAACTGAAACCCAATTTTGCATACCATATATTTAAACAATTTGATAAAAATATTAATGGTATGTAAAGATTGAACAATAATGATAGCAATAGTCAATTTGGATAATTAATAAAAAGCTATTTATGTTAATTAATTGTTTTCATTAATCAAATAGATATGAATATAATTAGTGGCTCTACTTATTACTCGTTTGCCGAAAGTGTTGCTAAAAAATTGAAAATACGAGTAACTGATTCACTGGTTACTCGATATCCGGACAGTGAGACCAGCTTTGAGATCAATGAATCCGTAAGAGAAAAGCATATATTCATAATTCAATCGAAGAGTAATTGTATTAATGATGACATAATGGAGCTGTTGATCATATGCCACACCTGCAAACTGGTCTCATCTCACAAAATCACTGTCGTTTTAACGTACTTTCCATACGCCCGACAAAACAAAAAACAAAAATCTCGATCTCCTATAACAAGCAAACTATTTGCTAACTTACTCCAGGTATCGGGAGTGGACAGTGTTATCACAATGGATCTGCATGTATGCAAACACAATGTTATACTGTATTAGATATGCAACAAATAGAAACTAATTTTATAAATTTATTATTTCTATCAAAAAGTCGCCTCAAATTCAGGGATTCTTCAATATTCCGGTCGACAATATAACTGCTGAATCATTAATTATTAAGTATATTAAAGAGTCGATTCCTAATTGGGAAAAGTCAGTCATAGTATCGCCCGATGCCGGCGGAACCAAACGAGTCACTTCATTGGCCACTAAAATGGGACTTAATTTTGCTATAATTCATAAACATAAGAATAAATCAAATAAACAAATTGAATCCATGGTATTAGTGGGTGATATCAAAAAACGAGTCGTCATAATTGTGGACGATTTGGCCGACACGTGTCGGACAGTAGTCAGTGCCGCACAAAAACTTGAGGAATCAAACGCTTTGAAAGTCTATGCAATTGTAATACACGGAGTACTGAGTGAACAGTCGTTTGATTTGATAAACAATTCGTGTTTACAAAGATTTGTTGTCACAAATACAGTCCCACAGCATCTTAATAAAGAGCGCTGTAATAAACTGGTGGTCATTGATGTCAGTAATGTATTTGCAAATGCAATCAATCGTATATTTAATGGACAATCCATTTCAGATCTATCTTTAAATGTTCCCAATTCATGATTTTTTGTGTTTTATATTTTATTTGAATATTATAAGTATTATACTGTATTATATGTTAAAAAAAATATTTTCAAAAAACATAATTTAAATTATATTTATAATTTAAAACATTTAATAATATAAATTGATAATGAAAGTTATCATATTTGTTGCTTCAGGTACTGTATATAAAGTATCTCTAATTTTATTGTAAGGTCATTGACGCCCATAATTTAATATAAAATAAGATAGTTTCAATATTTTTTTAAAAACTACATTAAATGTATAAATTTGTAATTGATTTAATTTATTTAATACAATTTATGTTATTATTTCCTGATTGATTTCTAGTTTCTATATATAACAAAATTTAAATAGCATTTACCTAAAGTGTTTGTCAACACAATGATAATCGATAGCTAAATTGCTTTCCCCTTATAATTAGCAATAAATGTTAATAAATAACAGATAATTCAAGTCTTAAACAGGTTTGAAGTGAATATAAAATCTATAAATAAGAGGATATTCTCTTCATAGCAAAACATACCATAAGTTTGTCAATTATTTCTACGATTTTGTCTTATTTATAAATCATTGATATTAGATAACTATTAGTACAATGTTTTCTAGATTTATTACAATCATATTATTAGTGTTAATCGGCGTATGTCTCGCCAAAACAAACCCGAACCGAAACCGCGATGACGAGCCTAAGGATAATTCAATTGGTTTGATTGCTAGGACTGCCCGACAGTATATGTCATCATTTTTACCACAAGACTGGGATAAGTCTAGTTTAGTGACAGGCATTGCAATGCCCGCATTATTCTTACTATTTTTGTCATCAGTTACGGGAGGAGTAAGTAGTTTTTTTGTCGATATATTTCGACAAATTTAAAAGTTATCTAAACTTAAATAACTAATTTGTTTATTCAATTAGTTTGGATCAAAAGACAGTCCAATTGATACTAATATGATAAGAAAAAAGAGGTCTCCGATAACCAATTGGGCCAATAATTTACAAAATATGTTTAATAATTTTCAAAAAGCCATCGAAAAAATGAAAAAGTTTGAAGAAGAGCTCGAAAATGAAATCAACGACGAAGACATCGAAACATTTGATACCAATTAAAATATATTTATTAAGTCATTATTTATTTTATTTATAGTTATTTATATTTTATAATTCATTTTTTATATAAACATAATTTTATTTATTTATTATAGACTGTTTATTGTTTTATTCTTAATTAACTTACATTAATTATAAATTTTAATAAAATGATTAAAATCTAACAAAATATGGCAATGATCATGGTCACTTTAGAGAATTAAACATTAGAAGTATTGTGTTAATGATTAATATTAAATATCAGTATTAATTGTATTTTATTCATATTTATTGATATTATTATTTTAAAAAATTTTAAACTTTAGATTGTCATTAAAAATCAGTAATGTTAACAACAAAATATGTTTAATAAACTTACAAATATTAAAGTTTGTGTTTTTCAAATTTTTCTAACGATTTCGACACTTTCTCTACCAGTGACCATATAGTAGAGCTCAGATAGTTAGGTATCAGTGCTCCCTCTCTGTCAAACATAGATCTTGCACTTTGTTGCTGCTGTTGTTGTGTGTCAACTCTCCACGGATAATATCCACCAATATTTTGTCCAAATCCATAACCGCCTAATTAGTAGTTGATTTTACATCAATTTATATTATTAATTATTGTTTAATACAATTGTCAATATTTTGTGTTGTAATACCTCTACCGAAAAGCATAAAACCAATAATAAAAAGTTTCATCAAAACGACTCCAATTCCTATGATTACTGCAATCGGAATGAAAACTCCGACAATTAAATGAGGAACTGATTACAGAAAACAATTAATTATATTTTATCGGTTATACATATATTTGAATAATAAGTTTATATCTCGTATTTACGCAAAAACGATGCGTCGGGAAACTGTCTGTCCATAAGATTTGGTCCATAGAAGCCATCAGCGGATCTTTGACTTATCGATGAATTATGTGATAAACTCAATACTAAGTTTTTTGAACCAAATAATGTTATATAAAATATTAATGTGTTTAATATAAATTTATCCATAATTTGCAACGACAAAAACAATATATAACTTATGTATTATTACTATAATTTTATGCAATTTGCAAATTAAACATTTTTTAAAAAACTTTTATTTTGTGAAATAAGCAATAATTTTTTTATCTGCCTTTATATATATAGGTGTCTCGACATAAAAAATTCTAATAAATTTTTAAAAATCTTATTGTTTATTATATTTACAATAGAGTATCGAAGATCTTATTGAATCATTAAAAAAGGTTCATTAGTTATACTGATAAATATCTACAATAGTCTACAATATTTACAAAAAGGCATAACTTATTAGTATCCGCTAAACTTCTATTCATTATTAAATACATATATGAATTGGTTTCCGCTTTATTATTATTATGTAATATAAATTAATAAACAAAACTTAAATTTTATGTATATCTCAACATTCACAGGTTTTATTTTTTTATGAATGAATTACATTATAAATTTATAAATAATTAACAAAATAAACATCAAATATATATTATTTGTAATTTGAAACTTATAAGCAAAATTGTAATACGATATTACAAATCTATTTTGTTTTTATTTGTTTGAACAGATACTTCTTAAAAAATATTTGTTTTAATAATTAATGTTTTGTTTGCATACTATTTGATTACAAATTAATGTTTGAATTACAAAACAAATTGATTTTTTAGAGATATATATAAAGCAATGAAACTTATTTCTCATTGAAAAAACTGTTTGAATCGCTTGAGTGAACATTAATACAAAGCTTTAAAGAGTTTGTACGACATTTGGTAAGTTTTATACTTTATGACATTAAATAAAATTTTTATTGAAATTATCTTGGTAAATAATGATATAGATAGAATAATTGAATAGTGAAAATATTTAAATAATAATGGTAATATGAATTTATCAATAAATAAATAAGTTATATTAATAAATAGTGTTCAATATTAAATTAATAAAAATTTTCAAATTATTATAAAAGTAATATTCTAGAGTATTATGTTATAATAATAAATGTTATGCATATAAATGACTTTTTTTAACAACATATAAAATATTAAAAATCAAGAAAACATTAAATAACATAAATCATAAATATATATATATTCATGTATTTTAGTGAGCAATGTTTGTATAGGAATTTCACTTTAGTATACGTTCTCATAAAAAAATGTTTTAAAAAATATAAGTTTTAGTTGTATTTCTTGTCGACGTTGTCGAGGGCTTTGATTACCTTCTCGAAGACATCTTGAACGCCCTCAACAATGGCAGATGTATTGATATTAAATGATGGAAATGACCTATAGTTATAATAATTACTGAAAATGTTTATAAGTATTATTGTTAGTAATAAGTTAGTAGGGATTTCATTTAAATTGTATTTTTTTTATTTTTTAAATAAATATTATGTGAGCTCACCTTCTTTTCCCTTCGCGCAACAATAATCCCAAACCTATTGAGGCATTAATTTTAATCAAATCGTCTAATAGTATAGTAGTTTGGTTTAGATTTTTCAATACATACCCAATGCTGGAACCATAAGAGCTCCCAAACCAAACAAAAAAACCATTGGCAATAAATTGGAGACCTGTTTATTAAATTATTTTTTTACAATTTTTATAATAATAAGTTTTATTCTAAGCTTTAACTTATTGTCATCATTACAATAAAAATGTACTATAATGGCTACAATGAGTTAAGTTTTAACATTTAAAAAATTATTAATCAATAGTATATATGCATTAAATATAGTTATAATATATATACATCTTTTAGCGTAAGCATATAATCATGTTTTATAAAATTAATTGTATTTGAAATAATTGTATTTGAAATAATTGTATTTGAAAATAAACCAAAGAAATCACTTATAACTTACAACTCCGGGAACAAGTGATCCAAGAGTGCTGAGTATTCCTCCAGCAGTTGCTGTCATTCCTTGTCTTTGATTTGCAGTGTTTTGTTGGTTTGCAAAACACATAACACTGCATAACAGCAGTGTTACTAAAATCACTTGAAACTTATAACTCATATTTAACTAAAAAATTAATAAATAGATATTTATTAGTTGATATTTTTTTATTTAAAAAAGAATTAATATTGTATATTATCCAAAGATCACACTTTTATTGGTTAATTTTGTAATTATAAACACATCTATTATGTATTAAAATTTGAGACTAAAGTAATATACAATTTTACAAATTAAATATATATTTACTGTACTTACAAGTGATCAACAATTAGTAAGCGTTAACACAATAAAAATATTTTTTGACTAACAATAGTAACTATTAAGACAGTCTTATATAAGAAAATACATTCAAAATAAATGGGACGCAAAATAAAAGACAAATTTAGCAGTGGTTTCTTTGATGACTAAAAATTGTGTAAAATGTGTAATAGTTTTTGGTAACCGTTAACTATAAGGTCAGTAGATTCAGTCATTTCAATGGCATATAATTTCCGCCCCTATTCTAGGGCTAACCTTAACATTGAATGCAACTTTTGAAACAAGTTTCTATATTTAGGTATTCTATGCCTGTCATGCATGCCATACCTGTCCCCTAAACATCATATCTATCATACCTGACTTTTTTAAATACAGTAAATAACATTAAATAACATCGTTTGCAGAGATCTTAACACTTATTAAATACACTGAAAGAGCAGTCAATAGTCGACTCTTTTTATTGAACGCTTCTCTTCATTAAACGCTTCCTCTTCTTAAATGTCATTTTAAACATAACGTCAATTCAATTAATTTAAACATTACTTATTTGTCATTTCAACAAAAAATCAAGTAAATTGAGTAAATTGCACTTATTATCTATTATTGTAGTACACTATAGCCCTTTAAGTACCATTAAAACATATTATATTAATAGTTTAAGCATTCAAACCAAATGATGCACATAATTATATGAATTACATGATTTAACTTTTTATGCTATAATAATGATATGTCAAAATCACTATTAGTTTTTATTGTTTTACTATCTTTTAAGTATATTTTTATAATTATAAGTTTTCTTTTGTATTTTCTAAACTTATGTTATAAAACATAAAAGAATTGAATTTTTAATAATATAAAATTAATATTTAATAATAATAATTGTAAAATGTTTATTTTAAAAAATATATAAATATAAATAATTCTTATTAAAATAACAAATATTATAATACTGAAAATGTTTTAATAATATGTATTAGTTGTGTGTTAATAAACTTAGATAAATATTGAATGAAAATTAAATAAAAAGTGCCTTAACTTCCTACTGTTGTTAACCCGGATCATTCAAGTTTATAAAATGCGTTTAAGTGAAGCATTTAAACTTTTGACCCCATGTTTTGGACTAGACTTAAGAATGCTGTATATGTATGCTTTGCATTCATACTACTACTACCACTACTCCTACCAGTTCTGGTTTTCCACCCAATGCCTTAAAAAACAAGTATTAGCACCGTTAGCACCGTTAGCACTATTAGCACATGACTGTTAGACATCCTAACAATCAGTTTATAATTCTCTTCTATATTATTACTAATTAAAAAATTGATATTTTTGTTAAATTAAAAGAGTTTATTTGAGAATTCTGTTCTCTTAATCAATCAATCAATTATTGATTAATTCAATTCATGTTTATTGTCTTCCCTATAAATTTATCACAACCTATATTTTAACATCTTTTTTAATTATCAATACTGTATATATACAATACAGTATATATATATATAGTCTATAATTGGGCCATAAAAACAAGTGCTTCAAAATTATTGTTTACAGATATATAACTTTATATTGCATAGCACTTAAATAATAATATATAAACATGAATTATTTATAAATTGCAGATAAAACAAAAATCATTTATAAAGTGATGGCAATTCACTGGAAACTATCAAATGCTATGATGAGTATATTTTTTGCATTTGCCACATATGTACAGCACAATGATGTGGACGCTATCCTATGGATTATTATATACTCCATACCAACTATTTTATCAATTATTCAATTGTTAACACCATTTATCAATCGCTTTTATCTCTTTAACATTGTTATTCGTGTTTTATTAATCGCATATATATTATTCACATTTACTATATTATATGAGTATGTGTTGGTTACCTATAATAGCAAACAATATAATCCATTAAATAGTGAAGAGGGGAGAGAATTGTTAGGTCTTATAATTGTAATCATATGGATGTCTATATCAGCTTATTATATGTCATCTGAGTTACCATCAGATGTGATAGTCTCGATAAATGTTAAAATACTTGTTGTCTGCTTTAGTTGTGCACCACTTCTTCTTTGGTTTTATTATATTCTTCACCGAATTGATCTCTGTTGAAGTTTTTATACAATTGATTTATCATATTTATATAAACACACTCAATATAGTATAAAATCATAATATGTTACGAATACTGTATATACTTATATCATAAGGAAACATAAATATATTAACAAAATAAAAATAAAAATTAGTATTAGTATTATATGGTATATAAAATTTTCTAAATATAAATTTATATATATATATATTTCTATATAAGTTTTTTTTGTAGTCTTTGCAATTGCCAAAAATGTGTCCAAATATTTAGTTTAATATTAAATTTTATTTAAAATTTATCATTGCTTAATACAGTGTGTTTAATACAGCTTACGGTATATGTATACAGAAAAATAATTAATTTGTGTATTTAAGCAATTTATTATTTCAATCAATCGTTATAATTTTTGGTTAAAATTTTTTTTTTAAAAGTTCGGTACAACACATACTCATTGAAAAAAGTTATAAAATTAATTTAATAGTAATAATTAGCAAATAAATTACACACAAAAAAACTAATACAATATTAAATTACTTTATTTATTATATATAATTATACTTATTATAATGTTAATGTATATTAGACAAGAAAAAAACTTATTAATTAATGATAATCTAAATTTTTGATGGCTTTATCTAATAGATATGCAATTATTTAGTACTGTATTACAACATTGTATTAGTTTTACTATTATGTTATACAGTATTTTCTTATAAATAATTATTTGGTTTTATTCAGACAAACATTAATTATATGTTATGTCAAACACAGTATTAATGTATTGATTGCGTTATTGTTATGTTTACACAATGTTTACAAACATTTATGAATACAATGTTTACGACGCGTGTATGACATGTGTGTTATGTTTACAATTAAATTCAATGGTTTTTTAAATGCAATGTGTTTTGAGTGATAAATAAATAAATCAATTAATTATGAAATTGAATGACAACTGCGAGTCATTAATTAACTCAAGTCTTGGCCAACAATTGATGTCATACTCGAAGAAGTTTAAGAAGAATGAGTCGAAAAAAATTAATAAAAAATTGGCCAAAAATATCAAAACATTTGGCAACGATTTGAAACATCTGTCGACAAATGAAATGTCGGTAACTGTGAAACCAAATGATTTGCCGATAAGTTTAGTGCGAAATGCAATTATTTCGGTCGTCAAGACGTATCAGACAGTCATCTTCTTGGGTGAAACCGGTTCGGGAAAGACTACACAAATTCCTCAGTATTTGTATGAAACCAATTTCGTGCCGAAGAATGGCCACAACAATGGTATGATAGGTGTAACACAACCCCGAAGAGTGGCCGCCATTTCTATTGCCACACGAGTGGCGTCTGAAATGAATGTACAGTTGGGTTCTGTTGTTGGATATGCCGTACGATTTGATGACATGACTTCAAATGAGACAAAAATTAAATATTTAACTGACGGTACACTTCTTCGGGAAGCTATAAGTGATCCTCTTTTGCATAAATATAAAGTCATTATTATAGACGAAGCGCACGAACGCACCATTCAGACGGATCTACTATTAGGTGTTATCAAAAAAGCACAACAACTCAGATATAATCAACAAATGCCTGTCCTTAAGGTGATAGTGATGTCGGCAACAATGGATTGCGACCACTTCGCCAAATATTTTAATGATTCACCCATTCATTACATATTAGGTCGACAGCACACCATTCAGGTATTAAATCTTCAATTGTATTGACTTTAAACATGTATTTACATAGAAATTACTTAATATCTGACTAATAGATAATGAATACGAAAGAAAAACAAAGCGATTATATGGATTCAGCTCTGGTTTCTGTTTTTCAAATTCATCAAAATGAAGAAATGGGGTATTTTTAAGAATATATCATTTTTAAAAGTGTTTTGTTTTTAAATCAATTGTCTATTTTTGTGATAAAGTGATATTCTTGTGTTCTGTACGGGACAGGAGGAGATTGAATCCATGATAAGAACAGTCAAAGAAGTGGTTCCACTGTTATCTTCAGGTTAACTATATTTTGTGTTTGATAACTACCGTAATAATTGATAAAATATTAATTTTATATTTATGTGTCGATTAATTATATGTTACAGAATCTCATCCATTAATAGCACTACCACTTTATGCAGCTCTTCCCTTACATATTCAACAAAAAGTTTTTAATAAAATTCAAGTATTTAAAAATTATTTCTAATATATTATTTAAGGTCAACTAATTAAATATAATTGCTTTTAATTAATTAATATAGGATGGACATCGAAAAGTAATATTTGCCACAAATATTGCTGAAACGTCAATAACTATACCGAATATCAGATATGTGATCGATTCGGGAAAAGTCAAGTCCCGAACATTTAATTCAATGACCGGATTTGAAACGTTGAAAGTTCAGTCTATATCTAAAGCACAGGCCTGTCAAAGGGCAGGTAGAGCTGGAAGGGAAATGAGGTTTTTATTGATATTAAATTCAATAACATTATTACATTACCGTAATATTTATTAAATAAAATTTTTTTATTTATAATTTAAAACAGTGGTATTTGTTATCGTCTCTACACTAAAGAGGAATATAACACTTTTAGAGATCATGCGATTCCGGAAATTCAAAGAAGTAATTTAGCAAATGTTTTGTTGCATTTAATAGCCATTGGTATTAATGATGTCATGAGTTTTGATTTTATTGACAAACCATCTCAAGAAGTAAATACTTTTTACCTGTTGTTAAATTGATTTAAAATTGTAATTAAATTTATAGAATATAATTAACGCAATTCAACAATTGATTCATTTTGGTGCCATCGAAGACAAAAACAATCTTTACTATGTATTACACAATTATAATATTTAATGAATTTATTTATAATAATCTAATCATTACTATATAATATAGATGACGGATACGGGAAAATCAATGGTATTATTTCCAGTTGAACCTAAATATTCAAAAATAATAATTTCATCTAAATTACATCATTGCACGTATGATTAAAATTATATATATATATATACAGTATATTCTATTAAATTATTGAATAATTTTAAATTTAGTGAAGAAATTATTACTATTTTATCACTTTTATCAGTGGATAATATCTATTACATTCCGGCCAATCAGGTATTTACCGTAAATTAAGGTAAACATTATTATAATTGTTTTGAAAATTGAAACTAAATCTACAAACAGAAAGATTTTGCAACTGAAGTACACAAAAAGTTTATTTCAAGTGAAGGAGATTTGATTAAAATGTTGAAAATATACAGAGACTATAGGACTGCCAAAGAAAATAAGGTAATTATATAATAAAAATATACCGGTATTTAAAAATTAAATATTATTTAAATTTGATTATTTATTTGATAGAAATGGTGTCTCGAAAATTTTATTCATCAAAATAATATGAAATATGCGACAGAAATCAGAAAACAATTGGCAAATCTGTGCGTTACGGCTAATATACCGTTGGTTTCATCCAATAATACTGAAGTTATCCGCAAATGTCTGTGCGATGGACTCATAATGAATGTGTCGAGACTACAAAAGGATGGCTATTATAAAACCGTATGTTTTTTCTTAATAAATATCATATCATTATATCTATTGTCGGCTTATTGTTAGAAATCAACAAAACAAGAGGTGTTTATCCATCCGTCGTCCTGTCTTTTCGGTACAAAACCAGAATATATTATTTTTAATGATTTAGTTCAGACATCCAAATGTTATATGAGGTCAGATATAATCAAACAATTTTACTAATATTTTGTTTATAATAATAATTATATTATTAAACTTTAAATAGAAATATAACTGTTATCGACAAAGACTGGATTTCTGGATAATCGATAAAATTGACAAATATTTATAGTATAGTTGCAGTCAATTGTTTAATATTAATAAAAAAATATTTTATGATATGTTGTTATATATGACTTAAATTATTGTTAAATATATTAAATGTTTTGCGTGTTATGTCTCTTATATACAACAAATTTGTTAATATTATTCTTCTCTGGTTTAAGTCATTCCAATCCAAACCACTTTTCTTTTGCCAATAATTAATAACAAGAGTCGGATCACTACTTGATCTGTCGGTATTCAATGTATTCAATTGTCTCGAAGATAATGCAGTCAAATAACATTTTGACACATTTGCCGAATAAAAGTGCCATATATTAGATGTGACGAGAATTGCATAAATAGGTATTTGATATTCTTTACTAATTTTTAATTGAGACAACAGTTGATGATTATGACTAACACATGCGACAAGTCCTCCGACTAACTGTGCAAACGATTTGTTTGTGAGCGCCAAACGGTCTCCAATATGTAATGACTTCAACTCGAAAACAACACCAATTAGTCCGGAGTTATGTTTGACCACAATATCAGGTCTACCACTCATTTCATTTGTTATCTGGTCTTCGATTATATTAAATTTGAGATTAATTTTCTTGATTTCTTCATTAACCGGACATTTAGTCTTCTTGTCGTAGATTCCAAACTTTAAATGTTTTAATATAGTCCTACAATAGACAACTACATCGTCTTCGTTTCGAATCTTTGATTCAAAGTTTCTATTCATAGATATCACTAAATCGTTAATTAACTCACAATTAGTTACCAATTCTTCACAATATTTCAAATCGTCTGAATAAATCAAAAATCAATAAATTATAAAAATATTTAAAAATTAATATATTAAAGAAGTTATTCTTAATTTTTTGTTTTTTACTTAATAATACAAAATAAAATAAACATTATATTCAACGAATAATTACCGATAAATAATTTTATTGAAATGTCAGTCAATGAAATAGTATTTGGTTTATAATTAAAGTATTTTCTAAGTTCACTGAATTTTAAATCACTTAACCTTATGGAGATATTTGGTAAAAGTGTAATTAAATATTTATTCAATAATTTATAGTTTAAAATCATTATCACAAACAAACAAAATGATATAAATTTATCACTTATTTTATAAAATTAAATTAAAGGGGTTTTATTTATATTATAAATTTGTGTAAATAAAAAAAAAGTAAAATACCTGTAATACAGAAATCATGAGACAACACATCAAGAGGACCCATGTTTTCGTACTTAACGTTTAAAAAGTGGTCAATTGTTTCGGTAGTGAAGTATTTTGTGGACAGTAGTGTAGACTTGAGATTATTGGTTGAAATATCTGTTTAAATGATTAATTAAACAAAAAATAAATGCATTTTTAATATATATATATATAACATATGTTAATCAACTTTATTGGCCATCAGTTTTCTAACCAATTTCTCTGTTATCAATGTCTTGAACCCATTGACAGACATCTAATGTTCTGATGAGAGAATTGTCCTCTGCTTTCAAACATTCAAAGATGTCTTCATAACATCTAATATGTGGCAAATTAGGTGCACTGTCTCTCTTGTTAGTCAATAATGAGTTAAAGTGATAATCAATTGGTTGTCTTAAATCCGTTCTTTGCGATGATGTCATCGATCTCATCAATCGATAGCCACTTTGTTGTCCAAACAATGATAGTATCTTTAATACAGACTTAGAGTTCAATGGATTAAACAGTGACTGCATTGTCGTCTTTGAGTGTGTGTTTGATTTGATCTTCACTTATATATATACACCTAATGATTGTCAATACAAATATCACTCAAATCTTTCATTAAATTTGATGATAATATAGTGGTTATCGTCTCAAACAAATAACAGTCTACTGATAGTCTAGTGAATCAAATAAACAATTAGATTAGTTTTCTTCAGCGCTCTTGAGATAATGATTATCAATACATACCAATTGTAACCACAATTTCTGGTCATCACTTGTCGTCGTTGTTGTCAATATTGTGGTTATAAATGCATACCAAAAGACAAACAGCAGACTATAAGATAATTCAATAGATTAACTCACAAACACAGTGACCAAACAAACTGGTGATAATATCAATGATGTCTTCACACAAATGTGGTGTCAGATGAATGTGATGTCAAACACACAGTATATATCATTCAATCAATTTGTGTCCAAAAAAATATTCAATTCTGAAATCAAAACAAACACTCAATTGATGTAATAAATGTGTATTAGAGTAGAAAACTTTGTTTTAGAACCAAACCAAACAAATTCGGTATTTGTTATTAAATAGATATTAATATATGAAATTGATTTTAATTTCTATATTATTAATATTGATTTTCATAATAACTTTAAATATTTTATTTATTTATTTTATTTGTAAATATGTTTTTAAAATGTATATTATTTATATATATTTTAAATAATATAACGTAAACCCAAACCAAAATTCATTTTGTATTCTAATTTACAGTTTGTATATTAAATAATATTTACAGTGAACTATAGGCACAGATAGTACAGTATATGTAAAGTTATTGTTGACATCAATTCATTGTATTTCTATGTTAACGTCAATTATAATTAATTCATTTTATTTAATCACTTAATTATTATTTTTTAAAATCAAAATTAATTAACTAAACATATTTACAAATATCTAAAATTTTTAACTTAATTAACTCTAGACACCAATGAAGTGCATTGTATTATTATCATTACCATATACTCTATTATTATATGATATATAAATTAAAAACAGTTTATATTTCAATTTTTTGTTGATGACAAATGGTCTGATCCATCACATGGTCTGATCCATCACATGGTCTGATCCATCACATGGTCTGATCCATCACATGGCCCACTGTTTGGTGATATCATTCATTTTGCCGTCCGGTGGCACATATTCTTCCACTTTTGGCGTTTCTTTTTTGACATTATTTGTCTTAAAGGGTATTAAATTATCGTCAATACTAATGGCCGACTGATATAGTTCTTCGGATTCATTTCTCAACACTTTAAGTGCATTATTCTGTGACTTAACCATTGATGTGATTGACTTGATTTCAGCCAATCTTTGTTCACATTTATAGATTGACCACAATTTGTGTATTCTTTGCCATTCCTGCAAACTCTGGTCATTAATTTCTTGTCTTTTTCTTTGCTCTAATTCTTTGATTACTTGTGGTGTTAGTTGTAATTCAATAATAGGTTTCAATTGTTTTGGTGTCGCCTCAAGACGTTTGATCTCTTTCTCTAATTTTCTTAGTTTTCTTTCTTCGCGTCTCTTCAACAGTTGCGGATCAATTCGTTTCTTCTTTCTCATGGGTTCAGCCATAAGACAGGCCGACGTAAAGATGGGTCGCGTGTGGACAGCATTGGACACAAACAACTTGTTTAGTGATAATATCAATGAAGACATCCTTAAGAATATCATTCATATATCAAATCAAATGCTTTACTAGTTTTACAGTCAATAAACAAATGAGTCATTCATTGATAACGTATCATATTTTCTCAGTAATAGTAAGTACTGTACTATTAATACATAATTTAACAAACTATCGATAATTACGGGTAAATTGAATTCAATTAACATTATATACAGTATAATATCGCAACTATATTAGTAAATGTTTGTCAAGTTATGTTTATACCTCCCTGAGCCCACTTATGTAACTTTTAGTCAAAAGTATTTTAATGTAAAATTTTATTATGCAAATGAATAGGTATTACATCACTGCAATAATAATTCATAATTTTAATTAACTATTTTATAACAAATTTTCTGAAATTTTAAGCACCAAAAATCATATGGAAATAAATTTATGCAAATATTATATTAATTTACTGGTAATATAAAAAATAATTAAATAATATAACTAATCAAATGTGTATTCAAATACTAAATTTGTATACAGTATTATTATTAAATAAAAGTTTTATTTATTTATATAAATTTTATTTTATCATATAATATATTGAAAAAATTATTTACAATATAATTAAATAGAATATTACAATAATATTGCGGTATATTAAGTGATGTTAGAAAATCAATATATTTATAAAAATCATTACACAAAATAATTATTACATTAATTATAATTATATGAAACAGATGTTTGTTATGAAAAAATGTATTGTATTTATAAAAAAAACTAAAGACTAGACTTATTGGTGATTAACAACAAAGACGTGAGACTCGAGACTCAACATAAATAACCATAAGGTTTGTTATGTGTCTTCACATCCTTAAGATTTGTATACATTTGGTAAACATTTGTAAGGGGTTTCTCTGGAGTTGTGCTCTGGATTTCTGTATACAGAGGGGATGAGGCTCTCAACTCACTGGACGGCATACAACTCCTGTTATTGTTGACAACCATTTGATTATAGGATAAGCTCGCATTTGATGATATATAACGTGAATGTTTGGCCGGCATATCGTACACCGATTCCGGTACTTGTGTTGGTCTGTCTGTCTGTTGGCACAAACACGTGGACATCCAAACCACTAATGCTAACAAAATAATAACAAAAACAGACACAAATGCCACCACAATTGGCACAGGAAGTGCTGTCTCTTCCTTCATCATACCATTCACTTGATTTACTTGTACTGTAAAGTCAAATATATAATCAAATATTAGATAATTGATAAATTTAATTATTAATTAGTAAAATATAACAGACCTGGATAATATACAGTTACAAAAGCATTTCGATAATTAGAACCCTGTTCATTGCCAGCCACTATAACCAAACAATTATTTGTAATCAATTTATTTTTATTTAAATAAAACAATTATAATTTTTAAGATTATTTGAATGTAAAACATACGGCACACATATTTTCCAGCATCTAATTCATTAACTTTAGTGATAATTAAGTTACTGATGTATGAATTATCTGATGTCTGTACGACTTCATTGGTAAGCATCCGATAATCTTCTCCTTTGAAATTAGTGTATTGAAAATTTTCTTCACCAAAATCACTGATTGAGTTCATACTTTTAAGCCACTGATTATATAAAAAAAAATTTATTTCAATAAAATAGGTTAAAAATATTTCAATCATTAAAATAATTAATTTACTTCAATATTTGGCGCCGCATCGGATCGGACAGAGCAGACCAACGTTACGTCAGCACCAATGGGTGCACTAGTATTTCGTGGATCGTTACCTTCAATGTAAGGCTTATCAATTGGTTGATCTGAAGAAAAAACAACATTAAAACAATAAACTTAATGTAAATGTTTGAAAAAAACAATATTACCAATAACTTTGAGAATAAATCTGTTAGTAATGGTTACACCAAATTGATTGGTTGTCTGACACGTATAGTTAGCGCTGTCTTCAGAATTTAAGTTTTTCATAATCAAAGAGTTGTCTCCGTGTGCTGTCATTTCATTGTTATTATTAAACCATTTAACAGACAATAACTTTGGACTCCCATTAGTAATACATTTCAATTTTAAATCACTTCCAGTTTTACTTATTATAACTTTTGGCACCTCTTTGAATGTATTGGATAATTGATGAGATTTATCTATAAAAAGTAAAATTGAAATGTTATTTCCGTTTCCTACAAATGATTATCATTTGAATTGTAATTTTTAGAATAAAATATAGACAACAATCATAATTTTGATACACTATTATCATCAATGTTTGCTTTAAGTCTATAGTTATTTAGTATATTTTCAATGTTTAGATATAATATGAATCTATAATTTATTAAATCATTAACTTAAGAGGATGTTATGACAGAGAGAGAGAGAGAGAGAGAGAGAGAGAGAGAGAGAGAGAGAGAGAGAGAGAGAGAGAGAGAGAGAGAAAGAGAGAGAGTTAATAAGAGTAAAATATTTCAATAATATCTTTAAATATTATGTGATAAATATATAGAGAGGACGGTTGAGAGTATGGAAAGATGGCTCGAAAAACACTTAATGTCTTTGCCCTAAAATAACACTAATATTTACAAATATTTATACTTTATCTCTATTTACTTTCAAAAACTACACTCAATTTGTATTACTTTATAAAATTAAATGAAAACAAAACAAATAGGAAACAAATGGGAATTTTAAGCAAACATATGTGAAATAAGAGTTACATAGAAATATAGAGTATATTAGAATATATAGAAATATATTGAGTGACAAAACAAACTCAAACCTGAAAATTCAGTTGTCTTTGAGTGATCTAAATCTGATGAACTTCTCGTCAAATATTCATTTAATGCGATATCACTGTAGTTCTCATCTATTATTAATTTATTATAAAAATATATTTATTTACATTAATTATTAACGAGTATCTAAAGTTAAAATCAATTTAAGAATATATGGTAATAATATCATCAAAATAAATGTTTTGTGAAAAAACTACTTTTATTTAATTAAATTTATAGATAGTTGTTCTAAATTTAGTTAGTTTATAGTACAGTATATACCAATAAATTCTGTGTTTTCGATGAAAAGATTACACAAAAAATATCTTATTTTATTTTTATCTAAAAATTTTAATCTTAAATTTCTATCAAAAAATAATCTTATTAATATAATTAATTGATAATTTTTTCTTAATATAACGTTTAATAATAATATACTACATATTATAATCATGGTTTAAAAATATATTTATAAATATTTTTTGTTAATATAAATTAAAATATAAACAACAATAAAATTATAATTCATTTTATATCTTAATAATATTACTTATATTCTAGTTTGCAATAAATAGTTTTAATATTCAGTAATATTCAATAATTAATATTAGTTTTTTTTTAAAAGTATCTATACATTAAAAATACAAATTTCTAGATTTATTTCAGGTTATTATTTCATGGATTACTGTTACGATTTGCTAAAAATACTAATGTTTATACATTACTACAACTAGTTATTTGAACGACAATTATGTAATAGAAATGATAAGAATAGTGATTTCGCATCTCAAGTGTACTATTCATATAAATTACATTATTCTGTACTATAAGTAAAGTAATTGTTTTGTTTTACTCGATTATTAAACAGTATAATCAAGAATTAAATGTAAGACAGTATTGAATTAATGTCGTTAAAGTAAACACATTGTGGGGTTAATTAAATAATTCAATTATTTATTGTTTTCTTTACATAAAAGCAAAAGTACTTTTATATTTAAGTTTTATTATACTGTATAATAATATACAAATAAACATTAAAAATAACAATTGCTATATAACAATTAACTTTTATACCTGTATATTAATAATTTTATTGTGTAACATTAATATTACTAAATTGAAATAATTTACCAATATATTATGCATATAAATATATCAATAAATTATTGTTATTATTATTTTATTATTGATAATGTATTCTCTAAAATATTTTAGCTATTATACAATATTTTTTAAAAATAAAGTACTTTTAATGCAACACTTATAATACTGTATATACTTTAATAACAACCTAACAATCATATAAGTATTGGTAATTTCAAATGATTTTATGTATATTTTGTAGTTTAAATATATTGAATATCTAAAAATACAGTAAATTTTATGTAATACTTATATTTTATAGGTTATTAATATTTTAGTATTGTAAAATATATTGTATTAATTATATAATAATAAAATTATAATACTGAGTAAATTGTTTTTACTATAATAATATTTGAAAAGTCATATGTGTTTACTTGAGATGAGATGAGTTGACAGTTAGGTTATAATATTTTGATAATAGCTTATAAATATTTATATATTATAATATACATATTGTATATATTTAACACATACCTAATACAGTAATTGTGAATAAAAACTTGACGCTTCCGAAACCATTTACGGCTAAATTTAGAAAAGTTTTGTTAAAATTTTAGTGATAACTAATACAGTATATAAATAATAAATATAACTTAAATACTGTATTAAAGATAAAATAAATATAATTAAAGACATTAAAGACCAGTGCAAAGGAAGTTTCCCGTGTCTTCTGTCACCGAATTCTTAATCTTAAGAATTCCAGAGTTTGTGATTCGCACTCTTTTATCATAGCTTTGGATCTGATTTCCATTTTTATACCAATCGATGTAAATATCGTCGTTTTCAGACATATCGACTGGACATTGAAGCGATACATTGGTTCCCAATTTGATGACTCGTCGCTCACTTTTTCCCAAATACTTTGCAAAAAGTTTTGGCGGTTCGGCTAATGTTTCAAAATTGAAATGTTTATAAAAAATAAATAAATCATAATTATAATAATTGTATATAATTATTATGCCATTATTAATACTATCTTTTATCATTGGATACAATAAATTATAAAATTATATTAGTAATAAACTATTGATATTATTATTATTCATAGTTGTAGTGCATTCAGTGTCTCTCATTTAATACAATGCATTCATTTGTTTGTATTTATTGAGTTGTATTATTAGTTTTGGTCAATCATTATAACAACACACCTGTCAATAGGTAGTGTCAAAGTGTAGACACTATAGACTAACTTATTGTATGCATTGCAATACATTGTGCATACTATGCATAGTTTAAAGCTTTTAAAGGATTAGTAAAGCATTAACAATGTATTTCCATTAGTAATGAGTACTAAATACTCAAAATTTGCAGATTTTAACATTTGTTTGGATTGTATTGTACAGTGAAAAGAGATAATACATTAGTTTACACAAAATTTTCAAGTGTATAGTAAAAGTGCCCAATAATAGTGCATTCATAACAAGTAAYGCATTAATTAATGAACTAAAAGCCATAAAATTTTATAAATCATTGTCCAAAATCACTAATAGCTTATTTAATGGTCACTTATTTTTATAAAAGACATACTATTATTAAATATATTTTGATTTATCAAATAATTATTTAATATTTCTGTATTGTATGATAATTTAATACTACTTTTACATTAATCATTTAATTATACAGGTATAATCTATTTAATTAGCGACAAATTATTCTAGTAATTAATTATATACTCATAAGTTTATATTATTTTACTTATAAATTATATATTTTTTTATAAATTAATTATGCGAAATAGTATTTGGATACATAATTAGATCATTGCTTTTATAACTACTAATAATTAAAATTTACATTTTATTTTTTAAAAATAATTATCATATAAATTTTAGAAATTTATTTTTTATGTGCTGACCTTTAAAATGTTTATTATTTAAAATTATTTTTTTTTTTAGATTATTAATTATCTGGAAGTACTGTGTAAACTGATGTTTGAATGCATTAGTGATATGTTATTCCTATCGCTTAAAGCTACTGGTATTGTAACTGTTAATAGAAAGAGTATGAAAGCCAATGGATAGTGTTTTTGAATGAAAATTGACATTTTATAAAATTGAAACACAATTATGAGTTTATTTATAATGAATTCATTTTTGTATTTTAACCAATATATTATTGTTAATAATTATTATTCTGTATTAAAACTTGTAAGAAATATTTGTAATCATTTCAAATTATAAATAGTTGGTTAAAAAGCTAAAAATAGTTTTAAGTAAAGTTTAACATAAAATAAGTAAATATTTACCTATAATATAATATGATAAATATATATCTATATATTGTAAACATAAATATTTTATTATTTTATTTATCAAAAATTTTAATTATGCACTATTTTTTACAATAATTAAGTTTTTACTGTTAGGTAATACCTGTATTTTTATATATATTAAAATTTATAATTTGTTGCATAAAAACTTTAAATTTAAAATGTTTTAATATCATATATAAATTATTTTATAGTTATATTCATATATAAATTTATGGTCACAAATATATATTTACAGTAGCATACACAAATATGATATACATATGTATTATATATACATACATAAGTATAAAATTGCTTCAACTTATATAATTAATAGTATAACAAAAATATTTTTTGAATTATTAGAGCTTTACAAAACATTTTGAATATTTATAAATTATGATAAAACAAATAAATATACGAACCATTATGACATAAATGAATGATGATAAATATAATTATGAATACATTGAATATGCGATGAAAACGATAATAAAATAAGTTATTTAACATAAAATCACATTTATAAGCAATTTTGGCCATTGTTTAGTTTAACGATAACATACAACAACAACAGTGACAACATTGATAACACAGTGTTTAATTTTAACAAAAAGTTTTAATTCAAAACATATAGACTAATATAAATTTATTTTAAGTAAAGCTCATATACAGGTATAAAGATTTAGTGGCAATCCGTATGCCGTCAACAGTAATACTAAAGCATTAATAAAAGTTTGCAAAAGAGTCTCAATATAGAGAAGCACTGACTCTCTCTCTCTCTCTCTTCAGAGACGACTCTCTCTCTCTCTCTCTCTGAGAGGGAAAACACATCTTATGTTGTATTCAATAGTAATTCACTGAAAGACTTATTTATAAATAGGTTTTAATTCATTATTTCTTTTATGTTTTGAATATAATTTTTGTAAAAATGTTTTATCCATTTTTGTGATAAATTTTATGATAAAAGAATTTAGAGTTTATTTTGTATACAAAAATATTTTATTTTCTATTTTTATTTTGATAAAAATGCCAAATAATGTAGTAATTTATGATATTTTATAGATATATGGTATTAGTGTTAATACAATTGAAAAGACAATATTTATATATGAATTGAGTAATAAAACTAACGATACCTTTCAAGTGCTTTCTTTTCACTCATAGTTAAGGTATTAATGTTTTATGAGATTTCACTCAATATTTAGTTGTCATAGAAATGAGAAACTAATATAAAGTGGAAAAATAGTAAATTCATAAAAACTTAGACAAAAGACATGTTTTCAAAGCTAACGGTTCTCTGTCTGTGCTAACAATGCAACAACTGTTAGTCTAAAAGTTTAATAAAAGGTATGTTTTCATAGCTTCTCCATCTCATCTCATGTTCTAATTGTGCCCAAACTCTACTACTATTGTAAACACAACTATACTATAGGAAGCCTTCATTTAATTCAACAAAACATGTAATACTGTATGAGTCATACATAGAGAAGCTCTATATATATATATATATATCAGTATATATACTGTATATATGACTGATAGAAGCATCACTTGTAGCCTGAGCTCGGTTTTTAGAAGAGACAGACATTGGATGGTTTGGTTGTAAAGCGCACAGTCATGTGTTTGCAATACATTGCAATACCTGATGCTTCAATCGATAGCATTGATTAAGATGTGTCACCTTTTCCTATACTTCCTCTACATGTGTGTCAGTAACTCTCGTTTCCCAAACTATATAACGTAAGCAATACTTTGCAACAAATTAATTGTTAACACATCTGACTGACACTCGAGGGAAACGTAAATTTAAAAGTGATGTTATCTTTCAGTTTTGTTCACATCAACTAAAATGTATAAATATATCATTAACTTAATCATCATTATTTTAGCTCAAAATGCAAATCTAGAAAAATATATTACTATTTTAATAAAACCAAAATAACAAAACTTTCAAAATATCAATTCAAAAACCACTATATTATACTATACTGTAGTTGTTATACTAATCTGTGTGTGACATGTAATTAAAGTACAGTATTTGTAAACATATACAGTGTTAGTCTAATTTGTTGCACACAAAACAAATATTTTTGCTTAAATTTGAGTACTTAAACATAATATAACAACTAAATATTAAAACTAGATATTTATTTAATTGGCTATTTATATATACTGTATTTAAATGAATTGTTTATATTATAATTTATAAAGTAAAGTAACTTATAAATTATAAGTTATGACATTTCATATATATTTGTAAATATATAACTTATATTTTTATGGATACATTTTCTAATGTTACACATTATTGAAATATTACATATAATCAAAACATAATATTCACAACAAATCGGTTTCAAATAAGTTGGATCAACTAATGTATGTAAAAATAGAGATATAATAGTAGACAATATGAGAGTCCCCTCTTATAGCTGATGCATGTAATGCCTGATAATTTGTGCGGCAAATAGTACTGTATGTTCACGTAATGCACTCCGCTTTTCACTGGCTTTACTGTTATATACCAAACCCTTAACACTACTATTCACTGCTTTACCTAACTATTCACTACAATATAGACTTTACTGTTATATCTAAAGAATTTAATCCCTTTATTAAAAAGAGGGAAATGTTTTCCATTTGAATGAATACGAGTCTGATTTTTGTGCAAACATTGGGTGATATATATTATATGTATGTTTGATATCTCATAGGAAAATGAATAATTGACATCAAATGAGAGACACATTGCTTACAAATGCCATGATTTCAAAAGTGAAAGCCTAGTCATTGAAATATATGTTATTTTATATTTTATCGACCATTTATTAGATAATTAATTAATAACAACTTTATTTATATATAGCTATTTGTATTAGTTATGATGAAAAATAGTATCTGTATATAATATATATATATAGACTATATAATATATAATATAATATATAGTATCACATTTAGTATAAATAATAATTCAGTTGTTTTTTGATAAAAAATAATCGATATATCTATTATTTGATGTATATTAATACTGTAGTTTTTTAAATTGTTACTTTACACGACATAAAAATTATTATTATTTTATACAATGTAACATAAACCACAATTGATTGTCACTTTAAATAAATTTATAAAATAAATACAGTATTTTATTTTAGATATATTTTTTATTTATAGAATATTCAGATTAGTAATTGAAATGTATTAATCATTAGTTATCGAAAATTCAGATTTATTAATAATGTAATTATTTCATACATTATTTATTAAATATATATATATATTACTATAATATTAGAATAATTGCATATTTAAAAATGAATTATAAATTTTGACCAATGTAAAATAAGTGTTAAATCACAAACAATACATTTTTTAGAAACAAAAAAATATAAACGAAACCAATCTGTAAAAATCAAACCGAATCAACTTTTAATAATTTTTTATTATTATTAAAAACCATATATTATATAACATTTTCATTAATAATAAAAGCTTTAAACATTTTATGTTTGTTAAAATAACTGATCGCCTTATTATAATTTGATTTCTATAAACGTGTTTTTTATTAAATATTAATTTTTTAATGATTTTAAGTAAACAAAAAAATCAAAATCTGTGTAAAAACAAAATTTTTAATAAACAGCAAAACTTGAATTGAAAATTGAAAAGAAAACTGTTTTTGATTTCAGTTTTTACAATTCGTTCAAAAATTAAAACAATCAATTATTATTAAAATGTTTGCATTTGCAATATTACTCTAATGCAAAAATAGTGTTAAATCATCACATATAGTGGTATTAAAAACAAATAATTTTGAAAAAATATGTACATTATTATAAATCAATTTAGACAAATTTATATAATGTATAGAAATTTATAGTAATTAAAAGATTAAATAATAAATATAATGACATTGAATTCATTAAACTTAAATTGAGAAATTTTGAAATGAAATTATATTTAAATATAAGTTATAATTCATATATGAATTGCTTGGATTTGATTGAAGAAAAACTTATCCATTATTTGTCTCTAATTTATATGGTTAACAATAATAGTGATATAAAAATAATAAATGGTTTTTAATATAACTTAAACTCAGCTTAAAAATAACTTTCAGATAAAAAGTACAGATTTTTAGACAATTGTTGATTTCCTTAACCTAGTCTAAACCCAGTCGTATTAAATAAATTATTACATTAATACATTACATTTTTAATAATATACATTATATTATAATTTTTAATAAAACAATAGCAAATAAAATTATATTGACTTTGATTATTTTTTAGTACAGTATTTGTTCTATAAGTGTTATTAAAAAGATATGAATAAATTAATAAAATTTATAAACAAAATTAATTTTCCAGAAATATGATAAAAATATTTTGATATATTATACTGATAAATATGCGCCCGTTGTAAATGATTTATACATAATTATTGTAATTTAATATTTTCGATAATTAAATTGTTTTTTTAAATAATAAACAAAAATATTTTTATCACAATTATGAATATATTAGTATTTTATATCATATTTACATTTTGTTCTTATATTATTTGTATGAAATATTTATATTTAATATATATTAATTAATTATCGTTTTTTAATAAATTTTAATAAATGAATAATAATACTAAATAAATGTGTTAATGAGTAAAATTAAATCACTGGAAGTAATTGCTTTGAATTATAGTTAAAATATTATGAGAAATATAGGATAAAATTGCAAAGATTGCCAAAAAACACTCGCATCCATTCAATCACTAATTTTTTAGTTACATTAACGCTATCTATACATATTTATATAAATATACAAAAATAATTTAAAAAGAAATAAAAGAAGCATGGTTATTTTTTAATGCAAGTCCATATTTGTTGACCCATACTCTATGAGTCTTTTTAATTCAAATTTCATTAACCCCTCCCCTCCCCTCCCTTTACATTAATATTTTATCTGAATTGTTTACTGTACATTAAATTCATGTATCGTAAATGTATTAAAATTACCTGTGACATTTCTAAATTAATTATTAAAATTTAAAATATGATATTATAAATAATTTAAATAAATATTTTTATTAATACAATATATTATTATATTATAAAATAATTGTTAAATAATATTTGATAAAAACAATAATTATTATAAATTCTCAATATATTAATTAAATTAAACACTATTATTATATAAAATGTTAAATAATTTAATAGTTAATTAATTACAATTCTTTGGTTTTATTCGAGGTTTGATTAGATACCAAATCAATGAGTTTTCTAATTAAAAAATTTGAAAATAATTATTAAATTTAATCGATAAAAACAATTGATAATCAATCAAACCGTCGCAATTGTGTTGCCTTTGCTTTAAGCTCTTTCTCTTTGGCTTTTATTTCTGCAAATCTATTGCAAGCCTTTTCATTGGCAGTTTGATCGACAACCCATCGAAGATATAGTCCACTCCATAACTCCTATTAAATAAAAATTAGTTTAAATATATCCTAATAAACATATAAACATAAATTCTAACCAAACTTTGCGGTGCAACTGATGGCCAAATGACAGCATTGTTTGGTTCATACGATGGATTGAGAAAATCTTGTAGTATTTCGGGTTTGTTTACATAAGACCAAAGCGAAACTGTTTTCTTTGAGAAATTCATTTCTTTTCTATCTTTAACACAATTGCCCAGAAATGTACCAAATTGTGAGCCATATGTTTGTTCAAAGATATAAATTAGAAATTTCTCATTGAATTCAAACGAACATTTAAATTGGTTAAAGATTTGATAAACACAGTCGAGAAAGACTAAAAATATTGGTGACTGTTCTCGAGTTCGGGCACTAGTTATGGTGTAAGCACTGTGTTTGCAACGGGTAGCAAATGGATGTCCCGCTTGCAACCACTCGCGCTCTACAAGTGCTTCAAATCCATGAACTGTACGACAGTCGGGATTCAGAATGATTTGAGTCAATGAACAGACTTGAAGTGTTGAATCCATTCCTTCGGATCCGTGAACTAATACTGAAGCCACTGATCAGTGGATCAAAAATAAATATTTAACAAATCAATAAAAAATAATGATTATTACATTCTTTGTCCAGACATTGTGCCACAAGACATGCACTGCTGAGAACATCTTTGATATGTGTCAGCCAACCGCATGACTCTAATCTCGATAACCACTTATCCATTGATGACTTCGAGTCATTACAGGCTATAAACAATTGTTGAAAAAATATTGTCATCATTTGGCAATTAAGAGATGGATTAAATATATTTCAAACCTTCAATTAATTTACACAAAGAATCTAAAAGAGTTGAATGTCTGTCAATAGGTTTATGGACGCGACGCCAAAGAGGATAATGAACTTCGGGTTCAAATCCACCGCCTTTTTGTAAATATCTAATTAATTAGTGGATCAAAAATTTAGATAAAATTATATACCTTTAGTTCGGGCCAATTGTGCCAAGTTTTGTGTCCGCGTCTCTATAATATAACCGCGTTTTCCCGAACCTAACACTGTATTAATAAGTTTTTCATCGTCTTTACATCGCTTTGAATTAGTTCCAACCATTGGTTGACCACTTCTTAATAAAGCCGTCTATAATAGAGTTATCAAACAATATCTATTAATAGTATTCAAATGAATTTAATATGAGACCAATTAATCACAACCTTATTTGTCTTATGGAAATAACTTAGGACTGGAAACCTTCCTAAACAACGAAACGCCGCAATAGATGTCAGACAATCGTCATCAATAGATTTGGGAACTATTACTGCTTCTGGATATGAGGAACAGGCCTATCATATAAAACAAAATATAGTAAATGTAAATCAATAAAACAAACAAACCGTCAAACTTTGAAAACTTACCGCAAAATCTCTGTTAACATAACTGATCCGCCAGTCATCAGAAAGCATAAGAAGTTGTGAGAACTCGTTCTCAATCTGAAAGGCATTCCAACCGTTTTCGACCACTTCATACATCGCGCGATAAAAGTGTGGATAAAGGAGTCGCGGGTCATCCAAGTTAGACAACCATTCAATTGAATTGCAAATGTTGTTGAAGTCAGTCCAGCCATTGATCTCCAACTCAATTATACGAAAGTCTTTGCATTTCAACCCAACTGTTCCGCCCGAAGACGTGTTGTTGGGTTTTCGTTCAACAACATCAACCATTGAATGCAATAACTGTATTAATAGATAATATCTAATACTATTAACTTCATCGACACTAAGTTTCTTGTGTTTCAAAACACATACCCATAACTCTTGAGATGCGTTACTTCTTGAGGATACAATCAGATGATGACTAGTTATGCAAAGTGTGGCCTCCATTGACTGATCGATCGGATAAAACACTCTAATAGAGTCCAATTTGGGTGTCTTTATTAGTTCAGCGAACTCCATGTCTTGAGCCGAGATCACCACAAGAGATCAATTGACAGATAATTTAACAAATAATTTGCAAACAGATGTCAACCAAACTGTCAAACATAACAACAAACAAATGACTCCATCTATTGATTCAATAGTTAATTACTTTTGTCTTACAGTTATATTAAATGTTATTTTCGGATAATTTATTGTTTAATAGTTTTGTTTAATAATTAAACTTTAATTTATTTATATTATATAATAAATTAATTAATTATTTAAATAATGTTTAAATGAAATAATTAATAAAATATTTTACTTTATATCGAACTTTTAGTCTAAATTTTTTTGTCTAAAAGTAATTTTATGAATTCAATCAATGAATTATTCAAATTAAAAAAATTTATAACATAATTAAATTATATTATATTAATATGTTTAATATCTATATTTAATATAAATGTGAAATTAATAATAAATTAGACTTTAATGTGTTTACTTTATATAAAATAAATTATTAAAATTTTATAATTTAGTTAGAAATACATTATTTAAAAAAAAGTTTGTTTTGGCAAAGATTTTTGAGTAACGATAGAAACATTAATTATTAGACAATAAAGTATTTTCTGATAATCTGAACAATAATATTGTAATTAATATTTTTTCATCAAATATTAAGTTTTGTAATAACATTAACAGTAAATTGATTTTAAAAATAATTATAAATGAAATGTCTTTTTCTGAAACACATTTCGATGGAATCAATATTCCTTCGGTTTGGAGGAAAAGTATGATCAGCTCTGAGACTTCAACTCAAACACAAAGCATTGATTGTGTCGATAGTGAAGTTCAACACAACCTTTTGAAAGATACTGAGACTCAGACCACAAATTTAGATGATATTCAAAGAAATAGACCGCTAAAGACATTTAGTTCACCAGAATTATTGAAATTTTTAACTAAAGCTTCAGAAATAACAATCAATGAAATTAAGAAAATAAACGGAAATTATATTTATATAAAAATAGATAAATTTCAAAATAGGACTAAAATTAAGGCCAATTTAAATAAAAAATTTGGTTTTAGAGCATTGGATTCAATTGTCACCAAAAATGATTTCCAGTATAATGTATCAGCTCTTTGCTGGAACTGTAACGCATCGGTTCTGGCAATCGGTCATCAAGTGAACCATCACTCCGATTGGTGTACTCATGAAAGCTATATTTTGCTCTGGAATTTGTTTAAAGCCACAGAAACTGAAGAACCATCGCTTCAGTTTGATTTGGATGGCTGTGTCTCCGTATTGGTTAGTCATCCAACACTTCCATCTGTTTATTGTTCGGGATCTTTAAATGGAAAGATATCTCTTTGGAATATCAGAAACAAAGAAAACGAGTTCTTGTTTGCATCAGTTGTGGCTCATCAACAACAAGTGTCGGGTATTCATTGGTGTCAACCAAACAATACAACAGATTTGGGACAAATTATTAGTTGTGGTTTCGATGGCAAAGTGTTTGTGTGGAAAGTTCACGAAAAATCAATACAATTGGAAAAAGCATTTGCATTAACAGCTCAAGACATGCCACGAAATATACAAATTAAAGGCAATAAAAGCAATGTTGAAGTTCCCATTGTCTCCATGTCTTTCAATTGTGAAGATTCAAATATTTTTATTATTGGTTGTATTGGAGGACCAATATTTCAGTGCTCATTAAACAGCAATAAACCAGTAAATAATGATTTCAGTACTGGAATTAACTCAAAGTACAAGAATATTGAATACAAGAATCCAATAGTGATGTCGTATGCCATCCATCGGTCGCATATAAATTCAGTGCAGTTTTCGCCCGTTTCACGAAATATATTCTTCTCTTGCAGTTCTGATAGTGAACTAAGAATCTATAATTTATTGCAAACGGTTCCCATTATTGTTATTCATACTGATGTCCCACTTTTAACAGGTCAGTGGTCTCCATACAGTGCAAACATAGCCAGTGTTGGATCCGATGGCAATGTCTATATTTATACTATCAATTACACAACAATTTCAAACGCTTCGTTCAGTTTTTCAATTGGAGACAATGTATTAGCAAAGTCTTTAGTATATAATACAATTGACAATATTGAACAAATAGCTGTCATCGGATCCAACAATAGTATATATGTTTGGGATTTGCTTTTATCCTCTGAGAAGAGCGACGGGAAACACATGAACGACATTTTAAGGCGGATGACTGACACCATTGATGACTGATTACTACTGTATAAAAACTTTGAAAATATTTTTGATTTTTTTTCCTTAACAAAAATTTTTTATATCTATCAAATTAAAGCTATAAATTATATTGACTTATTCTCAATAATATTACAATATATTTATAAGTATAATCATGAATATAAGTATAATAAATATTTATTTAATCTATTTCTGTTGTATTATTATTACAATAAATGTAAGTTTTTACTGCATATTGCAATAAACATTTATTTTCATTACATTTTCATCTATAGGGTGACAAAAAACTCAAGGAATGGTATGACAAATATTATTTTAAGCAAACGGACACTCCATCACCTAAATTGATACACAAATCAAGCAATATTATAATAAATCGTCAAAATTATAAATATTCCTCATCTTGTGGTTCAGACAACCCATGCCTTAAATCTAACGGTTTTAAAACTCATATATTAATTATTAAATAAATTAAGTTGTAATAACATTCAATCAATTTCTGACATTCAACATATATTTATTAATAATAGGTCTAAATATGGATCCAACAGATTGCTGTCATTTCTATAATTGTCATAATTGTCGACCATTTAGGCAGAGATGTGCCGACGGAACACATTTTAATCGTAAACTATCTGTTTGTGATTATCCTCAAAGTGCCGGATGTTCTCATAATAAATATTGTGGTTTATTTCAACCATCACTTAAATAATTTAAATTTTATAATAATGACAATTTCTATTATATAAATTAAATTTTCAATAATAGTTTATCATTCATTTGTTTACATAAAAGTATTTTTTAATTATTTATATTATATCTGATAATAAAATGAAAAAATATATATTTTCGTTTTTTATTTATAATATAAATAATTTTTATTGAATTAAATTAAAGTACAATACATTTACATAATTTCATAATAATACATAAAAAGTTTAGATTTTTAAATATAAGATTATTATTATTATTAATAAAATTTATATACAAATTTGTTGTTTTGACGATCATTATAATCCCAATTGGCTGACAAATGAAATGTATTTCATTTAAAACACAATTTAACAATACCTGAGAGTGAAAGCAATTTTAAAGTTTCAATAATTAACACTAAAGTCACCAAACATTTAAACAAAATATTTGATGAATTATTAAAGTCAATAAAATAATTGTAAATTGCATTAAAAAACTTATATAAATTTATAAATAATTTGAGTAAAAATATAGTTTAAGTGATTTAAACAAGAATTTAAATAAGAATTAATAGTAATATTAATATAATATCACAGATATATAAATATCACAATAAAAAATAATTAGCAAATCATTTAAAATATTACCTTAAAAACTGCTCAATCACTTCATTACCACTAAAGAGCGTAACCTTTTCTTTGATGACATATCACAATCGTCGTTATCATCGTTGAAATTCGTTCTTTGGATCGTTCGTTGTCTTGATTGACGTCTGTCATCACTTCCGGTGGCTTTGTTTGAATGTCTATCATTTGATGAATGATTTGTCGTACGTTTTCGTTTGTTTGCATAATTCAAATCCAAACGACTTTTAATATTATTATTTTTAATATTTGTATCATTAATGGATAAATCAGATGACTCGCTAGTGATGGCAGTTATACCACAATGACTGTTACATTCAATTGTTTGTCCAAATTTTAATCTTCTTCTTTCAAATGCTGATAATTCTGAGACACCATTATTAGAGTTGAGTCTTATCTTATCGTTGGTCTTAACTCTTTCACATTTATCATCGATGACAGGACTACTCATCACATATGTCTCAGTATTATTTAATTCAATAGTTTGTGCACTTTCTGAATGTTTTGACTCAACAATTGTTTCATTTAAGTCTGATATCTTAGTTATTGTGTTATCGTTGGTATCATTTGATGATAAATTAGAAATAATCTCATCGTTTGTTGTTTCATCATAATTGGTGGCACCTCTAGAAACCCCACAATCATCAATATTATCATCACTGTCCTCATCGGTGTCGTCACTATCATCCCTTTCCCACCGATTGAATCTCTCGGGACCAACACTTCCTTTATTAATGTCATTAGTCTTAGAGTCTTTAATTTCAGTAAAACTATTTGTTTTTGAATCAATAGGTTGTTTGTCACAATTGTTTGTCAAAACAATTAGATTTGCATTTAATGAACCATTTTTTCTCATATTATTCTTCGTGTACTTCAAGTTGTTCTGAGTTTTGCCATTAATTGTGCGCTTCTTCTCAACTGAAGACTTTTCCCATTCATTTCTTGTCACAGAACTTTGTTCCCTCTTTTGAGTCATTGACTTGAGAGCCATTAGTCTTAGTTGTTCGACGTCTTCTTCGTCGTCCATCGTATTGAACACATTTGATGACATCTTCAGAGTAAATGGTAAACTCTTTTTGATAATCTATGGATGAATGCGATAGCGATAACCAATTTAGACAAACATTAAGTATAAAACACGTGATAACACATAAAATTATGGATCAATTGGTTTACTAATAATTCAATAATTAATATCAATAATGTGGTCACCAATTGATCACTAAATTGGTACCGATTTTTGGTCAAAACATCGGTAATAAGTGATTAACAAAATGGCTTTAATTACGTTATGTTTGTTATTATAATACAATTAATTGTTGTGTTGTTGTTGTTGTCACGCATTTCTAGTCAACACCTCTATTCTGTTTAGAGATGTTAACATATTTATACATTATCTACAGTATTACACACTTTATTAATACGTTTTTGAGATTAATTAAAATTATATTTTTATAATTAATCCATTAATTTATAATAAGTTTTATCAATTGAATTAAAAGTTATTTTATATTTTAATAATTAATTGCTATTGAAATAAGTGTTTTTTAGGAATATTCTTATGTATTGATACTTATAATTAATATTTATTGTGATTTTCATATTTATAATATGTGTCAACAAATGATGTTTTGTTTGTATGTGTGTTGTCATCACTGATACAATTGTCCATCAATTGATCCAAACAGTGATATTATCTGTGACTTCAATTTGGTTACCAATTGATTATAAGCACTGATATTATATTTACTTTAAGACGTTTACTATAATTGAAATTACTATTAATTGTCGGAAAATATATCCAAATAAGTGGTAAATAATCGCATAAAACACGTGGCATTCATTGAATCAATTAGTTTAAGACATGAGTGGTAAATCTGGTCCCAATTTAACTCAATTGTTCATCGATTTGCATCGATTGGATCAGTCAGGCGAATATGAAAAGGCCATTAAAGTGACCGATAAGAGTATATTAACCACAGATTTTATTCACCAATAAAATAGATTTTTATAATTAATTTGTTTTTTTAATTAAATTAATTGATATTTAGTTTTAAATGAAGAAAAGGACAATCAGAAGGCCATCGAGTGTCGAATTGTCTGTCAAATCCAATTGGGTTTGTTTGAAGAGGCCATCAAACAAATCAATGATTGTCCCAACAATAACTCGTACGTTAAGTTAGAAATTATTTTTTAATGTCATTTGTTTATAATAATTATTAAATAAAATGATTAATTTTTTGGCGATAATTTAGAGACGATTTAATGTATCAAAAGGCTTATTGCGAATATCGTCTCAATAATGTTGAAGAAGCCATCAATACATTAGATTTAATTAAAGAACAAGACTTTCACGTTAAGGAATTGAGAGCACAGGCAGTCAGTGAATCACTTGATTTAAAAAATAAAATAAATACAATACTATCGCTAAAATCAATATAATTATTATTAATTATTATAGTTATATCGTTTGGAGAGATTTAAAGAGTGTTACGATTTTTATGTGGATTTGATTAAGAATTCTGACGATGACTATGAAGATGAGAGACAAACAAATTTGGCTGCAGTTGTCGGTAGTCTTAGTATTAACGGTGACAGCAATTGGACAAAAAGCAAACCCGATATCGAAGAAGTGACTTATGAACTCTGCTATAACAAGGCGTGCTTTCTATTGGGTGCTCAACGCTATGAGGAAGCGCTTCAAATGCTTAATACTGCTGAAGGTATTATAATTACCGTATATTATAATATTGGATTTATTTAAAATTATTTTACAATTCAGATATGTGTCGAAAGACATTGGAAGAAGAAGGTGCCACTGAAGAAGAAATTGATTCAGAATTGGCTATAATTAGGGCTCAAATAGCGTTTTGCTATCAAATGCAGAAAAAGGAGGAAACGGCTCTTCGGATGTATAATCAAATTCTCAAGAAGAAGTAAGAATACATTGAATTTTAACTGTTATGTCATTATTTAATATTATTTAAATTACTATTTGATTGTTCAGACCCGACGACGTCGCTCTGTTAGCCGTTGTATCAAATAATGTCGTTTCCATAAATAAAGACCAGAATGTGTTTGACTCGCGAAAGAAAATGAAATCAGCGTTAAGTGATTTAATTGAATCAAAATTAAGTCATATCCAGAAACAAACCATTGTTTTTAATAATTGCCTTTTACTTCTTCATACAAACCAAAATGATTTACTTCGCAATCAATTAAAAGAAATTAAAACAAAATATCCTCAACAGACCTCCAAAGCTCTTCTGTTAGAAGCAGCTCTTCTTTGTAAAGAAAAGAAAGTAAGCGATGCCATCAAATTTCTTAAACAATCAATCAGTGATAAGCCAGGTCTGTATCTTGAAGTGTCATTGATTTTGACACAACTTTATATTAAAAATGGAGACATTGCTGACGCGTGTAAAGTGTTGAACTTATTGGGAGATTTAACATATAAACCGGCAATAATTTCCACATTAATTACATTATATCTTCATTTGGATGACAAAAAATCGGCGACAAATCTTTTGACAAATGCTGTCAATTGGTTCGAAAAGAATATGGTATTGAAATTATAGCTAATTTTTAAAAATTATCTTTTATTTGAATAATATTTTTTTTAACAATAGCCTCAAAGTTCAGAGTTATTTTCGTTATATCGAGAAAACGCCCGATTCTTGTTAGAGACAAATCAACCGAAAGCAGCGGTCGATCTTTTGGAACGTTTGCGTAAAAATAATCCAAAAAGTCCTAAAATAGTGTCACTTTTGATAAGTGCGTACTCAAGATTTGATCCCAAGAAAGCTAATGAGTAAGTGTTTAGATTAGTTATGGTTTTATTTTTTTCCTAAAATTTATATTTATTTCTAATAATTTAGAATAAGCAAAGATCTGCCACCAATTGAGAGTATTGTTGAGGAAATCGATGTACAACTGTTAGAGACTAGCAATTGGTCTTTGGGTGTTAAATATGTCAAGAAGATGACTAAAACAGAGACACCGAATGCTAATCAACAATCAAAGACCGAGAAAAAGAAGAAAAAGAAAAAGAAGATCAAACTTCCCAAGAATTACGATCCAAAAGTAGAACCCGATCCCGAAAGATGGCTTCCAAGATATGAGAGATCAACATATAAGAAGAAGAAAGACAAACGCGGACAATACGCTATAGGAAAGGGAACTCAAGGAGCAGTTGGAGGAGTAGTGTATGTGCTGTTAAGATACCGTTATTATTTTAATAATATTTTAATGTTTATTATTTTTTTTGCTAAACTAAAGTGAAACTAAAGCAACGACACCGAAAACTTCATCGACAACTGTTAGCTCACCTCAAGGTCCGAGACAACAGAGACCGACACAAAAGAAAAAGAAAACCACAAAAAAGAAATAAATAAATTTTATATATTTTTATTTAATATATACGATCCATGTATTGATTTTTTAATAAATAAAATAACATTAAAATTTGACATTTACAATTTACTAATTTATAAATATTAAATTTATGCCCAAAATATTTATTTTGATTATCTTAAAATATTTTATTAAAAACTATATATTTATTTAATAGCTCTCAGAATAGTTAAAAAGTTTTATCCTCTCAAGAAATTAAAAATCATATTAAAAAAATTGGGAATAAATTAAATATAAATAAAAGTTATGCGATATTTAAAATATATACTCGAAGGCGACTTATTTAGACTAGAAATTCGGCCAATTTTTTAGTAAATTGTTTAAGTTCTTCATAATAAATGTATAATTGTATTAATTGTTTAGTTTCTCAAATTTTTTGGCCAAATTAGCGACAGACGTTTGCTTCGGTGTATTACTCGTGTATTTGACACTTATATTAGGCTTAGGAAGAGAAGGCAATGGTTTGTCTGCTTTAAATTCGGGTACATTTAATGGATGAATATTTGATAAATTATTGTCTTGAGTAGAGTTGTGAGGCCTCGGAGGTCGAGGTGGAGGAGGTTGCGATGGACGGTTATATTGTATTCCCGATGAACTTCTATTGGATGAGCGCATACTTGAGGTCCGCGAAATAGATGAATGATTAGAGATCGGTGGCGGAGGGGCTGTACGTATGGGCCTTAACGGCGTTGTACTCGCCTTTTCAGTGTTGGTGAGGGGCGATGTTATATCGGAATTGTTTGAATTAGATCTGATATCAGATAAATTATTTGAATTTTTTGTCCCCATTTCAAGTGAAATGGGAGACGATATCTCTAATGATTCTGTATTAAAATTAATGGGAGGTCTGGTATGCTTTCGATGAGTTACTTGTTTGGCTCGTGATTTGATAGCCGATTTACGGGCCTTAATGAACCACCAATTTTTGATGGTATCGTTATATTTATATATTAATAACACAGCGATTACAGTCAATGGTAAGATTACAAAAAATAAGATATACATTGCAATCGTAAGCAAATATTTGCTGGTAATAGTATGGGAACAGTTCGGTGGCGCAAAACCAGGATAACAATGACAAACGCCTTTGTTATCACACAAACCATTTTTATGACAATTGTCTGCACAGGCATTCTTCTGGAGAAAGTCTTTAACAGAAACACACTTTTGATTGATACACATGGAATTGGAGCCACATTTAGCACCGTTAGGGACTAAACCCGGATCAATGATGTCGATGCCGAGATCAACCATTGCTGAACGACAGGCCAATACTTTTCCTTTATTAGGAATAAATGATCTTGCTAATATTGCAGCACTTTCTGTCCCATATTTCAATTGTTCGCTTTGATGAAAGCAATGAAGTCGACCACAGATAACATCCTGTGCTTTGCATGAAATGTAAGTTTGATTTTGTTTAAAATAACCACAATTTCCGTTTGCATTTCCTTTAATATTCTGTTGATAGCACTTGTAGTCCGAGACTTCTCCAGTCTTACCCCACAATAGTTTGCATTGACTCTCGCGTGTATCGCATTTGCCGGCAAAACAATAAGCAAATCCCTCAATACATTCGGTTCCGTCCTGTACTTTGAGGTCTTCGGGACAAAATTCGGATATTCCGTCACAGAATTCAGTTAAATCACAGTTACTCTTTGCTGGTCTGCAAACCATGTCTTGACTTTTATCAACAATTTTACACTTAGTTTTATCACAACACGAACCAACAGCGCATTGGGCGCCGGGCATCAGTTTACAGGTCGTTGCATTACAGCATTTATTATCACATGTAGATTTGAGGCCACAATCGCATTCCTCTCCTTCCTCGAGAAATCCATTACCACAAACTGGTCCAAACAGATCTCTTGGCTTATTATGAAGGCAGTGATCCATTCCCTGTTTGAAGGAATGTTCCAAATATTCGAGAGAACAGGAGGACCAGTGTTTAGGACTGATAGAGCTAGAAGACGGTGCCATTATGCACTTGTCATTAGGGCACCGACACTTATCCGAGTCGTGCTCCATACCAAAGTTATGGCCCAACTCGTGGGCTACAGTTGTCGCCACAAGACTTGTAATCTAACAAAACATAAATCATATTTTATAACTATTATAATATTAAACATATATTACAATAAATAACTCACTTGACTGTGATCTGTGTTGACTCCACCAGAATATTCAAATGTACTTAATATTGAATTTAATTAAAATTATTTATTTGAAAATTATTTGAAATAATTAAAACATACCAAATGGATCCTTTAAGTGCTTTACCAACTACTCCGCCATCAAATGATGAACCAGTAATAAGCTGTGCGTTATCATTGGGATGTTCACGGATTAGGCGTTCCCTTCTATAATGCAAAAAGTTGGTCAGTGTTTGGTCGCCATCAGTCGATAACGTTATTTGATTGGCTTCAGTCCATATAACAACTCCAACCAAAACGACAAATATATTTAATTGATTGTAAAGCTTTTTTTATACAATAATAATAATAAAGTTATCAATCAAACAGTTAATTAAATTATTAGTCAATTAAAATACTTACGGCATTAACAATGTTAGCAATTCTTTTGCTTCGATCAAAAACAGTCGCTTTATTTCTTTTATTTTGTGTATACTTTAAATAAAAGATTAATAATTAGATTTTTATTTATTAATTTAGTATTTGTCTCATTTGAAATTTTTATTAAATATTATTTTAAAAATAATATTTTTTTCTGCAAAAAAATAATAATCTCAGTTTAAATTGATTTTAGTTATCTATTGTATATGTAATCCACTTTTTAAAAACTATATACAACTGTACAGTAAATGCATTCCTATTGGTATATCATGTAATAAATTTAAATATGAAATTCAAAATCTGACATAAATAGGATAATATTATGTATTGTTAATTGTTTTTTCAAAAATTTGCAAATTTCAAATATGCAACTTTATAATATTTTTTATTCAAAATACCTAAACTGCAAACAAGTTTTTTTAATTATTTTAATTTGAGTTGAAGTACTCACCACATCATAATCGTTGACAATAACCAATTCAACATATCTGGTGTCACTATTACTTTCGTACGGATCAGTTATAGATATTGATCGTCGAAAACGTCTAATCAGAGATTCCCGTGATTTTGTATCATTTAAAAAACCTAAACATTATAACAATATAATTAAAATTTTACATAATTGACCTATACTTTTGTGTGATTAACTCAATACCGCATTTAAATGATGATATATAATCTTGATCTCTAACTACTATTACTGATGAACTGTTTTCTTGAGGATGAATATGATATATGTCATGTCCATCACTAAATAAGCCGCTAATTAACTGATGACACGTTGATATAGCAGACCAGGTATTTTCGATATTGTTATCTACTGTTCCCCTATAGTGACAGTGCTCTACATTCTGTTGCATTAATCATTTCAATTAGTAATACTGCAGTGTATTATCAATAACAATATATTTACAAATACTGTATAATATTAATAAATAATAATTACCTCTAAATGAGGCAATGATTTGATATCACTTCCGTTTTGTTGATGCCTTTCAAAGTAATTTTTTGGAATTAATTCAGAATTTTTCCATAAATTTAGTAAAAATGTATTGTTAAAGGCATTTATAACAATTTTCAATTGATTTTCATAAAGTTTCTGTTAAAATATAATACTTAAACAATTCAGTAATTTGTAATTAATATTAATAAATTAATAGTTAATATACCTGTGAAGCAGATATAGTTTGATTAAATGGTGGCAACACTTTTGGCAAAACAATCTCATGCTTTGAAAACTCTTTTATTGGATCTATAAATTATATGATGTCATGAAAAAGCAAAATATAATTATTATTTATTGATAATTTCTATTAAAATTATTATTTAAAGAACTTGAGCCAACATTTTTTTATAGTTTACTATTTTAGCCAAACTTTTATCAAATGTTTATATTGTAACGGAAATTAAAAATAATTATTAAATAATGCATTTTTGAATTTGTTTTAATATAATTTATGTATAAAGTATGATAGCGAACAAATTATCAAAAACATTTAGATAATAGATTTTTAAACTTTATTTAAGTTTGTCTAAAATAAAAAATTGTCAGCTCAAATAGTTAACATGTTAATTTTAAATACATAAAATTTACATTAATTATTTGTTTATAATTTAAGCAATCTAAAATGCTAGATTATATGTTTGCTTATATAATATCTATATATATTTTTTAATTTAAATAACTGAAGTTTATTTATATCAATATACTGTACTGTATAGACAGTAATTTATTATTAAAAATGTCAATAAAATTTTCTTATAAAGTCTTACTTAAAGTAATTTATATATATATATGATTTACGCAAACTTTATAAACATAATTTTCAAAACTATTTTCTATAATTTTTTTTGCTAACAACAAAATAAATAAATAAAATGTAGAAAAATTTTTATATTACGTTAATATTAAAAACATGTATCATAGCTATGGTTGTCCTTCATTTAGTACTATTCAAGTGACCGACAAACTTATTACTGAATTTATGTAATGTCTTTATTCAGTTAAAAAAAATATTTTACCTTTTATTGAGGTCAAAGTCAATATATTCATTAAACTTTGCATTACTTGACATAAATTTGTTAGTATTTTGTCATTATTTAAAGTATTTACAGTATTTATGTTACTTTAAATTTCTAAACGAAGACATCGATTGATCAGTTAATGTACGTAAATGTCAGTGCATTTGAAAAGTATATATTTATTTATTTTTTAAAACACGAAAATTATTAATTAACTGCCAATATTAGTATATACAGTATATATACATTAGTACTATATTATAGTGTTTGTTAGAAAATTAAATAAACAGAGAAAATAAACTCAAGTTTCTTAACCTCTGTTTTCCTCTAATAGCTTCAAAAATTATACTTAAAGTACACAAAAGTTCTCACTATTTGACTCTCACTTGACATCAAAAACTACGATATATTGACTGACACTCTCTCTCGTAAAATGAATGCATTTGAATGCAAAAGTCACACAAAATATATTTATTCAATTTTTTCTCACTTAAATTGAATGCCATTTGTCGTCAACAATAATCATTTGTTTATCATATCATATATTATTTATACAATCGTATAGTAAGTTAAATGCTTTGAGAAAATCATGTGTTACATCAATTTTTTTTAATATTATCCTTGTTTTTAATTTTAGTTTTTAATTGTTTTTACGATATAATATTATAAAAGCAAAAAATAATGTAATTATTCTAAATAATAACATTTTAAAATTAAATAATTTTTATATTATTTATTATATAGAAAGATGAGTAACCTTTATAAGGAAATTTTTATGACAATCTAAATTTATATAATTATATATTTAATTTTGATAAATTAATCAGCGAGAAATTAAAACAATTTATTTTTATTTCCTAATAGAAAGAATAGTTGTATTAAAAAATATAATTTAAAAAAAAAATTATATACTATAATTTTATTACTATTACTAAATTTCATTAATTTAATCTAGATAAATTTATATATTACAATTTATAAAGTAGTATATACTGAGTTGTAAGTATAAACCAATTACACTATTAATATATACATATATACAGTTTATAACTAATTCCGGTAAACAAATTCAACATAACATTATGTAAACCATTTAAACACTTAACCAAACACTCGGATTAATAAATCAAAAATTTTATTTTGTTTAATTCAGTAAACAATTTCAAATATAATAGTTAAAAGTGCAAAATTAGATTTAGTGTAAACTACATATAATTTATTAAACTATGATATGCTGGTAAAATATCTTAGAAATTAAGTCAATATTACAAAAATACTATAAATTTCGTAATATTGTTCATTTTGTTCATTAATATTTGCTTTCAAAATATGTAAAATTAATATTTAGATATTCTTTAGAATATATAATTGTTGTATTGTATTGTTATCGTTAAAAAATCAATTTTAAATTTAAAAAATATAATTATTAATATATAAAATTTATAAAAAATTAAATAATTCTATTTCTTGATAACATAATAATATTATTACATAAATACTAAATAATGTTATTTATCAATAAAACAAAATATCAATATTTATTATCTTTAGTCTAATATCACAATTTGATACATAGAAAAATTAATAAAACTAAAATACTATTTTTAGTATTAATCAACATATAAAAAACATTAGTTTTATCAAGTATTATAAAATTATTATTCTTTAATAAATTAATTAATATAAAATAATTAATAAAATTAATATTTTACTTAATATTTGCTGATAAGAAACCGTGCTTTTCATACAAATTAATTTAAATATATAGATTTGTGTTCAAAACCTTAATTAAACTTAATGTTAAATTATAACGACTCTCAAACACTAACAATAGTCAGAAACAACAGTTTGTAATTTACATAAACATAATTTGAAACTATTTATTATTTATACTTATTATTATTACTATAATTATTAAGAAGCTAAATGTTTTTATTTTATTAATGTATCTCAACAATGAAGTTATCAATATAATTTTTATAAAAAACTAAATAAACATATGTAACTAAACAATTTCGATAATTAAAATTAATTTCATGTCAATAATACAATACAATGATGAAAATAAACTTATATTTTTATTATTCTTTAATTTCAAACATTTTATGCAAAAACTTTAGATATCAGTATAACTCAATGAAATAAATTTTAAAAATAATATCAATCATTAATGACAATTATAATAGAAAGTGTATCACATAGAAGTGAATCTAATGATTATTACTTTTTTATTATCTTTTATAATCATTTTATTATATATTTTGCAGACTTTTTTGAAAAATACTTTTAGATATATAGTTTAATTATTAAAGCTTTTATATAATGATATTACATAATGTTGTTATGCATATCATATTTATGAGTCACATAAGAAATTTTCTCAAAATGTTTCGCATTATTAAATTGATATAATAAAAATTGTTTGTCTTATAGTATATTATACTGTATGTACTGTAGATATACTTTGTAAAAAAACTAAGTAAACTTATGTTTCATATCCGTCAAAAAACTGGTACATTATAATAATTTAATATTCGTGTTATAAAAATCTAGTTAAACTATACAATATATTTACCATATTATGATAATAACATAGATTATATTTCAATTTATTATATAATTTAATATAGGACTTAACTTACGAGTTAATGTTTTTTATGTTTTACTGGTAAATGTTTGCATTAATGTTAAAAAATAACAAAATATGCATTATTTGCTATTATAAAGAAAATACAGTATCTGATGACTAAATACAAACTGATGGGCAAAGATATCTAATAATACTTGAAATAATTTTGTTAAATCATTTAAAAATAATTTTCTTAATAAATTATTTAAACCATTACTAAACCATATTATTCATCAGTCATTCCCAAGAAAAATGACATTTTTCAAGTTAATCATTAAATTAAAATCATATGATAAACTTAATTAATAAAAACAAGGATAACTATTAGATTAAAATATAAATATTTATAATCAGTAAACATATTCACATAATTTATATATATATATATATTATTAAAATCATGTTATAATTGACAAACTTGTGCTAAAATACATTTTTAAACATTTATTTATGCTATTTCTTAATATCATTAGTTGGTTGTCATTGTATAACAATTATATATTCTACTAAATAAGTAAATATAGTATAATATTGTAGCAAAATAAGTATAAATAAATTATTAAAAATTTATAATTATTAAAAAATTATTGATAAATAATATTTAAAAAATAATTATGGCAACTTTTATTCAAATAATTTATCATCACTTTTAAATAAAACATAACAATATAAAATATATTTAAATTAGGTAAATAAAAATTTACGATTAAAATTAAATTGTACATGCAACATTTTAAAGCAAAAACTTATTATAAATTTAATATATATTTTTAATACTAACCATTATATGAATGACATAATTGTAGAAAACAATTAAAAATTATGAAAACTTTAATAAATTGTTGAAATAAGTGATAAATTAATGAAAATTTAAAACAAATAAATAAATCACTAATTGTGGTCATCGTTGCAATGCATTCAATGGCCGCAATGAGACCACAGTTGATATTATCTATTAATCATAATTTGTTATATAATCTAAACAATACGTCTGAAGAGTATAATAGTAATCATTTCGGTTATAAGTTTTGTGAATTGCAAAAGTTGTGTCAATGGATTCGCCACAAGAGATTGACAGTACAAATGGCATCACTTTGATGGACATCACAAGCAGTTGTTATCACTCAAGAGTTATCAAGTGATGGTTTATGAGTGCTATTCCACTCATTAACTCACTTGCACTGTATGTGTGGTGTAAACGACTTGATCGAGACTCGGATGACGTTTCCAACTGTTTGTAACCATTAGAGCGCAACCACTCTCTGACTCATACGATAAGCACATCCCATATGTCTGTCGCTCCGTCTAGTGTTTGGCAAATATATGTTAAGTCAATGGGCGCTAAATTTGTATCACGATTTGGATGCATTGACACGATTTTTGTTCAATGATTCCTTGGTTTGACACCACGGTGTCGATGATATATCACAAATCAATTGCACATTATATAGAGTGACCGGACAGTTGTCTATTGATAACTGATTTACGTTTAACAGCCGGAAATTAACAGTATTCAGACCTGTCTTTCGATCTCTTCTTCGAGTTATCTAATATTCAAATATTAATTACAAACACTTAATATTAATTAATGACAATTAAAATAATAATAATTAAAACCTCTCGTTGATTGAAAATTTTAAAAGTATCTCTTTTATGAACTTTATTATGAATGTGACGGAAAGTATCATTAATTCCTGTATTAATTCCTTCGGGTTTTGAGACCTATAAATAATTCAATTCTTTACTACAATTAAATTAATATATATATCATATGTCTTACGGCAAGATTGGCTTCTTTAAGTCGGGCGTAGAACTCGTCGTCTTATAAGACAAAAAGTTATGCAATTAATGAATATTTTATAATCAATTATATATGAGATGTCATACCTTCCAGACCCCAACCCCAGTAATTATTTGACAGTCCATTAACTCTCTCGAAATGTTCCCGATTTATGATAAGTATTCCGCCGACAAATGTCTTGTAGTGATACTTCGGGTGCAAATGAGGTGCCGCCACATGAAATGGACCGTCGATTGGGTATCGATAGGAAAGTTGAGTATTAAGCGGAAGCAGATCCACGTCATGCATAACCATATAGTCAAAGGAGGAACGAGACATCAGAAATCCCACGTTTATAAGGGAAGCCCTATTGAATCGGTAGATATCCTTCTGGTTGATGACAAAGATTTTGTGATCAATTTGTTGTTCTTTCAAGAACTGAGTCAAATGCGGAACAAATACAAGCAATTCATCGAAACGGTCTCTGAATGGCACCACAACTGCCAATCTATGACCTGATTGACGATTTCGCCAATTCTGGTCATCAATGACTTCATTTGATTGGCACTTACAGTCGGATGTGTTATCTTTTAAAGACATTGTCAATATCGGTGACAATTGGATGGATATCCAAATGGTTAGGATTAGACACGAAAGAAGACAAATTATCAAAAGTTTGGCGCATGTCTTACTCCTGATGGTGACCATCATCTCAACTCAATGTTTGTCATCAAATCAATGACATCACTGAATCAGTTGACAGACTCTTTTGCCTCCAAATCAAAGACATGTAAAACATGTGAAGCAATGCATTCAAAGTACAGTACATTCACTCACATCTATTGACTTTCATTGATATAACACTTGTTTTACAATACAATCTATTTATTAATACATTTTCTAATTACCTGTAAATCTAATTAATTAAAACATATTAAATGAGATTTTATTAAAATATTAATTAAATAATTGTTGTCAGTATTAGTCATGTTTAGCGGATTTTTAACTAAATAAAGAAATTAAATAACACTTAATGTCTTAATAGATATGTTTTATTGTAAGTAATGGACAATACAGTCAATGGTTTGCAAACACATGTGAATCGTTGACAACTCGTTGTTGTGTTTGAGCTAAACATTGGATCAATTGAGGTGATTGACTAACTGTCATGTCGTTGTGTTGCGCCATAAGCAATGAAGTGCCCGAAGTGGCCGTTGTGTCGCCGACTTCGGGTGCGATCTTCGAGAAGCGACTTATTGTCAAATATATCGAAGAACACGGAACCGATCCAATCAATGGCGACAAATTATCTGAAGACATGTTAGTTGAAATTAAGACACCAGCTATTGTGAAGCCGAGACCGCCGTCGGCCACAAGCATTCCGGCCATTTTGAAGACACTTCAAGACGAATGGGATGCTGTAATGCTTCACAGCTTTACTTTAAGACAACAGTTGCAAACGGCTCGTCAGGAACTGTCTCACGCTCTCTACCAACACGACGCCGCCTGTCGTGTCATCGCTAGACTTACCAAAGAGGTGACCGCCGCACGTGAAGCATTGGCCACTCTTAAACCAAAACCAGGAGGCAGTGGTGGTGGCGGACAAGTGGGTGGCAATCAACCAAATTTGAATCCAACTGCAGAACCGACAGTTGAAGCGGGTATAACACCAGAAGTATTGGAAAAATTGGAACAAAAGGCGTCTGTTCTTACAGCTGAACGTAAACGAAGAGGAAAATCAGTTCCCGAAGATCTTGTCAAACCTGAAGAGTTTCGAACATATACTGCAGTTGCTTCTCATTCGGGTCTCCATAGTGTTAGTATTCCCGGAATATTAGCGGTCGATATTTGTCCGACTGATTCAAATAAGATACTGACGGGTGGTAATGATAAGACAGCCATTGTTTTCAATAAAGATAACGAACAAGTGATTGCATCGCTTAAAGGCCACACAAAGAAAGTGACATCAGTTATATTTCATCCAAATCAAGACAACGTTATCACTGCATCTCCCGACAGTCAGATACGTATTTGGCATTTACCCACCACTCAGACCATTCAAGTTGTCCGCGCACACGACGGACCCATCACTGCTATATCACTTCACGCAACGGGTGATTACGTGTTGAGCACATCCACTGACGAATATTGGGCTTTTTCTGACATTAACACCGGACAAGTGCTGACCAAAGTTGGCGATACAACAACACCGCATGCATTGACAACCGCCCAATTCCATCCCGACGGACTTATCTTTGGCACCGGAACTTCGGATTCATTAATCAAGATATGGGATTTAAAAGAGCGCAGTAATGTCGCCAACTTTCCCGGACATTCGGGTTCTATATCAGCGATGGCTTTCTCTGAAAATGGTTATTATTTGGCCACTTCTGCCGATGACTCGACTATAAAGCTCTGGGATTTACGAAAATTGAAGAATATTAAGACATTGTTTTTGGATGAGAATTATCAGGTCAAAGATCTTTGCTTTGATCAAAGCGGTACTTATTTGGCTGTCGCCGGAACTGATGTCAGAGTTTATGAGAGTATAAGCAAACAGTGGGAAAATTTGAAGACATTTGCCGATCACACGGCTGCCGCCACTGGCGTTCGTTTTGGACGCGATTCCCGTTATTTGGCTTCAGTATCATTGGATAGAGCGCTCAAAATATATTCTAAATAATATTTTAATATATTTTTTAATTTTTTTTATATTATAAAACTTTTCATTTAATTACAATTATGATTATATTTTCATTTATTTCATTTACACTATGAATATCTAAATACATTGCTATATTTGATTTGTCAAAATAATATTAAATTCGGTAAACATTTTATTATGTTTGACATGTATTGACATCAATATTAAAATACAATTGTATGTAAATTACCCGTTAATTTATAAGATTACATTATTATATGATAATAAAGAGTACAACAAATTAATCAAATATTTTGTTGACATTTTTCAAAATGTTGCAAAAGATGTTCATGAAATTGAATGGGAAATATTAGTCGACAATTGGGACACTCGAGTATCTCATCTGAACTAAAAATTTCAATATTTGATTGACTTTTAAAATCACTTTCACTATTATCGCTAGTTTTATGTTTCCATTTATTTGGCAGTGAATTACTTTTAATGGATTCATCGGTAATACCATTCTTGCTTTGACCAGAATTATTATTATTATTATTATTTAATGGATCTTTAATTTTGCAGAGTTTCATAAGTAATTGAAATTTTTTCTCATAATTTAGACAAATAGTGTCCAATCTTTGCATTTCTTTTGTAACTTTTTTCAGTTGTTTTTCAGACATTTGTTTATCTCTTCGTTCACATTCAAAGTCTTCTTTATGTATATTTGCCTGCATTTGAAGCACTTGGATGTGTTCGCTCTCTATTTTGCTTAACTGTTCGACTAAATTATCGAAGTTAGACCTGATTTCCTCCAATTCCTTGTTTAGACTAACATTCTCTCGAAGAGCATTCTGATAGCTTTGTTCCAGAAGTGATGTCTCACCTCTTAGTTTATAATCACTTCCAGTTTCACCACTATTTGTGTCGACAACTTTCTTGTGATTAGTTGATTGACAATCACTTGATATCATACGACTCGATCTCAACTGTAATTTCTTTATTGTCTTTAATAATCTTAAAATATAATCTTGTCTTTCAATGTCATAGTTCTGTCTTTTTTGGTCCAAATCGTATAACTGTTTTAGTAATATTTTTTTTACATTTTATTGTTTTTATATACATTAAATATTTTACAAACATTTTGTAAATATAAAAATATAAAACAATACCTCTTTATTGAGTTCTTTAAGATTAATGTTTTCATTCATCAAATCACTGTTTTGTGACAATAGTCTCAAACATTGATTGCATTTAATTTTGTCATTTGTTTTAATTTCCTGAACATAATTGTCTTTCTTTATATTCTAATTAAAAATATATAATTATTTTTTAACAATAAGTTTTAAATAAATAAATTTTTATAATCAAGATTATTTTTACTATATTATAAAGTTAATTAGTTAGAAATTTTTAATGACAAACTATAATAAAGTTTAATACTAGAATAAATTTTCAAACAAAATTATTTACAGTAATAGAGCATAAAGTATTATTTGTATTGTTATGACAATAAATAAATAAATTTATATTATTTTCTTAATGCAAAAAATTAATTGATTCACAAAATGTCATTAATGTTTATTCATTAAAACAATTTTTTTTTTAAAACTAATTCATATAAATTAATTTTTTAAGGATATGTGAAAAGTAAATAACAAAAATTATTTGTATTTATTAATACTTAATTTATTAATTGGTTAACATTTATAATTGAAAATAATATGACAATTTTGTTTGTCGTGTGAGTTACAACAATCATTTTAAATTGATCAATATAAATTATTTATTTAAATAAGTTTTTTTTATAATAATAAAATTGTTTTTTACTTAAAACTTAAGCCCATTTTACACCAACTCACAGAATACATCACTTCCTAACCCACTCACCCACTCACCCACCCTAACCTTACCTAAACAAACAAAAAATAATAAATCAACGAATCGAGAGATAATTTTAAAGATAAAACCTATTTCACGTGCATTTAGTTTGGAGTACAGTATAATCAATGCATTTGATTTGACTGCTATATCACACGCGACAAACCAGATCCTATAGCTTCTCATAATTCATAAGTTTTGCCAAAAATATTTACAATATAAATGCAAATAATTGTATAGTATTTCAAGTGTTTTAATAACAAATAATTATTTTTTAAACATTTTTACATTTGTTAATAATTAGTATTTTTTGTTAATGATAAGAATTAATTATTTTATCATATAATAAATTCAATTTACTCAAATAAACATACATAAACAATAATATAAATCAAATGTTTTTTAATCAACTTACCATATTTGTTATCCAATTTTAAAAAATAAATAAATAGCAAACTTAAAAACTTTACTATACATGTACATACAAAATAGTAAACTATTATTTTTAAAAGTTACCAAAAATATTGCACTCTATAATGTTAATAGTTTTTAATTATTATTTCAATTGGATTTTACCTATTGTGTTGCCCACTATTACTTGTAATGATTTATTTACAGAGAAAAATACCGGAATATGTAAAAATTATATAACATTTTGGTAACTTTTAAAAAATACACAATTTTTTTAATGAAACATTTTCATGAAACTATATTACAAATTTCCATACAAACAATTATATATTAAAAAAATCTAACTTAAGGGATTTTTTTTAAAGAAAAATACATTATTATTCCTGTTTTAATGAGCTTAAATAAATATTTTTGTTTCATAATGTAGAATATAATGTAAATATTAGTTTATTGTAAATTTTATAATTATTGTTTCTAATTTATTATTAATATTATTATATTGTGAAAATTTTCAAATCTAAATAATATTATAAAACTATAATAAATACAATAAAGAAATAATTAATAAACTTGCAAAAAATATATTATAAATGTTTGTAACATAAATAGTTTACTCATTTTAATATCATAATAAAGTAAATATTAAATAAAAATTAAACAATAATTAATTTTGCTTAAATAAATAATCTTAGTTTTTAAAAATAAATATAATTTGCAAATAAATGCATTTTTATAATAATGGTTATTAATATATTGGTATTAATTATTGCTTATATATTTTTTAACAGTATATTTTATTTAAATAAATGATAATTTTTATAGCATATATAGAATTAGTAAATTTTATTTGTTTGAATTTATAAAATTGAGAATTTTTATAACAGATAAACTTTTATCGATCATATTCTGACCACAAAATTGAATAATAATTTTTATGAATACTATTTATATTCAGGCGTTCAAAATTAAACATTATTAAAAATATTTAAATCATTTACCAAAATAGTAGTATTAATAAGTGAAAATCCTTCAAATAACAAGTAAAGCCTTGAATCCATAATATTAATTAAATACAATAATGTTTATCACAATTGAATAGTCATAAATGATAGTATTTATAAATTTAAGTAAGTATAAAATTATAAATTAAAGTATTTTTTTTTGTCTATAAATATTTTTTTGTTAATGAATTAATACCATTGTATATAGCAATACTATATTATATTGATTTCGCGCTAATTTATAATTTAATAAATTTTAAACTATAGATAATAAACTAATTAATTTAACAGTTTTAATAATATACAAATATTTTAATTCAGTCTTATTGTAAATTATTAGTTAGAAAAAATAAATAATAGTTTGTACAGTATATGTTAAGTTATAGAACTTATTTTTAATAAATGTTTTTATTATATAAAGCTTAAAGTTAACTTAAATGAAATTATATTAACCAAACATATAAATATATTATTTATAATTATATATATATATATATAAATAATAATTAAAAAAATATAATTAGTTGTAGATACTTTTTATTTTTGTAATGTCAGTAAATTAATCAAAAATTTTATAAAAACTTAATTATGTTTAAGTATTTAAAACGTTAAGCTTTAATATGTTTGGGGATTTTTCCAAATATTGTATTTTCCCAAACATTTATACTATCATTCAATTTTAGACTCAAAGTAAAAAAGCATTTAATAGATTTATATTATAAATTATATACTTAGAAATTGGGGTTAAAAGTTCAAAAACTTTTAAAATAGTCCCTTTATGTCAACTTTACATTTAAATTTATTATTGTTTTATATATATTTAAACATTTATTAACAAAATTCCACTAAGTTTTGTAAAAATTTTACATAAATTAAAAAACTAAGTAAAATAATATATAAGTTTGAAAATCTTATATGAAATTACTATATATAAATTTATTATATTGTATGCTATCATGATAAATTGCATAAATTTGTAGAAAGTTATATTTTTATAAACAAATGTTACCTAAAAAATATTATTTTAGTTATAAATTATACAGTACAGTATAATAAACTCATTGATACTTATAGCTTATCATTATTATATATTTATATTTAAATATAAAACTTATATCTAATAAAAACAAATACCTGAAAGCTATGGTTGGATTGATTGCAAGCAACACTTGTAACAAATCCTTCATCACAATCACTAAAATTAGACATATTATTGTTATTGTTATTATTATAATAATTGATATTTAAGAAAATACACAATTGATTTTAATTTAAAGTCGATTGAGTAAACAAAACTAAATGAAAAATATTGCAAAATTATTTGACATTTAAAAACAAGTAATCAAATTTGGGACACAAATAAAAAGTTTTTTTTCAAACAAAACTTTTCAAACTTAGCTATCAATGAAAGAGAGAGAGAGAGAACTTGAAATATTATCAAACTATAGCTAAACTGAGAGCTCTGACAAAATGTTAGCTAAATATCACACAAAAAACTAATGTTTTATTTGATATTAAGGTCAACGAAGCGCTCACTTTTCCTAATCATATGAAGGCTAGTCTTTATATATATAATATATTGGGTTTTCCCGTTTTATATCTTTAATATTAATACACAAAAATTAATTCAAATTTTTAATTAAATATTAAGTAACATTTGACATAATTAATATAGAAATATATATATTTATATTAAATATTTCTTTTTATTATCACATAAAACTCGAAAAACATTTATATTTTAAATATTAATAAAACAAATTTAATGTTCAAACTTATGCTAATTATATAATCATCCAATCAATCACTCATTCACTCACCCACTCTTTGTGTGCGATATTATTAAATTAGTAAACATTTAATAATAATACTAAAGAAGGAAATATTCAAATTAGTTATCAAAAATTATAGTAAAATATTTACGCAAACATTAAAAACTAATATAATTTAAATTTATATACCAATAAAGCACAAATAGATTTTTATCTTTCGATGATTTTATTTTTATAATAAATAAATATGAATATATAAATGACATGATATTGCAATACATGAAATAAATTATAAACTTATTTAGAATTTATTTTTTAATTTAATTTAGTTATTTAAACTTTAGATATCAAAATTCCTGTCGTGGTCTGTATACCAATTTAAGTGGTGTTTCCTATAAAACAAAAATATTATATATATTTTAAAAATTTCATAAATAGAAATATTTAGTAATTAAAGTAAATATTAAGTTATACTTTAAATCGCCAACGAGTGACACAAACAAACTTTAATGTGTGATCCTTTCCTAATATCTCTTCATTACATAATATTTCAACCTATAAACCAAAATCAAAATTAAATCCATAAATAAAATCATTAGTTTATAGATTACCGGTAGTAGTATTACAATAATAAGATTAAATAATTCAATATTAATAACCTCTTTATATCGGTCTGTATTGTTGAATAACTTTTTGGCCACAAATTTCTTGAGATGTGTGACTGTCGCCTGAGCCGAGCATCGGATAAATTTGCGTTTCATTGGTTTCAAATGATTGGTCTGATTTGTCTCAAGAAGAATGTTCACCTGTTCGTCACTTCGATGACAATCTGTGTTCTCATCTTTTGTTGTCGTATTCATCGGGAAATCGTATACATCTTTTTCAGGCATCTTATCGGTGTTGGCCTTCGGATAAGGCAAACCACGGCGTCGGTAGAAATCGCGCTCTCGTTTTGTTTCATCTAAAATGAATAAATTTAAACAATTGACTACACATTAGTAATATTTAAAACTAATACAAACTTTGCTGTAAGTTTGGGACCAATTTATAGACAATGTCTTGCATTGTCCGATCAAATGAAATGTACTGAAGAGGATGTGATTGATGTATGACTATCTCACACGTCGGACACGAGTTGTGTTCTTCCAAATGCTTAACTAAACAACTCTTGCAAACTGTGAAGACAAAAGAAAAACAGACAATCATTGAAACAAATTGATGACTAAAGAAGTGTCAATCAATGGTATACATGTATGAAGACATTCGGTGACAGTCGTGGCGTCGATCAGATATCCGCGACATATCTTACAAGTGATGTGTGGATTCAATGACTTCAGACGGATCTTTCGCTCCATGTCTTCAGTTATCTCTAACAACAAATGTAATCAATAGTTGTGTTTTGGCGTCAATTGGTATAAAAAATTAATAAATTTATATATAAATCAAATAATATTACAAACAATTTATAAAATACAATCAAATGTTTCAGTCATTCAAAAAATTTAAAACATTTTTATAATAACAAAGAAATACATAAATAAACAAAATATTTATTATTATATAAATTACATACAAATCAATAATATATTTCAACACAAAGTATGTCTAATAAATGACAATATTATTGATACGATTTGTGTAAAAATGTTTGACATAATTGATGTCCAATACAGTCATGTTTTGCACATTTACTAAGCATTTCATTTCCACGTGTTTTGCCATTAAAGACATTCATTGGGTTTGCTTTGAAAAACACATTGATTTGGACTCTTTAAACACAATTTACTATATCTTACCACAGATGAGATGTCAATGATAGTCAATACATGAAAACATTTAGTTATTTGTTTGCAAATTAAAAACAAATATAAATTGTTTCATAAATTGTTTGACGAGAAGACAAAATGGTTTGTTTTTTAGTTATATTTTAATTAAAACAAAGGTTTTTATAAATCTTATGAATTGATTTCAATTGAATATTCATAGCAAGTGGTTGTCCTCTTCGAGCACGCGTCTGGTTATGCCTTGTTTAAGGTTAAAGAGTTTGAAGAGGTGTCGATGTTTATCCCGCAGGTCGAGAGGGCGGCAATGGACGGCAATAAATTTCAAACGATGGTCCAATTGATTGCTTTCGCGCCGTTTAAATCGGGAACTAATGCGTTGGACAATATTAATAGTATATCGGAAGGTATTGTTCACGAAGATCTTCAGGTGTTTCTCGAAACAAATGTTCCCAAATCGACCAAAAAGTCGAAAGTAGTGTTAGGAGTGTCCGACAGTAAAATCGGGGCTTCGATACAGGAGTTGTTGGGATTTAGTGTTCAGCACACGGATGTCGTGCCAGAGGTTATTAGAGGCATCCGATATAATTTCCATACACTTATCAAAGGCCTGTCCACTCAGGCCATGGGTTCTGCCGAGTGTAGTCTTGGCCGCAGTTATTCGCGATCTAAAGTAAAGTTTAATGTCAACAGAGCCGACAATATGATCATTCAGAGCATAAGTCTTGTCGATCAACTCGACAAAGATATCAATACATTTGCTATGAGGTTAAGGGAGTGGTATTCATATCATTTCCCAGAACTCGTCAAAATTGTTAACGACAACTATTTGTACGCAAAGGTAGCAAAAGTTATTAAAAACAGAAAAGAGTCGATTGATAATGAAGAAGATTTGGTGGAAACATTGGAACAAATACTGATGGATAGCGGCAAAGCACAGGCTATTATAAGTGCAGCCAAAACATCGATGGGAATGGATATATCAGAAATTGATTTAATTAATATCGAAATGTTTACATCAAAAGTAATCAGTTTAGCTGAATATCGAAAGCAATTAATGGAGTATTTAATATCACGTATGCATAACATTGCACCAAATCTGGCCACACTTATTGGTGAAACGGTATATTTAAATTATTGATTGTTTTAAGCATTTTTAATATTCATCCCATTACTGGAAATTGATAGGTTGGTGCCCGACTCATATCACATGCGGGTAGTCTTATGAATTTAGCCAAATACCCGGCCTCTACCGTTCAGATATTAGGAGCTGAAAAGGCTTTATTCAGAGCTTTGAAAACTCGTGGAAATACACCTAAATATGGTCTTATATTTCACTCGACATTTATAGGACGCGCCGGCGCTAAGAATAAAGGAAGAATTTCACGATTCTTGGCTAATAAATGTTCAATTGCTGCGCGTATTGATTGCTTCAATGAATTTCCAACCGATGTTTTTGGATCAAAACTCAAAGAACAAGTCGAAGACAGACTCAAGTTTTTTGAAAGCGGAAATATTCCGAAGAAAAACATTGATGTCATGAAAGAGGCCATTGAAGAGGCGAAGACACTCTTGGAGAGCAGTGCCAAGAAAAAGAAGAAGAAGAAAAGGAAGAAAGACGCCGATAATGACGAAGAGTTAAATAATACTCTTAATGGAGATAATGAGGAAGTGGAGACCAATGGTCAACCAGAGGAAGAACCACCGACTAAGAAACAAAAGAAGAAGAAAAGGAAATCGAAAGAAGCCGACGAATGAGTTATAAATAATGTTTTGAATTTTTAATATTATATTTTAAAATAATATTCATTAAAACTTATTGCAGATGTATAATCATTTGTTGAATTCAATTATTTTAATAAACATTAAATACTTTAATAGAAATGGGTTTTTAATTATTATATCATAATTTTCAAAATCTAATTAATGGTATATAAAATACATTACCGCTAATTATTAACATTTACAGTAAGTGTATTAATACTTTTTATATTACTGTTTATACAGTATTTTACTTTACAATAATGCTTTAAAATCATTGAATAGTTTATACAGTAATTTAAAAAAATAGTTTTATTTATGAAAATTATGTAATTTATGTGAGAATCGATTGCATAACACATGTGTTTGAATTGATGGACAAATTGTAAACAAATAACAGATATTAAAATTAATAGTAGTATTGATGACAATGGTATCGACAATGTTGTTGATGGCTAAGTGTTTGGGATCTCCTTTGAATAACACAATCAAAGTGTCGATACCAAGACTCAAATTTGATACCTTCTTCAACATGTATTTCAGAGAAAATGAACAATTATTGGTCGACGACAACAAACTTAAGTGTAAACCCGGGGATTGGCTTATTATCAGACAACTGGACCAACCGTTAAGCCTAAGAGTCAACCATCGGGCAGAAAAAGTTGTCTACAGAGCCGGCCATTTGGTCGACCCGTTGACTGGCAAACAGTCGCTCGGATACGAGTATGTTTCAGATGCCGACCGACAGTCGCATATCTTTGGTCTCAAACCACCAAAAGACAGGATTTAGACAAATATTATATTTGTTTAAATGGTTTCATAAGATATAGTCAATTGTTTTAATCATTTTGCTATCAAATGATATAATCACTCAAAAATTGTTCATTTATTTGTTCATTGATTTAGAAAATGAGATTTTTATTACAATTACTCTATTAATATATATATATATATATAACTTATATTGTATTTAAAAATATAGAAAACTATTATCCGATAGTTTAGCATAAAATTGGCTTAAAATGAGTATAATTTAAATAAAAATTATTATAATTTATAAATACATAATAAATAACTTTAAAATATATAATAAATATTTAAAAACCGGCGAACAGTTAAATGCCATTAGTATTGTCGCAGTTCTCCAAAGGTATGGCTAATTGGTTGTCATCGAGAACTTGTTTTCTCGCCATTTCTTGTGTCTGTATTTTACAATTTTCTTTGTCACTGACGATGAACATAGCCGTGTATAAGAAGGCCAAACCTCCAAATATTAGTATACCTGGTGTTAGATATAATGAATATTGAAGACTCCAGAAGTTGCTGTCCTCCCAATTGTTTGATTTAACCGAATCGGCGATCTATAAAAACAATGATCTTTTAATTTAGATTACTGTTTGCTTATAGTGTGGTCAACACTCACGAGTCCAATAATGAATGGACTGCTGGCGTCACCAAACAAATGTGAGGTCAGTATTTGTAGCGATTGTGCAAATGAACGTCTCGTTGGTGTTATCACATACAGCAACATATCGGCCACTATTGACCAGTTGGTACTCAACAATGTTATGCCAATAAATATTAAGAGCCAAAACACAACACTTGATTTATGAGCCAAAGCTAAGGACAACACAATTATGGGAACGGCAGCCAAAACGCCAACACCACAAATGATAGGATCACCAAAATTGTTAAATTGTTTGAAATATTGAGAAAATCCCACTCCTATAATAACACCGAGTATACCTCCAATACATGCAATCACACCAAATATAAGTCCAATCCTATTAAATGATTTAGTATTTAATAATTAAATTAATAAAACAAAAATATATATATATACAAACCAATCATCAGATTTAGGATTTTTGGTTACATCATAAGCATACTTCATATAAGTGGGCGCCCACCAGGAAAGGGCACCCACAGCAAAACATACACAAGTGAAGCCTATAGTGCCCCAAATATATGAGCGAACAGTTATTAAATATTTTAAATCCTTTTTAATTGAAGTATTTATTTGTGTTTCTTTAATGCCTTCAGATTCTCCTCTTTGCGGTTCTCTAACCAAAAAGTAGATCATAAAAGCACAGACAATGCCTAAGGGAGGGGTCACTCTCAGAGCGTCCTTCCAATTGCCTGTTTTCTCGGCTACGGCTGAGCCGACAATATAACCAAAACCAGAACCAACAGGTATTGCAAAATAAAAGAATCCCAACATCTTTGACCAAACTTCGGGTGCAAACAAATCAGCAATAATTGTGGGCGCAATCGTTGAATAACTTGCTTCTCCTATTCCTACCAGTGCTCTTAATATAAAAAATAACCCTGGTGAGGAACTGGGCACAAATGATCCTAAAAATGTTGCTAAACTCCATAATATGATACCAAATATCATAATCCATTTACGTGAATATCGATCGCCTAAATAACCAAATATTGGCGCAAATATCATATATGAGAATATGAAAGCAGTCTGTAATAAACCAGATTGACTGTGATTTAAACCATAATATGATTCAATTTGGTTTAATACACCAGCGATGGTCAGTCTATCCATATAATTGAGCAAATTTATTATAAATAGTATCACAACCGATACATATGACTGTATGGCTGACATCACGGCTTGTAATCAATGGGTAACAAAACAATTGACACCAACTTTTCTGTTGAGAAAATTTCAAGAAAAAAACAAATTTCTAAATCAATTCAGTTGTTATGTCTTTCAAATCTACTCTAAGTGTGATTCAAAGCATTTGAATGTAAGCCCAACCCAACCAACCCCTAGTGTCTAGTGTTTGCTTCTGTGGTTCAACTGGTGATAGAAAATCGATTCAATGAATGATTGCCTTAAATAAACATCCATTCATTCATATTAATAATAACAATATTGTTTAATATATATATATATATATATAGAGCAAACATATTTAATATATAAACTCATATTTTTTATAATTAATACAAATATTATTAAAGTTTTTTAATTTACTATATTTTGCACCAATATATTTAGTATTAAGAATATATAAAGTGATGCAATGGTTAACATATTAAACTACAAATAAGCTTATATACTGTACTGATAATTAGGATTTATAATGTATAATTTTTTCGATATATAATTATCACATAATTATAACATATAATAAATATTATTAGTTATACCACTAATAATTAGTAAACTTGTTTAATTATCTGCTAATTACTTGTAAATCATTAATATTTGAATACTTTATGTTTAAATATTATTATTATTATATAATAGATAGTTAGGAATAGTGATTATAAAAACAATAATTATCCGGTTTTCGCTATATTTCACTTTATATTTGGTTTCGGTTCGGTTCCCCTAAAAAGCTTAAGTTTTGTTATATATATATATATATATATATATATTGACACTGTATAACATTTATAGTACATATAGTATATATATATATATATCTGAGTGTCAGCAACACGTGCGACCAGATCTTTGAGGGAAACAGTAAGCAAACAATGAGATTAGAGATAACCAAAGCGTGAGTCAATCAAAACAATTTCAATAGAAGTGTTGGGTCGGGAAGTCATAGGAGTGACGGCTCATCGTATTATTTAATAGAAATACTCTATTATAGGAAATACTTTGGGAATTCATGTATAATAGTAATAGTATTAGTCATTCATATGAGTTATTGTTCAAAATTTAATTCAATTTTAACAATATATTCTACAAGTAATAGATCGGAAAATAGCTATAAAATGGTCAAAATAATCAATATTTTAATTACAATAACATCAACATAATTAACAAATAATTATTACTGTATCTAAAGTACATTATAAATTAAACTATACATTATATTACTGAGATTGTAATTATAATTGAAATTTAATTTGAGTTTTATTCCAACCCTTAAATTACAGTTAATATATTTCTCCAAAATAATTAAAATGTCTTAAATTTTATACTATTATTTTATTTTCAATTAAAATAATTGTAATAATACTCAAATTACTAAAATAAACTATTAATAGTTATTAACATTAAACAACATTACAATAATAACTATTATTATAAAACTTGAGAACATGGGATACTATTAGTTGTTATTCAAAATATTGAAGTTTAATATTAATTTGACTTTTAATTATTAGAATAATTTACGATTTAATTACTGTTATAATGTTCATTAAAATATTATATCAATAGTATTGGATATACAGTATTATATAAATACACAAAACATTATTTACTCAATTAAACAACAAATAATAAGATTCATCTTTTGTCTATTATTTAGTAAAAATGTTTTATTTTTGTTCAATAATATTATTTATTTAAATTTATCATCTAATGTATTATACGATACAGTACTGTATATAATACTTGATAATTAATAAATATTAACATTTTGTACTTCAAAAGTAGATGTAAATATTTATATACCTGTATTTGTAATTTTGTATATAATTTAGTTAATACCATCTATTAGTATTCAATTTATACTATATATGAAATATTTGTTAATATATAACTAAATATGATATTTAATAATTATAATAATTATTAATTAACTATTAATTTATCAAAAGTTACATTAAGTTAATACAGTATTTATTTTAGTTTTGAATGTAAAGGATAATGAATAACAATATTTTAATGACATTATAACAACAATTTGTTTGATTTAAGTTATGAGTATTTAACAAACTAAAGTAATAATCTATAATTAGATACTTTACAATAAATAATTTAAATAATACATATTTTTGAAATTATTTATTTTAATATATTAAAGATCTAAAAGTGTAAATGCGTTTAAAAAAAAATTATTGTAACATATTTTTAATTTTTTAAAAAATTATAAATAGCTATATCTTTTTTTAATCTAAAAAATGTTTCAATTATATTAATATCATATACTATAATATTATAATTTACATACCTTAATATGATATACAAAGTGGAAACGTCAAATAAGTTTTTAAATATTCACATAAAATGTTATAATATTTTTATTACATTAATATTTGTGTACATTTGATAATTTGTATCAAATATCTATCAACATATTATTATTTATAAACATTATACTAAATGATACTTTACTATAATTTTCATATATGATATCACATTTAATTGCACATAATATTTACGAAACTTAAAAATTTAAATATAATATATATTTCACTTAATCTTAATTGATTTAAAAAATAAATTTATGAAATAACTAATTGATATAAATATTGACATTTAAAACAAAACATTAAATTGTGTTGAATTGCCTTATGATTGGAAAGTTAATGAAATTAAATAATAAATTATTAACTAAAGTTGTAATTAATGAATAAATGTATCAATATAAAATTATTATTATTATTATTATGCGTATCAATTGTACTAAAGTATAATTAATCAAGGCTACTTATACAGTACTATAGGATAAATTGTATATATAATGCATTTGTAGCTTGATCAATTGATCAATTTTTAAATACCAATGCATTGTATGACATGTGCTTTCATTGGTTTAGAGGCTAACCCTATATAATGTATATATTAGATGATTATATAACATATAGTATTGATTAAATTTAGTACAAAACACATTTCAATTAAATTAAATTATAAAATAATAGACAAATATTGATATACAATATATCTTAATATATATTACGTTAATACAGTATATTATTAAATATGATGATAAAAATCAAATCACACAAACATAACATCAATGAATACAATACTGCAATACATTATGAAACGATACATACTTTACATTCAATTATTACAGTAATATCTAATTGAAAGTACTGTACGGTATTAATAGTCACAACACTTATATGAACAGCAATTATGTAACGCATATATAGTACCCAATACTGAATACACAATTGTATTGCAATAATAACGATGATTGCGAACAAACACATCATTGATTGTGTTGTTTAGCGCATGAATTGACTGATTTCTATACATTTGTATTAATATATAAAGTATTTAATGATTACAAGTGTTTGCAAACAGTAATCAATGACTTGAATAGTGTTTTGTTTTAATTATTATTTAATTACATTTAAATTGAAGTCATATTAGCCATTAATTTATGATATTTAAAAAAAATATTAATTGAGAGTTAAATTGCTATCAAATGAGTGCCGAAACTATTGTAAGAGATATCTTTGGCGACAGCGATGACAGTGAAGACGAGTTTGAGGTTTGTCTTTAGACAACACATGCATCAGATGATGATATTTGACAGACTTATTGATTGATTGATTGATTATTTCTAATTTATAGGGATTTGAAGGCAACAAACAAAGTGGTGACAAACAAAAAGATGATTCAGACAATGATAACGACGAGAAAGACAACGATAGTGACAGTGACAGACCAGTCAAAAGAAGGATAATCTCAGACGATGAAGACAACGATGATAATGAAGACAAAAATGATCGCAACGATGACAATGATGATGACGATGAAGACAAAGAAGATAGAGATGATGAACATAAAGATGATGAAGTGAAGAATGATGACAATGAAGGCAACGATGACAGTGGAAGACTTGATTCTCAAGATGTTGTTCCAGACGTGTCATCCGATGAAGAGTCAGACGGCGAACGAAAACCAAAACAGTAATTAATTTACTATTAGATACATAAGTGATAAATTTAAAACATAATTATATTATTAGGGATGAAATGGTCTATGATTTTGATCTTATGCTTCAAAGAAAGAGAGAAGAGAGTCAGAGGCGGCGGAAACGTAAGAATATTGATATAATTAATGATAACGACGATGTGATCGCAGAATTGATACAACAGATGAAACAGGCAGCAGATGTAAATCTATTGACTTTATGTGACATTTTTAATCCTAATCTTCATTATTGTATTTTATCGGTAATTAAAATTTTAGGACGACTTCGAGCTAAATAAAAACCGAATGACTGCAACCAGAAAACTCAAAATGTTATCATTAGTGATAACACAACTTAGAAAATTAGATTTAAGAGAAGCTATTTTAGATGCAGGAGTTCTTGGAGTTATTACCGATTGGTTGACACGACTACCTGATGGAAGTCTACCTCATCTTCAAATTCGTGACAATATGTTAAAGATATTACTTGAAGTCAGTTGTTTTGCTTTTTAAATGAGAAATAATATATACAATTCAAACATTTTGTTATTTTTAGTTTAACATCGATGACGTCGAGAGAATCAAAGCCAGTGGTATAGGAAAAGCAGTTATGTATTTGTTTAAACACCCAAAAGAAACCAAAGAGAATAAAAGGTTGGCCTCACAATTGATCGCCAGTTGGTCCCGACCTATATTCAATGTAGACACTGATTTCCATTCAATGAGTAAAGATGAGAGAGAAAAACGAGATTTAGAGCATATGAACAAAACTAAGAGAATCCGATCCGACTCTCTCAGTGAAACCGATAGTCCGACCATTACTCCAAAAACCAAACAACCGGAAGAAAAGTATGTTTTATTGAGATTACTATATTATTACAGTATTATTAAGTATAATACAATACAACACTCTAATGCTTTTCAATTGAATATAATTAGAAGTCTCATAAAACCGGGCGAAAAGGGTTGGGTTCCCAGAGCTCGGGTACCGTTGCCTTCAATGAAGGATTATGTGGTTCGTCCGAAATCATCAAATGATGTCGATATGCTTAGGGTATCAATTGATCATTCGCTGAGATTGTCTGTCATTGTATAACATTGTTATAATTGTCACATTTTAGAGCGGATCCAGTAAGCGATCAATGGATTCACGTATCGACAAACACATGCGAAACTTTCGAGAGCGTCAAAAACAAACTAAAGTTCAAAGAGCTGTTCCCATAAGTATTGAGGGCAGAAAAATGGCTCTTTAATTAGTATTTTAGATAAAACGTTCATTTTTATTATATTTATAAAATGATAGAAATATTTTTCACTAATTATATATACATTTGTAAAAACATCATGTCTTGTGTTGAACATACAGAGTATCTCTGGAGTGAATACCTGCCGATTCCAGAGTTATAACATCCGATTCATTTGTAAAGTACTCTTTTAGATTTCTTTTGGGAAAATTTGTGATTAAATCAAAATCATTCATATTATAACCTTTTGATGATAAATAGATAAATAAGGCCTAGAAATAAAAAATGTATATTTAGTTTACAAATTATAATCAGTCATTAAATATTTTTTTAAAAAACCTTAATTCGTGAATCAGATGGAAATGTGATGTTTTCTCTGTTTCCATCGGGATATCTGACAACAAATTCAAATTTTGAGCCATTTTCTGGTCCCAAATATTTGTGATAGTCTTCTATTTCAATGTTTTCTTGTTTAACAACTGAAGCTGAAGGCATAACAACTGATGTCGAAGGCTTAACATTTGAGAATGAGGTCATCTCTTTGGTTTTATGTGACAAATTGGACACTTTGTTGCTTAACTTTGTATTGTCTTCATTGTCAGAATCAAATGTTTCACAATCACTGTCATCGTTATCATTGTTAGTGGTTTGATGGCTGGCATCAGTAAGTGAGGCTTCGATGGCAGCCTTTAGTTGCATTTCTTCACTCTCCTCGTAGAGAGCCTTAACATACAATCATTGATTAAGTATTACTAGTTATGAGGTTTAAATAATAAATAGATAATACCTTTTCAGGACTTGATTTTCGGTGATTAATCAATTCATTGGCATTACTTGAACCATAAGGCGATGGCATATCGTGAAGAAATTCAGTGACCAAATCACAGAACGAAACGGGTTCTATGGCAGTCCACGAACGTAATTCTTCACCTATTATCACATAAATAATATATTTATTCAACTAATGATAATGTGTTGACAATACCAGTGCGCGGATCAATAATTGCCACATAAGGAAAGTTTTTCACTTTATAGAATTGCATAAAACGCTGGCCTTCGGAACTATCGTGATATGTCTGCCAAAAAATAAAGTGTTCGGTAATTATGTCTTTAACGGCAGTATTACTCCAGACATCTCTGTTTAACACTTGACACGAAAACTCCTGATAGTTCTGAATGTTAATCATAAGCCACTTATTAAGTCGTCTGCCTTCGTCTTTGGCCTGAATTTATAAATAAAATAATTAGACATAATATACAACACTCACTTGACATACGTGTTCAACAGTTCCGCGACACATCAGGTCGAGTGGCGGTCGGAACAAGTCTTCGAGTGTCTTCCTCTTGTTGGTCGTCGGATTCGTCGATGAGTTGGAGGACGACTCGCTGTCCATTTGCTGTTCGTGCCATCCTTTATAACAAAAGACACATTAAAATGTTATTTATTTGACATCTCTATGTCGACCACTCACTGGCCTCCTGTTCAAAGTCACGGAAGGCATCAAACACAGAGTTAGCGCCCCCGCGACGTAAGGGGTGACTGTATGAAGCCGTCGGGAAGTCCTCGACCAACACCTGACGTACCGGAGGAATGGGCGGTCGAACATCATCTCTGATGATAATTATATCTCATTTATAATCAATATTCTGATTAATAATTATTGATTTTCAATACTCTGTATTATAACTCAAGGGATTTGATGTGTCCATCGATGAGGCCGTCGATACATGATTTGTGTCATTGTTGGCCACCACAGCGTTTTGGCCATCATTTTGATCAATAAACATATTGACCGCTAAGTCTATATTCCAGTTACACGACTCCAGTGCCGTTCGGGCCACCGATTCGGTCGATCCTATCATTTCAATATCAATTAGTTAACAATCAAATGGTCATCATTTAAGCGGTCATTACCAGTAAAACTGCAAAACTGATCGATTGCTGAAGACATCGATGACTCAGACATTTGCTGATTGTCTGACATGTCGTCCAATGACTTGAGGACACAATAAATCAATCAAATACTAAATCAATCACTTAATTAATTAATTAATTAAATCAATGATTAAGCAAACTATCGATTCATTCAATCAATACAATGTAATAGCGGTTCAAAAATAAATGAAATTTCAATGTTTTTGTCTTTTATGGACTCAATCTATTCAATGCATTCAATGACTAATCACTTAAATAAGCGCTTATTTCAAACAAACCAACTGTTGATAAGTACAGTACTAATAGTACTAATCATTTTAAATAGTAATACCAAAGCAATAGTTATTTAATAGCAAAGTCTTCTAGTAATTGATATTAAAACTAACTTTTATTTTAATCACATAAATAATCAATCATTTAATTATTTATCTTTATATTAATTAATCATAAATATCTTATTTTTTAATCGTGAATATGAATATAAAAAAATGTTAATTTATTTGAAATAATTTAATATAAATTTTAATTATTTTTGTAAACTGTCTTAAATTTATTATTATATGTATTTTACAGCCTATTTAATAATATTGATATACTTATGATATAATTATGAATTTATTATACCTTTTATCACATTAAATGATACATTATATCATTAATACAGTAAAAGTTTAGTAACAATCATCTCTCAAATGAATTACTCTAATATAGTATATAACTAGAGAGTAATGTCCGGGACTGACATCCCTGACCATTGACTGTCTGATCCATTCAATTGATGGCTTAAACTGTAAATTATAACAATTATTATCATAAGTTTATACAAATTAATTGATGCGATCAGTGATCACACAACACGTGATCAACAGTTAAACTACTGTATTGTACTGTAGTGTTGAGTCATATGATATGTGAGTAAACACTAATAAACTGTGTATTAGTACTACTATTACTACTATTACTATACTTTAGTAGTTAAGGCAAACATTGTGTAAATGTTATGTCAATTGATATGAATTAATAGAAATGAATATTTGATAACATTTTGATTATACCATCGATTATATAGACATTTAACACACAATTGTCTCAAATAATTCAATGATTGCACCGCAACAGCAACTCATCCGCAGATCAATTAGTGGTAATAATAATGAAGATATTGAGATGACTTCATTGAACACTGATGTCACCACAAATGGTTCTCAAGAATCACTGACTAATAGCAATAATCAACAATCAAGTGCACCGTCAACACCATTGTCGGACATTTCCAATGATACGAATCCATTGGCCAATACAACGGCCACTGATCTCAACGGAAGTGTAACAGATGTACGCAAAAGTGTAGAGAAGAGCCAGAAGAAGAAGAAGTCAAACAATTCGTGGCTCAATATTTTAAACCCAACTTATAAGTCAAGACACGATGAGTTCAGACGATTGTTCTCTAATTTGGTACCAAATAATGAAAGACTTGTTGTCGACTATTCGTGTGCTCTCCAGAAGGAGATCTTAGTTCACGGAAGACTTTACATATCTTTAAATTACATATCGTTTTACGCAAATATCTTTAAATGGGAAACAACTCTTGTCAGTTGATTTGCTGATTACTATTGATTTTGATCTCAGTTTGTATTAAATTAATTGAATATAAAATGTATTTCAGGTGATTAAATGCAGAGATATTACATCTGTAACTAAAGCAAACACAGCTCGTGTCATACCTAATGCTATACAAGTGGTGACCAATTCGGGTGATAAAAACGTGTTGACATCATTTGCAGCCAGAGATAAGACATATGTCATGTTATTCAGGATTTGGCAAAACGCTCTCTTAGACCAACCCATGAGTTCAGCACAACTTTGGCAATGGGTATGAATTGTATTTAAAATTTTCCGTAATTACAATTACAAGAGTGGCGGCGATGTTATTAATTTCAATTATCTGGTCAACAATACGTTTGATTTAAAAGTGACCATGGGCAATGTAGATAATTTTAAACTAAATAAGATTGTAATTGGTCATTTTTAATTAATTTGGTCAAATAATATGCAGTCGACTGCAATTATCTGCCCAATCATACAATTAATTGAAAAATGATCAATTACAATCTTATTTAGTTTAAAATTATCTATAACATTGCCCATGGTCACTTTTAAATCAAACGTATTGTTGACCAGATAATTGAAATTAATAGCATCGCCGTCGCCACTGTTTAAGTGGTTTATGTATTTTTAGATTTTAATTTTTTAGTAATAATTATTAGTAAAATGTTAACATAATGTCACAATAATAGACACTTTTTTTAAAAAAAAACATATACCGGTAATTAAATATGTGTTTAAAATGACAAAAATAAATAAATACATACTTTTGTTTTATAAATACCGTCCCGATATTTAAATGAAATTATTATATTATAATAATAGATTTAAAGACAATTATTGCTTAAATTAATAATATAATAATATCTAAAATTAGACACAAATGTTATATAACTAAATACAATACTGTATATACAGTAGTTTATCTTTATTTTTAAACATTGTCCGATACAACCAAATTGCATAACATAATACCGAAAAATACAAATTTTAACGTCTCATAAAAAGTGTCAAGGTATTTTGTGTTTTTATGTTGTTAATTTTAATATATTTAATATTTAAAATATGACAAATGATATATTTATTAATTATGAATTATTTTTTTATAAATTATAATATCTTTAAAAATAAATAAGCTAGCAAATATTAATAAACAGATGATTTGTTTTATTTTAAATATAAAATTTAGTAAAATTAACAACAACACAAAATACCTTGACACTTTTATTTTATGAGATGTTGAAAATTGCATTTTTTCATGATTAAGAGTATTTTACTTAAAACTAATAAATATTTTTTAAATAGTAAAATAGGTATTTAATAATTTTTAAAGTATTATAATTTGTGTATTACAAAATACAATTATCACAAACAATTTTTGAGATATAGATTATACCGGTAACTGCCTAACTGTGCTCATATACATCTAAAGTACTGTAGTTATACCAATGTATACTTCAAATAAAACCAAAAATGTAAATAAAATATTTTGATTTAATTCTAAACCAGAAATAAGTTATTCCCAAAAAAAACTTATCCACTTATTTTGAAAGTGATTTTTTAATACTTGAATTGACTGAATTAATAATAATAATTGTTATTATTTTAATTGTGTGTAATAGAAATTGATATTCAAAATTAATGAGGATTTATATTTATAGGTTCATTATAGTTATGGTGAAGATCTTGGATTAACGTCAGATGATGATGAAGAGTATTATAGCGATAATTTAGTGACAACAGTACCAACTCAACCACCACTGACCCATACGGATAACTCAGATTCAAACACATCAATTGAAGCCGAATTAAATGCTGAAAGAGAAAATTTGGATCAGATTATAGACCCTAAGAGTAATTGTGCGAAGTGTCGATGCGATTCACACGATGGCAAACTCATAATTAATGAAACATTTAGTGCACCCATTGATAGGATTTTTGAGTTACTATTTACTGACAGCAAATTTATTCATAATTTGCATAAATCGCGTAAAACATATGACTTGAAAGTAACCCAATGGGATGATTCAAATAATAAGGATAATAAAGATAAAGTACGACAACTTAATTATACGGTAGCACTGAATCACGCTCTGGTAAAGTCTGCCCGAACTGTTGAATGTCAGCGACTTATTGGTAGTTCGGCCGGCATTTACTATACCATCAAATCAGAAGCTGCTAACGAAGGTGTTCCTTATTGTGACACTTTTTCAATGCATTCCTTATACTGTCTAACCAGCGAAACACAAAATATGACAAAAGTCAAAGTTTACAGTAATGTCATCTTCAAGAAGAATGTCTGGGGTTTGAGTTTAATGAAGTCAACAATCGAGAAGAACTCATTTCAAGGCATCACTGATTTCTGCGCTGATGTCACTAAGCAATTGCCCCAATGGATCAAAATGGAGAACAACTTAGGAATCACTAACCATTTAAATGATCTCAAAATAGACGCCAATAATATATCTTTTATGACAGTTGACTCAACCGGATCTTCTATTGAAAACTCCATCGCAAGCATCGGTCAAGTGGTAGACTCTCCTTCAAACACTGCAACTAATTATTTATTTTTTTCAAATATTTACTCAATAAGTAATACAACTGTTTTGAGAATAATAATCATTGCTTTAATTTTTAGTTTGCTTTTAAATGCAATAATATTATTTAAAATTTGGACAATTAATTCAATAATTAGTTATACCGAACCTCTAGACGTTACACAAATTTCCAAAGATCCAGTTTATGTCAAACAATTTATTGATAATTCACTTAAAATTATTAAAACTATTGAATCAAATCTAAATGAAGTTCAAATGAAATTAAATGATGAATTGTAGTAATAAATTTAAAACTAACAAATTTATTAAATTTTATTTTATTCATTTGAGCTATTTTAATATATAATTATTTTTGTTAAGATGTTTTAATAATAATTTTATTATTTTGTACTTTAATGATAAAATAATGTGAGAATGTTAGCACTTATTTGGCATTAATGGTAATCAAATTTTTAAGTAATTTAATAGTATTGTAAATTTTATAATGATATACCGTAATGCATTTGAGTATTTAATGGTTAGTTATACAGTACATAAACTATATTATGATATTATATTTAGTTTTTAAAATTTATTGTTATAGTATTACCAAATTTTATAATTTATTTTTAATAAATAATTTAAATATAAAAGTATATTATATACAGTAAATATATAAATTATATATTAATTTTCTATACTGTATATGCTATTGTTTTCAAAAATGTAATAAAAGTTCTAATTATAGTAATATATTATTACCCTAATTAAATAAAGATTTTCAGTAGTGGTTTAAAATATTTTTACCGGCAATAATTTATATTTTTATACCCATTTTAAAAAATATATTTTACTAATATGACAATACAAATAATTTATTACAAATGTGTGTCTGTGTATAATCATATGTGTTTATCTGTATAATCATAGTTGAAATAAAATTTATGTTATTTAGCATTTTGTGATTAGTAGTTACTGATTAAATTGTTGTCATATTTTGAATGTTTGTATAAATATTTACAATAAAATTTTGTATGTAAATATATTTAATGTATAAGTTATCAATTTAAAGCATAAAGTGCTAAAAATGAATTTTTTATTTGTATTTTATTGATAGAAATTAATACAGTATATTAAATTATAATTATAAATATATTTTTCAATAAATACATAATATTTTTTCTTCTTATTTTCATATTTATAATAATTATATTAACAGATAATTTAAATTGTTTTGTTGTTAAATTGTTATACACTATGTAGTTTATTAATATAAATTATTATAACCTGAGATTGTATTTGTGTGATAATGTCTAATTGTTGTTATAATATCAATAAATACAATATTTTGTGTCAAAATAAAGTATAAACAAAATCAGTGATTGTTGTACTGTACAGTAATTTATAGGTACAGGTAAGTTATATACTATTATACTTACTTATAAATTACAGTAATATTATACTGTGTATTACACAGTGTGTAATATACAGTATTATAATATTATGATGTATACTACATGTATATTCTATGTCATAGATTCTATGGTATTGTAATGATTGAATGCAAAACTTATTGCTGGAAACGCCTATTAGTTTTGATTATTGTTAAAAAATATTTTGCATAACTTGTTTATATTGTTTATTAACTACATATGCATTGTATTAAATAGTTTTGATGTTTTAATTTGATGTCATATCAAACAATTTTCTCTAAATTCGTAAGCAATGATTTGAGTTCAATAACTAAACAAATGTTTTTCAGTTATAATGACAAAAGTATAATAATTTCATTGATTTTATGTCTTTCCTATTAAGTCACAAGTTATGGCTTTCATCCAACAACTATATGATGTGATTGCAATATTCAGACATCACTTTCTAATTATAGCTTAAAAATTAGTTATAAAGGGATGTAAGCGATGGTATAGGATGCGATTGAGATGCAAATGCATAGCAAATAATACGTATATAATGCAAATATGTGCTGACTTTTTACTATATTATAGTAAATTATAACAACTAATATATTAATACAGTTTAAAGCACTTTCAGAAACCATCGACTATTTGTTATCTCTATGAATGCAAACCTCATCGCAAACCATAACACCAATTCTTATTGTTTTATGTTTTATAATATGTTATATAAATACAATATTTTATGAAATTTTATATTTCAAGTTATGATGTATTTTAATATTGAAAATAATATAATTACAGTGCATTTATTATAGTGTTTAAAATTTTATAAACGCTTTGACAAAAATTAAGTATATTTTTAAAAAAGTTCAACTTATTTAGTAACTAATACTTATACATATTAAATGTGATTTATTTGTTGTTCTTATGTTATATTATTAATAGTAAATATGTTATAAATTATATAGTATTGTGTTTAAATCTATTATATTTAGTATATAAAGTTGAAATTATAAATAAATTGTTATGTGTTGGTTCAAACTGAAAATAAACCAAATTTAAAATTAGCATTAATTGTAACGTTATGTAAAGCTTAAGTATAACAACCAAAGGCAAGGCGTAGGCGAACCTCTTGGATAGGGATAGGGATAGAGATTGAGATTGAATAGGGAATAGGCGTAGGATTGGCTTCTCGTCACTTATTTGGTGCCAATTTGCTGATTATATTCAACATTACAACAACTGATTCAGTTTTTTTAGTTCATTTGACTACTGATTACAAACAACATTATAACAACTCCATTGACTGTAAGTTCAGCAGAGTTTATGTAACAACAAAACAGTTATTAAATAACCGCAAAACTGTTCGCAAATGTGACAAAAAATTGTAAATCACTTGTTTTAAACACATTTTAAATAATATTTTAGTGTAAATCAGTACTAAAAATTTGAATCCATGTAAAAAATGGGAGTCAATGAAGTCACTAAACCTACGGTTCGCTCTGTGCGACCAAAGCCCAAGTCTAATGATTCAAATGACTTGAAAATTATGACCAAAGTCGAGAAAAAACATCGATTAAAGCAACGGTTTGAAGTCATCAAAAAGTTAGGACAGGGAACCTATGGAAAGGTTCAATTGGCCATCAATAAAGAGTCGGGACAGGAGGTAGGGATTTATTTATTATTATAAGTTAATAATAGAATTAATTAATTACATAAATTTTATGGTTATATAATAGAAATTAAATTTTTAATATGATTTGCAATTTTACTATTATTTTAACAATTTTAGTGTTTATTTTAATATTATTTTACTTGGCAAATATCTATTTACTGTAAATTTAAGCAATTACAATTTTATTATTTCATATATATAATTATTTATATACTGTATTTAGTTAGAGTAAAAATAAATATTATGATAAAGGTTACAACTTATAATATAGTTATAGCAGCTTAATGTTGCATTTAATTTACTATAGCATAATAACGATACATTTATTAAAAAATTTTGCTTTATCTTTAAAGTTACTAAAATTAAAAATACAGTAAAAATATTATAAAAACTTAGTTTAAAAAAACAAAAAATATATGAAAATACTATTGAATATAAAGGTTGCAATTAAGACAATCAAGAAGTCTAAAGTAGAGAACGATCAGGACTTGGTTCGCATTAAAAGAGAAATTCAAATCATGTCATCCATACAACACCCGCATATCATTCATATATATGAAGGCATACTTTAACTTATATACTATCATATTATTAAACAATTGTATTAATTGTGAAAATATCACTTAAATTATAGTTTTTGAAAATAAAGACCGAATTGTATTAGTTATGCAATACGCCAGCGGCGGTGAAATATATGATTATGTAAGCGATCGTAAAGTACTGTCCGATTATGAGGCCAGACGTCTATTTCGACAAATAGCTACTGCTATCTACTACTGCCATAAGGTTTGGCTTAAATTATTATACATTAGTCCAATAAACTTATATATTATATCTTATGTAATAATATTTTGCTATTTATCATCTCTTAATGTATTTCAGTGTAAATTGAATTCATTTTAATTTGTATTTTATTTTATAGTATTGTGAATAATTTAAATGAATAAATTAAATTAAAATAAATTATACAATATATGCAGTATATATATTGCAATCTAAATATTGATATAATCTAAATATAAATTTATATATAATGATAGACTGATTTAAAATATATTGACTTAATATTTGCTTAAAATATTTTGTAATCAGAATAAGATATGTCACAGGGATTTGAAACTTGAAAACATATTACTCGATGAAAAAGGAAACGCAAAGGTAATGTCATGGGATGTCATGGGATGTCATAAAACAAGACTATCAACCATTACATAACACAATCAATCATTCATTCATTTTCATCTAACAGATCGCAGATTTTGGTTTATCCAATGTTTTTGATGAAAAACATTATTTACAAACATTCTGTGGAAGTCCTTTATATGCTTCACCAGAAATAGTCAAAGGATCGCCATATTATGGACCAGAGGTTAACAATTAATATTAATTTGAATAATAGATAAATAAATAAATAAATGATTGTCAGGTGGATTGTTGGTCTTTGGGTGTACTTCTCTATACTCTGGTTTACGGTGCGATGCCTTTCGATGGCAGCAATTTCAAGAAATTAGTTAAACAAATATCTGAATCTAATTATTTTGAGCCAAAACAAAAATCAGGTAAAAACAAAGATTTATTAAATAAAATTTTTGAAGTACTATATAGTTTTAATTAATTGATTAGACATTCAAAAATCAAAACTTTTTGAATAACTTAAAATAAATATATATTTTTTTGGTAGTATTGATATAGCATTTAATAAATTTTTGTTTATTTATTCAATTAGAGGCATCACATCTTATTAAAAAGCTTTTGACTCCCAATCCCAAGGAAAGGGCTACTATTATTGACATCTGTACTGATATATGGGTTAATTCTGGATACGAGCACTCATTACTTCAGGTGGCAGAAGATATGGCAAACTTGACTCCCGTTAGACTCGAAATTTTGTTGGCTTTGGCTCCCGTCTCGCCGTCAATCGATAAGTTAGACACCAATCCTATTGCTGCGACCGATGACAACAAAAGAGTATTAAATGAAAACACAGATTTAAATATTGAGAATAACAATAACTCCGATGCAAACCAATCTGAAGATAATATTAAGAAAAGACAAGCGAATCCATCATTTGATCAAAGTTTGTCCAAAATTCAAACACAAACACCAAAGAAGAAGAAAACAAAGAAAACATCAGAGAATGACTCACAAGAGATAACTAATGAAACTAAAGAAGAAATCAACAGAAATGTTGACAATAATGATATCACAAGTCATGAAATGATTGAAAACACTAACGAATCAATTAATGAAATAAATAAAACTATAGTTTCTGATGAAATGTTCGAAGATTTACAACAAAATTCACAACCAATTGCTGAACAAGAAGTTAAATTGGATGAAAATTTAGTGGAAGTAAAGCTACAAAATGATGAATTAGTTTCTAAAAATAATGACAGACTTGCAGTAAATAATGAAACAAAGGATGTAATTGAATCTGATATAAATAAAACTGAAAATAAAACAGAAGACAAAGTTATAGTCGACAACACAAACAACAAGAATGTGATGAATAGTGAAGAACAAAGTGAACCTAAAAAACAACCGGAAAAACAAAATATAGAAAATGCCGACAAAAATGAAAAAGTAATTGATTTTAAAGAGTCACAAAAGTTAGAAGGAGTTCAACAATCAGATGATCAACAATTGAATGAAGTTATTCAAAGTGATAATAAAGATAAAGACAAAGATAACGACGAAAAGAAGAAAAAGAAACGCGAATTGTCTAATGTCGGCAAAAGACCCGGAAAACTATCGATACCTAACCTCTGGAATAGAAGTTTTGATATTTCAGAATCTGGTGATAATAAAGTCACTAATAAATCAAATCAATCGATAACTGATCGAAAAATACCGTTTATTCCGGTCGGCCTACGAGTGTCGGACGCAAAGAGAAGTTTTGAAAGACGTTGTTCTGTTCCTATCAATTGTTTGTCATCTTTTGGTTTGAAAAGAAGAAATTCAATTATTGGAGAAAACTCTAAAAACATTACTTCTAATACTACTAATACTACTACTACTACTGCTGCTACTACTACTACCACTACTACTACTACTACTACTACTAATAATAATAATAATAATAATTCTGTAAAAACAAGAAATCCTAAATTAAATACTCGAAGTATTAGCTTAAATGAAATGCTAGAATCGCCTGAAAAGGTTCAACAAATGACAGCTGCGCTTAAAATGTTAAACAATAAGGAAACTGAATGTAAAGTTGTTGAGGAAACTACAACTGAGTCACAGAATATTCTGAAAACCATACAAACCAAAGACAATGAAAATAACAAAGATTTAAGTACATCACCGGTTATGGACAAAGTTATGGCTAAAGATATTCTCAAGAAATCTATAGCAAAGGCACGACTTATGGAAAAAAGACAATTATCTAATGAACCCAATTCTGCAATCATTACTCCTATGGAAAGTCCTGATGTGTCGATACTGTCAGAGCCGTCATTCTTTAGAAAACCAAGACTTTTCATTGAAGATAAAGATAGTAAAACTTCATCTAAAGAAACCATTGCTAATGAAATTAAAAATGAAAGTAAGATATCTGAAAAAGAAAGAAAAAACTTTGTATCACAAGTAGATATCAATGAAAAACCATTGCAGACAACTGAAGAGACAAAAGCTGCACCAATGGCTCGGAGTTATAAAAAGGTGATCTTTACTAAAGACGGCGCACGTATTACAGAAACCGGCAAAATATACTCATCCGAAGGCACCGATGGCTCGTATACTCGAATAGAAAAGAAAAGCAAAGTAACACACTTTCCATCCCTTGAAAATCAAGAATTAGTTAACACTAATGAAGAGATTGGCGAACAAAGTATTCAAAGATCTGATAGTCTAAGTTCTTCGGGTTCTTTGGATATATTTGATGACATCTTTGATAATCATTGGACTGGAGATTCAATATTTCCAAATATGCGGTCACTTTTGCAGAGCGTTGCCGGACATAAAAAATCGAGAAGACGTTCTCGTGGAGAGAGTTGTGAACGCAATGTCAACGATTGGTTTAATTTGAAGAAATCTGCAATTTTTTCGGATCAGGACAGCGATGTCGATGATAACGAGTCATTCTTCTCGAAGAATATATGGCCTACAAGTCGGCCTCAAAAGTCTTTATTGGATAGATTTTCTAAAAACTTTGATAGTTTTAGCAAATTTGATGATTTTAATCATTCATTTAACGATATGAAGAGATCAATGAGTAAAGACCGTTCATCACTGTCATCACGTGTTCAGCCAAAAGGATTTAAACTGGTTTTTGATCCGCAATCAGGTGTTAAAACAATATCTGAAAGAACTACTGATCCATTTGTTACCCAAGATATGCCATCATTTTTTGCGCGCAACTCTAACAATAATATGCGTGAATCGGATCAATTATTTTCCGATTTAAGACAAACTGATAGTTTTGATTCTCCGCGAAAACGAGTAGAACAATGGCTTCAATCAGATAATAGTAATGATTTTAATGATAGTTCTGAACAAATGGATTCACGGAATCCGCTTTCAATGTATGCAACTATTGGTCCGCGAGGTGTCCGCCGATATTTACGTACACTTAGTGGCCGAACGTCGACATCAAATATGACATCATTGGCCAATAACTCTGATACACAACAGTCACAACTCTCTAATCCAATGCTTATAACTCAGACATCGGTTCCAAACGATTCTGTCATTGAAATGAGGATAACATTAAATCCATCAAACATTGACAGCAATGAAACGCAAGACATCAAAGCAAACACCGATAACATTCAGAGCTCTGAATCAGATAATATAATATTACCCGAAAGTTCGTCACTTTTGGATCAATTACGAACTCATGGTTATCGTAATATAGTTAGTCAACGATTGTCTGATTCATCACTTTTCAGTGATTTGGATACAAATGTTAGTGAAAGCGATGTCACCAATAAAAGAGGTAAAAGAGCTTTAGGCTGTTATTCACGTCTTATTGATGGCAATAGAAAAGCATGCGATGAATGCATGGTTGAGACTAACCCAATGACTACTTCCAGTGCCAATACCTCTGACAATATAACAGACACTCACTCTGTTGTTGCCAGTAATACATTCGCTAATAATAATGATATTTATAATAATAATGAGTTTAAAGCTTGTAATTCATTAAATTATACCAAACATATAGACATTAGAAACAGTTTTAGTGATAAGTCTGTGACTGACTGTCCACACGATCAGTATATCAATAAACAACCCATTGATGTGACTCCAAGAAGTACTGTTCGTAGTTGTCTGACTGATCCGGTGGTAACAGATGTGCGGTTTCGACAAAATAATTCGAGTGTCAAATCAAACTTAACTACTATTAAGAAAGCAAATTGTGATGAATCAGTTGAGCAAAGAATTCATCGCAAAAGCTTTTACTCGCGTTTTAATGACGACAGACCTACTCTTTCCAACCGTTCTCGAAATACGAGAAGACGTACGTATATCGATGCCAATGATGTAGACCTGGCCCTCAACTCAAAACCTCCACAATGTAGTCGGTCTTCGAGTTTCAGAAATAGCTGTTCATTTGACAATAACTTTGTGACATCAAAGTCGTCGTCCAGTTCTTCTAGTGATTGGTTTAATCGAATGGAGTCAAGAGTTTCACAACTATTGAAAGATTTATCTAATGACAGAATTGACAGAATTTCTTCATTTGGAAACCATTTTTCAAGTCTTGATTCGCCAGAAGACAGCTTTTCATTAGGTTCTCGCAGGAGATCAGTATCAATGACAAGAAGTCCATTATCTACTGCCAGGTCTTATAAATTAGATTTTGATTCACATTTTAATTCTATTTCTAAATCTAATAATAATAATAATAATAATAATAATAATGACAATCAAAATGACAATCAAAGTGATGACTTGATTGGAGCCCTTAAATCTCCGACACAAGTGTTGCAAAAAGCTATCGATATTTTGTCAAAAAATGAGTTATAATTTAAATATTGTTTATTAAATTTTAATTATAAAACTGTATTTAATATTATGTACGGAATAAAATTATCAATGTTATTTTTTCAAATTTAGCTAATGTAATTTTGTAATAAGTTTATATGCAAATTTAAACTATTAAAATAAAAATTTAATATATTTTATATAGAAATTATGTAAGCAATTTGTAATGTAAATAATTTACAATTTAGTTATTTTCATATTTTCGTTATTTATAGTCTTGTTTAATCTAATGAATTTATCACATATTATTTGAGAAAATTTTAATTTATATATTTAATAAAATTAATTAATTTTTTATAAAACTTTATTTAACTTAATATTTTAATAATGATTGATTTCACAATAAAATTTATTAATTTGTATAATTCATTAATTACAAGATTGCATGTAAGCTTGCATTTGCTTTAATGGCACAAAAACATATTTAAAATTATTTTTAAAAATTTAATCTAATAAATGCTGTTTAATCTAATAGTGTACTAATTAATAGAAGTGAATATACAGTACTAATAAAAATGATAAAAATCTATTAATTAATATATTATTGTTATTTTCAGGAGAATCTATGGAATGATTAATTATAAATTTTTATAAAAATTATTAATTAATAGCGTTTGGTTAAATTTTAATAACTTAATTTATATATAATCACCTTATAAATTGTCTTCAAGTTATAAAAATATTAATTTTATTCATTGTATTTTTATCAATATAATTTTATCAAAATATAATTTGTTTTTGTTAAGGATTAATAAAATGCTAAATATTAGTAATTATAATATATTACATAATTTATAAAATTATATTAAAACTTGTTAATCTCTAATCAATCAATTTGAAAATAATAATAATAATATTCTATTATTAAGTTTTAAATTTGTTTAATTTGATAAAGTTATGTTAAATAATAAGAAGTTTTAATTTTCTTAAAATATGTTAACTTATTAAACATCAATTTTGTTAAATATTAATTTAATTATTACTTTCATATATTAATATTTTGAAAATGTAATTATTGTTGTTATATTAGTTGATTGTAATTTGGTTGCAATTATTTATAATAAAATTATTGTTAATGAATAACTTAATTTTGATAAAATAAGAATCAAAATTAAACAAATTAACTAATAATAGAAAAAAACATTTAAATATTCAGGTAATTTAAAAAAAATAATTTTAAATGCTAAATAATGTCAATTTAATAATTGAATTTTTATTTATCAAAAAAAAAAACACTAGTGAAATTTACAAATTTAAAAATATATTATCAAACATTGTGTTTAAATTCAAATATGCTGCAAATTCATTAAAAATAATATATATACAACTTATTAAAAATCAAAGATTCATTTTACAGCTAATGAATGATACATTTAGTTTTTATTTAAATTTTTTGTAACATTTTATAACTTTCACAATTAGTTTCAAATCAAATGAATAAATAAAAATACTGTATTTGAAAAAATGGAATATTTGTGGAAATGTAAACTGTGTTCAATAGCTACTTAAAATCAATTAAGTTATATGATATGAATAAATTAAAAAATGTAACAATAAATTAAATCTATCGTTAAAATGAATTGAATTTCATTTTAGAGCTCTAGTAACGATATATCATAAAAATGTCTATTTATATGGAAATGTTTGCATATTTTTATACATTACATGTATATTATTATGTATAACATATATAATTGAAAAGTCAGTCTAATGATTGTCTATATAAAAACCAATAATAAAGTTCACTAAATAAAAATAACAATTAAAACAAGAGCTAAATTGTGGTACGAATTATATTATTACAATCATTGGGACGACTTTTTCAATATACAGTATATACACGGTATATAAATTATATAAAGTATATTAATCTCTAAACTTAATTTTGAAATATTTATATTAATACTAAAAAAATTAAATGAATAATTAAAACAAATACATAAAATCACAGTTCAGTTATTGGAGTCATTTTCAAAGGGTAACGAATTGTTTCTTCGAGTGCACTGTTATTTTCATCGATATTAATATCGATGTTTGGAATAAAAACAAACTCTGGTTTTCTATAATTGAGATCATTTCGATGAGAACCACCACTTATGGTATTGTTATCGGCGGCAAACCATTGATTTTTTACGAGTCCTGAGAGACCATATTTGCAACGAATCACAAATATAATGATAACACCACTAAACACTAGAATACCAATTAAAATGGCTATTATTATTGGTATCTTTGTGTCCAATTCAAAGCATCCAAAATCGTCGCGATGTAAGTCTGTTATTAGTTTTGATTGAAGACTTGGAGGGCTTTCACACTGAACTCCAACAATAGTTCCCAATAAATCAAAAAAGGGATACGAAATATAGTCATTGGAGCCATTGATTACTTGTTTGACAGATGATGTGTTGGATTGCATGAGATAATTGTAAAGCCATTCAAGACTACAGTTACAATGTAATGGATTATCTCTAACGTCTAAAAATATTTTTCGATCAAATGTGTTGACAAAACCCAATTGTAATGTCACGAAACCATTGGCTCTTAAATTAAGGTATTGAAGGTTCGGGGTATCACTGAACACATTATTATCAATATTAGTGAGCAGTTTGTTATGTGATAACTCCAGGCGCTCCAAATGTGTTAAGCCATAGAAAGCGCCCAATTCAACAAACTATAATAATTGTAATAAAACAATATGTTATTTACAATAATAATTCAATTAAAGGTAAATTATCAATAATTTAACATAAAATACATACACTTAATGAATGACTTTTCGTGATCTCTAATGTTCTCAAATGAATTAAATTAGAAAATACTTTTGACTTAATATTTACGAAATGATTTTCTCCAATCTTTAGCTCTTCTAAAGCAATCAGATCTTCAAACGAATTCGTCGGTATTTCCTATTAATTAAAATTAATTTAATGATAAATACATAACGTTTTCTAATATAAAATGTCAAATATTAACCTCTAAATTATTGTTATTTAGTCTTAAAATTGTTAAATTATTTAATCTATTGAAGGCATGTATATCAATATAATTGATAAAACACGCGTCGAGTCGGAGCTCCGATAGATTGGCCAACGAAGCGAAGGAAGATTTGGTGATATTTATTAACATATTTGAACCCAAATCTAATGCTTTAATATTTGGCACAAATTTAAAACTATTGCTCGGAATTGCATTCAATTGATTTGATCTTAGATTTAAATCAATCAAATTTGTTAATCCATTAAAAGCTGCCGAAGATATATATCTAATTTGATTGTGAGATAAATCCAATATCTGAAGTAAAGTCAATGGTTTCAATACATTTGCGTTAATCTCTTCTAATTTGTTGTCACTTAAGTATAACTTCTTTAATGAAGACAAACCATTAAACGTATAGTTCTTCAGAGTTGTCAACGAATTTGTGACCAAAACCATAGTTTCGATGCGATTACTCTCAAGAAAGTTGTTTTCACCCAAATCTGTCAACTGATTGAATGAGATATCGAGTAACTCAAGACTTCGATAAACAGATAGCGATGACTGAACACCTCGGATGTGATTGTTCTTAAGGATCAGCTCTTTGAGTGCAGGATTCAGAGTGTGCGGTACGAACTGCAGCTCAGCCTCCGATTGACAGACTGTCCGCAATCGGGAATCATCGCAATGACAACCGCGCGGACACATCGAGTGGACACAAGACATGATACATGTCATCACTATCTGTACCACTAATACTATCTTCATTTGGCACATCATTGCATACATTTGTGGTCAACAATTGTAAGACCACTTCAACACATCCATCACTCAACACATCCTTATTGTTGTCATTCAAATCATTTATAAACTATTGTTTACATTCATTCATATCATTTGAATGCAAACCAAATACATATCAAATTAAATAACTGTTTGAATGTATTGTTAACTCAAAACAATAGAAACAAAAACACTAATCAATTGAAAGAATGTGATCCACACTTGCATTCCACTCAATCACGTGATACTCAAAACACTATTAATATGACACTCACAGTCATGACGTACTCTAGTAATAGTAATACAATACTATACACTGTATACTGTATACAGTACTATATATTAATAGTACTATACATTAATAGCACTATACAGTACAGTAGTAATGCATTTACAGTATTAATAATATTAAATACACCTATTGTTTGACTTTCTATCGCTTTTTGGTTTATAGTGTTTATTATGAGTATATGTGTTGAACGCGACATCTGTTATAATATTTTAATAAATTATAATAGTTTTAAAATATAATAAAAATATTATATAAGTTTAACTAACAAATAACTAACTAATAAGTTTGATAACACTTATACAACAATAATTTAGTTGATTTGTGTAACACTAGTGTTTCGGTACTGATTTAGTACCGCTTCACCAATACATTTGCACTGATAGTCGTAGACATACCAGTGCTTTAAGCGGTGTTTGTGTTAGACATTTAATACATTAATAAATAGTTTATTTTATATATTTATTTATATAACATTAAGCGCACAATGAAACCAACACTTTGAAAACAAAACATTAAAAAATAATATGATTGTCTATGTGTTACAAATTACATGATGTAATCTATCGTATAATAAACTATACAATTGTTGTTTTTAAACTATTGGTTTCATTGTGCGCTTAATGTAATATACTTAATGTATTTAATGCTTAATGTATTTAATGCTTAATGTATTTAATGATTATTCCTGATAATTGATAGCAGTTTTAATTAATATCATTTATATATCTAAATATTTAGACTAAATCTATAGATATTATTACAATATTAGGTTAAGCTGTAGATCTCGTCCCAAATTTTAGTCTCCAATTATTAATTACAACAATTAAATTACTTTTAACATTAAATATCCTAAACTAAATCTAAACTAACCTTAAACTAAATATTACCTAAACCTATAATTGAATATAAATTAACATTAAATTAAAATCTTAAATTTTATTTAAAAAACGTTTGTTTTAAAATTGGACAAAAATAAAGAAAAATGAAACAAATAGTAAATAATTAAAAAAATTACTTATTTAGTTTATTAGTTTTTAGACTCATTTTGTAGAATTAGAATTGTTACTTGGTAATTTAATATATAAAAAAAGATATTGTATTATTGGTTAATATTGAATTAATAATAACGAATAGTATTCAAATAAATTTATCTTAAATATTAAACATATGATCAATAATTTATTAATTTAGAAATATTTACATTAATATATATAATATATAAGTTTAATAACATATAATATAATACAAAGAAAATAAATAATAATTACTGATAACTAAATAAGAAAATATTTAAATAAGTAATAAATGATTTGATATATATTTAGTCCATTTCTTCAATTGTCGGTCCGTTTGGAGATCCCGAAGCCATTCCAGAAGCAGCACTATTACCACATGTGCTCTCATTGTATAATTTAGTCATAATTGGATTACAAAGAGATTCCAGTTCTTTTTGTTTGTGTTGGAACTCCTCTTTTTCTGCCAATTGGTTTGTGTCCAACCATTTAATAGTTTCATTTACTTTGTCCAACACTTTATTTCTGTCTGATTCTCCAATTTTGTCTTTAAGTTTTTTGTCTTCAATCGTTTGTTTAATATTATAAGCATACGCTTCAAGACTATTCTTTGCTTGAATTTTGTCTTTTTGTTTGTTGTCTTCATCCCTATAAGTTTCGGCCTCTTTAACCATTTTTTCGATATCTTCTTTAGAAAGTCTTCCCCTATCGTTATTAATTGTTATCTTATTTTTCTTTCCGGTACTCTTGTCAACAGCTGAAACATTGAGTATACCGTTGGCATCGATATCAAAAGTGACATCAATTTGTGGTACACCTCTTGGTGCGGGAGGAATGCCTGTCAATTCAAATTTACCCAAAAGGTTGTTGTCTTTAGTCATCGCGCGTTCGCCTTCATAGACTTGAATGGAAACTCCCGGCTGATTGTCGGCGTAAGTCGTGAATGTCTGTGTTTGTCTGGTTGGGACTGTTGTGTTGCGTTTAATTAGTGTTGTCATAACACCACCGGCCGTTTCAAGACCTAATGACAGTGGCGTTACATCGAGTAATAGCAAGTCTTGAATAACTTCACTCTTATCGCCACTAAGTATAGCCGACTGAACAGCTGCTCCGTAGGCCACGGCTTCGTCGGGATTAATACTTTTGTTTAATTCTTTACCATTAAAGTAATCCTGAAGTAGTTTCTGAATCTTTGGTATTCTTGTTGATCCACCGACTAAAACAATCTCATGAATCTTCGATTTATCCATTTTTGCGTCTCGAAGAGCCTTCTCCACGGGATCTAATGTTCCTCTAAACAGTTCTGCGTTTAACTCTTCAAATCGCGCTCTCGTTATCATCGAATAAAAATCAATTCCTTCGAAAAGTGAATCGATTTCAATGGACGCCTGAGTTGATGACGAAAGAGTTCTCTTCGCTCTTTCACAGGATGTTCTCAATCTTCTTAGAGCTCTCTTATTGAAAGACAAATCCTTATTATGTTTTCTCTTGAATTCCTGTACGAAATGATTAACCATTCGGTTATCAAAGTCTTCTCCTCCCAAATGGGTGTCACCAGCGGTAGCCTTAACTTCAAAGATACCATCATCAATGGTAAGAATGGAAACATCAAAAGTGCCGCCACCCAAATCAAAGATGAGGACATTTCTCTCTCCCTTTCCTTTTTTATCCAAACCATAAGCAATAGCAGCAGCCGTCGGCTCATTGATGATTCGCAACACATTCAGACCAGATATAGTTCCCGCATCTTTAGTGGCCTGACGTTGACTATCATTGAAATACGCGGGAACTGTAATCACAGCGTTAGTGACTTGAGATCCCAGGTATGCCTCAGCGACCTCTTTCATTTTCACCAAAACCATCGATGAAATCTCTTCGGGAGAGAATGTCTTAATCTCTCCCTTGTATTCCACTTTAATCTTAGGTTTGCCGCACTCTTGAATCACTTCAAAGGACCAGTGCTTCATATCTGACTGAACTGCCGAGTCATCAAATCGGCGACCAATAAGTCGTTTGGCGTCAAACACGGTATTCGTGGGATTCATCGCCACCTGATTCTTGGCCGCGTCGCCGATCAGTCTCTCGGTATCCGTGAAGGCCACATATGACGGTGTCGTACGGTTTCCCTGATCGTTGGCTATGATCTCGACCTTTCCGTTTTGAAACACACCGACACATGAATAGGTCGTTCCTAAGTCTATACCAATTGCCGGAACTTTTGACATTTTGTCAATTATTAATCAATTTTGTAATAAAACTTTTTTTTACAAAATCTATATTAAATAACAATTTCTAAGTTATAATTGTTTAGACTCTTTATAGCAGTCAATGTAATCACAAGTTATAACAGTATTAAACTTGAAGTGCATTTCCAGTCATTCTCTGAGCCTTTTATATGCTTTGACTCTCTTTTCCAATACTTTCTACTAATTTCTACTMTATTCTAGATTTTTAAAACTATTGTTCTATAAATTACGTCTACAAAGGGGTTATTTAATACAATTGTAATCAATTAGTGAATCAATTGAGGGTAACAAATGCATTGACATTATTGATGGATAATAAAGAAAATGCTAGAATATTCACAATTAATCTTCTTATTTGTGGAAATTATATGAAACTATATGTTAATCAAATTGTATTTATTTACCAATTATTCAAATTTTATTAATAATTTAATCAAAATAATGTTTTAAAAATAAATTTTAATACAAAAATAATATCAATTTAATTAATGAAAATAAACATGCTTATTTTGAAATATAGTATTAAAAAATAAAAATAAATGCAGTTTAGAAAGTAATAAATTTAAAACAGTTATTCATAAAAAGCATTTAAAATATAATAATTATTACACTTTTCTACTTCATTACCACATTATTGTATCACTTAATTTTATTTTTGACATTCATCTCTCTCTCTCTCTCTCTCTCTCTCTCTCTCTCTCTCTCTCTCACTGACTCTCTCACTGACTCACTCGCAAACATAACAATAGATAGCAATTCAAGTATTTTTACCAAACAAATAATTTGAAGTAATAGCCAACTATTGGATCTCTCTCTCTCTCTCTCTCTCTCTCTCTCTCTCTCTCTCTCTCTTTCTTTCTTTCTTTCTCTTTCTATATATATATATATATATATATATATATATATATATATATATAAATTTGTATTTGAATGGTAGTCGAGGCTAAGGCGGTAGACTTATGAGAAGTTACTATGAGATAGGGTTAATAAAATGAACAACACTTACAGATAACCTATGATATCTATTATGGATATATATAGTCACTTAAGTATATGACTATATGTTAATATTTTTGTATAACTATGTATATAATTTGTGTACATTATATTAATAATTTAGTTATATTACAATTTTTATTTTTATAAATATATAATATTTATAACTTTATAAAAATTTTAAAACATTCATTCAGTTGCAAAAATATATTGCTATAATATATGCTTTATATTTTTTAAATACCAAATAAGGTAAGTATAGTACTGTACTATACTTAGTGCTGTATAGTAAATGTATAAATCTGTATTGAATTGCATTACAAATATAATATTATTAGACAAAAATTCAACATTCAATATATTTCGGAATATTAAGACCATTATACTTTTTAATTGTTTTAGAAATATTTTTAACAATGATCTAACCTAACTAACCTAGATAAAAATCTATCATGATAGCATTTAATGGCAATAACTGACCTAGATTATAAAACATAATAGATACATATAATACATAAAATTAATTAATTAAAAAATATTATGATAAAAAATATGTGATATAAATGATGAACGGGAAAATGGAATATATTATAATCTAATTATTATTGATATAAAATTTAGATAATCTTATGAACATTTTATATTTAGCATAAATATAGTTTTTTTTATTTTTTATAAATTAAAATAATAAAAATTAAATCACATAAAATCAATAGTTTTAAAATAGAAAGTTTTTAATAGTTATTAAATAAAAATAAAGTTATAGAAAAATGTTGTTTTTATGAATTATTTTTTTAAAAATTGTGATGTTATATAAATTGTGATTACAATTATATAATAAAATAATAAATAGTTTAAACTATACTAAAATAAATTACAGTAATTTTCAAAAAGTAATATTTATTTAAAGAAAGTCTAAATATTTAATCATTTTTGACTGAAAATCAATTTCACTCATAAAGAGTTTGTTTTTACCTAATACTATATATACTGTATATATAATATATATATTATATAGTTCTGTATATAAATATAGTAATCGTTTTATGAAAGCTTTTGTCCAAATGTTTTTGTCAGCTTTTTGTTAGATTTTACTAATAAAAACATCAAATAATTATTTTTAAAAATGGAAATGATTTATGACTTATGAATTAGAAATATACATACATTTTGATATTTTATACATAAATAGAGAAATAAAGAGAATTTATATAATACAATATTAATAAAAATGAAAAATAATTATGAAATACTATGATTTGTATTTGAATGAAATATGTTTAGCTTATAATTAAGATATAAAGTAAGTAAAACACAGATTGCTATATAAAATTTGATATACAATAATAATAATAATAATAAACTTAAATATTGTGTTCGTGTAACACATTATTGTATAATAATTGTAATGGAAATGAATGTCGATAAATATAATATCATATATTATCAACAATTTAATCCATTTAACAGTAAAGGAATCACAATATTTAATATAATATAGATTTCATTTTTTTACATAACTTTTAGTATACAATTTGATTCATTCATTTAAATAACAGATTCTTTATTTCTCTCGTTTTCATCACCACTACTACTGGATCTACTACTCAGAGATCCCGGTGCTCCTCCACATGTGCTGCCAGTTGCTGTTGCATTACATATTTGAAGCTCAATTTCAGCCAACCTTTAAAACATTTAATAAATAATTGAAACATTTATATATAGTAATGATATAAAAAAAATAAATGTTACCTATTTTCGACTTCCCATTGTTGTTGACTTAATTTTATAGTCATCGATGCATTTTCAGTCTCTAAGCTCATGAGACGCTCTCTCAAGCGTTTAATTTCTGCTAAAAGCATTGCTTCCTGAGGCGCGTCACCACATGTTGGCTGAGACATCTGAATGTGATAACTATCGCTACTTAATGTCGGCGATGGTGTGTGCATTGACATGGCATGAGGTACGGCTAAATGAGTGCTCGAAGCGGCTGGACTTAGACCGCAATAGGCCGGCGGCATACTTGAGCTGACGGGTGAGTGCGGATAGAATGGAATGCTTCCCGAAATTAGGGCCGTCTGTGGCTGAGGAGAGTTGCGGTCGTAACTAATTAATTGTAAGTTCGGGCCTAAGATCTGAGGCGAATATAACAATTGTGACTGAGTTGTGGCTATGAGACCGGGCAATGGGGAACAACCCATTATTCCACTCCCTGATTGAGATATATTGGTTCCGTTATTATTATTATTGTAATTATTATTAGCTTTTTGTGATGACTGTGTGTTCTCTAATTTATTACTGCAATCACTTCCAATACTTTCATTCTCCAGACCTTCCCTTTCCTTTTCTCTTCTTTCTCTCTCCAACTCATCATCTGTTAAGAGTGTGGCCGTTGAGGCCGATGTTTGCTCTTTACGGTTAACATGATTTTCACTGACAGGTACTTTACCTTTAGATTCAACCAAACCGGGAGTTGATCTACTCCTACCCATAGCAACTAAATTGATAAAAAATGTTATCTTTTTATATATATATAAATAACACAAATTGTATGACAAGTTATTTGACTCACTCTTTTTGAGCGGTTCTTTGCGATACTTTTCTAACCGCTTAACAGCAATAGCTTCTAACCTAACTCTGGCCGCCGGATAATCTTTAAGCACATCCCACATATCCTGAATTTTATTAGTATATCATTAAAGTAATTTAGAAATGTTTTTTTGCTTAAATATTTATAAATATAATGTAAAAAAATAAAATTACTTTAAAACCGTAAAATCTAAAAAGTAATTTTAATAAAAATTTATATACTTTGATATATTGTAGTATTGATAATCTCTATTCAAAATTGTAATTTTTCAAAATGTTTTTATAATTACATTAATAAATTCATAAAAATTATATTACGTATAATTAAATTTATTTAATTATAATAAAATGGTGTTATGAATATAAATAAGTAATAAACTATAGTTAGTAATACCTGTTTGTTGAGGCAAAATAAATCGCTATATCCGACACTTCTAACAGAAGCAGTGCGACGATTACCAGCGGTTCCCATATTAAGTATACTTATTTCGCCAAAATAACTGCCCGCACGCAGAGTTGCTAACACTGTTTTCCCATTATCTGTTACCACTTGTAATCTTCAATAAAGATTATAAATAAAAAAAGCTTACAATCATTATTGGCTATAATTTAATCAAAATATTAGTGACCCATTCATACCGGCCTCTATTGACAATATACATCTCTTTGCCGACTTCTCCCTTTCTACAGATATAATCTCCGGGACTAAAGAGGACAGGTCTTAATCTGAGAACCAGTTCACATAAGAAGCCGGCTTCGGTATTCTGGAAGATCTCAACTCTCTTAAGAGTATCCAAATGTACGTGAATTGCAATTTCGGCTTTTAGTTTGTCTACAATTCATTGGAGTTAATGAGATATTGATTAGTATTTTATTTCATTATATGATTATTATCGATAGTACAGTAGTTTGTAATTTAAAAAAATATATTCATATTATTAAGTTATTATACTAAATGATACTCTATTACTATACGGTATAAAAGATTGTTTATAATTAATAAATTTATTTATTTTGTCTCTCTTTTATATCAGAATCTGTTTGTTTTAGTTGTTTTCATGTATTATTTATTTAATTTTCACATTTAATTTTCTTATATAATTAGTACAGAAATAGACTAAACTTTTAGTTCATCTAATTTAACTTAACAAATAAAGTCTAGTAAAGCAAATATATAAAATAATTTTTTAAGGGAAAAATTAATTAATTTTTGTTAAAATGTCTTAAATAAGCATTAAATACAAATAGTAATAATAATAGACTAAATGTGTGTGAAATACCTGGAAGGCAACCAACAGATCTTTCTTCATCCGATGATTTCTGAGTCATCCATAAATAGTCGAACCAACGAATGACTTTAGTCTGGATGTGGTCCGGAACCCGACGCATACGCATATATGTCTTGACGGCATCCAATTTGGCTGTTATTTCATACACATATCATATCAATTTCATGTCAATACAAACATAATACCTGTACAATACTACTACTACTACTACACGATTACTGTATTGTTATTATATAATAATTTAGTATAAGTTATATGTTATACTGTATATCACGGAAATGTATCTCTAAATCCTTAAGGAATTTTTGTTTTATAAATATAATAAACTTCTCTTAATTTATTTTCAACAGAATATACTTTATTTTTGTAATAAAAAGGAATCCAATTAAAGTAATTTTTTTGAAAGCAATGATCATTTTATGTTATTTTGCCTAAAAATATATATTTAATTATAGAGTAAAGTAAAGCTCAAGTGCCCATAAATATAACAATTGTTACAATTTTGTTGCAATTGTTCAGTAAATTTTAAACACATTTCAATAGACAAATCTAGTGAACCATCACTTAATCACTTTCTCAAAAGTCATTCAATCGCAAACCTATCTAATTGTTTGCATTGCTATTCGTTGTCCAACAAATTGTTTATTAGATTTTAATAAAGTAATTATTTATTAAACACAGTCTAAATTAATTATATATATCAAGATTAATATATTCAATAGAAATGACATCAAATATTGTATAAAAAATATTATAAGTTCTAGAAGTTTATTATAAATTAGATTAATGGGATTATAATATATGACATTTATAGTGTAATATTATATAAGTTAAAACAATTTATTATATCGTTTAATAGAAAAATGAGATTTATAAAAGTGATTAATATTTAGCTCTATTCACAAAAATTATACTTTTAATATATTAATTATGTTTGCAAATATCATTTTTATTTTTTATTTTTAATATAGGGTAACCAAATTATTAGTGATGCAGAATTCAGCTGAATTTATTTTTAAATTGAATATTCAATTGAAAATTCATATAATTTATTGAATTTATAAAACAGTAATAATATTAAATAATTAAATTTAAATTTTAATTTAATTAATTTAATAAAATATCTTCAAATAATCTTCGATTATAAATAAAAAGATAAAACTGAACAATAAAATAATTAAAATAATAATTATTTGTGTTATTAAATTAATTATATAGAGAGAGTAAATTAATTTATTTTGAAACCCGTGAACATTTAGCTGTATTTTCTGAATATTAAAAATTAAATTTTCAATCACTTACATCCCTATAAACTATAAGCATATTAAAAAATTTTACTTTATATTATAAATTAGTTAATTACAAAAAATATACTCAAAATATTATAATTAAATATAAGCCATTTGATTAAATTAAAATGTATGAAATAAGCACGTAAATGAAAAATTTACATTATAATAATTAACTTTATAAAATGTCATAATTTTTCATATTAAATAAAATTTATTTGTTTTTGTATTGTTGTTTACATAGTAATACAAAACTTTTAACCTAAGATAAGGTAAAATTTTTACATTAAAATATAGTTCAGAATCACTGTAATCCGTCAATAATAATAAATTACTAAAATAGAAGAAAATAATGTTTTTTAATTAATCGACAGTTAATTATTGATTACATTAATTGTGATTATAAGATACTCATATGATTATTGAATTATATTTGAATGAGTAATATATATATAGAATAAAATAAAAATGAATATATAGTAAATATAATTAAATATTTGTATAATATAATTAGACCATGGTTATTTTTCATTTCTTTACATTTGCATTACTGCTGTATTTATAATTTAATGTCTCTTTTTTGTATGCAATAAATAAACTAAACCATAACATGCATACAATGAATACAGTATTATTAAAGTAAAAAAAATCTGCATTTTTATTGCTTTTTTGTATAAAAATAAAGTAAAAGTATATAAACTAAAAGATATAAACAATTTATAAATAGAAAATGTTTAAATACCTTGAAATTCTTTACGGGCGGCGCTAACATTGGTCACAATATTGGCCACATATCCCAATACGGCTGCAATGTATTGTAAAACATAAATCAATTAATTGATTGATTATAACTTCAATTAATATAAAATGAATGGTAAATGAAGACACAAACTGGCGAAGAGAAAGAGTCCGAAGACTATTTCAACGACGAGGAAAAAGTACTCGCTTTTAGTGCGCGGAGTCGGCAAATCACCTATAGGTCAGTCGGGGTCAAAGGTTGAATGTTATATATTATTATATGAATGTACAGTAAATTATAAATTATATAATAAATTATATTATACAATACAAACCTATTGTAGTTAATGCTAAAACAGACCAATACATTGCGCTATAAATAGATTTAAATGTGTTTAGAGTTATAAAAGTTTAATGAGTAGTGAATTAAATAGTAGATAATGAATACGGACTGCAAGTAATCGCATTGAACGCCATCACAATAATTATGATTTTTAGTGCCAATAAACCAGTCCTGAGAACCGAAACCATGGTTGAGATGTATGATCTGACACAAGCAGGCATTCCAGTGAAATATAACTAAAATATAGTGAACTAAAGACACAGTTCTGAAAACATTTGGATAGTTTGTGTGTCTTTCTGTGCGGTCGAGAAAAGCCCAAAATCGGTAAATCTTTACTAAACGAAAACACCTTAACATTGATTTAAAACCAATGGATAAATATAGGAAGTCTAGAGGTAGAAGACAAAGACAGTCGATGTAAAACATCGTACAATTCATATAATGCTGACGAAGTTTGATGCCGTCTGTCTGAAGCACACCTTCTTCAAGATAACCGGTCCGGAAATGGACCGCAATGTCCAATATATAAACAAAATCCGATAAATAGTCTAATATAAACCAAGTGGTAACTGTCATCTCATTAATCTCTTGAAAAGCGCACCGGTATATAATAGTCCAAAAATTGTAGAGAAATGCCACACTCACAACCATTGACCAGTAATAACACAAACGACCCGACGGGTCAAAAACAAAAGACCAGTTGCAGCCACCCTTATCACTGGTCGACGTCGACGTCTCCCATCTCTCGAACTCCTTTTTAATCTCTTTTCGTCGCAATTCTCTTGTTTTCTTTGGTATTTCTAAGTCTGAACTCAAGTGTCCTCTTGTTATTAAACCTATAAATTTAATTAAACTTATTTTACAGATATATACTGTAGTTATATATATAACTGTTTAGTAATAGCTTTTATCCAAATTTTAGCTAAAATTATATATATATTCTAGTTTTTATAATTTTCTAGAATAGATTTTAATAATACTTTATTTTTTTTATAGAAATCACTAACATTATAAACAATAAATATAAAAATAAAATTGATCATATTGTAAATTTTTTTTATATAATAATAATAACTATTTTTAATGCATTAATTATTTTAAAAATATAAATAATGTATAATTTTTAATACAGTATAAAATTCATACTATAAATCAATACTTTATTTATTTGTCACATTAGAATAGTATATTCTCAAAACACAATAAATTTTGATATAAATATAATTAATTTTTAATTAAAATTTAATAATTAATTAATTATAATTAATATTACTTTAATCATTTAATAAAATGCTAAATACTTTTTTAAAAATATGTCTATTATACTGTAATTTGTAATATAATTATAAAAATAATATATTAAAAGTATATAAATATATTAATCATTTGTCATAAAATTCTATGATAAAGACTGACACAATTGACAATCAATTTTCAAGCGCTAATGCGTTTGCAGTTTATCGTAGTTTTTATTATCAATTGAGCAAACATTTCATAACAATTTGCTATATTTCATATTATAATAAACATATTTAATAAATTACTATATTTAATAAATTTTTATATTTATTTTTTTAAATAATATTTACATTGAAATTCTGTTAAATTCTTAATATTTTTAATTTAAACATAAACAAAATAAAGTTAATTAAATAAATAATAAATAAATAAATAAATAAAATAATGTAATAAATTGAGCTAAACTATATATATATAACTAAAGTATACTAAGCCATAACATTAATAATAATAAACTATTTTATTAAAAAGATTAAAATATTTCTTACCGGCCATAGATCCTCGCGGTTTGGTTTTGGCATCACTACCCCTTCCATTGCCTATATAAGTGCCAACACCGGCCAAACTGCTGACCCCACCAGACGGTGGGGGAAACTTTCCGGTAACGGTGTCTATAAGGGATTGTCGTGACGCACATTTGACTTTCAATTTCTGACCATCCGCTGGTCGGGCCGACACTATACTAGTGGAAGCAACTGATAATGGGATCTGTATTTGAGATATTGATGGTCTCGCAGATACACTGCTTGTGCTCATTGCTCTGTAATCTCTAAAAAAATGAAAATTATTTATTAAAAAAATATTAAATTTATTTTTAATATGTATAACATTTAAAGAAATATTACCTTTGTATATTAACACCTCCTAAATGTGATGTAATAATTCCGGGAACAACTCGGGGTCCGTTAGCAGTGGACAGTTGTCCGCTTCCATAAATGATACTCTCTGGCGCAGCATTGCTAATAACTGCCACTTCATCTAAGTCGTCGTCCAGATGTCTACTTGAAGTACTACACGGCGTATACTTAACTACTTTACCCGAATCCTTACCACCGGATCTTAAAGAACTCGGTAGTGATATCTTCTTAATCATTGTAAAAGATATTAATTCTTGTCATAAGAGATATATCAACTAATTTTTGCATAGCAGTGGTCTTCGTTCAGTACGAACGCAATTACATAAACTATTTTTTAAGAAAAAATGTGACATTTAGTGGCAATTAAATCTGATTTATAATAACATAAATTAGATTTATTTATATTATAGTTATATAATAGTTATATTCTAATTGTTATAGATTTTTAAACTATTTTTCGAGTATTATATAAAAAAGATAAAAATATTTTACAAATAGTAATCTTAAAAAATAAATTAAGAAAATAAATGACATGACATTTTTTTGTGCATATATTCATCAATTTTTGTCCATAAAATTGACATATTTTTACAATCAATATTATAAACAATATTTTGTTTACACAAAATGATCGAGTGATAAGTGTATGTATGTATGTGTTTGTGTTAATAGCGTTAAAAAATTTAAATCAAACTTAGATAACCATCGGTGAAAAAGTGTTCAAATGTATTATTATTTTATTCCGGAAACAGTATTGTTTGTAATGGAAAGTCAGCAAAAATTCAATTAATACTTTTGAATGGCACCTAAATGTGCCCTGGGTTATGTTATATAATAAAATTAATACATTTAAAAATAACCATCTTAAAATTATTTTTTTTTAAATTGTTAAATTTATATTTATTTCAACTATTAATTATTATTATTAATTATTATATTATTTAAGTTATGAATAAATAAATTAAAATATTATTTATTTTTAGATTAAATATAAAATATCTTACAATTTTAAAAATGAAGATACAATTCCAAACGATGCACACAATTGTATACAATTTTTATGAGAAATTATATCATTTTATGAATATACAAATATGTAGAGTTATACTCAATTAGAAATAATAATATGAATATTCTGTAAAAATAGTTTCTTTAACTGAAAGAATCGGTGCTATATTTTGTTGTCATTAATGATTATTTATGTGAGAAATAATTAAATTAATATTATATAAAATTTTAGTCGGAATACAATTGCATCTATTGGTTAATTGAAATTAATTAACATCAGAATCTCAATCAATAAATGGGTTGTAATTACAATTGAAACAAATACACATTTATTAACATAAATATATGTTAAGTGATTCCACAATATAAAGAAATAGTAGATTAAAATAATAATTAATTAATTGTTGAATACTTTAGTTGAGCACTAATTCTGTTTTAATAATCTGAAAATTGTAGACAGAATTTATTGTAATTAACATATTTATATAATAACAATAATATAAGTAATGAATCGATTGAATCAATCAACTGATACGCTGCGAGACAAACCTTTATTATCATAATTAATATATAATATTATTTATTTTAAAAATATATATCAATTAAAAGCATTTTTTTTATTCAAATGGTTTTTGATCACAATTCTTGTCTTATATATTGTGCTGTAAATAAAATTGTATTAAAGACTCAAATGTATGATATGTTGTGGCGATTGCGTGCTCTAAGTCTTGACAATTGGCAGTGCCTTTGCCTTTGCCTTTGGATTGGTGTTTATGCTGGTTGTTGTCTCGTTAGACTACAGTATAGATTCTATACAAGTAGTACAGTATGTTGGATGTGCTTGTGATGGATAAGCGATGCAAACATAAAAGGCTAACAATAAAAAACAGTCGACTAAAAAGCAATGAATTAAATATTTGAACACTTTTTACAAAACAACTAATGCTTATAATTATTATTAAACCACATTTTTTTGTACTGTTATTCACACAAATTGCTGAAACCTATGGCAACATATTGTATATGTTATGAATTCAAACTACACTTTCAGAAGCAAAGAGATCTATATATTTCATTAAATCAATTATTTTATGTATTATCCATAAGTTTACTGAATGCCACTCATGTATTAGTGTTTAACGTATGATAATGTAAGTCACAATAGTCTCAATGAATAAACGCTTTTATAAATATTTTGTCAAAATATTAATAAAAAAAACTCATTTCAAATTTGACATTATAATCAATGAGATATTTATTATTATTTGTAAATAACAAATGTTTTACGTTATCATTAATATAACAAATTGTTCAATAATTATATCAAACCAATTACGGTAATTATATTCTCAAAAGTATATTATTTAATTAAAACAAACTTTTTGTTTCAAATATTTAAATTGTCTTTTATTTTCAAGTATTAAATATATATATAATAAAATACTTTATATAAATTTTATATAAGAATTATTGTAAATATTTTCAATTAAATAATTACAGTATTTAAGAATTTCATAAAATTATGTGAAAGATGTTTAAAACAATTTACAACATAATAAAATACATTTTCAGAAATTTTTTTAATAAAAAAAACTATACAAAATGCGGTGTATATGTGTTTAAAATATATAAATAGTTTTGTTTATCAATTTTGTTCAATTGTTTGACACTTTTTCTTGCGCGGTGCCGGAGTTGTCGGAAGACTAAAAGTATTATCAGTTTCAATGTCAGAGTTCTCCTAAAAATACAGTATATTATTAATTCATTAGATCAACAAATTACTTGAATAAACATAAATAAAAAATATTATATAATTATTAGAGATACGTTCACATTAGACAAACTTAAACAACAATTAACTTACGGCAAGTAGTTTTCAGTCATTTTATGTGTTTATAATATAGTCTATAAATTTTATTATAAACTTAATTTGTAAAAGTATTAGTAAACACTGAGATGTGATTACGTTACATAATATTTCGGTAAGTATCTCACGTTTTAATGAATTATATATTTAAAATCATATATTCTACAAATTATTAAATGTTTTCCATATACCGGTAAGACTATTAAAATTTAATTCCTAAATATAATATCTTTTTATAAAATAAATTGATTTAACAGTAACTAACTACTGTGTGTACAAATATCACCCAATAAAACCAATAAACTTTTTAATTATTTAATTACCGTAATTGTGTGAACGCAACTTAATATTTATAATAATATTTTTATTTAAAAAAGATCATACGTTAAGACTCGTCATTGATGTCATTGATGTGAGATAACGATTTGAATTACGATTTGGAAGACCCATTGGACTCAAGAAACTGGAAAACATTCGACTGATTCGTCTTCCAGAGGACGGTGAGGACGGCGGAAGTGACGTTGAAGGCACTTGAAGAGACTCTAAAGACATGGATGGTATTAATGAAGACCTTTTCACCGAAAGTGATCGATTCAGCTTTTCTTTGGTTTTCATCAATGAATATCTATTCAAATAAATATATTTATAAATTATATCTTATAATAATCAATACAATCAACCATTACTTGGACCGACTGGTGAATTGTGCGATTCTGTTGGCGTAATCCATAACATTAGCCAATGATTTAAATTCGTAACGAATCTGTATTTCCTTTCCCTTTAATAAACATTAAATATATGATTATTACCGTAAGTATTGTTATCATTGATTAGCAGTACTTTCACTTCATCCGGTGTTAAATCATTGATAGCATCAGTGATATGTGTGAGGACTTTGTTGCGATTACAGTCAGACGACTTGATATCAAAGGGTAAGACTGGGAACGTTCTGTCGACATGGTTTGGATACTTCACGATTACAAATGAATTCTTAAATTCTATATAAAAACAATTTTTTAATTATTAATAATTTAATTAATTGACTCTAAATTCATACCATCGGAATCTTCATAATATAAACATTTAATGGACGATAAATCAATGGTTTCGATATGTTTGTATGACTTCTTTAAATTTTTCTTTACTCCAGAGTTATGACTACTAATCGATGCTTTTAATGAATTTGTTCGCTTTATTGTTCTCTTTTTACACAACTATTTAAATAATTTTTTAAAAAATAAATAATATTTCTTAGCCGTTGATACAAACAGAATATATTTCATATTAATAAAAATAACTCACAAGTATTAGATCATTAAACAAAAGCAGTGTAAACACATAATTTTCAAACGGTATTAACTCAAACACATCCGTATCTTTTGAATCGTTTTTGATCAATAGTTTGACATCACAACTGAAAATAAATTGTCGTTGAGATGAAATGATTGTCGGCGGACAGCCCTCGATATCATTCATCATATCAAACAACTTTAGCTGACCCTCTGTTTTCTCTTTTTCCTTATTAATTCGTCTAATTATAAACAATAAAGTAATGTTAAGTTTTGTAAATCAATGTTAATTATTTAATAATAACTTACTTATTCACTTCAATTATAGTATTTAGAGCTTCTTTAAGGGACTTATAGTCAGCTTTTGATACATCGGTTTTATCAATAATATCTAATTAAAGTAAAATACATCATATAATAAATAATACAATTACTAATAGATATCCATTCATTACTTTTGAGAAGAAGTTGAACTCTTGGTAGACGTTGTATTGGATTTATAAGTAATTCCTTCAGAGTTTGACGTCCGCATTGAGGATCAGACTGTGATGTCTATTGAATTAAATTAATTTTCAATAACTAAATAACAGTATAAAATATATCAATATAAATGATTGAAACCTTCAAGAAGTCCTTAAATTTGGGATACTTTTCAATGCATTTATCGATCATTTCTTTAGTTTTTTCATGAAAATTAACGTATTGTGGATAAGCAGTCAATAATTGTTGAGACTATCAGTTAAATTAATAAGCATTTAGTCAAATAAATTTAAATACAAATCATTACTCCTTACGTGATCAAGAAATACGCGTCCAATTTCATTATCATCACTCCAGTCATCGACAATAATCTTTAGTTTATGTAAAATCTTTTCGTGGACATCGATAATGGGATCCAAACAACTAAACATCGCCTTTATTTCAAACTCATCGGGATATCCATCAGTTTGCACTCTTAATGGTTCTTTGATAATCTGAATCCAAACAAATCGTTTGTAAGACTATAAGACAATATGAGTAAATCAAAACATCAATTACCCGAATGATGGCCTTCAAGATATTCACGTAATTGTTTTCGGTATTATATAACTCATAACATAATTGATATGTCTTTGACAATCTCTTTACTTCGTTTGTATCACAGATCTCGTTGTCTGTCAATTAAAACAATAATTTTATTACAAATTTTTAACATTAAATTATTTATTTATTTATAAATTAATAAAAACAGAGTAATATTATTAATATATTTATAAATCATATCATATATCGTGTTATTATTATATAATGATAATTGTTTATTGATTTAAAATACCGACAATTGATATCCGACTAAATTGTCGATTAAAGTCAAGTTTATTATTATTATTATTTATATTTAGTTTATATATAAAAATATGATTAAATAATTACCATTATTTGAGTGATCCATTGGATACAACAAATTAAATCAAATGGTGATAGTTTTGGACAATTATAATCAAATGAAAACAAATCAAACAAAATCATCAAAAATGACAAACAATTTTCAAATGTTTTATTATTATAATAGTTGTGTAAAAGTGAAAGTGTGACACAATTTTCAGATATAATTTAGACTAATATTTGGACAATTGATAAATCAATACAATTTGGATATAAAATCAATCAAACAATCAATTAATGGTTTCATTAAAGGGTCACAAATGAGAGGGAAGTTTGCATTAGTTTTCAATTCAACTATATTTAAGACATGATTATGTGTTTCAATACATTTCAATAGTATTTCAATTCAATTGTATTTGTCATTCACTCTCAACTGTCAACCAAACAACACATTCGTACAAATATAACGTTACATAAATTTAAATGAAAAAATTGATGAAAAATGTTTAGTATATTCTGTAATGTATTGTATATTGATTTCAATATCTAATATATATTGACTTCAATCGGTCGGTTATCAATGCGGATGCCATTCATGAGATCAACGGCTCGTTGTGAGTCCCGATCTGACCTGAATCGGACAATAGCCTGACCGTGACTTTTCATTTCAGCGAACCTAACCTCTCCGATCTCATTGAATCTGTCCCTCAAGTTTTGCCAACTGAAAGTCGGCGGCAAATTGCGGACAATTATTGTGTCCGAAATAGTAGTCTGTGGCCGAACTCTATCATCTCTAAACTCTCTCTCATAAGTGCTATAAACACTTAAATTGCCATTATTTGCATTAAGACCTGTATGTTGTGTGTGAGGATTGTGTGGATTATGGGGATTATGAGAGTTAGACATCTGTAATGGATTAATACCAGAAAGTGGTTGAGAGCTAACATTGGACAGGGAGGCCAATACATTCTGTGCTGTGTTGGCAAATGAATTCAAATTTGAATTGAGACCGGGATTCACATTTTGGTTCAAATTGTTTAGAGAGGAACCGGCATTCGGACCTAAACTGGACAGCGAACGATCAACTGTACTAACAAAACCAGGAATGTTGAGACCATTATTAGCCACTTGATTGGTACCTACTGTACCAACTGTAGGTGTTTGGTTCAACTGAGACAACGATTGTGCAAATGATGGCAATTGTGCTAAATTAGTTAAAGCACTTAATGCAGCATTCGGTGCGGGAACGGGAGGCGGTTGACTCTGAATGGCATTTATCGGCTGATTCGAAGACGTACTTAACATACTTTTCTGGATATTCAACGGTTGACCACCAATACCAAGACCTTTACCGACACCATCGAGACCTGGAGGCAATTTAGATGGTATTGCCTCATGAGGTGGTTCGTCGTTATCGTATTTATCCATTCGTACACTTAATGCCCGACCAAACAGCTTCTGATTGTGAAACATAGAGATGGCCTGAACTGCTTCTACTGGATGTTCAAACTCAACAGTTCCGTGACCTTTGCTATTGCCGGTGGCGTCAGTATAAAGCTTAACGTTAGTCACTTTTCCGGCCAATTTAAAGATCTCTTCCAACTTATGTTCGCCCACTTTGTAGTCAAGATTTGCCACAAATATACGATTATTGAGCGGACCCTTAACGCCGAGCGATTCAAGAAATTGTGGACTCAATCCGTAAGTGTTGTACGACTGACTATTGCCAACACTGGAGTCATAGGCGTCTGAACGGTACTCCCTTTCACGGTCTCCTCGATCTCTGTCTCCTCTACGAGATGGAAGAATAAGTCGACCGCAACGGTCTCGTTCACAATCCAGATCTTCTTTGACAACAAGTTCTCGTCCCCTATACTCATATCTGTGCAAAACATCGATGGCTTTTCGGGCCGCAGTCGAGTCTGCAAATTCAACTAAACCACAGCCTCGACTCTTATTGTCCTCATTTTCAAACAGCTGACAATACGTTACGTTTCCAATCTTATCGCGGAACAAGTCTTTCAGGTCAGACCATTTCACGTCAAACGGAACGTTGGCCACATATACCCGACGAGATGCACGACTATCACGACCTGAATGACCACCGGATCGATCGTCAGAGCGCCGGCTAACTGGAGATCGAGATCTCCGACGACGACTTGGACTCGACCGCCGGTCACGACCGCGATCTCGGTCTCTATCCTTATCATTACCCAAACCATTTGAATTGCGATCTTTAATATCATCCATCATATCGATTGAATAATTGGATCAAATGTTGACAAAAACAAGTAATAATTTGCGACCAATTGATGACCAATTGATTGTAGTTTTCATACAAATCACACAAACAATCACTCAATCAATGAATCACACAATGGCTGGCATTGAGGTGTGGCTTATGATTAAACATATCATATGCAACACACTGTACGTATCAATACATATATAACATTAACAACAATACAATGCTTTCATTATATCAGTCAATACTGTATTGAAATAGTCATTATAGTTGACTTATTTGCTCATTGATGGCCCAATCAATGATTGTGTCCATCAGTATCTAATCTAATTGATCATGCTAAATTAACATTAATAATAATTGATATTATGTAATACAGTATATAATACAGTATATAATAAAGTATATAATAAAGTAAAGTATATAATAAAGTAATGTATATAATAAAGTAAAGTATATAATAAAGTAAAGTATATAATAAAGTACATTTAATTTGTTAAAAATTACTTAACATTTTTAACTACAGTTTGTCTATTATTTAATTGTTTGTTTTATTTGATTAAAAACATTTATTTTAATTATATTTTGCAAAAATAAATAGACACAATGAAAGTTATTATTTTTTATAATAGTACCAACAATTTTATAAATTTAATATGTAAATTATTTTATATTTAAGTAAAAAAGTATTTTATCGTAATACAGGTAATTGAGAAAATGATATTTAAATAAATAAAAAACTATTAATACTGTACTGATATTTCAAATTATTCAACTATTAAATAAAAAACAATATTCATATTAAATTTAATGAGTACTGACTTTAATATGTTTTGTTGAGTTTTTTAAATACTAGTTTGAAATTTTGATTACACTATACAGTAGTATAATATTATCACAAGATGTGTCCTAATTTTTCAGTAAAAAATTAAGGTTTCATTGATTGAAAAACACAAGTAATAAAAGACTAATATTTAGTATTATTTCCAAACATTAATGTTTAAAACTATAAGAAAAATTCAATAATAATTGAGAATATTCTTTGAATTATGAAATTATAAGCAAACAGATAACTCAATGAATACTATAATTATAAATATTAACACAATTTGACTTTATTGTCATTAAAGTAACTAAAATAATAGTATTAATAATATTTACGATATATTACTAAATTATACACCGGTATATCTTAATGTTCAAACTAATATCAAAATGCATTATATACTCAAATTATAGAGGGAAACTTTTTATTATATATAGTATAATTTAATAACAACTTTTTATTAATATAAAATTAATTTAATTCAGACAATAATAAAACAAATTTTATTTCAATTAAAACATTTAAATATTAGTGATATAATTGGTATAGTGTTAAACAATTCAAGCTTTGCATTATCATTACTACCGTCCTATTGAACGGCCCATTGAACTGATTTAAAGCATTACCAATATATATATTAACAATATATATATATATATATATATATATATATATATATATATATATATATATGTTATATCAGATTTCACCTCAATTTTCAATTATAATATAGACTTCCGTTAAAAATGTTTTGATAATCAAATACTGCATTCCATTAACGCTATACCCGTCTCTCATTCACTCTAATCATTAAATCATTAATTATTACATTCAATAACTTATCAAAGCTCTGTTCAAACAGTTTTACAAACTTTACAAAATTCAATGAAAATGCCATAAAAACAATTTATAATATAATAATTAAACATAATTTATATAAATATATAACATTACAAACTACTGTATAAGTGTGATCTGCTATACAATATTAATGACATAGACTTTATAAAAAAATATGGATTAATTTTATAATATAATTAATAAATAAATAAAGCATTTACATTAATTGGTATTTGTGATCAATATTAATAATATACAGTACATTATCACATTTTAACTCAGTTTTCAATTTTAACATTTTTTAAAAATAAAATGAATGCCATTTATAGTGAATTTGACGATAATATCAATAAAACAAGTTTTAAAAATACATTAAATTGAAATAATTATGAAAAAAAATCAAATGATAAGTGAGTCGATGTTCAAGTGATTATAGAGATGACGCGTCAATGTCTTCTTGATATCTGGAAGACAGATAATCAGCCGAATCGGCTAATTGATGAAGAATTGTATGCAACCCCTGTAAGTGATGCCGAAAGGCAGCGGCCAAGTGGGAGGTGTGTTCATCAATACTATCCCTATCGGTCATCAAACTATCGGCCTCACTATCAGTGTCCTGATCTGAAGAACTCGATCCCACTGTTGAACCAAGACTTCCCAAACTGTCATCAGATGGTTGTCGAACGTGCTTCAGATCTCGAGGAGAGGTTCGCCCATTAAATGCCATTAAATTAGTGTTGTGTTGAGATGCCGGTCCCCATAATAACTCTTTCTTGACGTCGTTGAGCATTAAATAAAACGAGTGAAGGTCTGTATTGGCCAAAGTTGGAGGAATAGGAGGACATCGATTCGTTTTAGCCGATGAGGCCATATCCATATCACGCAATTTTGACGGAACCAAAACAGTTGAATCCATATTATTCACGGCTTTAACAAATCGGTCCATCGCTGACAGTATCGACTGTTGAGAGCACATCAACGTGTCCTGAGATACTTTACTTGACCGTCGGCTCATACGACCGGACATCGCAGTCACATCGATGTTGGCCAGTGATGATCGCGGCATAACTAGATTGTTGTCATAAGCAAATGATGGCAGCATTGCTATGGACGCCACTCCAGAGCAACCACTGAAACCACTATTTAATACACTATTATTACAATTATTGCTAATTATATTATTTGCACAAAAAGTTGTTGAGTTAGTTGTATTGCACTGATTATAGACGTGAGCCTCACTACGGGATGACTTTCTGGTCACTAAAGATGTGGTCAACGACTCGCAAACAGCTGATTGAGTGGTCAGAGTAGAGAGCGATGAGTGCGGACGTGAAAGTGTTTGCAGTGATGGCTGTTGTTGTTTGTGTGTCGACTCAAATGATGCCAAATGTGGCAAATCTAGTGTCAGACCAGATGTTGTTGTGAGAGAAACACGTCTTGGCTTTTGCTTCAAATTCAGTTGTTGTGCCATTTGTTGGCTCTCTTCAAGACTCAGCCCACTCTTCGGCCTCAAACTGGAGGATTGCCTCCGGCTATCATCACAAACAACATTGCTATTAGACTCATATAACATGACTTATAAAGAGAGAGAGAGAGAGAGAGAGAGAGAGTTATAACTAATTTATATTCAAACTGTTGTCACTTTCAAACATTTAATGATTATAACAATTATAATAACAATTATAATAACAATTATAATAACAATTATAATAACAATTATAATTTACCCCAAATAACAAATATATTTATTAATAAATACTTTAAATAATATAAATATTTGAAACATTTCGAGATTTAACTAAATATGAGATTCAATGCAATACTAACTGCAATGCAATGAATTGATTGCTATTAACATCAGTCAGTCTATCAAAACATTTAGCTTTAAATCAAATTATTTCAGTACTAAAGCCGAAACCAATGACAATAAGCAACGTTTGTGTGACAAGTGATGCACTTATAGTATAAAAGTCATAGCATTAAGTCATATGATTAGAGATACCCCTAAAGTATTGATGTTTAGGCCCACAATCGCCTCATATTTGGGTCTTTCCTATTGGCCGTCAATGTGTTGACTAGTAGTGTCACACCATTACACTTAAGGGGGTCACCATTATTGCTAAGGGGGTCACCATTGACTACCATTGACTTAGAATTATTTGATTGTAATCTTAAAACTTGACTTAAATTATTTGAATATATATTGAAATAAATAGTACTATAGTTAGGGATAACCCATAAAATAATGATTAATCCTTTAATAGACAATCTCTAGAGTCTGGACCTAAATATGAGACAAATATGAGACAAATATGAGACGATTGTAGACCTAAAACACACCAAACAAATGGCACAACAACTGGATTTCAATCAAAAGTCAAGACGTGTTTCTCTGACATCAGATTTGCCACATTTGGCATCATTTGAGTCAACACACAAACAACAACAGCCATCACATCAATCACTAGAAGAAACACTTTCACATCCGGGGTATCTTCAGAGGTATCTTAAGCAGTATCTTCAGGGGTCTTGCAATGTCCGGTCGTATGAGCCGACGGTCAAGTAAAGTATCTCAGGACACGTTGATGTGCTCTCAACAGTCGATACTGTCAGCGATGGACCGATTTGTTAAAGCCGTGAATAATATGGATTCAACTGTTTTGGTTCCGTCAAAATTGCGTGATATGGATATGGCCTCATCGGCTAAAACGAATCGATGTCCTCCTATTCCTCCAACTTTGGCCAATACAGACCTTCACTCGTTTTATTTAATGCTCAACGACGTCAAGAAAGAGTTATTATGGGGACCGGCATCTCAACACAACACTAATTTAATGGCATTTAATGGGCGAACCTCTCCTCGAGATCTGAAGCACGTTCGACAACCATCTGATGACAGTTTGGGAAGTCTTGGTTCAACAGTGGGATCGAGTTCTTCAGATCAGGACACTGATAGTGAGGCCGATAGTTTGATGACCGATAGGGATAGTATTGATGAACACACCTCCCACTTGGCCGCTGCCTTTCGGCATCACTTACAGGGGTTGCATACAATTCTTCATCAATTAGCCGATTCGGCTGATTATCTGTCTTCCAGATATCAAGAAGACATTGACGCGTCATCTCTATAATCACTTGAACATCGACTCACTTATCATTTGATTTTTTTTCATAATTATTTCAATTTAATGTATTTTTAAAACTTGTTTTATTGATATTATCGTCAAATTCACTATAAATGGCATTCATTTTATTTTTAAAAAATGTTAAAATTGAAAACTGAGTTAAAATGTGATAATGTACTGTATATTATTAATATTGATCACAAATACCAATTAATGTAAATGCTTTATTTATTTATTAATTATATTATAAAATTAATCCATATTTTTTTATAAAGTCTATGTCATTAATATTGTATAGCAGATCACACTTATACAGTAGTTTGTAATGTTATATATTTATATAAATTATGTTTAATTATTATATTATAAATTGTTTTTATGGCATTTTCATTGAATTTTGTAAAGTTTGTAAAACTGTTTGAACAGAGCTTTGATAAGTTATTGAATGTAATAATTAATGATTTAATGATTAGAGTGAATGAGAGACGGGTATAGCGTTAATGGAATGCAGTATTTGATTATCAAAACATTTTTAACGGAAGTCTATATTATAATTGAAAATTGAGGTGAAATCTGATATAACATATATATATATATATATATATATATATATATATATATATATATATATATATTTGTTAATATATATATTGGTAATGCTTTAAATCAGTTCAATGGGCCGTTCAATAGGACGGTAGTAATGATAATGCAAAGCTTGAATTGTTTAACACTATACCAATTATATCACTAATATTTAAATGTTTTAATTGAAATAAAATTTGTTTTATTATTGTCTGAATTAAATTAATTTTATATTAATAAAAAGTTGTTATTAAATTATACTATATATAATAAAAAGTTTCCCTCTATAATAATTATGTAGTTATGAATAATTATTATAACTTATGCTTACCTAACATAATCCCAATTTATATACAGTACTTTTAGTCGAAATAAATTACCCTAAAATTTTAAGTATTAACATATTTATACAGTAATGTATTGTAATATTATTATTATTATATTAGATTTATATAAAATTGACATTAATTTCATATCCTATTAATAATGACAATAAAGTCAATTATCTTAAAACATGTATTCAATAAGTTATTTATTCACATATTCTTTGAATTGCTTACTTATAATTTTAATAATTCAAAGAATATTCTCTATTATTATTAAAATTTTGAAGATGTATTTTTTTTAATATCAATGTTTGAAAATAATACTAAATATTAGTCTTTTATTACTTGTGTTTTTCAATCAATTAAACCTTAATTTTTACTGAGAAAATAGGCCATATCTTGTGATAATATTATACTACTATATAGTACAGTGTAGAGAAAATTTCAAAACTAGTATTCAAAATAATGCAACAAAACATACATTAAAAGTCAGTACACATTAAATGTATGCAAGAGATAGTATTTGTTACGTAATAATATTTGTAAAATAGTAGGGATTTCCCAAATAAATGTTATCCCGTTTTTCCAGTTTTTTAAACATTTTCCAAAATTGACTGATTTAAGTCAGAAACCACCTATTAATTCATGACTTATCATAAATAGTACTAAACCTTAAACCTTAAATCCTTAAATATAGGACTTTTATAAATGAGTTTAAATATTTATAAGTGTTTCTAACTTAAAACAGTCAATTATAACCGCAAGGGATTTCCATACAATTTCACTACTTTTACTAAATTACTATTATTTTTGTTTTGTTGGAAAAGTTTCGTTATTAGGAAAAATTTTCATAAATAGTTTCAAATAAATACAGTAATTATTATAATAGTAAATATTTATTATCATATGTTTAGTTCATTAATCAAATATAATGTATAATAAAAAATAAGACATTATATATTTTTTAATCATTTTGTTTTCAAAAAAAAATTTGATTTCAATATTTTATATTTATAAGTTATAAATACTAATCAATTATATATAAGTAAAATAATTAATTTAAATTACAATCAAAAACAATATTAAGCCGTCGAATCAAAGAATGAGTCGATAATAACGGCAACTCTTTCGGGAGTATATTTGATATACTTATCGACATTTTTGGTAAAATCGATGTTAACATACCTATAAATATTAAATCAAATTAAATTAATTTACAAATAATAATAATAATAATATAAATACTAAACATACTTATCAAAAAATAGTTTATATTTAGGAATAATATAATCTTTATTTTCATTTTTAAGATTTTCTCTGAGCTCTAAGTCTGGAATAGCAAATGCTGTTTGAATTCTTTGAATTTCTTCAATCTCTTTGTTAAAACCCTATACAACATATTGTATAAGAAAATTGTTGATTAGATTAATGATAAATGCATTAAATTAAGTAAAAAAAATACCGCAAATTTGTCTTTAATATTCTGCCGATCTTTATCTTTAAGTTTCATATTCGCCATATTATTCATTTCGGGTAAAGTTCTTTGTTGTGAAAACGGTTTATCCATTTCGAGGACATAATGAAGTATACGACTCCAACTTTGAGAGTAAATACGTTTTGCGTCTAACATCTGTTCTTCATAAACCAACTCTATCTCTGGGTTATACATCTCAACGATATTCAATAAATTGGATTTTCTTAAAGTCTAAATATAGACAAAAAAATATATAATTATCGACAAATAATAAATTAAAATCTAAATTTATAAACCTTTAATATGTAATGAGTGTTATTTAATTTAAATATAGCCTTAAGATGAGAATCGTTATAAAATTCACATTTATTTTGAAGAGTAAGTCCAAGTGCTGACAGTATTCGAGTGATATACTGAGCAAAAGCCAATCTATTCTTATCTGAAGAATTTTCCAGCGAATGAATGTCTGTTACGGTTATAACTCGCGACAAAATATCCAAATATTCGAGTAATTGAACGATAAATATCATTACATTACTTGTCAACTGATGAACAGTTCCATCTTTAGGCACTTTTGTGTTGACATCACTTTTTATATAATCAATAAACTCTTCCAATGAACGAGAAATAGTTGTCTGCAGTGTAACAACTAATCCTTGAAATTTTGATTGAACTTCAAGATTACATCCATCAAACAGAATATCAAAGTTATGTCTCATAGAAGCCTGATGTCTAAGAATTGGGAACAAACACAAAGCTGAAGAAAAATCTTGACGAACAACACACTTCTTGACTCTATTAGCTAACTGTTCTCCTTCTCCGACAACACTTTCAAGTGATGGATAAACCAAACGACTAAATATAGGTCTTTGATGTTCAATACTAATAACTCCGTTCATAAGTTTCAGTTCGCTTTGCATTAGTTTATAGAGAGCTGTCACACACGTCAAGTAACCGACGATTTCGCGTTCACTTATAGATAATTCATCTTTTATTACCTCAAGTGTTGTTTGGTTTGATTTATTACCCAAAACATCGCCGGGAATCACATCTTGAAGTTTCTTCATAAGCGCCTGTTGTATGCTCTTTGGTGTCCGACGAACAGCAGACGACTCTCGAAATTGAGAAACATTTTTCCGACTCATCGCTGGCGAAGAATGACTCATATTTATAGTGTTTATATTGAATCCACCGCTACATGACTTTTGGTGATCTCTGAGCCCTTGAAGTGATTTTAATAAAACTTCTGAACGAAGATTAGCATAAACTGTAATAAAGTCATCGTTTTTATGAACGCAAAGCCATTGCGCTAATTGTCTCAACTCATCCCTTGCTTTCTCTACAATAAGTGAATCAATTTAAATCCGATTTATTGTTAGTTGAGATCAACTTTAATAAGTATTAATCAAATACCTGGCAATTGCTCTAAAATAGTTTTGTCTGACTCTTCATTATCTTGATTATCCTCTTCATGAACTAAATCATAGATCAAAACGGGAGGAACGGCAACACTATGTCTGGCCAACAGTTGTCTAAACTCTCTTTCAATACAATTGCCTCCTTTTTCATACAAAGCGCTCTACAATTTATAAACAATAAGTAATCAATAGCTGATCCCATGGCTATTACATTCAATACATACGACATTCATTAGTTCAGGACTGTCGTGATTATTGAGTTCAAAATAATCAATGGCTTCCTTAAGTCGATCCAAGTTTTTGATATATATGTCCAATGAATCATTAGGTCCGGTGGTAATGTTGGCCTCGACCTCATTGGCCACAGTGTAAAACTTGATGACATAGTCGAGTCGTTCAAGTGTTGAGACAATATTTTGTTGAACTGTTTGAAGATTTCCCGTCTCTTTATAGACCGGTTGTATAGTCTGTTCCAATCGCGACAGTCTTTCGCTGAAGTTGTCTAATATGACACTCATTTGTCGCGTCTGTAAATCAGATTTGTTGAGCAAATCTTTGAACGCATCCAAACTTTTGATGGCTTTGTCCAGCTTTTCGCTGTTGTCCTCCATTTCTATTGTCTCCACTGATGGCAATCACAGATCAGATACCCATCGCTCACGAGTTGACACCAAAACACCTGACTATCGGTCACATCATAACACATATCACTAAAAGTCACGATATTTGTGAATCACTCATAAGTATTGCACACAATGTTGTCAAACATTACACTTAATGTAAAGTATAGTAAATATAGTGAATATAATACTCAATACATTAAATGTAATACATTTACGTTAACAGTAAATACAATACATTTAATTTGTTTTAAATACTTATACAGTATTACACTGTACTGTATATAGACGTCATTATAGATTAGTTGTCAACATTGGCTGACAAATCAACTAACAGTTAATCAATTGATCCGATTGTCAACACATTAGTTATACCATAGTTTGCCATAACATTGATTGTATTGAATATCGTTTGGTTAAACACTTGTGTAAGTATTAACATAAATATCAATCAATACAATCATAAGATTTGTTTTTTATATTAAAAGCTTTATTTCTATTATTATCTCAAAATAAATCAATTGAATGAATAAAAGTAAAAATAAAGTTAAATATTATCTTTTATTTATAAATACTTGAATAAAATGTTAATTGTTTTAAATGTTTCATAAACAGTAAACAGTGAAAAAATGTCTTATCCATACCCGCCTCCCGATGCCATCAATAGTCAACCTGTATCGGGAGCACCGTATGTACCGTATCCGCCACCAAATAATACAATGTATGACAATTAGACTCAATTTAACAATGATTTAACTCGTGATATACTATCGTGTCTTCAATTTACTTACACTTAGGTATCCACCTCCAGGTATGCCCGGATATCCTGCACCACAAACTGGTGGTTACTCGATGCCAGGCTTTCAACCACAGCCACAACCGCCAGCAATGAATGTCGGTTACGGACAGCCACCACCACAACAGGGAGCAGGTATGACGACAATATTATTTAATTTTTGGTTATTAATGTAATAAATCAATTGGCAGAGCAATGGATGAACATTCCGATGGGTATACCTAACTGTCCCCCGGGTCTCGAATATCTGACACAAATCGATCAACTATTAGTTCATCAGAAAGTAGAACTTCTTGAGGGTTTGTCATACAAAAGATAATTTGCGGTAAAAATTTATTAAAACATATATTATTTAATAGCATTTGTCGGCTATGAAAGCGCTAACAAGTATTCAGTGAAGAATAGTTTGGGACAAAAAGTCTATCACGCAATTGAAGGTTAGGTCTTAAGGTAATGAAAGCTATTATTTATTATTAATTACAAAATTAGACAACGATTGCTGTACTCGAAACTGTTGCGGAAATATTCGTCCGTTTGATATGAAAATTCTGGACAACACTCAGCGTGAAGTCATTCACTTATATCGTCCGTTAAGATGTGACTCGTGTTTGTTTCCGTGTTGGCTACAGGTTGGCTATCCTTTAATTTATTTGTCACTACTTTTTAAATTAATGTTCATATAATGTATAATTTTTTTATAAAGAAATTAGAAGTGAGTGCTTCGGGTAATATAATTGGTTACATAACTCAAGAATGGAGTATATTTGTACCTAAATTTCGAGTGGAAAACTCTTTTGGTGAATGTGTACTCAGAATTGAAGGCAATTAATTCAAATGATTTATAATTTTAAAAAGACTAATAATAATCAAATTACCGGTAAATGTATTGTTAGGTCCCTTCTGTACATTCAGTATGTGCGGTGACGTAGAATTTCAGATACTTTCAAGAGACGGATCAGTTAATGTCGGAAAGATAACTAAACAATGGGCAGGTCTTATCAGAGAAGCCTTTACTGACGCCGGTATTTAATTAATTTGAATTATTATTATTATTATTGACTTTTTATATAAAATAAATAAAATTGTAGACCATTTTGGTATAACTTTTCCATTGGATTTGGACGTCAATATTAAAGCAGTGCTTTTAGGAGCATGTTTTCTAATTGTAAGTTTTGTAATTTTATTATTTTTTTAGTAATGTATTATTAATAAACTGTACTAATTTAATAGTATGTATTAAAATTGTATTACAAATAAATATAGGATTTTATGTTTTTCGAGAAGTCTAACAATAAAGAGAACGATCGATTGGGAATGTTTTAAGTGAATGTTTCAAAAATAATATCTAATATTTGATGTTTAAATTGTAATTGTAATACAATATTACAATTTTTAAAATTTATTCAATTTATTCAATTTATTATACGAAAAGAATCTCTGATTTTACAATTTTGACAAATTTATTATTATATAGACAATTAAGTATTTATTAATATCACTATAATTTTGCATTTATGAACAAAGGAATGGTATATTACACTAATGGTAAGTACTAGTAATGGATATTTAAAAATAGATTTTAAAATTATTATAATTAAATCTATATTTAAATTATTAGTCTCTCTATGATATTTTTTATGTAATTTTAGTAAAGTTAAAAAATGCCGTATTTCTTCAATTTTTTAGTATTGCTCTGAATTAAATTTAATTTGCGTTATTCTATGCAAAAATGGAAAAAAATTTAAATACTCAAAAATTGGTAAATGTTTTCTCAATTTACTGTATATTTTTAATACATATATTTTTGATTATATTCACATATTAAAGTTTTAAAAATAATCATAAATTAGATTTGCTTTAATTTGCTATACATTTTATAAATGATAACTATATTTGACACAATTCAATGTTGTATACCTATTGTAAAGCTTTAAACAGTGTTAATACTAAACGATTTCAACTGTATTATCTATTATGATAGTTATTTCAAATAATAATGTATTGTATAAATTGTATTTTATTTTTATATATATATACGATACAATATTTATTACAGTATTATTATATTATAATCAGAAAATTGTTTTATTACACTATATTAAAATAATTTGTATCTATAAAAATGATACTGATAAATTATTTAATTTATTGTATTTTCATAATTAAAATAAAATTTGAATCATATAATGAAAAATTATATTTTATTTATATTAATCAAATTATTACAAATTACGTATAAGTAAAAAATGAATTGAAAAAATTAGATAAAATTTTAAATCTTTATTTTATATTTCACTTAAATTATATTTTTGTCCCATAATATAAACAGATTTTATAAGTTCTGCTATTGACTAATAATAAGCTTTTATAATACAAAAATATCATTTAATAATTGGTTTCATACCAGTGCTAACATATAATTAAAAGCATTTTAACATATAATAAGTAAATATCTTAATATAATGTACAGTAGTTTATGATAATCATAGCTAATTATAATGGAATGAGTTATTTAAAAATAATCATAAAATCATAATAACTATTAATAGAATATTATAGTACAATATATTCAAATTATTTTGCATTATACAGTATTACAACCAATAAAACAATATTATTATTATCAGTAAATTAAAAATCTATACAATTAAGAGTCTCTGCTTTGATAAAACAATATATATCCGGATTCACTAGATTTCTGTGTATCACTGGGTAGACCATAGAAATCTTCAATAGTCGAGGCATCGATTTTGTCGACCAAATCGTCGTCAAAAAGCAACCAAAATCCAAATGACTTAACTATACTTATATAATGTCCCCGATTTGGTCCACTTCCGCAATGGATAACAACTGCCACGAGATCATAGAGTTTGTCATCACTTTCGACATTAGATGTCTTATTAAAGAGCCTTAACTCCAAAGGAAAGACCACTCTGTATGAGAGTTTTGTGTGTCTGTTCTGTGATTCAGTGTATTTGAATCTTTTGAGATGAAGTGCTAAAATCATTGGTAACTTCTTAATTCTCATCCGTTTCTGTGCCTCCTGTTTGGAGCAACACTTCTCACAGTAATACTTATGTTCTGAACTCAAAGTCTCAGTATTGCTGAACACTCGAAGACAATGTGTTATCGATGTATTTTGGTCGACATCGACACTCAGATCAAGAAAATCTTCATCTTTTGATGACAGGGATTCACAGTTGAGACAACGGGTCTCATTGGTGAGTGTGCCCTGAAATATGTCGCGAACCCAACACTGGTTGCTTTGATTGCAATTATTTGATGGATTGGCATTAATATTGGCATTAGTGCTAACATTTGTGTTGACATTGATGTTGGCATTAGTGGTAACATTGGTATTGCTATTAGTCTTTTCATTGTCCGGTGCCTGAAGAAGATCAGCAATGGTATTGAGAAGATAATTAAGAAACTCATGAGCGTCCTGTTGCATGTAATTGTCAAACACTTCATTCTCCTTTCGCAACCTTCCGATGAACTTCTTGGGCGCAACGGTTCCCGTCTTCTTCTTTTGTGTGGCAATATTGTGGAACAGATCGGCCAAACACGTCAATAGTGTCTCTTTGGTCTGGCGTTTATTGCGGGCCTTATAATCCAAGACCTTCTCCCGAAATGGTCGGCAAAAATAGAGGGCCTGTAATACACTGTTGCAGTAACACGTGTTACCGAAGTTGACCAGACCGAAGTAATGCTCATTTGCCGGGAACTGATCCGAACCAATCTCTTTCTCCAATTGGGAAGCATTTGCACCCATTGTCCGCACAATTCAAGTGACCAATTGCTTGACCAACAAATCGGACACACCTTTCACGCTATCAATCAATCAATCAAATCATTTTCATTGATAATCAATGTATGACTCAAACACTTGTTTACAAAACATTGCATAAAATACAGTATTATTCATAATATACAGTACAGTAAATATACAGTAAATGTTAATTTAATTTATACTCTAATAGCAATATATTAAGTACTCTATAGTATACTGTCTATAGAGTCTATACTGTATTTATGGTTCACTTTGTTTATAAGGAAGGAATTCCCAAATAAATGTTTAATAAAATAAAATAAACTTAATTTTGTTATTAATATATAGATTTATTTTAGAATAATTATTATTGTTTTATTTAAAAATTGCAATTTTATTATAATGTCACTAAACATAATAAAAATTGTTGTCAATCATAGGGTTACTGTATTTCTCTATGTATTAGTAATCGGGAAGACTCGGTAAATATACCTTAGTTTAGATTTTTTCAAAGTCAATACAGTTTTTAATACTATACACTGTATACAGTCATTAAAAATAAAAGGTATTATTAATAATATTAATATTGAATATATAAAATATCAACATTTATAATAATAATAGTAATCTTAATTAAATTAAATATTAAATTAAAACATTTAAATAAAATACTGTAGTTATGACACAAAATACGTCTTAAAATATTTCTGATAAAAAAACCAAATTATATAGAGTTCTGTAAATTAATAAAAATAATTTTATAGTATTTGGAAATACAGTTATAATACTGTATTAATATTTACAATCAATTTATTTACTTAAAGTACTTAATTACGAAAAAAAAATATTTCATCGATTTTATGTTTATTTATGATATCTAACTTATAAATGAAAAAAACTAGTATTTATTGTATTCTCTAAAAATATAAATCAAATATAAATCAAATATACAGTAGTTATGTAACAAATATAATATTGGAAATTGTGGTTCAGTTGTCAAAGAGTTTGACTGATTGACCACAAAAATAGAGGAAATTATAAATTTCAAAATAAATCTTATTATTAATTTATAAAATGTTATATTTTAGCAAATATTTAATGAATTAATAGCTTTATCTGTTTTATATATAACACATAAAAATACATTGAATTATCAGTTTTGTTATATCTTTATAATATATACTTAAAAATAATTAATAGAATTTATTAAAAGTATTACAAATAATACATTAAAATAATAAATATTTGTTTAATAACTTTTCAATGATATAACAGTTAAACATCGATACTAATGACAAAGTTTTACAACAAAAATATTACATGTAATACAATGTAAAGTATAATAATACAGGTATAATATGCAATACAGTGTATACAACATTTACATAAAATATAGAAATATTTAAAAACATATAAATAATAATAATAATTAATAAAATAATAATTGCCTAACACTTGTTTAAATATTATCTATATTATTGGTATTTATAAGCATATTATTGTTTTATAATACAATTTATATAAATTTAGTTTTTATGGAAATGTATTTATTGTTTAAAATATGTATTTATATGCCGTTTATGTAAAACTAGAGTATATATTGTTAAATGATTTCATTATATGATTCGCATTGATATTGAATTTTACTGATCGGTATAAATATCTATAACACATATACTGTATGTAAATCTTATTTTCATTTATATATTAATATTAAGATTTTATTTATCGACATTTGACGACAAAACAAAAATATTTCATATTATAATAAAAAATAATAATTAAATATGTGACCTAAAAATTATTTAAACTTTTAATTGAGTGAAAAAATATTTATATTAAATTAAAATAAATATTTGAAATACTTAATTTTGCAAAACCGGTAATAAGCAAACAATTCAATATCAATAATATTTGGTTTAATTTTTAAGATATTTAAACAATTTAAAGATACTTAAAAATATATAGTTAATGAAGATTACACAATAAAATACCTAATTTTGATACATAAGATTAATGAAAACATTTTTATTAAATCATAATCAAAAACATGTTAAATGTTTGATCCTTTTGTTCATATTTTGGTAATTGTTTAACAATTTATACCGTAATAATGATATCTTATCAATCAGTTATGTATTTGATCTCAAATGAAATAACTTTAAATGTATTGAATTTAAATCTGAATATAACATATCAATTATCTATAATATATAATATATAGTAGATTGACATTTGTTAGCAAAATTATATTCATAATAATTGATTGTTTAGTAAATGATAGTCATCTATAAGCCTCTATAAGTTATAGACTATAACTTTCCGCTACTTTAATAGAGTTATCTATACGAAAGGCAATACATTAATAACTGTATAAATATTATTACATTTAAAAAGTTAATAGAAATTATTTAATGCATAAAAGTATAAACAAAACTATTTAAATATATATATATAAAAAATGATATATAATTAAATAATTGCATAATTGATACGAATAGATAATTTTGATGTAATTATTAAAAACTTAATAATCATATGAATGTCTCATTGAATAGCTATACAATTATTGTTATTATTATTATAATTATTATACATATGAACGACAAGTTTATAACTTATGATATATAAGATGGAAGTGTAATATAATTATTGAAATACATTGAAAATACTGAGCACTGACTGCACATTCAAATGCTTTACAATTCAGAGCTATGAATATAATCTCATTGTAAATACCAGAGGCTGTCATACAGTTTACACAATTTGTTATCATTTTAATAATTTTATATTAATAATTAAACGATTTAATAATTATTAAAAATTTGAAAACTATGTTAGAATTAATAATATAAATATAAAATATTATAAAAATATAATAAAACTGATAAAACTAATAAAACTATAAAAGTATTAAGATTGAGATATGACTGTATAGATCAACATTCCTGAAATATTTGTGTACATCATTGAGGGCTACATTGAATGATAAATATAAATAGATTATATTGGACTCACTGTAGTTAATTGATATAGATTTTAATATAATGATAGTACTGTATGTTATAGTATATGATGAGACAGTGATCAATGTATTGACAATAGACTAGTGTTGTGTACATTTGATGGCATAACTAAACGCTTGTAAACTATGATTTAAATAACAATATTTTTATTTACTTTAATTTCATCTCATTTTTCGTTTTATTTTTATTATTCAATTGTTTTTCCGTTTATTTCAGTTTACAATTCATTAATTAATTTTAATAAAAATTTTATTTATATAAATAATGAATAATAAAAGCAAAAAAATCAACGGAAATAACAGTAATGCTATGCAAACAGTGACCACTTATTTGACACCAATGGGCCCGAAGTCGACCTCAAGTACGAAATATTTACCCAATTGGTCACAAAATGAGATATTAATTTATTTGTATTTGGTTTTGTATTTTGCAGACAATAGCGTCAAACAGAGCTCTTCTGGCAGTGAAACGGATGTCTCGACGTCGACATCAATTGAAAACTTGACTCCTGAGGAACGGTATGTTCTCCGAAACGGTGTCCGACAGGAACCACAAGGAGAGGAGGCCTTTATATCGGCGACTCCTTTGATGGACACAATATCTCTTAATAATACTCTAATAATACATCACAACAAATCATTGGATGGATTGCAATATCAATCTGTGTCACCACTTCTGTACGGACAACGTATTAATAACAATATTAATGACACCAACAATAATAATAGCAATAACTTAAATAATAGTAATAATAATAATATAATAAATTGTAATAATAATAATAATAATAATAATAATATAAATGATATGACAAATAAAGGTCAATCAATGACTACAATAACATCACAATCGGCATCGATATTGTCGACAAACAAAAGTAATTCACATATCAATAATGTGTTAATTAGGACCAAATCGCCTCCTAATCTTCAATTAAGTCCCACCCGAACATCGAGTTGCGAATCAGTTCCTTCGAGTCCTAATGCTTTTAATAGAGCTCTTCTTCAACACTTCCAGTTGAATAATTCGGGTATTGAAAACATGTCGGGATTGCAACAACCAATGCTTACAAATTACTTGAACTCATTGTCCAATCATTGGAAGAATGGTAACGAGTCTTTAAACAATTACGATATCTTCAAACACAACTTACATTTGCCGCCACCACCAGAGTATGAGAGACAATGGAGTAACTCGAGTCCTAACTCTGTCTCAACTTCAGCATCTAATTCAACGACACCTGAATCAAAATCTGTTGAGAACCTGCCGACATCCCGATCCCATCCGGATCTGACTAAATTCGACGAAATAGCACTCAAAGAAACCAAATGTAATAACGATATGATTCCCAAATACAATATGATTGAAATGTTAAGCGCTGAGAACGCGGCCCTAAAAACAGAGTTAGAGCTCTATTATAAAAAAGTGCTTAAACTTCAAAAGGTTTATATTATTAATTTATTAAATGTTTTATAAATTATTTATATTTTAATATAACAATTGAATTAATTTAATAATAGTTTGAGATTGAGATACAAAAAGTACATCAATCGCATGAAGATCTTATGAGATCTTCTGAAAAGAAAGAGAAGTTAGAGCGAGTCATAAGATATAAGTTGGAAATCGATGTCAGAAGACTACAGGATCAGAACAGAGATCTTAAAAGTACTTTAATATTATCATAAAATATCATTTTTTTAAAAATTAAATTGTTTTTACAGTTCAATTTGAAAGTGCTTTGTCTCATATTTCAAAACGACCGGTAAGTGATTTGATTTAATTGTTTAAAATTTGTTTTAATTATATCGATAATTATTTCTAACAAATAGATAAGCGAATCACTGGATGATAGTGAGCTTAAGAAAGAGATTGGAAAAAGAGATGTATTGATTGCACAATTGCTTTCACAAAGTATTTATTTGAAAATTATTTTTAAATAAACAAATATTTTAATTATTTTTATCCTTTTTTAGATAAAGAGCTTCTTAACGATAAAGAAAGACAAGATATTGAATTACAGGCTCAGAGATTAACACTTGAAGAACAACGCAATCATATCGACATTTTGGACAGTGCTTTGATGAGCACTCAAAACAATGTCATTAGATTAGAAACAGAGGTTTTAAACATTGGGTTATAAGTTATGACTTTTAATTAAAACAATGATTTATTTTTTTCAATAGTGTCGCAAAAAGCAGGCATATGAAGAAAGAGCGGTACAATTACAAAAGGCTTTATCTAATTTACAATTGGCTAGCGATAGGAGGCTTACTATGGAAAAGAGGGCCCGAAATCATTTAGAGAATGAAATCGATGGATTAAAAAAGCAATTGTCTGGTAATAAATCTGGAAACAAACCGGAGAATGAATTTGAAGACATGAAAAAAGTTATTCGTGATTACGAAGAAAAGATAATTTCATTGGAAACTGAGGTCACAAAATGGGAGCAGAAATATCTTGAAGAATGCACTCTTAGGTCTATTGAAGTCAGTGCTGCGTCGGCACCAAAGTAAGTGATAGTATTTTAAATAATTAAAAATGAATTATGTATTCAAAGATATGTTGTGATAATTATATACAGAGACGCAAAAATTGCAGCCCTTGAGCGCACTTCTCAAGAAAGCGAGAAATTAATTCTTGAAGCAAGAAGTGAAAGACTTAAACATATGGATGAGTTACATGTGGCCAACAAAAAGAATGCCGAATTCGAGGGCAGAGTTAAGGACATGGAGTCTAAATTGGCTGAAAAGGATGCTATGATTAAAGTGTTGAGACAACACTCACAGGACAAGGACGCTGTTCTTCATAAGACTGTTTTGGCTCAACGGATGCCCAACAGACACGGCCGCTCTGCCAGCACTATGGGACTCACATCGACTACTAGTTCCCATTCGACTCAATCAAGTACTCAGTTATCAACCATACGATCGAAAAGAGAAGAGTTGACACAAAGCAGTTGTCAAACGAATGAAACGAATTCACAAAACGAATCCAACGAATCAAATAAAATGAATCTCAATCTCGAAGAACAACTCAAACAAATAGATTCTCGACTAACGAACAAAGTATGTGTTGATTTGCATGAAGACTACCGTAACTGTCAATTAAATTGTTGATAATTTGATATTTATTTTTATCATTTAGGACTCAATTATAAGAGCTCTTCGATCAGAAAAAGAACGATATCCTAATCATTATACTAATAATTGGAGACTTTAATAGTTACGACATTTTCTATATTTTATTTTCTGTATTTGTCTGTAAATTATGTCAATACATATATTTTTGACTGTATTTAATGCTAAATACTATTATATTATAATATTGTGGTATATATTGTAAATCAAACAAACGCTTTGATCCACATTTGTGCCAATCTTTTGTTAATAACTTATATTCAAATTTGTATATTTATTATATTGCAATATTGCCTTATATTATAAAAATATATATTTAAATGAATAAATTAAATTATAAATAAAATTAATGCCATTTTGATTGTCCTGTATGTCTATAGCCCTGACAGTGGGCACCGGTATGTTAGTTGAGATAAGTTTATGACTTGAAATCATTTAATACCCGAACACAAGTCGACGCATGCGTTCAATAGACACAACAAACTTGAGTTTTATTATTACATAACTAATGATAACATGAATTACATTACAATCTAAATGAGTTGTCAATGGAGTCAAACACTAATTTAGTTAACGGTTTGAATCATTCAAACCATAAGACATTCAATGATCAAAGTCTTAACAATGAAGACAACAATGATATTAATGAGTTAAACACAAGACTTACACAAACTGAAGACAAGTTAACCAAATTTAAGACATTAGCCGTCAAATTAAAGAAAGAGCTCAACGAAACCAAAGAGCAGGTAATTGTCATCAATGGTAAACATTATGACATTCATTGTGTTTAATATCATAGCATTTATACCGTTATGTAATTGATTTGATTCAATCATATAGTGGTCACACCTATAGACTATAGGCTATAGTTATCATGTTTTAATGCAATGCCTATAATAATAATATTATAATAATTTGTTGGTTTAAAAAATATGCAAATTATGTGTCAATTGATTGCTTAACAGTAATGTTTTGCCAACAATTATACATAAAATGCAATACTATTTCATTGATTTATTTTCAAATGTTAAATATTTTTATTATATTTTGATTAATAAACTATTTTTCATTTTAAAAAGCTGTCGAAATCGATATCTGATTGCAATGAACTTAAATGTCAACTTAAAGGACACGAAAAGGAGAAGACCTCTCAATCATATCAACAGTTGTTCCGCAACTTTCAGGTATTGTTTGAATTAAAAAAAAATGTTTTAAAAAATGAATTGATTTTCTTTCAAAAGGGTTTGCAAACAGAATACGACAAAATCCAAGACGAAAGCGATTCATTAAATTTGAAGAATAAGGAACTGGAAAGAGATTTAAACAATGCTATCACTCAGTTGACCACAACTAGAGAGGAATTGGCCGAATCTAAACAAGACATCGAGTCTTATAAATCTAATATCAATTCATTGAAAGAAGAGATTCAATCATTGGAAGCAAAGAAACGAGAATTTGAATCAAAAATTATTGTTTTGGAGAACGACTTGGATTTGGAGCGCAAACGAAATGTGGCCAACACTGGGTTGGGACAGACTATTAGTGAATTGCGGCACCAATTGGATGAAAAAACCACAGAAATCATAGATCTAAGCGATAAATTAGAAAATTCAAGCCATGAAAGCAAAATGTTTGAACAGATCAGTAGTGATAGGGATAGACTGTTGAGTAGAGTTGAGAATTTAGAAAAAGATAATAAATTTCTTAATGAAGACATTAACAAATATAAGGAAACATTGGAAACACAGTTATCTGAGTTAGAAGACTATAAAATTAAATGCTGTCAATGGACGGCACAAATGCAAACATTGCAATTGCAATCAAACACTAACAGTGAAACCTATAGTATTACTGTTAAGAACTTAGAGACTAAAGTCAATGATTTGCAACAACATATCAGTGATCTTGAAGTGGATCTTAAAGACAAAGATCACAAGTTTGAAGAATACAAACATCGAGTTTGTAAAGTTCTTAAACAACAAAATGATGTCCAAACTAATGAAGTGAACACTCAGTATATGCAAGAACTAAAAACACAAATCGATGATTTGACTCAACAATTGAATACTATTAGGTATTAAACAGATTATCGGATTTAAATTACGGTAATACTCATCTATGCTTTTAAAATTTTGTGATTTAGAGATCAATTGGATGTGACTTTGCGTGAAAAAGAAAGTTTAGAGAAAACATTATCTCAACTGAATTCTAGTCATAATCTATTAAAAAATCAAATGATTGAATACAATACTTTAAAGGAAAGGTATGTAAATTTTATTTTTTATTATACTATTATTGAAATTATCAAACAATATATTTGCTGCATAAATGAATAATTCAAATTTTAGAAAATAGTTTATAATATTTGTAAAAAAGTATAGATAATGTTAACCTAATTAGTGTATTGGATATACAGTATAATGAAGTGTTTCTAAGTGTATCCCAAAGTAATTAGTTTATTATATGAATATTATAAATGTTATAAATGAAAAAATAAAAACTATTTTAAAGAGGATTTGTTTGGAAATTTGTATAAATGTGATCATCAGATCCAATATGGCGTCATTTAATAGTACGGTAATTATAATGTGAATTAAAGAATTGCTATAACACTACTAACTAATAATATTAAATTGAATAATTCAATCAGTTAGTAGAGTTTACTAAACTTTAATTACCGGTAAATATAATTAAAACATCTAACCAGACACAATTGATAAAAAATGTTGGAATTTTATTGCAAATTAATTTTTTATTAATTTTAATAGTAAATTAAATATTTATTTCTATTTTGATTAATGAGGAAAAATTATATAAAAAATTTATTTATTAAAAAATATCATTTAAAATTCACACAAACGAGTTATACAAATTGTTAAACTTATTTATTATTAAAAATATGAAACTTTGACTAAATTAATTCAAAACTATAGTTAAATTAACGGTTAATTTAGCATGATACTTTAACATTGTATAATAAGTTGGCTATTTTTGTTGTTAGAAGTTTTGGCTAGAATTAGTAAAGTATTTATAAATTATATGTTTATAAATTTATCCATATATTTTTCATGCGTTTTATTTAATATAAAAAATAATTACCGATAACTATTAAAGAAAATATAAAACAATTATATCAAATATACTTAATCTATTGTATACTAAATTTTGAGTTCAGATATATTTTATCTAAAAAAGCTATCAAGAATATTAATTCCCATTAATTTTAATGAATATTAAAATAACTGTTATTTCTAGTATTTTAGTGGTTATTATTATTAATTTTTTATATTATTTTATATAAAATTTAAAAAATAGCCCATTACAATACTTACAATTATATTAATCATTAATTTGCATTTTTATTTTACTAAATTTTATTATTAATTTTATATTTATAAATAATTAGATTAAATGAATATAAGACTAACAACGAAAAACTCAAATCCCTATCTCGTGAGCTACAGTTAACTCTCGTTAATGATCGCAAAGAAAGTCAACTTAAACATAAGGTTTGTATTTTGATTATTAATTAGTCATATAATTTGTATAGTTTACGACAATTTTATTGATTTATTGTTTTATATATATATATATATTGAATATTTCAAATTTATAATAAATTTTGTTATGTATTTTAGAAAGAGTTAACTGATTTGGAGGATAATAATAATAAAAATATTATATCACTTGAGACGCAACTAAATGATATGAAAAATGAAGTGAAAGAATTAAAACATGAAATGAATAGATATTCACATCAAACAAGCATTCAATCAATTGAGTCTTCAAACAAATTACAACAATCATTGACTAATTTAGATGATTTAGATAGTATTGAAACAATTTCCATCTCAGAAAAAGTATTAAATTAAAATTTCTTATTTTAGTTAAATATTTTATATGTTTAATAAATTGGTTGTTTCATAGAAAGCATCGACATCTCCCACATCAATAGTATCCAATGTATTGCAAGATATACTTTATAATAATGAATCGCAAGAATTTAATCGTAAATATTTTTTTTAAATTAGATAATTTTATTAGCGGTAAATTAATTTTACATTTGATTAATATAGACAGTAATCAAGATTTTACAAAACATTTAACATTCGCTCAAAATAAAGTTGAAAAATTAACTCAGGTTTGACTATTAGCAGAATAAATAGATTAAAAATCATTAAATTATAGATTTTTTGATTTAAAATAAATTATTTTATTTACAGCTTTTAGAAGACAGTGAAAGTAATAATATATTAATTAGTGAACAAAATAGAGTTCTTAAAGAAGAGATCCGACGACTCGAGAGAAGTATTGAAAGGACAGAAGTGGCTAACAATTTGGAGTATTTGAAGAATGTTGTCGTAAAGGTATCATTGATTTGAATCGTTTATATATATGCCTCTAATTCTTATGATATGATACTTAATATACCATTAAATTATTTAATAGTTTATTACATTAAACGGTGAACAAGAAAGACAGCGTCTAATTCCAGTTTTGGCTACAATTCTTAAGTTAAGTCCTGAAGAGCAGAATTTATTCCAAACGTTTACATCAGTTGATCCAAATTCTAGCTCAAGTAATAGTCGGTGGACTGACTATCTTTACCATTGGAATAGTGATCCTAAATTATAGCAATCATCTGTGATCTAATGTTTTAAGACATTTTTAAAAATAATTATTATTAAATAATGTTTGTCATTATCCTTTTTTGCAATATTGTTTTATTATTATTTTTATTAATACTTTATTATATATCTGCAAATAAATTATTTTTACAATTATTTAATAAAAATCTCATTTAATATACAGTACTTTTCTGTTTTAGACTATTTGTTTTCCTTCGATAATGATTTTTGATTCTAAAAATTAAATATTTATTATAATCAAGAGTTTGGATTAAAATATTGTTCAAATCTTAATGCTTTAAAGTTTGGATCGTTTGAAGTAATTCTAAATACTTGACCACTATTTTTATATTCATCTTTGCCTTCATTTCCAGAAGTGACAAACAATTGATTCATATTTGGACCGCCAAAAGCAACTGATGTCGTTAGAGGCGACGGAATTGTTATTGAATTTATTACATTTCCTAATAAATTGTAAAATTAGTCAAAAATTGATAATTAACTTATTATTATTATTATTATATAATTTAATACCTGATTCGACATCGATTTGAACAACTCTTGATCCACCGTATAATGCCGTCCAAAGATATCCTTTAACATCGATAGTCAAGCCATCGGGATATTCATTGCTTTTGAAGTAATCACTTGTCTTGATGTTTACAAAAATCGTTTTATTGCTTATTAATCCATTTTGCAGATCATAATCAAAGACATAAATCTTTTGGTCTTCAGAATCATTAAAATAAAGTTTCGTATAGTTTTGATTCCAAGTCATACCATTAGAAATGGTAAATCCTTCTGACATTTTAATCATCCGATTCTTTTCAAATTTATAAAGATTACCCATTTTAGCTACAATACCATTGGATCCATTGACAACACTTCCAATCCATAGTCGACCCCTTCCATCAATTTTTCCGTCGTTGAAACGTTCTTTGCCTTCAATTGGTAATGCAATCGATGCCAACATTTCTTGATTGCCATTTCTAGTGTCATATTTAATGATTTGGTTGCTTAGAGTTATTAACAAAATATCTGAATTGTCTTCATAAGGAATAACAATAGTAACCAAATCTTTGAGTTGATATGTCTTTGTTTTACTATTTTTAATGTCAAATTGATGAATATCACCAACAAATGCATCGACAAAATAGACATTTTGATGTTTATGATCCCAAAAAGGACCCTCAGCTAAATGGTATTTAGTATCACTAATTGGTTCCACTGTTAATGACATCTTCTACACACTAATTATTACTGTAATCCAACACTTATTATATTATATTATATTATATAAACCCTACTCTACTGTATAATCAAGAGTCAGATAACACCTTATTTGAAACAAATTGATAATTCATTTCATTTGACGTCAATCAACAAACTTTTTAACTTAAGTCTAACCAATAATTATTAATAAATTTAATAAATATATACTAACTAATCACAACAATACTTTATATAATATAAATAAGTTTAATAACCTAAATATCTAAGTGTACCTGGATAATTTAGAAAATTCAACTAATTTTATATTTATTTTAAATCAATAGTTTTCAAATAAAATTATACTAAATTATAATAAATTTTACAGAAAAAACTGCACATAAAAACTTACTAAAGTATATCATATGTCACTAAAATTCATTGTTGTATAAAAAATGTTTTGATTTTCAGTACAGTGTAGCTATAAAAAACATTTATATATTTTATTTTAAAAACCAATTTTTAGTACCAATTTTATAATGTCCAAAAATATAATATCAATATATCAGTATAAATTATACAGTATATAGCCTGGATATTAGTAAAAATTTATAATACAGTTGAGTATAAGCATAATTTTATTTGGGAATTGCATATACAGTATACTGATTTAGAAAATATACCGTAAATTATATGATATATAATTAGTTGAATATACGGTATAATAACAATTATGCTATAAATATATCAAACCTATGTATGTACTGTATAATACATGTGTTTAAATTATAATAAATAACATTTTTATTTTTTAAATAAAATATATACTGTAGTAAATTATGATACTGTATAAAGTTATACAAATATATGGGTAAACTATGAATTGAAATCTATAAAAACTTGAGCACTTTTACAAGTTATTTAATAGTAAACTTTGTTGATTAATATAAATGTCGACTATTTTAAACTTTTATATTATTATTGTAGAGAAGAATATACATAATATACATAATTTTAGATAAAATAAATTTTATTACAGTATTATAATTATTAATATAAATTTAGTCAAATTTATATTTTCTCTTATATACAGTATATAAGCTATTATATAAATTTATATCAAAAATGATGCCAAATGTTGATTCAAATCAAATGCTAGACAACATTGTCTTACAATGAAAGGGTAGAAAAAACTGATTGACGTATATATTGTATGCAATGATTATTCAATGCATTTGTGATATTACAGTATTAATGTATAGTAAAAGACATACTGTATTACACTATTGAATGAATGAATGAATGAATGAATATATATATATATGTATGTATGTATGTATGGCTCAATTGAATGGCTATACTGTAATATACTGTAATATATTTAGTGTATTGTGTGTGTTGTGTGTGTATTGAGTTAAATAGCGATTTACTGTATACTGTAGTATAACAACAAAAATAGTGAATAAAAGCCATAGAGTTGTCAATTGAATGTTCAATGTTTGACAACATTGGACTCAACACTGATTTTGGTGACAATTGGTCTCAATTTAACTCTACTTTTACTTTCATTTGGTTTGCATTTGATTTGAGTTTGAATTTATTTGCAAAGAGTTTACCACTAAGTGATTGAATCAATGATATAGTGATCGACTCATTGAATGATTTGAGCGACAAATGCAGTGATAGATTGGACTCTTCGACAGATTTTTGTATTTCAGTGATTATCATCACTTGAGTGACGGATGCCATCACTTAATAGTGATTGACAGCTAAATCACTACAACAATCACTTACTGTACGCACGTATTATTTGCACCTCACGTGCCATCATTTAAATGCTAATTGTTTTTGTCTTTACTGGCGATTAGATAGCAATTGGCGTTGAATTAAATGATGAGTTCTTTGAAATCGACCAAAAAAGACACCAAAATGAGAATCAGAGCCTTTCCTGTAAGTGATCCACACTTTTCATTACTTAAGGTCATTGATATTAATATGAATCTTATTTTTTCATTTGATTATAGACTTCGATGGACGAGAAGTATGTGCAGAATATATGGAATTTGCTGAAGAATGCCATACAAGAGATCCAAAAGAAGAACAACAGTGGACTCAGTTTTGAAGAGCTGTATCGCAACGCCTATACAATGGTTTTGCATAAACACGGAGAGAAACTGTATAACGGGCTCAGGGATGTCGTCAAAGATCATTTGGTCACAAAGGTTTGCATCATTTCGTTATATTTATACTGAATAACAATATTAATGAATAACAATATATTAGGTTCGCGTCGATGTCTTGAATGCATTGAACAACAATTTCTTACAAACTTTAAACCTTGCCTGGAATGACCACCAAACCAGTATGACTATGATTAGGGATATACTCATGTATATGGTAGGCATATATATTATTTGTCGACTATATTTGACTATTTGATTAACAATTATCTATCAAAAGGATCGGGTGTATGTTCAACAAAACAATGTCGATAATGTCTACAATTTGGGTTTAAATTTATTTCGCGATCATGTGGTCCGATACGGTAATATTCGCGACCATTTGAGGGAAACGTTACTCGAAATGGTTATGAGAGAGCGTAAGGGAGAGGTCATCGATAGGCTGGCCGTTCGTAATGCCTGTCAAATGCTTATGCAATTGGGTATTGAGTCGCGATCGGTCTATGAAGAAGACTTTGAACGACCATTCCTTCAACAGTCCGCCGAATTTTATAGAGTATGTTTAGACGTTGTTTTGAACACATAATTAATTTGTCTTTAATTTTAAAATAATTTATGAAATTATAGTTTGAAAGTCAAAAGTTTTTGGAAGAAAACAGTGCTTCTGTTTACATGAAGAAAGTGGATCAACGTATTAATGAAGAGGCAGAGCGGGCCAAACACTATCTCGACAAATCCACTGAAGATGAAATAGTTCGGGTCGTTGAAGAGGAACTAATTAGCAAACATATGAAGACAATCGTTGAAATGGAAAATTCCGGAGTCGTTCACATGTTGAAGAACCAGAAGACTGAAGGTTTGTTTGTTTGTCCATAAGTTTTGCTGAAACTAAAGCACTAATAAATATTTGTTATGCTTTTTGTGTGTAATTCATAATAGATTTGTGTTGTATGTATAAACTGTTTTGTCGCGTCCCTAATGGTCTTCAAACAATCATTGTTTGCATCAGTGCTTATCTTCGAGAACAAGGAAAAGCATTGGTAACTGAAGAAGAGGCCACTAAAGGCGATGCTGTTGTCTTTGTTCAGGTATTTGCTTTTATCGGTTCCATTGAATAGTGAATTAATTAATTAATTTGTTTGATTAGTCATTACTTGATTTAAAAGACCGATTCGATACCTTTCTTTCGAATTCATTTAACGGAGACAAAGAGTTTCTTAAAATGATAGCAAAAGATTTCGAATATTTTTTGAATCTCAACCCTAAGTCACCCGAATATCTGTCACTTTTCATTGATGACAAACTAAAGAAAGGCGTTAAAGGGATGACTGAACAAGAGATCGAACAGGTTTTGGACAAAACAATGGTTTTGTTTCGTTATCTTCAAGAAAAGGATGTATTTGAACGCTATTATAAACAACATTTAGCTAAACGTCTTTTGCTCAACAAAAGTGTTTCAGACGACTCAGAGAAGAATATGATTTCCAAATTGAAGACAGAGTGCGGCTGTCAGTTCACATCCAAATTGGAGGGTATGTTCAAAGATATCTCTGTTTCCAATACAATGATGGAAGAGTTCAAATCACACGTCAACTCATCACAAGTATGTCTAATGTTTTATTTTGACTTTAATCACTTGATTGCAAACGTCTTATGATTTCAGATAAATTTATATGGAGTCGACCTGAATGTACGGGTGTTGACCACTGGTTTCTGGCCAACTCAGTCAACACTATCCAAGTGTAACATTCCGACGTCACCTAGAAATGCATTTGAAGCGTTTCGTAGATTTTATTTAGGAAAACATAGTGGAAGACAATTAACACTTCAGTCACAACTTGGTTGGGCTGATCTCAATGCTGTCTTCTATGGCGTTAAAAGAGAAGAAAACTTAACGGATGCAAACACCAATGCGTGCTCTTCGAGTTCAACTACCAGTTTCGACAATACTGTCAGCACTTCATCATCTATGCCACCAACAAACCAAATCAATTCAAATAACACTAATACTTCAGCAAAAGTTATTCCTCGAAAACACATCATTCAAGTGTCAACACATCAGATGTGTATTCTTATGCTTTTTAATACAAGAGAAAAAATTACTTATGAAGACATCGCCAACGAGACTGATATTCCTGAAAAGGATTTGGTTCGAGCACTTCAATCACTAGCAATGGGAAAAGCAACTCAAAGAGTGCTCATTAAGACTCCTAAAACTAAAGAGATGGGTATTGTTTGTGCATTTCATTTGATTAGCAATTATTTATTAATTATATTTAATAATGTTATTGAGTAGAAGCCAATCATGTATTTATGGTTAACGATTGGTTTACATCGAAACTACATCGCGTCAAAATCCAAGCGGGTATTACTCATTAAAATACTTATTTTATTATACATTTTTTACCGGTAATTATCATTTGATATATATATTTAGTGACCGCTAAGGGAGAGTCAGAGCCAGAGCGCAAAGAGACGCGATCTAAAGTAGATGAAGACCGCAAACATGAATATCCTTTAATTAATCTTCATATTATTATTATTATTATTATTGTAAAAAAAAAACTATTTTCCTTAACTTTTAACTTTACGATAGAGGCGGCTATTGTTAGGATAATGAAAGCTAGAAAACGAATGTCTCACGCGAGTCTTGTGGCTGAAGTCACGGAACAGTTGAAGACACGGTTCCTTCCGAGTCCTATTGTTATCAAGAAACGAATTGAAGGTCTTATTGAACGCGAATATTTGGCCCGAACTCCTGAGGACAGGTATGACAGTGACAATTGAATACTAAATTCTTACTTATAATTATAATAAATAATTATTTATGTATTTTATAGGAAACTTTATACATATGTAGCTTAACATTGAATATTGGACTTTAAATTACTTTAATAAATATAATAATTACAAGCTGTAAGAGCCGATTATTTAATATTTATTAAATGTTAACAACTGAATAGTATATATAAAATTATTTTTACCAAAATTATCATTTTCATCATAAAATCCATTTTCGATGAGAAATGTAATGTAATTATAATTTATACTTTACTGTGAATGGCATTTATTATTATATAATCATAATTTTAATATATTTATTGTCGCATTGTTTCTAATAATCATTAGTATTGTTCATAAAATTTATTTGACTTCTTATCGATTTCTTGCGACTCTTTATCCAAACAACTTATGAATCCGTTTTGTGATAAAAGCCATTCGACAGCTAATTGAAGAAATGGATTATTATTTATAATAAATTAAATGAATTGTTATTTGATAATAAATAATATCAATTTATATCAATTTATATCAATTTATATCAAACGCTTACTTTTAATGTTAATGTTATCTTTTCCGCCAAACGTTTGCGAACCAATCAATTGTTTCTTAAGTATACCATTTTGGTAGAGAAAGATTGTCGGTAATCTAGAATCGGGAAAATTGGCCACACATAGAGAGGCTATACTCTTGAGGAACTTCGTGGTCGGGTATTTGACGGCCAACTCATTCAATATCCTCAACATAACAGTGCACTCAGGAATACTACAGTTTAAATGATATGTAATGGTTGGCTAAACTGAATTAAGATATGTATTACAAATCAAATCAAGTGATACCCGGATTGGTAAAGAAGTAGAACGACGGGTATGTGTTGTCCGGCATTGTTGACCTGTTGTACGTAATCACAGGCTGTTATTTCTCGGACGTCACCAAACTTTGGTGTCATCGACTGAGCCTCTAATTCAGCTATTCTTCGTAAACGATACTCTCTTAGTATACATTCATCGCTTTCATCCAATTCAAGCAAATCGTCTTCGGTTTGAATTTCACTTAATTTCTTTTCAAACGTTGATATTTGTGGCGTTTCTTCATCTTTTGTGTCTACTTTTGGTTCCTCTTTAATGATTCCGTGTTTTTTCAATATATCTGTCCATTCGGTGTCCTATTTAATGAAGAAAAACTAATTGAATCAAACAAATGATAATATTGTTGACAATTGTCTTATACCTCGTATTGACTCATATTAGAGATTATTATAACAATTAATTAATTATATATTTAAATATATTATAATGTTTTATAAATACAATAACTTAAAGCATGTATTGCTATGTTTTGCTATGTATTGCTATTTATGGAAATACAGTACAAGTGATCTAAAGTTACTATTTTTAGACTCAAATTATTGTTGTATTTGTGCCAAACTTATGGGTGTTTACTATAAGGTATTGTATATTATTATATAATACTTATTAAACTCATGTCATTATATTCAATGGACTAATGGCTGTCAATATTTGTCATTAAATTAAAGTTTAAATCAATTAAATTTATACAATCATTGAATATAATATTCATTATTATTGATATGAATACCAACATTAAGTTATAATTACTAAATTTAGGTACAATTATGTGTCACTAAAATTAAATAAATTATTTGATCAGAAATTTAAAAATTGTTTTATGTAATCCTAATAAAAATTATTGATATTTAGTTTTTGTAATTAACATAAAATTGTATTTAAGATGAATTTAAAACATTGACTTATGAATTACAATGAATTAAATTCATATATATTATACACAATATAAAGCAATAGTTTTAAGTGACAATTTGTTAACTCTTAGTTAACCTTGCTAAATTTTGAAAAATAAATTTTGAAAGCTATAGCATTGGCAAAACAAACTTATAGAAAGTATATCAAATAATGTCTTAACAATATTTAATTCATTGATGATTTTATTTCTAAGCCCCCCATTAATAACACATTAATAAGACACACTTTATACAAACTTACCTCAACTCACAATACAGCGGATTGTATTGTAATATTTGTCCGTTAATAGTAATATTGATTAAATATAAGTTTTATTACATATAAATATAATATATTAGTAAAAATTTGCTATATTAAAATAGTATATACAAAATTATAATAAAAAAAATTAAAAAATTATACTAACAGTTATCATAATAATAATTGTTAAATGATTCAAATTAATGTTGTTATAAATAAATATATTTTTTGTTAACATTTGTGATTATTATGAATGAAATACACAAATTTATAGTAATTTTAATTACAGTATTTGTCTTTATATTATATTCACATCCTATAGTCGACCGTTTTTTCAAATAATTCTAACAAACGTTTAACTTCTTTCCTATTAATTAAAACAAAAATAACAAATATTTATTTAATTTAAATATAAAATACATACAATTCTTCAGTTAATTTAGTTATTGGTTTCATTGATTGATTTAATTCTTCGCATTTAGCCATCAACTGATACATTGACTAAAAATGAAAATACAATTAAAGACCACATATTATACGGTATTATAATTTTAAAAATTTAGTTAAACCTTAATATTAGCGTCAATGACATCACAAGTCTTATTAAGACTTGTCTCGTAAGTAGAAATACATTCAACAGTTAGGGATGTAATCTAAACAATGATTTAATTTAAAAATAAATACTATTAATAAATAATAAATGATATGATATGTTATAAATTTATAAACAAATACATTATGTGTTGATTCATAGATATGTCTTAACATTGAACTGATATTATTAGACAAATGTTTTGATTGTTTTTCCAAATCATTTAATAATTTGAATTCAATTCCTGTAGACGTCTGTTGAGATAAATTGTCTGAAATATATAATAATAAAAATCAATTATTTCTAAAACATTAAACAACAATTGGATCAAACCATCGAAAGATGGCGAAGAAGAGCTGTGTTTAATCTTTTGGTGTAAATCTTGTGTAACGTATGACACCATATCTCCGTCATATGAAACATAATCGGGAGTTTCGTTAGGATCTGATCCATAGGTGACATTTGGCCGCAAGTTTTCCGTTTCATAACTGGCTTTTGTTTGTTCCGTCCATTTAATGATCGATGAAGACAATTGTGGTAACGATAAACTCGATGATAACTTTTTATCACTCTTTTGTTGGTCACTATCACAGTATTCGAGATCTTCGGCCGCTTCGCCGTCTGTTTGGTCATCGCTTTGATCAGAGAAGGAGATCTCATTGTATGAAGAAGTGATCAAATCGTTGCCGAACTGGTCTTCATTAGCACTCAAAGGACTTATTGTTGACTCGTTATCCGTGTCTTTGATGGTCTCGTTTGCACTCATTTTGTGGACTCAATTCACTGATATATCACTAATGATTGAATCAATCAATATATTTGACAACCAATTGATTGCCTAATGTTTACAAACAAAACAATTCATAAATGATGTCATATTTTGTTTGTTTTTTCAATTTAATAAAAAATTTATATTTTATTTATTTATAAAATTAGTTTTAAATTCTATTTAAACACTAATTATTTGTCACTTAATTGACATTATATTAACTCAAAGTTTATACCAAAAGTGATGACTATTTTAAACTTACTTTATATCAAAGTTTGCTTTCAATAACTTTTGTTGAATACAAACCACTTGTTTGACAAACAAAGGCTCTGATTGTCAAAGTGTTGACAAAGTGTTGACAAAGTGTTGACAAAGTGTTGACAAAGTGTTGACAATAAACTAGACATTAAAGACACTGAAGAAACTTAAGAGTTGACAAATGGTTTGTTTAATTGTTTTATTATATCAATTCATGTCTTGTTTTATTTGACAGTCAAGACATGAGAGCATCGGTGGTGCAGACAATCGTCGGAACAAATGTTTGTCTTTTTCTTTGGACTCATTAGGTCTGATCTATAGATGTTTGGATACAATCATACTATTAGTGGTGTTGTCGTATCAGAACTACTCTCTCAGCTATTGTTTAACTCTTCATAACAAAGACAACAATCTCTGGTTTTTCTACTTTTTGGTCGACTTTATTGTTATATTTCTCTTCATTTATGGATCAATTGTTGCAATTCGTTATTATCGTAAATATCATGTCTTTAAGCGATCAAATATTGGCGACTCTTCTGCGGAACAAACAAGACTGGAAGTCATTGACAACAATGTTAAGAGTGTCTCACAAAACAATAAACATTTTAATATAAGATTTCCCAAAGTATTGGGAAAACTGCCACTTCTTTGGATTTGTTGGATTTTGTACACTGTTTTGATTTCTACCAAAATATTTATATTACATCTTCAGAATATTGCACCGAATTTGTATATGAAGTCCATTAATAAGGTATTAAAGACTTATTAAACAATGATATTATACAACTGTACTATCGTTTGAATACCAAACAGGAGAAGAATGTCGAGGATTTCCATCCGTTTACTATTCATATAAGTTTAGCGGCGATGACTGTTGTCTTCTTCTGTTGGATTGAAATTCATCGCAATTATCGCAGCAATAAATCCAAAGAGTGTATCAAAGAACTGACAACATTAGCTGTGTTTGAAATTTTTGATTCCATTGATTTGTTAGACCTATTACTTCCAGACAGTAAAGAGTTTAATTTAGACAATCAGTGGATCTCATCGTTTGTGGTATTGTTGGCGACAATCAATCTTTTGTTGCCAACCATTGGTTTATTTCAATTAAGTAAGAGTGGGATGTATTCCCATAGTGTTAGTCTTCGTATTGATATTTTACATAATTTCTTGCGAATGCTTTTTGTGAACATACCTTATATGATATTAAGAATAATTTTCTGGATCTCAATCAAGAAAGAAATCTCAATATTTTTGCTGAAGAATGCATTGTTTGTATTTATCGGCATTCGTCATATCATATCGGAAATCCATGAATTGAAAACTACTCAAAATGTAATTAATATTTGTTTTGTATATAATTTCAAATTTTTATATTTCTTATTTGATTTTATTATTACATAATAGACGGATAAATCAACAATTGAATTGTCTTTAAATGTGGTTTCGGATAATACTAAAAGTGGAGAACAAAACATTAAAGATAATCAAATTGATGAATAATATACCATAAAAATCATTTTATTACTCTATAATTACTAAATTTATCCAAAGAACTGCCAAAGAGTAACACATTTTTCAAAAAATCTATAAAAGTGTCAAATATTGCAAATTTTTAGTACCGGTACTGATATCCAAACAAATTATATGAACTTATATTTATTATTCTATTGATATATTGAATACTACTTTATCTTCAATTTAATTGCCAAATATTTGATCAAAAATGACTATTCATTTGATTAATTTATTATATTAAACCAATATTTTAACAGTTCCGTAATATTTTACCAAGTGCATTTAACTTATTATGTTATACAATATACACATTTCTATAGAATTTATACTGTTTTGTTTAAAACAACGAATCTCTATAAACATGTAATTTATAAACCATTTTTACTGGTAATGCTATATTATTATTGATATTATCTTATTATAAATAAAAACAATAAATTTATATTTATAAATAGGTAATTTATTTGTCAAATTTATAATGCATGCAACATATATTGATTTATTAAAATTAAAGTAAAACTTGATTTAGCGACTGTTGCTGTTCAGTAGTTAGTCGTTGATAACAATTATTAAAAGTATTTGTATCCGACTATTAAAAAAACAATTAATTACTTAGTTATATAATAATGATAATTAATTTCATACTTTAATGAATTGTAAATATGATATTAGTTTCTGTCCCAAATCGCTTTTCGAGTCAATCGACATGCGAGCCAACACTTCGGCAATTGCGGCCACAATGTGCGGTAAATTACTATTACTTGGACCCATTATTACCGAATGATTTCTTTATATTTATAAAAAAAATTATTCATAAATTAAAAAATAATTGATTGAATGAATGAAATTTAATAAAAAACGACAAACCCTTCTAAAAGACTATATAGAAAGCCATAGATGTGAGGAATTTCTTCCTCATCTTCCCAGACGGGAAGCCAACTCAACCAAACAGGAAGAACATTATCGACGTCCACCTAATTTATAGTTATTTAATTTACTGATAGTTTTATTTATAATTATAACATACCTGAGAGTTATTAAATTGTAATATCTTAGTGACGGCTGAAATGGCATTTTCTGTGGCCGTTATGTTTTCGGCGAGTCTGGCGTTTGGATCGTTTATCATTTGAACCAAAAGTGGAATGCATTCTAATTATAAAAAATTCAAATTAACTCAAACATAAACATCTTTAATAAATACAATATTGTATCAAATTATTTACCGGTTGAGGTTCGGGCAAATGAGAGACCTCCGTGTTTAGCCAACACTCCTATACCATAAGCAGCTGCCTGTCTGATCTCCGCGTGTGGACTCTGAATACCAGATGAAAGAAGTGGCAAAAAAAAGTTTTGATATTTAACGCAATGTTCGCCGCCGTGTTCTATGACATCGTCCATCACACAAATAGCCCACTGTCTGTCGGTATAGGGTCTGCTGTCAGCCTTTTTTCAAATTTTGTCAAAATTACTATTATATTATTTAATTACATACTATTTTCAATTAACTAACCGCTAAATTGATAATTTGTTGAAATATCAAATCAAAATACAAATAAAAGTCATTTCTGAAGACAATAAATAGTGAGTGCAATATATCGGCCACTTTGCTCAATACATAAGTGTCTTCGTCGTCCTAATTAGACATAAAATACTTTAGTTATAACATTAAAACAATATATGACTCAACACAATGGTATACTTCATCAACAATTTCTGCTTCAACGCCATCGTCATAGTCTTCATCGTTTCGTTTTTCTTGTCGCAGTCGATACCTTTCAAAATGTTCTTTCAAATGATTTTCCAGAATTCTTATCAAATCTTGCATTTGTTTTTCATTTAAACAATTTTGTCCCAATTTGTCGATACACTTTTGTACAATAATACAATTAACGGTAAATATAAAAATAGTTAACTTTATAAATAAAATTACTTTTGAAAGTGAAGTCATTAATTCAGCCAAAACTTCTTTTTCCGGTTCAGTTTCTATGGCTTTAATGAGTTCGGGATAAATGAATGTCCAAATCTCAAAGACATATTGATCTCCTCTAACTTTTGCACACTCTATAAGAAATGGTAGACTTTCAGCGGCAGCTACTCTGACGCGTGTTTAATAAGTTAAGGATAAAAATTTTAATAAAATGTTTAGTTAATAATTAGTTATTTAAAAAAAGGATATCATCGTGAAAGTAAAACTTCAACATTGGAACCATTATCTTAAGTGTGTCCTCAACATAAGTGGCGAATCCATTTTTGAGTTCACGCGCATAACAGACCAACATTTGACAAGCCGTAGCCTTTTCCTCGAGTCCGGCCGTCTTTATTCCAAATGTTTGCTAAATTATTAAATAATACTTTCGGTAATTAAGTTCTTAAGTTAATTAAATTGACATCCAATACCTGATCACCCAAATTAACACATTGCCAATCATTATCTTCTTCGACAATTTTCATGTCATCTTCTGTGAAATTAAATTAAAAAAAAACTCAATATTTTGTTGTAATAAATTTGATGCAAACGTACGATCAAGAAGTGCTACTTCTATTCTAATGGAAGCCGCCTTTAAAACTGATGGCATAACATATGGTAAATAAGGCTCAAAACGGTTTCCCAAAATTTTACAAATTCGTGCCCAAGAAGTAATCATATAAGATAACTAAGAAATCAATGTTATTATTTGCAAACTAATTGTATATATTATTATTTTTTTATTAATATTTATCAATAATAAATAAAAATGCTTTACCTGTGGGTCATCGTCTTCAAGTTTGAGTTCTCCCGTTTGGTTTTGAAGCAATAAATTCATTATATCGCACGCATCCGTACAAAACTTTTATTATAAATAATTAAATGTAATTTAGTTAATAATTAGTTAATTTATCAAATAATATGTCCAAAGTATACATACTCTATCACTTCCAACGGCTAAACCAATAAGACTTACGCATTCAATACACTTTCCTCTCAATAAACGCAATTCTTTGGTATTTGCATTTTGAATAATAAACTTAAGACAAGGCATAAACCTAATAATTAAATCAATATTTTAATTTAAATACAAAATATTTAAACATATTTTTAACAAATTCTTACTTATCATAATAATTATGAAAGTTTTCTTGAGCTGAATCAGCCAAAGAAGCTAATGTAACAACAATTTGCTCCAAAACAAGTTTAGTTCCCCTTTCCATAAGCTTTAATATTAATAATAAACGGATTAAACAAAATAATAAAAAACAAAACATTGTTATAAGTTATAACTCACTTCTTTGATTTTAGCATTCAAGACGACTTCAATTTTATTTACAACGCTTTCTAAATAATTAATAACTATTTTTTGCGGACATTCTTCAAAAAAATTGACTAAAGCTGCTCCAGAGTGAGCCTGAACTCTAGGATTATTATAATCGTCGAGTAATATCAACAAATTGGGAACAACTTTTGAGTGATAATTGTTTTCAAATATTGGGCAAAAGTCTGTAGCCATTTGGCCCAAAGCATTACAAGCGGCATATCTAACACGTGGATGAGTGTCAGCCAAATATGGGATAATTGCGTCAACAATYTGATTGAGAAGAGAAATCATCTGATCGTGACATCCCTCACCCACTGCTGATATGGCCATTAAGGCTCCGAATCTATATTTCCAATCAGTGTTTTGTAACATTTGTGAGATTGAATTTATCGCCAAAGGAAGTATAGCTTTGCCTCCGATTGAACACGAGAGCCGATCCAGACTACTCTCACCAATCACTGAATTGCTATTTAAAAAACAATTTATATATAAATATAATAAAATCTAATATTTAATACAAACCTCTCAGAATCATCTTCCTCTTCAGTAGTATCACTTAAAGCCCAATTTGGATCTTCCTCTAAGTCAGTCATCATTAATAACAGTTGAGAAACTAAAAATTAAAATAAAATTTGATAAAATTATCAATTTTTAATGTATTTCTCACTTCTCACCAATATGTGAAAGGTATGGTTGGCCTCTTTTGCGGACAGTCGACGGGGCGTTCTCTGCAAAAGTTATAATGATCTCAAGTGCCAAATGTCTCCACGAGTCTGACTTCTCTGTATTGGATAGTGTTTTCAAACAAAGTTCAGTCAACGGTTCGTATTGTGATCTAAGTATTTGCGGACACTTTTCTGAGATATCAATAAACGATTTCAATGTTGAATCGTCGCTCTCATTGTCGATACAATTAGAGATAATGTGAATCATTGGAAGTATACATTCACTCATTTGCTTTATAATTGCTTTTTCACTGTCGTGTGCGAGAATGAAAGCAGAGGTGGCCTTAACTGCAGATATCTTCACTTCTTCATCGGAATCATTACATAAATAATTGATAAGCATTTGTTTAATTACCGACAGATATTTACTCTGTTCGCTACCAAAAATTCCCGGAACAGAACTGATAAAATTGAATGATTTATTAATTTTTTTACAATAATTCAAAAATAAGATTAAAAAACCAAAACTAACGCAAATATCAAAAGAGCCGAATGTCTGATTGAAATGTCGGGAGAATTGGCCGATTCAAACATAAATTGCAATATTTCGGGCCAATTGTTGTTTCCGTTGTCGTCTTTATATTTAAAATATTAGTTTTCATAAAATTTAACATATATTACAAGTAATACCTATGCAATTCTTGGACACCTCGGCGACCACATCACACACTTTTCGTCTCAAATTATTTGAGATATTGGTCTTCAAAAATAGTAGCAATTGATCTTTCATTTGGTTAAATGAAATTTGATTTATATTCTTAATTATGTCTTCAAAACTACTAAATATAAGTCTCCGCAATAAAACGGCAGATAATTGACGCACCTATTGGTTAAGTAATCAGATATTTGTAAACTCATTAAAACTATATGATTATAAACGATAAATTAATTTTTATACATATTTGATACAATACTAGAATACAATATTACAATAATTATTACAAAATATATTATTTTAGCAATTATTACCGTTAGACTGAAAAGATTTCTTAGTTGTAAAGTATATAAGATAGAGATATCAAATATTATATATATTTTAGATAATTACTCTAATATTATAAGCTATATATTAATAAGTAATATATTACTATATTATTAAACTAATTTGTTGGTTATCCGTAAATATTTAATGCATTTTTAGTTTTTTTCTAAAGTGATTTAGTATAATAAAAAACACTATATGAGATACTACTGGTAATTACCAGCAGTTGGGTTCACCGGTACTTATTGTATAACATTGTATTTTAGATACAATATTGTAAAATAATTACCGGTAAACATAAAATGTAAAACATATTATTTGATAAAAATGCAATTTATCTGAATATTTATCAGAATATCTTACTATACCTAACATTAAAATTAATGTTCACTAAAAATTGTTTATTTGCCAACACTTTATAAATTTTAAACAATATATCATAACGCTATCAAATGCATAAATTTAGACTTTTATGGCATAAATGTATTGATAAATATATAGATATCATAAATGATAATTTTAACCAATAATATGCCATTAAATACACATAGCAGTCAATAATCACATCTATTGTCTTATAGTTTTAAAATGTTTTTTTGTTGTTTAAAATGATTATTAATTATAATTGTATTATTGTTTTGATTGTATTTATCGACAATCAATTGACGACATCTCTTATACAAAGCTATTGCCATAAAATACCTCTTCATCTTTGGTTCCGTCGACAAGTGTCCCAAACAAATGTTGTAATCTTTCTGAAGGACTGATGGCATCATATATTTGCTATAAAATTAAGACAAATTGTCATCAGTGGTCAATATGTTGTGTTTATCAGACAAACCTCAGCCTTAGTCCTCAAATCGTTGTCGACATTCAATAAATTGGTTAATATTTGCTGAAAATCGTTAGCCATTTGATAAAAACAAAATAAATATCACTTGATTTAAATTAATTAATAAAAATATCACTTAATTTGGACAATAAATCAATTGTTTTGTCAAAACAATTGGCAAATCAGTGAAAAATATGAAACACATAACACATGTGTTGGTGTTTTCAGTGAAGACGTCGTCAATCAGTGATTGACATCAAAATAGTGGCGCCTTTTCAACGATCACTCAATACATTCAATACACAGTCGTATTGCACATCAATTATGTCCAATGATTACATCATTGCATTAATTATTATAATAATCTGACAATTATTATACATTTACCGGTAATTTAGTAACAAAATACCAACATTTATAACTTATAGCACTAATTAAGTTATTTATTTAATAAATAATATATTAAATATTTTTATCAATAATATAAACAATTTATTTTATTACATAAAAGATATACAGAAGTAGTTGTTTGGAATTAAAATGAAAACTCTTTTTTAGTTTTATTTAACTACAGGTAAAAAATATGTAAAATACAGTATTATTATTAAATATTACTGATAATCGTTAAAATCGAGAGAACAACTATCCTTAACGATGGCATATCTAATAAGTTTGGATGGATTTCCGCGAATCTCTTTAATTCGTTTGCAGTGTCGAAGACATGTAAGTGTCTTACGAATAGTTAATTCTACTTTAAGATCACTGAAGTCTTTCAAATCATTGATTGTACAAAAAAATTCGCCTAAAATTCAAAATTAATTGTATTATTAGCAGTAAATCACTATATTTCTCAATACATACCATCAGTTTCACTATTTTCTTGCTCTTTAAAGTGAGAATATCTTCTCATATCTTCATCTGAATATTTGGTCGAATAGTTGGCAATAATCTTATATTTTGCTGCAATTGTTCGGTTAAAGTCAGCAACAGTTCTGTTCATCACTTCATAGGAAAGACGTCCCAATATATATCTAAACAAATCATAATTTTAAATAAAAATAAACTTTTTTATAAATCAATGATTTGTATAATTACTGTGGAATAGATTCAAATTCTTCAGTTGTAATAAAAGAAATATTCGGCGTTTGTAAGCATTTGGTCTCTTTAATGACCGTTTTCTTTGTGATACTTTTGCCACCAATTCTTGATTCTTGTGTAGTCTTAATATTTGTCATACTCTTTGTCATCACTTTATTGTTGGCTTTTGGCATCACTTTAGAGACAACTGACCGGTTGTTTGACTGATTGTTACTTTTAATGGGCTGTCGTTTTGTTGATTGGTTTTCGTTGATTTTGCCTTAATATGGATTAAAATTGAGAAATAGTATCAAATTGTAAAGCAATTAAAAGATACCTTTATTTTGTTCATTCTTTTGCAGAAATGTCGGTATATTGTCATTGATATGAACACAATGTCTGCCAATTATATCCAAATCGTTGTGATATTTGTTATTAAAATAAAGCATTTTTTGTTTTTCTTGTCTAAGAAGTGATTTAATTTCTTGAGTCATAGCCTTCATTTCAATCACCATTTGTGACATTTCTTTGAGATCTGGTTTCTTGTAAGCCATTTGTTGATAATAATCGTATGAACTGTTGTGAGTGTTAATCACATTTCTTTGCCATTCATTGTTGTTGTCGTTACCATTACTCTCATTGTCGTACAATTGACTCAATGGGAACAACTCATTGATAAGTGATATCTTTTGGTCGAAATGAGCCAACAGTTGATCCAAATTAAAGCAATTCATGTCTTGAGAGTTAACTTCACTAAACTGTTAATTGATTCCCAACTTAACGGTCATTGATTTGCGCCAAATGTTTGACACCTTATTGTTCATCAATGATGTCATACATGTTTCGCACAAATGTTTTATACTTTTTATTTGTAATAAATGTTAAATTACTGTAATATCCATCAAATATATAATAAATTAACTGAAAGTACAGTAATTTAATTTAATTAATAATCATTTAATAAATTATAATTTATAATTCATGACTAATTGGATATAAAGTATAGTCACTATCACTGACTAACACTGTTTAGTGATAAACACATTATCATTATTTAATATTTAATATTATTTATAGTGATTGACAAATGTTTTCTCATCAAAATGTAAGTAAAACTTATTTTTAAATAAAATTATTTTATGATTTTTATTCAATTTTTTTAGTCACTTGAATGTCGATTAATATTTTATGAGATATTTCTCATTATTTTAAACACTGTTTTAATGTCAAACATATGTGATTACATAACTATTTAAAAATTTGAAATATTTACTCAAAATTTTTTATAATTTTAAAGCACTTAATATTCACTTTTGATCATTGCTTCAATTGATTCAATGCTTATAAATTATAGTTTTTTTTTTAATTACTTTACTTTAATAATTTAATCATCAAATAACAAATCTAATAATTGTTAAAAGTATTGTAATTAGAGTACAGTAAAACAAAATATAATTTTAATAAAAAATGTTTAATTAGTCGTATTTATGTTAATTTTATTAATTTCGATAATTTATATGAATCCCAGCAATATATATACCGGTATATAATAATTATATAAATAAAATTATTTTGATCTAGTTTATTTTAGTTTTTATTAATTAAAAATACTGTATTTACACTTTACTGTAACCGTAATATACAGTACTGAATGTATGATAATTATTGCAATATACAGTATTACAACTTTTATTGACTTAATATTAAAATTTGCACAAATTATACGATTAATTAAAATCGTATAGTAATTGTTGCACACTTACAATACAAAGTGACAATTGTCTATATTTATATCAATATTGGAAAAATATCATTGTTTTAGTTACGATAAAATTAATTAATTAAAACAAACAAAAACAACATATATTGCAAATAATGCGAGAAATATATATATAAAATGCACAAAAATAAGAGCCTATATATAGATCCAAATATTCAAGTGATGACATTAACAAATAAAATGTGTATAATTTTTATAAATTTACATGACTTATGACTAAATAATAATAATATATAAATCCTATATATTTTGCTATATTGGTAGACAATAATCACATAATTAGTAATATATGATACGATTAACATGAATCACTTAAAATGAGTTTTTTAATTTCATGTATTTTATGATCTATTGATGTATTTAATAGTAAATCAATCAAATATACAGTATATTACAACTGCAATACAACTCTGAAACTTTCTCAACGCTACTCTTAAACGATCACATCTTGTCGTCGATTTCTCGAAGCTCTAGTATCTGTTTGCGGAGCACTAACTGTAATGACAGTAGTGGTGGTCATTGGATTAACGTCATCAGCCATTTCAACGATTGACTCTTCAGAATCACAATTAACTGAGAGACAAGTGGGTGCCATCATTGGGACGATGTCCACTTCGACGAGCCGTACATTTGGTGCACTGGCGCTAACATTCACTACATTATCAGTAGCACTCTGACCAACATTTGTCTGATCTATAATTTCAGAGTTGGTTGTCATTTCAGAGTTGGTTTGATTTGTTTGTTCGTTAGAAGCACTTGTTTGTGGATAAGATCTACGACGACGTCTACTTCGATGGCGAGTGTGAGCCCTATCGGCAAACAATAGTGGCGTTCTCTCGTTGGCACCGGTATGATGTGCTTCTGATTCGGATTCAGTATCACTTATATCACTCATACCTGGAAGTACTACCTTTCCCTTACATACGGGACATACTCGACGGTTCTTTGTGAGCCATGGATCAATACACTTCATGTGATAAGCTATTAATATAAAATTATGTTTATACTGGAAATCTAATACTACTGTAGAAATCATTATAAATATAATAATAAAAAAATTGCAAACCATGACCACAGGGAAGAATTCGAAGTTTTTCTCCGTCGACATATTCTTCGAGACAAATGGCACACGTGTCGTACTGATCACCTTTTCTGTACTTTTGAATAGGTATTTGTTTGAGATGTCTTGAAGACAATCTATGTCTTTGTCGTCTCTTTCTTTCGCGATAACATTTCACGATCTGAAAAATCTAATGACTCAATAATTAATTATTTTAATTACAATATGTTTTGTTTACCATAAATGATATCATTAATATAAGACAGACGGCAATCACAATAGCAAATGGCAACAAATATGCGTTCAAATTAAACGGTAGATCAGGTAATATCATGAGATAAAAACCATTAGTCCAGAGATATTCCTTCTTAAGAGTCCATCCGTCTTCAAATGAGATTAAAAGAGCTGGAATTGTGACTCCATTTTCTGCTATTTTATAATAGTTAACAGCTTTAGAGATAATCTCATTAATCTATTTTCAAATCTAATTTTAATCCAAAATGTAATACCAGATTGCGGTGAATGAACTAATGAATACTTTTTAACTGTCATTACATCAATATTATAGATAATGACGGCATCAAAGCCAGCGTTCATAGCGTTTTGAACCTAAATTAATGCAACATTTAATAAATTTTTATAATTTAAGTCATTTAAAGACATACCTTAGTAGTGAACTGACACGGATAGCGCTTAACCAATACAAACCATTTGATACCCGTTTGATTGGTTTGTGGTGGACCTGCCATTTGAGAGCATCCATCTTCGGGTTGACCGACAACAAATCGGCCCTTAAAATCAATTCAATTAGTTTATCAATTAATATAAACTTTATATAACTTAAGTATTTACAAGAATGCCTTCTGAAGGAACAGATGCAGCAAAACCTAACTCAAAGTCGACGAAAACATCAACAGTCCTATTGTTTGGTGATATCTGTGTTTTGTCAACAAAAACGCCAAAAGTTATCCAAAGTATGATCAAAAAAATGATGCGAAAAGACAACCAATTATTACTTACGACTGCAATGTCGCCATTAGTCATATCAATCATCACCGAAATGGTCCATAAAATGCATATCAATTGACTTATCTTTTGTGTTATCAATGAATGCATTAATGATCCAAATGAAGACATTTTTGTTATTAAAAACAATTTATATATATTTTGTAAAATCACATCAAATTCAATGACAAGTGATTGCAATTTAAGTCACATTTTGATTAATAGTACAATCAATGCAAACAAATAACTGATGTTTTAGTTTATTATTAATAATATTAATGATTATTATTATTATTATTAGTTAACTGTAATCACAAACAAGTAATCAATTAAAGGGATATTTTTGTTGCTATTGTTGTTGACATCCATTGATGTGTTTATGTTGTATATCACGTGATATTCATATATATCGTTACAAAAGGGAAGCTAATAATAATTATAACAAAATTATCATAGATTTCAATAGATTTCAATTGATTTCAATTGAGTTAAAGTATTAATAAATTTAATTAAAGGGATTCATTATTTTGTTGCCATAAGTTTTATATTAATATTGTATTAAAATATAAATATTTAAACTATTATTGAATACAAATACGTAAAATGCTATACATTTTGAAGGCTATATAATTTAGTTGCCATTAGTCCACTTAATATTGTTTACTGTTATTTACAATACAATAATAAATAGAAATAATGTATTTATTTATTTAATACAAAATTATATTCATTACTGTAATAGCAATGAATTGTATTGATTGTCATTAACTGTTTAACCATTGAATTGTTAATTAATTATTGGACCAAATGATTGAGGTATACAATGATAATAATGGATGAAATCATATAATATGTTATATATATATATATTATCAGTCATTAGTTTCATGGATGCGATGGTTGTCCGTCTGGTGTGTCCAAAATCCGGGCCAATTCTTGTACACCGTTTTGATAATATTGTCGCCGCTATTCGTCATCAGTGCTTACCTTTCGTGGAAGTTATCCAAACATATAGACAATCAAAACAAGAAGTTAAGACTGAAGAACAAACGTATCGATAATATAAAGCAACGAAAGAAACAAAATTAGTCACAATTTATTTAAACATATTTTAAAAGTTTTATTTTTTATTATCTTTTTACTTAAAATGTTTGCCTATTTTTTCACTTTTCTTAGTTTTGTATTTAACTTTAAATTTAGTTAATATTTAATGTTAATCAATAAATACAATGTTAATCAGTATTACAACTAAAATATTACAATATTTGTCACTAAATTATAGATTCAGTGTTTGTATTCGTCATAAATTGGAAAACCAGAGACCGGATGAACCTTTTGTTTGTTTGTTTGAGTGTTTGGATCAGCTATTGATTGACTAAATTGTTGTTTTTTATTTTCAATCATACGATTGTATTCAATCTCTTCAATTGTCGGCGGAATCTTTCGCATCATTCTTAGCCAAGCTATTAATGAAAATAAAGTTTTGGATTAATTTTAAAAAATGATAAATGAAGACAATGTCCTCATGTCTACCATTCCATTCGGGAGGCAATTGTCTGTCCCAAAGGTCTTCATTCGGTGGTTTAAACCATCGTCTCGGTTGTTGTCGCGAATCATATAATTCTTTGTGTAAATCAATTGTCAAAAAAATATTTGTATATCAATTGAAATCTTAATTTAAGATAATCGCTATAAAAAAAATTTTAAAAATTGATAAATACTTTTTGGAAGACATTCGTAGTAATTGTTACCCAAATAATCGGTTCCCATGTGTTTAGTATTTGTCTTAATATGTTTTGGTTTAAGTGAATCAATAAATCTTTCAAAAATTACTGACAAAGAGCTTCTTCCTCGGTATGACATTATTGCATCAATTGGTTATCACTAACATAGCAAACATCAATATACTGTACTATTATATTAATAATATTAAATTAACATAAAAAATAAAATGTTATTTTAATGTTATTTTGCAATAACACTAAACAGTGGCCTCTATTGGATGGCATCACAGTATAGGATAAGTTATAAAATGTTAATTAAACTTAAGATTATTATAACTTCGGTACTAATTATAAATACTTTGAAACAACTATTATTAGACCATAACATCAATTATTGTCTAAATAGTTGTTTATATCATAAAACATCAGAAATTATTACATATTTTTTTAATGCTTACAGATATTAAATCTAATAATATATTAAAGTTTAGTTACAGACTGTCAGAGACTTGAAAATGGTTATCTGAAACTATAGGTCGACAATCTGGTGGCAAAATATAAGACATTATCTAAAAAAACATTTCGATGACAATTGAAATCTTTGATCTGCAAAGCAAATCAATTTTTTTGGAGTCAATTACTAACAATTGTGAATCGGTTCCCAAAAAAAATTGTTTATTATTTAAAATATTTTGATATTAAGAAACACTATTTTTCAATATTTAAATGTTTTTGTTAATACAGTATTTTCTACATTTAAATATATTTAAAATTTTTAAAGTTGTTGTTTTTTATATAAGAATTTAATTTATATTTATATTAATCTTATATATATTATTAAACAATTAATTAAATAAAAACATCACAAAATATTTTTCAGTTTTTATTTTACAAGTGTTTTATAATGACAAATAAAACGAATAGATTATAATAATATGATTTTATGAGTCTATAATACAGTGAAAAACTGCCTGACGTTTGACTTTCCGATTCAGGGGGTAATGTATAGGCAATTGTATACGGAGTCCAACTTATTGTCGATTCTTCGGCCATTTCCGTATCAAATGAACGGTCAGCGCGAGCTCTGTTGTCAGACAAATCGTTTTGTTGATTAAATGACTCTTCAGTTATCTCATAGGTAACAGTTGTGGTGGGCATTGGATTTGGACACCGATTTATTACACTAAAAATTATAGTAGAAATTAATTTTTTTTAAAAACCCCGAATTAATAAATTTGATTCATACAAATTGGTTTGTGGACATCGAGACACTAAAAATCCCATCGAATGATCCATTAAACCTCTGGCTCTTCGACCACATTCCCGAAGTAATGGATCGTTAACGCAATTCTTGAATTTGCCGTATGAACTGTAGTATATATACGGTTTGCAAAACTGATACATTAATTATCAAAATTGATAACATTTGTGAATAAACTATCAAACATACCAACAAATATGGTCGTCATGAGCTCTGGGATTAGACACATGTGCCACGAGTTGCTTATAATATTGTCCGCAATTATCAATTGATATTCGCTTAAAACATACGGCGTTTGATAAATACTCTGAATCCCAATAAAATAATATCCAAATAGTGATATATATAATATGAATATATATATTGAATATAAATTTTATATTACATAATAATGTGTTTTTAATTTCTTGTAAGACATACCTCTTTGGTAGTGTTGAGAACTGCAAATGGCGTGAACCGTATCGACTGAATTCTCCACTGATTTTTGAAATAATAGTTTTCTTTCTTCACTAAAACAATGGGAAACATATTTGCGGACACAATCAACAAATTCACTCCACATTCTGTATCATTGTTTATATTAAGTTTAAGTTTTTATTAGCAATATTTAAATAACTATTTAAAATAACTATTTGTATCAAGTGATTAATATATACAATAAATAACTTTAATAAAATATGATAAAAATTAAAAATAATAATAAATTGTTGACAAACCGACACATTTGGTCGACATCCTCCAGGTTTGTGGGAAACATATATCGAATATCTTCGAGATATGGTTTTACCATTTCTGTACAATTATTCAATCTTTCATAACATTTAGATTTGGCACTAACTCTCCATATTAATGATAAATCTATTGCCAAAAAAAAGTATAATTAAATATATTATATATATATATACTATTTTATAAATTTATATCAATATATAAAGAAATTTTTATTAATAAAACTAAATTTTAAACTCAATTGTTTGTTTAATGTGAGAATAATTTTGTAATTTTAAAAATTGTAACATTGATTTTGAAATACAATATATAATTTAATAACTATTTGCCTACTAAAAAATAGATAATTAAAATTTTTACTTACATATAAATAGCAATAAAAATAAAAGATATTTATTTTTTGTAAACAATATCATAATTATTAAAATCCAAATTATAATTAAAATTCTGAATTTTTTATATTATAATATTTAAATTACAATGACTTTATTTATTCACAAAACAAATACTGTCTCTCATTTACATTATTTTAGTTTAATATTTCAAAAAATACTTTTTAAAAACTTTTAAAAACTTATAATAATATATAAATTATTCAAAATTAAATTAATTCCAAGAATATGGTTATCAAATGCTTGGATAAGATGTGAATTAAGGTATAGTTTGTTGAGACGACGCAAATGGACATAAAGTGTCCAAAACAGACATCAATATCACTATTTTTAGCAATATATATATATTTATAATATTGATATTAATTGATTAACCTTTAATATATCAAAAAATTTCATTACCATTATAATTACTTAATGTATAGCAAATGTTAGCACAAATTTAGTCAAATAACAACAACCTATTTGATTGAACTCTAGACTTTCAAATGTTTGAATAAAGTGATGAAAAAACGCTTATTAAGCAAAAGTTAAATAATATCAATAAAATCAATGTCGATGTCTTTGACATGACTTTTAAAACATACTATAATTAGTCACTTATGGCTATTCAAAGGGACAGTTAAACTCTGCATTGGTTTCATTAACCCATACTTTAGCTTTTGTATGATTTAACCATACAATCAGTTTGTGCTTCATATAACATATTCAATGATAATATGAGATTCATATTATGAATGCTAAACAAAACAGTTAACTCATTCATACAATTGGTCAGTAAAATAAAGATAGATCCGGACTTAGAGAGGAAATAAACCAAAAAATATATGTTTTCATCAAATTTTGTGCATATTTTAGTTACACATTGTTTGCTAAAATAGCTAAATATTAATAGAAAAATGAATCACAATTTCCGTGATCTTCAATACATAAATTATTTTATTAAATATTTTGTTGTGTTATTCTTTTGTTATTTAGAAATAGGAAACATTTATAATTTATATATTTTTTTAAATTTATTGAAGTGGAGGTCGAAATCCCATTTTTATTAACAATATAACTTACATTTTTCAGTCAAATTGTATTATTTAGTAATATTCATATAAAAAATATATAAATAAAATATATATACAGTATATTTTGCGTTAATTAGACATACGAATCATATGATACAAGTTTTTAATAGTTGGATTTTTTTGTTATATAAATTATTTTTAATAAACATATAGTTTTAATAATATTATTAATTATCTTTTTATCAAATAAGTCTAAAATTATAATTTATAACTTTTAAATAACAAAATGTTATTAAGAAATTATTGAATGTCTTCTGTAAAATTTAACACCTAAAGCTATAATTATAGATATTCAAAAATTTCAGGAAATTTCCGTAATAATTATAATTAACAATTATAACTGACAATTAACAACCTCTACTCCAATTCATATACTTTTTGTCTGTTATTTAATAGATTTTATTCTACTTTATTAATCTTCTGTCCAAATCTGAAATCACAATTTTGATTGACATTTGACAACAGTTTTATCGTACCGTAATATTATTAATAATTTTTTATATTAATTAAATAAAATTGAAATAAAATGTTGGAAAATTTATTAAATATTTAAAATTGTAATTTTACAGTAATAGTCACATTTTATTGCATTTAAAATAATAATAATTATATATATATATATATATACCGGTAATTAAAATAATAAATTGTTAATATAGGCAAATGAATTATTCATTCGTCTTCTTCATCATCGATGATCAGATGTCTCTTCTTATTTTTAGGTTTGACCACAACTTCGTCATCTGAATCATCAATAGTTCTTTTAATTCCATCAGTTGTAGACAACTCATCGATAGTAAGAACGGGTAATTCATCAGATGATGACTCACTTGAATCACTTATAAGACGTTTTCTTTTAATTTTTCTATAAATATCGATACTATCTTTTGACTTCATTTTTTCATTCTCTCTCTTTTCTGATATTTCTTCATTATCTCTGTTATGGTTATCGTCATTATCTTCACTCACCTCATCCTCTAATGATTTGACTATTTCGCTGTTTACGTCATTAACTTCATTATCATCCTTATTATACTCATTCAAGTGATGGTTTATCTCTTCGTTGTTATAATTAGTGTTCAAATTGTCATTCATGTCTTCATCGCTTTCCTCATCACTTCTTAACTCATCGAATGGATTCTCAGATTTATTTTTTGATCGTTTAGTTGACGTTCTTTTAGCTTTAAGTGGTATAAAAAGTCCCTAAAATATTTTTTTAATTAATTAAATGAATTAATTTTTTTAAAAAATATTATATAAATTATATAAAATTGATAAAAATGGCTAAACCTGTTGCTTAAGTTGTTTAATCACTTGTCTTCTAGTTTTTGTATCGTCGATCATATGTTCAAGAATAAAGTCGATGTAATCCTTATCGCCTTCGCATTTGTCTTTATATTCTTCAAAAAGAACAGTTAGTTCGTGTTCTTGTTCCTCAGTCCACAATTGTTTGGCAACTTTGGTGCCTCTGCTCTCAGTGTATCCTTCCTCCACCTGATAAGCTTCGTTGCAGTTCTTCCAGAAAAATATTTCCATAAAGACTTTCTTGTTTTTATTAGCTATTCCAACAAATTTCATTACAATAAATTTGGCAAATTTCTTCAGTTCATTAAGTGCTGATGAATCTCTTATCGGATCCGACAAAATGCGTTGTAGTGTACGAAACAGTGATACCTGACATAGCATTGCATGCATTTTGCTATCAAAAGCAATTCTGTGTAACATTTTTAGTATACAATGATTTGTTTCATCAGTATTTGAATCAAAATGTCTTAAAAGCAAACAATAATTAGTGATCACATTTGGACGACAATACTTATTGATTACTTCAGTAAATTCAATCTCTCGTTCTCTTATTTGTGTTCGGCTTTCGTTATCTTCAATGTCTTTTTCCTCAATTTCTTCGTCATTATTTACCTCTTCAACTGATGGTTCGTTAGGGAAGTCAGTCATTAAAATTTCATTTAATGAAATGAGTTCATCTTCAGGAAGAATGTCTTGACTACCAAAGGCGTTGTCTTCATCACCGGCCCAACAACTTCTTGCATCTCTATATAGGCTGACGGCTTCAACAACTCGTTTCTCATATAAGAAATTATGAATGCGTTGCATAACATCACCTTTTTGTTCTTCAATTTTCTTTCCTGAAATTGAATCAAATGCTCGAATTTCGACATTTTCTTGAGGTGACGGAAGATCTAGACTTCCAGATAATGCTTCGGAAACAATACTAATAATTTCATTCCAAACATCTTCAGGAGGTATTTTTGAATCATTTTTCTTCTTCTGTGACTTCTTTCTCTTAGATTTTTTTATTTTTTCTTTGACGACAATCTTAGTATTACTTCTATAGTAATGTTCCAACATTTTTAGGAATATATGATTTGTCTCAATAAGATCCTTAAGATATGATTTTGTCATTTTTGACTCATTATAATCACCAATCAATTGAAGCAACAGATCTCTATACTCTACTTCATAAAAAATATATTTCTTTATTTGCTTAGCAATCGATCGGATACTTTCATCTTTGTTATAACTAAACCAATTCATACTAAACAACAGTTCCCGATATGCTTTCAGTGCATAATGAAGTCTTTTTGACCAAAGAGACAAATTTTCCTTTTGTGTCTTAAGAAAATCAATATAACGTTCAAACTGTGTGGTCAAGAAGTGAAAGGTCGTTACTGTCATCGTTTGGGTCACCAGTAAACTGTCGGATGACTTGGGATTAGTTCTGTTGAATTCCATGAAGAATTGAATGGCCCAAAGATAATATGTTTCATCGTTTTCTTGGTTTAGATTTCGACTTAAGTTCTCGTAAATTGTTTTCATAAATAGATTGTATGAATTGGTAATAAAATCAACGCAAAAATCGTATAAAATTTTTCTGACAGTAAATGTTGACTTATGTATCACTTGTGGACCGATAGCACTCTTGTTTGCCGATTCGTCTGCCATTGGTTTTCTGAATCGATTTTTACGTTTAATGTCTTTATTGACGTCAAAACTCAATTGAGTTAAGTCTTGTGGAGTTTTGTGGCAAATCATATCGCGATCGCTAATCGACTTCATATTCTTCACACTATATGTGCCATTAAATCGATTTAAATTTGGTTTTACTTTAATTTTATTATTAATATCTCTGGCTTTCAATTCTTTCAACTCCTTTCTGTCGACTTCTTTCTCGAAATCACTTCTTTGTTGTTCATTTTGTTGACAATTAGTTACACTTTTAGCGATAAACTCTGCGCTCTGATCTCTAAACATCAAAGATATGATTTCAATTAAATGAAAACAAAACTCTTGATGGGCGTCATCATTGGTTAAATAAAGTATGAGATCAGCGATTCCCGAACTGTGTAGCACTTGTAGTAAGTGGTCGTGAGGATTGGTATGTACTTCGGCTTTCATGTGTTGGCCATCGATGGGAATGTGAAGAATATTTCTGATGAGTATAAGAATGCGCTCAAACATGAGTCCGTCCTCCACCTGACGGTTCTCGGCCTCCAATTCAATGATTCGCGTCAAGTGTTTAGCTATCACTGACCAGAATCTCTTGTGTGAACCAAATGATACTTTATATAAGTAAAGAAATTCTTGTAATTCAATAAACTTTTGTAACTCTGATTTATCCGTTGGTGTCGTTTGTCTGAACAGAAGTATTACCGGATTTGTTAAATCAATTAACAGACGAAGTATTTTATCAAACAAAGGAATGTCTTCTAAACAGTATTGTTCAACAATTGGGATCAAATCATTGTCTACAATATCCGATGTTCCCAACTGTGTCCGGACGGGAAAATGTGTTTTATTATCGCTCCTTAAGAAGCGGATCAGGTCTTTAAGCACATGATGACAGTCTTTCTTATTCAATATGTATTTGTTATCCAAGAGTTTGTTTTTGTGACCCAAATCGTTACAAACAGCGATCACTTCATTAATCATATCATTAATATTGGTATCCATTTTCATCGGGTATTAAATGGTCACTAATTGAACACTCAATTACCCGATAAACAGATCTTGTAATCAATTGTTTCAAATCAATGATCAAAATTGAAAAGATGTCAAACTTTTGGCGCTTTTTATATCATATAAATTACGTTAACATTTGTCGTTAGATTTGATTTTTTATTGTTTTATTTTATTGCAATAAAAAGTAAAATATTTATTAAAAATAATTTATTTATAAAGTTATGAATTTTTAAATGAATATAAATTATTAATTAAATTATTTCTTTTGTTTTATTAATAAAAGATTTATTATTTATAATGAAATGAATCGATAGTTAACTACACGTGTTATCCATGAGATGGCATTGAAATGTATTTGTATTGACAATCAATTCAATAAACACAACAAAAGTGTCACTCAATTGAAGATTGTTTTGTTGTTTTGTTTTAGATTTTAATTCAAATTAGTTTTTAATGATTTCAATGTTATTTAAGTTTAGAAAATAGTTTTTAATTATAATTTAAATCTTTTATATATATCTTGTGTTAATCACCCAACAACTGGTCCAACACAACAACAACATTATTTACCAATCGATGGCTGAACTCAATCGACCACTTCTTCTACGGTGTAAAACACCGAAAGGCCAACATATGATTGAGTGCTTAACCGGTGATAATAATGTTGAAGATCTGAAGGCAATTCTTTTAAGTATCACTGGTATTGATCCCAATGGTCTTCGAGTATTGGTTGGTTTCCCGCCGCGAGAACTAAATCTCCGAAACAACTTTCAGAAGTTAGCCGATCTGTTAAACCATCAAAACAGAGAAACACTTATTATTGAGGAAATCATTGACAATGGTTTGATATTAATTGATCTCTTATGGTTGAGATGACAATTAATGATAATTATTTTATTTATCTTTTATTATAAATCAGATAAGCGTCGGTCGCGTCCGCGGACGTCGAGCACATCCAATCAGTTGATAAATTCATATTCCGATGTAATGCAGTCCAACTCAACCAGGGATAGTATACCCGCCGGTGTCCTCTTGCGTCGGGTGGTTGCGGCCAACAATTCGTGTCTTTTTATATCCGTATATTTCGCACTTTCTGGCGGTGAGTACAACGATACAATTGGTTCAGCTTTAAGGCAAATCATTGCCGATACTGTGGCGGCCGATCCCATGACATACAACGAAGCATTTTTGGGTAAACAAAACCGCGAGTACTGCACTTGGATTCTCAATGAAGATCACTGGGGAGGAGCTATAGAACTGTCCATTTTATCGAAGTATTACGGCATTGAAATCGTTGCTATCGATACACAAAACGTTAGACTTAACCGTTTCGGCGAAGATATGTCTTACTCACAAAGGATATTCCTTATATACGATGGCATACATTACGATCCTTTAATGTGGGAACCGTTGGACAACAAAAATCCAATACAAACCGTCTTTCCGGTGGCAAACGAGACGCTTTTGTCGATGGCGTTAGAAATCGGAAATGAGGCCAAAAATAGCCGTCAGTTCACTGATGTCCAGAACTTTACATTGCGTTGTCTCGCGTGTAACGCCCGACTCCGCGGTAACAGTCAGGCCCAGTCTCACGCTCTCGAAACTGGACACATAAACTTTGGAGAAATTTAAATTATTATATATTATTTTTTATCATTTACCGTATATTTTAATCAATAATTAAGTAATAATTTTTTTAATATTAACAAATGTTATATATTTATTTATTACTCATATATAAAGTCACTTTTAGGCAATATTGTATTTAATTTATAATTTGTTTTTATCGTTAGTTTAGTCATTATGATAATAAATTATACACACATTTTATTATTATTACTATCTTAATAATTGATTAATTACTGATTTTATGCGTAAAATGATTTACTTAATAGATATTATATGATATTTTGCTCAAATAATTTTGTATTATGATTTATAATTTGTATAAAAAATATATTTGTTTCAATTTTTACTATCGTTTAGTTGCACATATTTTAACTGTTTTTTTAAATAATAATTATTATTTAAGCTTTGTCACTTTTGCATTGAATTTTAAGTACAAATTAACTGTTAATTCTTATAAAGTTAAAGTTAATATCAATTATTGTATTATAATGATAGCACTTATACACCGGTTATATAAATCAATAAAATATATAACTTATACTTCATTTTTAATTACATTTAATTTAATTATCGAATGTATTCATTCATAAATGTATTTATTATATATTATTTGTTGCAATCATCGGATCACTGATTGCATACTTGGGATCACAAGTAAACGATACAGTAATAGCAAATCGGGTACCACTGGTCACCCGTTCGACGTAATGTTCGTTTTCTGAACCCGAAGTGAAGGCCGACAGTCGGCCTAATTTAGGCTCAATTGTAATGTTTTTCTGAATAGTCTTATCAATAAAAACAAAGCGACCGCCGGTAAAGTCGCGGCCATAAGTAGACAGATATACTAAAGACGTGAAATGAAATGATTTGTATGTGTTTTTGTCGATGTGTTTGTGCCAATACTCGTCGTGTTTGGTTTTGGCCGCTTCGGAGGTCAAACGCGAGAAGAATGTCGGATCAGTTAAAAACAAGTGCTGACCGGATATACCGAAATGTATAGCAATTGTCTGTAAAATCTTATTCTTCACCGTTCGGTATATTTCAAAGTCTTTATCTGTGAATATGTCCTCTTTGGACATCTTTTTCATTAATTTATATATGTTGACAAAATTAGTGTCCATTGAGAGGGCGCCCGAATGCAAGTCAAGTATTGATGCGCTTCCCGAAGAGCCACCCAATGAAAGTCCTTTTTTAGCCACCGATAGTAAGTGCTTGGCCTCTGATTCAGTGACCACTGCATCTGATACGAAGCGACCGCACAATTTGGGAGCACACGACCCGAATCTTTGTCGATCTTCATTATAATCATTAGAACAGATAACTTGTTGACCTTTTGGTGAACCCGGTATCGACTCTGAGGCCGACGCCATCACAAGTTCTTTATGATCATCGGTTCCGGTTATATAGTAAACAACCACAAGTATAGTCACCGTTAAGGCTATTCTGGACATCATTTGTTTAATAAGACTACCACTGCGTGTCCTATCATTGACCACATGTTGTCGATCACTGTTAGTGACTGTTTGCGGCTCTTTATTATTGGTCGCTATTTTCCGTCGGTTTAAAGCTTGAGATGACATTACAAACAATATATTAAATTGATTTCAATAGTCATTTGAATGATTGAAAACTTTAATAACTATTATATGGTTTGTTATGAATTCATTAATGAATTTAAAATCAATACACAAATAATGCAAATATTAATACAGTATAACAAATAATAACAATATATTGAAGTCAATACTGTATTATATCACTTAGTTTTACAACATTTCAATCAATAAATATCAAGTATTAATAAATCAATTGATTTTTCTATACATCAAATTAATATATTATATAAACTTTTAACCAATTGTTTAACACAATCATGTACTGTAAATATCAATTTTATCAAATACATGGTTTAACTAAATTAGATAATATCGAGATTATATTATTTATAATAATTTTGTAAAAAAATTAATTTTTTATTTATAAATTAATATCTACTAATTTTTTTTTAAATATTTTTAGTTTATGATTTTTTAAATGAAAAGATAAAAATATACTATTAATATAATATATTATTACATATGATATATATCCTACACTGTCCACTGAGTTACAAAATTTTACATTCAAGTGTCAGATTGTATGAGATTTTGATTATTAAATAGTAATTATAATAAACAACTTAACAAAAAATGATACGATTTTTTTGGAAATAAATACTATTAATAAATAAAAGTCAAATAATATGCTTTTTGAAAATTGTAATATAAATATTACAATTCACATTACATGTTATTATTCACAATAATGTTTTATTTTTATCATATAAATAATATTAAGATTCTTAATTCATTTGTATTTATTCAATAGATAATAACTTTTTTATGAAAATTTAAACCATAAAAATAAGACTAATATTTTATTTGAGTATCTCTTGCCGTTACACTATAAACAAAATTTTATATCAATATAAATCTTTAATTACGTTTAAAATAATATGTAATTTTGACAAAAATCAGTAAAAAACTTATTAAATGCGATTAATTCCTTTTATTTAAATAAAATTATTAAAACTATTATTTAAAAAAGTAATATCATATATATGTTTGAATTAAATAATAAAACACATTACAGACAACTTTCAAACACAAGTTATTATAAAAATATTTTAAAATATTAGTAATTAATTTTTTTAATGTATTGATATTTGACATCAAATGAATATAGGTTTGCATTGTATTAAAAACTATCCAATGAATTACTCATTGAATATAAATTAAAATGTGTTTGTTTTCAATGCAAACAACTTATCAAAAGTGATCTCAATTATAAAAATTAAACATATTTTATAAAATTTAACATAAAGTTGTATTTAAAAGTGTACTATAATATGATACTTGTATAGCAATGATAAACAACAGCAAACTTGAAAAGTGAGATTTATGTGATCAATGTTTTCATACAGTAATACATTCACTGGAAATACCTGTAGACAGTAATCGCCAGCTCTGGGATGTAATGCTTACAGTAATACTGTATATCCACTTCAATATCATAGTATTTGAGATGAAATTTAATTTGATTACGTGTTGTAAAAGAGACGCATAATTTTGTTGAAAACAGTCATAAATCTGATAATTATCGACATATTAGTGACCAGTTTATCAACTCTTAAATTATAAATATATTATTATTTTCAAATCAATTGTTTAATATTGATATTTGGTTTATATATCTTTCTGACATATGTTCACAAAAATTCAAAACCCAATATTAATATTATATTATATTATAAATTATTAATTAAAAATATTAGTTGTAATTTATATAATATTAATTAAATTATATAAATTAAGTGTAAATCTAGTGATACTATCTGTGAATTAAGTGTATTGAATGTCCAAAATGCAAGGTTTATCTAAAAGACGTCTTCAAACTAAAGCCTGTATTGCGGGCGCAAAGACTTTCCTGATGTTGTTTAATATAATCTTCTGGGTATGTCTTATGTCTTACAGTATATATGTTTAATATTTATTTTATATATTATATAATCATTTAAATGCACTCTAAATAATGTTTTTAATTTAATGCTAAACAAAGTTCATTGACTTTGCAAGAGGTTATAGTGTGAGGTCATGTGTTGGGATATCCCTGACTTGAATTAATGTATGGATAAGTTATCCGGAATAAAATCTATTGTACTATTTATACAATATATGTATATAACGTAGTGATACTATTATAGTGTTATTAATGCATTCTTAATATTTATATTAATACTAATAAAAGCTTAATATTATGTTCAATAATATTAATACCTTTATACTAATATACTGTATTAATTTGACTAATTAAATATAAAATTAAATAAGTAGTAAATAAATTTGTTAAAACTATAGATATTTATATTCATAAGTTGATAATTTATAGACATCATTGAATATTGAATTGATTTTTAAAAAAATATTCATTACTAATAAATCATTACTGAATTTTCATTATTTCCGTTTACTTACAATCTTAATGCATAGAAACTAAACTTTATATTAAAGTCTTATGAAAAATGTTTGACAATAATTATCATTTAAAATATTGTCAATTATTAATTTGACACATTATTTTGGCATTTACGGTAATTTCTCTTATAAAAATTTAAACAACAATACACAAACATATCTAACATCTAATAGCTAACTAATAACTATATGTTTAATTTATACCAAATAAATATTATAAGAAAGACACACAAAATAAATAATTCAATTTAATTCAATTTAAGAGATACCGAAAGTTTTTTGTCTTGATTTATTAAATTATTTATGATTACTTGTTATTTACTGACAATTTTTTTTGTACAATATATTAAAATTTAATGACAAGTGATTGAATTTAGGATATGTATATAAATTATTAAAATTAAAGATTTGAAATATATATGTAAATACACCCATTAATTGTTAATTAAAAATATTCTAATTTACTGTGAATATTAAAAATAGTAAAATAAATAAAAGCATATTTTATATACAATTTTAAAACAATGATTTTTTAAAAATTATTAATATGTTAAATCACTTTAATATTTAATATTTTTAGTTTATATATTGTATAATAATATTTTTTGTAATATATTTATTATTTTACAAATATAGAGTATATATACTGTATATTTATATACAGTATATATATTATTTGTTGAACAATTTTATTTAACTGGATATTTGTTAATATATAATGAATAAAATCAGTAAAAAAATATGATAAAAAATAATTGATTTTTATTATTAGATTATTGGCTTAATATTAATAATATCAGGCGTATGGATGAGAGCATCGATAACTCGTGTGTTTGAAGTTTCACAGTTTCACTTTGGTTTGGCCACACTTTTCATACTAACTGGTCTACTGATGATTATTGTCGGCACATTTGCCTGTTGTTGTACAGCACATGAAAAGCCAACACTTCTGCTTACAGTTAGTATTCAATTGTTTAAAATTTAAATGAAATAATTAATAATTTATTGCTGTTATTCTAAATAACAATTTATAACTAAAATGATATCATTATTATCATAGCTATCGATATTCTTCTTCGTTGTATTTATTCTTGTATTCTCGGCTTCAATCTCTGGTTATGTCTATAGAGATAATCTTAAAGAAGGCTTACATAAGTCGCTCAATCAAACAATTCTTGAGTACGGATCGGGAACTTTATTGGACACCGATTGGGACAGAATTCAACAAAATGTATGTTATATTTATAAATTATCTGATATTTAATTGTCATTAACTAAATCAATAATTTTTATTCAGTTGCAATGTTGTGGTGTCGACGGATTTAGAGACTGGATATACACTGAGTGGGCAAACGAGAACCGGACTTTTCCTTTAAGTTGTTGTCGGGATCCAAATGTTTGCGATTATGTTAGTTCCGAGCAGTTGTATCCAAACGGATGCTATCAACAGATTTTGCAAATATTAAAGTAAATCAATTGTTTTGAAAATTTTTATTTATTTACTACAAGTTTTTTGTTGATCTAAAATCACATTATGATCACAACTTATGTTTAAAGTTTACAATTACTTTGATTATAATGTCGTCAATTGAGGACAGTTTTAGGTCATAATCCGAAGCAAAGTTTGAAATGTGATTCAAAGTTCTACATATAGTCTTCCAAACCTATTCTCAATTGAAAATTTTGAAAGTTTTAAGTTTTTTTAGTAATATTTATATATCTCTATCTCTAAATAGTAATAATTTGAGTGGTATTGGAATCGGTATGCTTTTGGTGGCATTTTTTCAGGTATTTAACACACAAATTATACATTATTTTGATTACAATTATCGTAAATTTATTGTAAATATGTGTAGATTTTGGGAATGGGTTTGTCGTGTTGTTTGGCTCTCAATATAAATAAGGCTCTCTATGAAGAAATGATGGATTAATAACTGATCTCAAAGAATATGTTTGATAACAGAAAAATTTTATATTATATTATATTTGTATTTAACGTACATTTTCTTATAGATATTTTGTAATAATAAAATATTATTTTACTAAAATATTGTTATTTATTACAACTAGAAACTGAAATTTGCAAATTAAAAATTATGATAATTGTAATTGAATTTGTTAACTACAATTTGTATACCAAAATAAGTTCTATAAAAACAATAATATAGTATTGTTACCTTGATACTATATTGCAACATATTGTAAAATCAGGTATTATTTATAATATTAAGTTATCGGTAAGTGTCGGTAAATGTTAACCTTTTGACGAGTTTTCCGAGTATTAAATAATATATAATAATATAAATAGAAATAAAGAAAAACAATAAAAATCTAAATATAATCTTTCATTCATAATAATAATTCATTTATAGACACAAAATACTATTTATTTCACCAAATATTAAGTAAAATTATATAAATTGTATACATTATATATTTGCAATAATCTTAAAATAATAAATTAAATTAATAAATTTGATAAAAATAATAACATATTTGATACTTATTTTATAAGTTATAACTTATTAATCAATACAATAACCATAAATATAATTCTTTTTATTCATTTTTTTGTTAATAACTCTATTTTCTAAAATTTAACTATTTATCAAAACTTATTAAATTTGTTATATAATATTATAATTATACCTTAATTCTCCAATTTTACAAATTTAAATCAATTTATTATAACACTAATATTGTTTGATTTATTGGATAATGTAAATGATTGCATACAGTGTTTATAAGTATTATATACATTGTGTCTACAATTGCCAACCAGTTATTCACTTTTGCCGGATTATACCAGAGATTCAATCACTGACTACACTACAGATTAACAATAATTCTATATTTATATAATTAATAAATAATATTTTTTTAAAATAATAAATATTGAAATTATTTTATATAATAAACAAAACTAATTTTAAATACTAGTTTTTTAAAACTTTATATTTATTTTATGTATAAACAGTACTACTTTGCAGTAATGTATATAAAAATAGCAAAATTAGAATTAAATAAATTTTGTTATTAAATAAATTGTATGAAAACAGTTCTACAGTACAGTATTTATGATATTTTTGACTATTATGGCATAAAAATACATGAAATTATATAAAAATAAATATTTTTATAATAAATATAGTTATTTGAAATAATTTAAGTTATTTATAGATATTTTAGATTTATTTAGAATTACTTAACTATAAATTTTAGAAAATATATATTTTTAAGTTTAAAAATTATTTAAATGTTAGTTAATATTACTTTTAATATGATTTTGTAAATTACTTGACATTTTTGAATTTAGTGTAGATTTTGTTGTTTGTTATATAATATTAGCTGATCTGACAATTCTAAGTGAATTATACTGTATTATGAATTGAATGGTTTGATTGACTGCAATGACAACACAACCCACACATTGACAGCAGTCGTGTCACTGAAAGCTCACAAAACAAGAGTTAATTTGATTGTTATTTATAATCATTTGTATCGATCTTCACATCTATTGTCACATCAATTATCACTTTATAGCGGATCACATCCAACACAATGTCAGATAATATATTATCGACGGGTCAAACACTTTCGCTGACTATCACCACAAATACCAATTCATTTGCGAGCGAACGCCGATTTGCGGCAAATGTGACCATTTGTGAACTGAAAGCCAAACTCGAGTTGATTACCGGCGCCAACAGCGACACAATGACTATACAATTGTTAGACAACAATCAAGAAGTAGTCGCACAACTCGATGACAACTCACGACAACTCCAGAGTTATTTGATTGACAATCAAAACAAAGTCAACATTCATGTGATCGACAGTCAGAAGAGTATCGGCGAGTTTGAAGACGTAAGTAATGTCGAGAAATTTGAATTACCACAAGAAGATTATGAAAAACGAACAGATTCTGTGTTGGCTTTTAAAATGAATAACAAATTGGGAAGATTTGCTCAAATAGACGGCGCCGGCGATAATACCGACGACCAAATGACGGAATGTGACATAAATGTTGGTCAGCGATGTGAAGTGTGTGTTAAGGGAGCGGCTAAACGTCGGGCAACTGTCCAGTATGTGGGCACCACTCGCTTCAAACCTGGCCTATGGATTGGTGTTGAATACGATGAACCTCTGGGGAAAAATGACGGTTCAGTCGATGGTCACCGATATTTCCAGTGTAAACCAAAGTACGGAGGATTTATTCGACCAAATGATGTCATTATCGGTGACTTTCCTGAAATGGGTGATACAGATGAAGACATTTGAATCATTTTTTATTAACAAATTATTGGATTGAATTTATAATAGACAACGTTATAAATTATTATATGATTTCACAAATTAATATGATTTTTCACATTTGTTTTCATTTTGGTTTTTGCTATCAAATTATTATTTTGGTTAATAATTTTTTATTAATATAGTATATATAATATAGTATATAATTTATTTTTGTAAATTATAGCCCAACATTCAATTAAATATGTATAAACTATTTATAAAACTAAAAAAAGCTCATTTGAAAAGTTGTTAAAACATCAAATAACATTAAAATTATTATCAATATTAATTAAATCAAGTATTTATTTCAATGACATTTTTTATTAGATTTTATTTATATGGTAAAATAATTTAAATTTTACAAAAGTTGCTTAAAAAATATAATAAATTTTTAAAAATATAATAAAATGTATTAATATCAATACATTTATTAATACTAATTAATTTGTTGTTTAATTTTTAATTAATGTCAATTAAGAGGAAATATTAGTACATTATTAGTTATCCAAGTGATTCACTAATAATATACAATACAGTAGATGTGGTAAAAGTATAGTGACTAAAATATCATCATTTAATTATTTAATATAATTTTCAATCAATTGGATTCATTATTTAATCTAAATTTGAAAGTATTATGAAATTTACATATTTTAGAAAATAAAAATTTCAATTAAAAGTTAATTTAATGTAATAAATAAATGTTTGAAATTATTGATAGAAAATAACAGGAATGATGTGTTTGTAGTTTATTTGGAGACTATAGTCAACAGAGAGACTACAGTATAATAACATTAGTTATAATAAAATGAATACAATGTTTACAAATATAGTGATTGTGTCAGTGATTGCTCTTTAGTGACAACACAACAGATGTTTTACATTTGTATCCGATTGTCACCTAATAATCACTGACATTGTCATCAAAAATGATTTACAATTAAGAGTTTGTCATTTTCTTTTCAAATCTGATGACCATTTTTTGCCAAATTATAACAAATGATAGCATTAATTGATAGCTTTTAACTGAAAGACGATATGAGCGACGATAAGACTACTGATAACCAATTGGAGGACATCTCTGCCAAGGATTTACCACCAGATAAGCCTTTAGTGACATCAGACCAAAAAGATAGTGACGTTTGCGCCTCATTTGACGACATCTCTCTGTGCGACCACAGTTCGGCCACCGATGAAATTGTGGACAACCAAACAAATGCTAATAATGATAATGAGATGATTTGTGAGATAAATGAAGATAAATTGTCGATGGATTTGATCTTAAATGATGATATCCTTAACAATGAAGACGATGGCAACGACTCAACCGATTTAGAGATAACTAAAGATATGAATACCAAGAATGGATTAATGTTTGATATTAGACTTATTGAAGACAAATATGAGAGTCAAATACTTTGTCTGCAAAGAGAAAGAAATGATTTACAGAACCAATTGGAAGACTCTAAGAAAGGTTTCTCTGAAAAGGAGTCTATGTTTAATGAGATGAAGAATCGTCTGAAGGAAAACTTGGAGAGAATTACTAAACAGAAGGATTTGACACAAAAAGAATTAGAGTCTATGGTTATTAAGTACGCAAACAATGAAAAAGAGGTCATTCTTCTCAAGAAACTTAGAGATGATTACGAGAAAAAGTTTAGAGATATATTAAAAGATAAAGAAGGTCTCAGATTGAGAATTAAAACGTTAACTACAGAGAAGACACAAGTGATGACCAGTTTTGATAAGAAAGTGTCAGAACTTACGACAGTTCAGAAAGAGTTCGATAAAATTAAGGATGAGCTCAAAGATAGAGATAATAAATGGAAACAAACGACTAATAAATTCAATGATGAAGTGATGGCTCACATCGAGACACAGTCTAAACTCGAGACGACCAACAAAAAGACAATGGAGTTAATGACAGAATTGGAGAGTTTGCGACAAAAAGTAGACAACTTATTGAACACTAATAATATTGAATCTGTAAATAACGATAATTGTGATGAAAGTGATGACATTGTCATTTCAAAAATAGATAAATTAAATAATGAAATTGAAATTTATAAGAAAAAAGTGAATATTTTTACTGAAGAAAATCAAAGTTTAACCACAAAAATCCAAAATCTTGAGAGAGAACGACTTGATTACGAACACAGTGTTAGCAAATGGAAACAATCAGTCAATGAATTGGAAATACAAATGACTGAATATGTGGCTAAACTTAGAGATAAAGAACAACTTTATCTTGAGTTAGACAAACAAAAACAATTATCAACAGATTTGCAGAAAGAAATTGAAAGATTAAAGTCTGCTAACAACGAGTTGAGAGCTGAGATGGAGTCGTGTCGACATAAAGAAGGAGAACTTCTTGAGTTTACCGAACGCTTGACCGCTAAGACTGTTAATCTGCAGTCCGAACACAATCTTTTGGAACAGAAATCTCAGTTACTTAAAGACGATATCGAAAGACAGCAAAAGCAATGCGAAGATTTAACTAAAGAAAACTCAACACTAAATGAAACAATCAGACAAATGAAAGAATTGCATCAAAAAGAGATTCAACTTTTAGCCAAAAAATTGGCTGAAAAGACTAAACTGAGTGATGAACTTAAAGTTAAAGTCGAAGAATTAGAAAATGAAATCCGAATCAATAAAAGGAAACACATTACCAGTATTAAAGAACTCAATAAAGAGTTAGTTTCAATGAGAAAGCGAACCGAACACTTGGATGTCGGTTCCAATAATAGCCAAACTGATGGTGTGAGTCTTGGCTCACGAACAAGTTCTTTGAATTCATTGAATGAACCATTAAGTTCATCGCACACTTCCAACACATCTCATTCATCACAAGCACAGACATCTAAGCCATCAGTGAGTTGTAGTCATCAAACAAATAGTACCAATAGTACTGATTCAGTCAACAGTTCTGATACTTCCACTTACAATATGACGGCTTTGCCAGACGTCGACAAACAGCTATTAATTGATCGCATCATAAAATTTCAGAAACAATTAGAAAAGAAAAATGAAAAAATAGAGTTTTTTGAAGAACATAATCATCAACTCTTGGAAGAGATGAAGAAAAAATCAAAATTAATTCAATTTTATATAATGAGAGAGGAATCCGGAGCTTTGTCTACCTCATCAATGGATAATCATAAAGTAAGTTACCGTTTGTTTTGATAAAAATATGTTAATTTATAATATTTCATTTAATTGCTAACATTTAAGGATAAAAATAAGGTATTTATTCAATTAAATAGTAAAACATTTATGATATATAAAACATTTTATTCACCACTTTTAATGTTATTAATTTAAGTGATATTTTATAACTTTAATTTTTAGCACCAATTAGCCAAACGTGGCACTGGTATCATGTCTTCGCTATATAACAGCGCTCCCAATGACGCCAATATGACACTAGAATTGTCTCTTGAGATCAACAAGAAATTACAGGCAGTCTTAGAGGATACTATTTTAAAGAATATCACATTAAAAGTAAGTTTAATCTAATGTTTACAAATAATTATCAAAAAATAACAATTATATTGTTTTCACTTAACAATTATAAAGGAAAATCTTAATACATTGGGAGTTGAAATTGAGAGACTTTCCGGAAGGAAAAAGTGATTCAATTGTTATTTTTAACTTAAAATTTATTTATTTTTATGTACTGTATATCTATTACTAGAGATGTTATATTAAAACATGTGATATAATTAAGAAACTAATGATTGTACAGAAATATCAATAAAATGATCATTTATTTGATGAATGCATCTGTAAAATAGCCTAAAATAAGACAATGTATAATAAGATCACCTAAAATAGGTTATGAAATGCAAATATAAACAAAATGGTGAGTCGGGTCACAAACATATTTGATAAAACTTTGTATAAAACATGTATATGTTATCTGTTGACTATTGTTGTCACTGATGAGGACTCTGTTGTTATATCTGTGGTTACAGTCAAGTCATGTTTGAGCCACTCTAGTGGTGGTCGAGGCAATGATGACGGGTCGGGCGCTTCCATAAATCGAGAACCGGCAAAGTGTTTGTGGCCATTATGTCCATTATGACCATTACTATGACCGGATTGGCCATTGTGACCGTTGTGACCATTGCTGATGGCCATCAACTTATGTTTCTTATGGCTCGACATTATATCATACATGACTGCATTGATCATTCAAATCAATAACTATCACACAATTTGATCCATAAAGTCATGCACTCACCCGACGGCTGCGATGGACTTGATTCTGACATTATTGGCAATTGTCATCAATGGCTGACAATTTGATTCATATCGGTTCAGACAAAGTGATCAACAAAGAGGTAAACAAATGATTGCAATAATAGTATACAACTATTGTATGAATCATAATATCATTCAATACATACATTCACTACAAAGCATAGCAACAATAATACAGTACTACTCACTCATTCAGCCATATTCTTGTCTCAAATAGTTCCTAATTTAACTCTCTATTCATAGCATTCATTACATTTAGTTACATGTCTAACATTTAGGCCTTTATAATACTGATTGCATTTTAATATGTATTGCAATTTTCAATGATAAGTAAAAATAACGTAAATATGTTTACTATTATTATATTCAAATTAATTGTATATAAACTCTATATTAATACAAACTTTTTAAATAAACATATATTATATTAATGACTATAACTATAATATTAATCATTTATAAATCATTAATAGTATACACAATATTGTATTAACCCTACAATTATAGTACAGTTGATTAGCTTATTGATTACACACTTGTTTTTACTTTTATTATTTATTATTAATTAATTACAATATATGGTATGTTTAATGTTATATGAATGATATTTTTAACATTATTAAATATTTTATGATTAAATAATTTAACATTTTTATTACAAAAGTACAATACAATTGTGAATTTTTAAAATATTAGTATTGTTTTAGCTATGATATACTGTATGTAATAGTAATTTAGTTGATTTTACAATTAGATAATTAAAATACAGTATGAATACGATATGATATGTTTTTATATAATACATAAATATATTACAATAATTGTAATAATTAAATATTATAGATATTTATTGATTAAGGATTTTTGTTGTTAAGATCTAAATAAAGTGATCAATAAATGAATTTAATACAAAAAACATTGGAAATCTCATAATTATCGGACACTTATAAAGTTAATTAACAGCCGTTGGGCTTAATCGGGTAAAACAGGTATTCACCGAAATTTCCTGTCCCTAAGGTTTGGTAATTATATTTGAATACAGTATCAGTTGTCGACCCCAACAAAAAATGGTTGGTTGGGTCATAACCAGCGCACATCCGTTTGTCATTATTTTTATAGATAGTCATAGGTTTTCAAGGCTCCGCTTTATACTGTATTAATAGTTATTGTTTTTACTGTAAATTTATTATACATTTAAATTCACTCATTTCAACGTTATGCACGTTTATACTGTAGTTTTTATAACATTTTATTTAATTTTGATAATTTAAATTTTCTTATATATTTAAATTATTGTACAGTAATAAGATTTTAAAAAAGTAAAACACAGTACATAGTATTTTACATTTAAAATAATAGTTATTATAAAATTTAAGTAATTTAAAATATAATTATTATAAGATATCATATATATGTCATAATTATTTATCCTAGAGTCTAAAAAAACGTCGATATATTTTGATTTATTTTTTCAAATATTAGAGAAAACAAAGTAATGATAAAATATAACTAATAATAATTATTAAAATTCAAGTCAACTGTCAATTATTTAAACTACAGAAAATCTAATGAAGATTGTTATACTACAGTATTATAAATTATATTAAATATATTAAATAAAAAATTTAATTGAAAATCATTGAAAAAGTACTAAAAATGTCTGTTTTATGTAATATTTTTATAAATTTAACAATTTTAAGTCCTAATTAATTTTGTCTTTAGTAATGTTTGTTAATTGATGGTCAATATTGTATGTGTCAATAATTATTATAAAATATAGTTTTCACAAAATAAAATGATCGAAATCGTCGCTATTTGGGGGATACATATGAATAATACAGTATTAAATTCCGGATATTATCGAGAAATTATATAATTGTATTTAGTTTTAAAAATCATACAAAATTGCTAAAATATATTTTGTTTTATTATCTTATTTTGTAAAATTTTAACACTAATTTAATTTGGGTTTTTAATATATTTTTAATTTTATCCAAAATTTAAATACTTTATTCATCAACCATTAGTCGCGACATTTTGTCTCAAAAAGGAGTTTAGCTAACAATTTTGACACAAACTTATACTACAGTATATAAATTATATTGTATTCAAATCATCAAATAAAATAAAAATAAATTATATTTAATTTTTTAAAATATAAAATTACTTTTTAATATTATTATTATTATAGGTATTCTAAAGATAATTATTATTTTTTTAAATATTAACAAAAAAAATAAATCTAACTTTATATTTGTCTTTTAAATTGTTTAGATAAAATTGAATTCCGATTCAAGTAACAAAAAATAATAATACTTTTGTTTTCTATACATTTAGTAAATAAACTAACAAATGTTTATAGTTTTATAAAAAAAATATATTAAAGATGTAAAAAGTGTATAATACAATTAAATAATATTATATTAATTTTAATTTGTTAACTCAACCTCTTTTTAAATTTTTTATGTTTAAATTTTGTAAAATCTTTGTCTATATAACATCCTATTACTATAGTTTGAAATAAATTTAATTTAATAATTAATTGTAATTTTTAATTTTACTAAAAAGTTTAATACAACCAATTCATATAAAGTATTCAAAACAGTGTTTTTTGATGAAAATTTACAATTAGTATACAAATAAAAAAATTTAAAACGAATGTTCAAATAATAAGATCATCTCATCAAATGTGGAAACTTAAGACATTTTTTTAATCAAATTATTGTCATAATTTGGTAAACTATTAAAAAACTACAATTAGTTTTTTGCTTATGATTAGTATATCTACTATATTACATTAATTTAAAATATTAATAATACATAATATGGTAAAATTTAGACTTAATTGTCAAATTTCGGGATTTTCAGCAAAAAGTTTAAAATTAAAGACAAATACTATTGATATTATATTTTTAACAATTTAACAATAATCGGGAAATGCTTATTGTCTAATAATTATTTATATTTTTAATAGTTTTTTGTTCAATTAGTTAAATGTAAAAATTACAAACAATTGAAATATTGATTAAATTATTACAGATTTCACCACTTTTGCAATGAATGCCTTTTTGCTAATATATTTTTGGCAAAAATTTCAACCAATTTCTAATCATTTTTTTTGCAATTTCTCTCATTTTTCTCTCATCTCTACCATACTATACATGTACTGTATATGTGTTGATCTCAATCTCTTTCTCTCTCCCTTTTAGTCGATGTCTGTGAGACCCTAATAATAGTGAGCCCTAACTCTCGCAACTAATACTACAGTACTTTTCATGCGATAAGCTTAAGGCAATCACTGGCATAGCTATGGAAACAGCGAATGCAAAAAATGTTTGCACTTTTCAATTAAATATTCCTTAAAAAGCAAATATAATGCTTCAATAAATTACAAAACAAACCATAACTTTTAATTTTTGTCAATTATCATTATTTTGTAAATTTTATAAAGACTATAATGAATATTGTTTTTAAGAATATATAAAAATATATAAATACAGTAAAAATAATTGTTGAGTACTAAATACAAAGTAAATGAGTTTTATTACTCATACAATAATAATATGAGAGAGAAGTGTTGGTTAGAATTAGGTTTTGTTTGGTGTTGTCGTGGGTTTAGTCGCCCATTCCATCACTGCTACGATGTATAGCATATATACAATATATTTTCGTATATAAGTTATGGTATATACAGTACCAAACATGAGCTGCCAGTGCAATGTGTATTGTATGCATTAGCCCGAATCGACCTGACCTTAAAGCGAATCAAATGAAAGCACAGTGACTAACACCACACCCAATAATATAGCCAACAGTTCTCTGATCGGTTCGGAACTCTAGTCTAAAGATTTTTCATTTGACTAACAGACCCAATGTTTCTCTCCAAATGTATAACATTCCCATATTTTCAGAAGTGCTCAAAATTTTTAGGCTATAATATAAAACCCTCCGAAAACTTGAATACACTTTTGAGAGTTGAGCCGTACTTTCATGGCTTGAATTACTGGATCTCTAAGGAAAGCACTAATAGCCTGACAATTCAGTTGTTTTGTCTGCCGTTCCCCTAAACTATATCAGCCATATTCCGATAGCAACCAATTTTTTGTTGTCAGTCACTCTCTGAGTTTCGCTTATATTTGCAGAATATTTTACAAAAAGCATTTTATTTTTAGGCAAACGTTTGCTCAATACTATTGCACATACAGTATATATAGTATAGTATAATCAAGTTTGCAATATTCTCATTAAAAATCGCATCTTATTTATTAAAAATAATTATTTTGTGAATAAATAAATGCCAGACAAGTGTTGTTTGCCAATGCATTCAATGGTATACTGCAATGAATCGCATGTTTTTCTCATACGATTTATGAATACAAAGTATATATGCTTTCAATTTCTTAAGCAACACATTATCTCAAATAAATACATTAGTAATCCCTTAGTTGTGGTTTAGATTAAAAATGTTTTAGCATTGAGACCATCACTTGATTATACATTGTGTGAAACTTCACGCAACGGCACAAACCTTATCATTGAAGTTGAAGTTTGAGACAAACTATACTCTAAACTCTAATCATTATTTTCTATACCTTTACTATACATTATATTGTATTTCTTATCCAATAGTTGTCTATTACTTCAAATTATTTGTTTGGTAAAAATACTTGAATTGCTATCTATTGTTATGTTTGCGAGTGAGTCAGTGAGTGAGTGAGAGAGTGTGTGTGAGAGAGAGAGAGAGAGAGAGAAAGAAAGAGAGAAATGCATTCTTCATGTGTTAGTTTGTAGTGCTTTCGGGTAATTAATTTTTAGCTGTTTTTCTATCATTGCTTTAAAAAACAAGTGAAACAATTTAGATATTAATGATTAGAAAAAATATAGAAATATAATAACAAATGAATTGTATATTATATTTAATAGTTTTATCGAAATATACTGAATAATGGTTAATAAATACATTACAATATAATACTAAGTTATACTACTGTGTATACTATACACCAAACCATAGAAGCAATTGTGGATATAATACATAGCAATGGCATAGTTTTTGTACAATGTTTAGCATTGAATACGGCATTGAATGTGTAGTGCCAGTGGTCTCTCCCAAACTAGACTTACAAAAACACACGGGACTACCCGTCTTTGTCGACATGGACTGGACTCCCATACCAATGCATTCATCAATACTAGAGTAATACAAAACAGGCATATTTTCGATACATTGTATCAGATTTAATTAATTTTTACATTATTAAAATACGTTTATTAATATTTTAATTTTCTTATTCAATTTAACTACATAGTTTATTTTATTTTTATGATTAATATTGTTTTATCATAAAAATAAAATACTATACAATATGTAGTAGAGTATTACTAATGACAATGTAAAAGAAAATGCTATTGAAAGCTATTGGAGAAAATGTTTAAAATATTATTTATATTTATTTATATTAAAGATTAAAAATATTAATAAATATCAAACAAATCAATTGTTTATTGAATTGTGGAATAATTATGAATCATAAGAATCACATATACTATACATTAAGATTAATAGAGAATAAATATATGGCAATAATGAACACAACATGTAATATAAAATAGGGTTTGTGTCTAATGTAAGGCTATTGTCAAATGGTGTGGATATGTCTTGAAAACAGTCAGTTCCAGTGGTAGTAAGAGACGGGAGGTAATGCCAGTGCCATTGAGAGGACCAGCAAAATGTGTATGTATTGGAAAGTCTGGTAAAATAGGAAAGCAATGCCAAAACTAATAGCAAAACGTAATGCCCTTGGATTCAAACGCCCAGCACTGGCACTGCCAGCACTGGTATACCAACACAACTCATGCGAGTCTATGCCATACAATTAAATACTGGCGCTCTCTCCTACCAGTGCTAACACTACACTTGCCATTAGATTTTGAAAAGCACTGGCATTACAGCTTAGGAACTCTCTCTCTATCTCTCAGTTAGGCAGTGGCACAGCCTGTGAATAGGCAGTCACTGTATGTATAGTATGTATACCAGTGTTTTGTGAGACATTTTATGGCATTTGTGCCAAACTCTACCACAAAGACTAACTCTTAGATCAGCTCATAGTTGTTGTGTTAAAAGATATTGAATCTATAAGTCTTTGTGGACAATATATCGTGTTATCGGTCAACACACTGACCATACATACCATTGGATATACATTATAAAGACGTCTAAACTAAAGTGATTTTGTCATTACAAACAACAATCCATTGAAAGTAAGTCTAGTTTTTTGTTTTCATTAATGTTTTCTTCAATCCATTTGATATTATATACACTATATGTTTGATATGTTATGTTACATATTAATAGCTTTTTGAGCGCATAGTTTTGAATTTGTTAACTATTGATCACTAATTCATATCAATATTCATATTAATATATTAATTATTAATAATCATATATGGCATTGATTAGCGCTGTTTTCAAAATTAATAAAATGATAAATATATATAGCAATCAACTATTGATTACTTTTCAAATAGCTATACACACATTGGCGTCGATTAAAGGGTTAGATATGTTGTTAATGTTGTAGGCATTGAGTTATAGACAATATATGATTAGTCCATAGACTTGACTTTGTATCAAAAATATTCAAATTATTTTAAATTTAATGAATAGTTTCCTTAATTTTAAAGTCTAAATGACAATCAGTTCACCAAAAAAAAGTCTACCAAAAGGAAAGCCATATATTTGTATGTATGGCTGTGTTTTTAATGCTATTATATAGTGTGAAAACCCATATTATTGTACAACTTTTTAGGTTTCATTTTGTTATTAGGTTTATAATACAATTATAAAATAATATTAATAAAAAATTTGATTAATTAGTTAATATTGATTTGAATTTAAAAAATTAAATTTCTCACAATATGTGTAATTTATATCAAATCAAAAATAGATATTTGTTTCCGACATATCGTTAGTAACCGATAGTTGGAAAGTATTGAATAAACACTTTAATACTCTCATGTAATAAATATGATATATATATATACAGTATTTATAAATAAGTCATAATTATATATAAATTGAAACGCATTTCTATTGATATCAGTATATAATAGTTAATTGTATTTTGAATATAATTGTAAATTAAATATATATAGCAAACAACAATTGTTTAAAACAGATTTTCGGTGCATTTTTGACCACAAATTATCGATTTTAACAAAAGAAAACTAAGTTTCAAATAAGAGTGTTTACGTAACACTTAATTTGAATGAAATATTAATGTATTTTAAGTGTAGTTAAGGTTATATTGTATAGTATAGTGTATTGTGAAATACAACCCATTGAACACAATATATTATATTATAATTTATAATATATGGGTGTATGAGATAAACCAATTTTGCCAAATATTAATGAATGACTCATTTGTTGGCTGTTTTTTTGAACAGTTACTACACAATGGTATTACAGCAACAACAACAACCACACCATCACTCGCAACACATGCAACACTCTCCCAATCACTTCCAGCACATCCAACATACAAGCGATGGCATCGGAAGGAAGGTTTGTAATTGAGCTATAATTAAGACATACACTAAATATCACATAATTAGTACTTTTTAATAATTAATATTTAATTTGTGTCAATGCTTTCACCCAAATAATGGTAAAAGTATTGACATTTATAAAAAACTAATATTTATTATATAGAGTGTAACACAAACTAATTGATTGTTTCAATATATTGATCGATACTTTTCATACAATCAATTGATATATAGAGTGAGAGTCCGAGTAGAAAAAGAAGGCGGACTTCACTAAACACACTAACAGACAGTCCACCGCCTAATTGTGGTCCAGCAGGACATGGATATAGTGGTCATCTTATAGACCAGAATTCGGAGCGAACTCTGAGAAGTCGTAGCCGTAATTCTGGTACACCTAATCTGAGACGACCAATAAACGCAATGACTGCCAACAGTGGTCAACATAATCATCATTTTTCTCCAATTGCTGACCGACATAATGTACCGCGACTTCGGCGGAGTCCATCTGCTCGACGCTGCTGTCTATATGCGCGCACTTCACCACCTCTTCTACAAACGATTCAGAATCAAAATACTTGTCAATCAAGTATTGGTGGTTATGCTGGTATTGTTGGATCAGCATCTATGGCATCCTCCTATCGAATGGATAGTTTAGAATCTCATCAGAACAGTCAACATCACCGCGAAAGCCATCATCGAAATCCTCATACAAACCATCAAAATAGTCTTCAACCGACTCAGGCCTCCAATACAAATGCAGTTTATGCACAACTAATAAATGCCAGTCACACGAGTCATAACAATAATCACAACCAAATTGATTCTCAATCTGGATCTCATTCATACCGTTCATCGCATATACAGAACCCTCACAATACACCTCACAATTCAAACATTGCCTCGCAATCAGTTTGCATGTGTTGTCTCCATCAGCTCAGATTGGCATCACCTCAGGTTTGTAATTAATTCATATCTTTGATGTATAATAAATGTATTAATTTTATTGTTTTAAAACTTAGGTCTCACCGACGGGAAATGCTCAGACTTATGCAAACTTATTTGGATCTCCGAATGCGAGACAATATAATTTAACCCAAACGCCACCCCTACCAAACTTTCCATTAGGTTTGACTAACTCTTATTGTCGATCACCTCCTGGAGTCCAACTTTCGGAGCCAACCTTATTGCCTGATATCGACTCGAATCGCATCCGCGGTTACAGTCACTCGAATCATCCAAATCTACCTCTTAATTTGGCGACATTAGCAGCAGCTGCCTCACAACAATACTATCAGCAACAACAACAACTCCCACACCACACACATTCACATATTGGTTCGGCAACGGCTCATAATTCACAATACATTCAGTCCTCATCACCTCTACATCACATCTCCATTCCGAGTGTAACCAACTTTATGCACGTAGACGGCGGACAGCCTAATGATTACCTATGCATACAGAGTCCACGTCTAATGCAGAGACGGACAAATATGCGGCGGTCTCATCGATCACATATGTTTAATGCCTCTCCGGTGCCGTCGCCATATCAAAACATAATGCCGGTTCAACCGATAACACCACCTCCTGTTACCAATGTTCCAGCAATGTTTCATATGTTAGCCGCCATGTTTTCAAGCCAACAGCATCAGTTGCCTATGGGAACATTCGGCGTCGGAGACTTTGTAGGCAATCCAGAGTCACCTGAAGCCGAAAATTATGAAGCATTGCTCAGTTTAGCGGAACGACTGGGAGAGGCCAAGCCTAGAGGTTTAGCGCGCAATGAGATCGAACAGTTGCCATCGTATCGATACAAACCTGAGAACGCCCACGAATCGGATCAAACAACTTGTGTGGTCTGTATGTGTGACTTTGAAGCCAAACAAAACCTTCGCGTTCTTCCCTGTGCTCATGAATTTCATGTCCGATGTGTCGACAAATGGCTTAAAGTATGGGTTTTTATATAAATTTATAGTTTGATTATATTTTTTATATTCATATTTTTAATTATAATTTTAATTGATGTATAGACTAACAGGACGTGTCCCATATGTCGTGGCGACGCCTCTTTTACAGAACATGAATCGGACTGAATGTTGATATGTTTGTGCCATTTATTAATTTGATTACGTAATGCAACGCAACATTCAATTATTTAAAACTACATAATCAACAACAAGTAAATGCTCAACATATTTGTCGAGCACTTGATATTTATAATAATGGAAAGTGAAAATAATAAATACAACTATTTTTAGCCTAAAATTTCCAAATATATATATATTTTGCAAATAAGTTCTGAATTTTTTTATATATATATTTGTGATTAGAAATACTATTAAATTGTAATAACTGTCTGTTATTTCAATTTTATGCTTACCATAGGATACAGTAAACTCACTTATTTTCCTCGAAGTTCAATCCCAGTGACATTAACACTGGTATTCATAACTATAACTTGAATACAACTTAAACCTTATTTACAACACAGACTCAAACTCGTACTCAAAATTTTAATTCAACAAAAATGTTGATAACAATTGTTGACTTTTATCACATATTAAACATTTAAAATAATGAAGTTTTATTTATTTAAGTAAGTTTGGTTGTGTACTGTAGTGGTATAAATTGAAGTTTATATGAATGAGTTTATTAGATAGTAAAATTATTTTAAACACCATTAAAATATTTAGCAAAAAATTATATTTTATTTTATTTAAAAGTAATTTTTAAAAAATTAAATCAAATTAAAACTTTTCAAAATATTAGGTATTGTTTGAGATGTAGTTTGTGAATACCAGTGTTAAAGTTATTAATTAGTTAATTTTGATTGTATTTAAATAATTGTAATTTTGTTTTTATTATAAAAATTGTAGTAAATATGTTTCAATACTATTGATTTTAAAAACTTGTAATTACAACACATTAGCTATAATTAGCCATATAATGGCTTACAAAGAGTATTATTCCATAAAATAATTCCGTTTTATTATAAAATATTTGTTTTATACGATAATTTGATTATAAAGTTTTATGTTTAAATTATATTCAACATTTTATAATGTCGAAACTATCTCTTAAATGTCGAATATAATTTACATATAGTGTAAATTAATATTTGTTATACATTTAATTCATTGATGAAATTTAATTAAAGGCCAAATGAAGCGCAACATTTAGATGAGTAAACAATTGGTCAAACCGTTTGAATTAAATTTTTATTGAGTTTTTCATATATTTTTGTAAATAATACGACAATTTTTATGAACTTATTTCAGATCTCATAATAATTATTTTTGCCTCAAAAATCAATGGTTATTTTAATATTGTAATTGTTAAATAATTAATTAATTGTAATATATGTTGTATGCCGATGGTTGGCCATTGATGACTGATATATAATAGTTGTGACCTCAAACCTAAACCAATTGATAATAACCTAATTTTGCGCTCTGTTTGAAAACAGTATAAAAGCGATGCTCTATATAAACAGGAAAACCTAACCAAACAAGTCATTACAAGACACCAAACCTATATATCAGTGGATTCAATGAGTCAGACCTAATTGGTATTCATGAAAAAAATTAAGTTAACATTGTTTTTGATGATTTACTTTTGATGACACGATTAAGATTGTAATAATAATTTAATTGAAGGTGTTTTTCCCTTTTAAAAACAATCTGATCTTTTTTGCCACACTTTCACCATTATTCAGGTTTTTATATACAGTGCTATCAAATGTGTCCTCTTTTAACAATAATAGGACTTTTGTTATCAGTCTTATGCAATAAACTTTACAGTACTTTCATTTAAAAATGTATTACACATTAACTTAACCCGTAATTGTTTATGTGGCTTATGATTTAAATATAATAATTACAATTTTGCTAACAAATACCAATAATTTATACTTATTTAGATTGGTATTCAATAGGGTTAGAATAAATTGTTTATTTCAAAATTAAAACTACCATAATTTAAAAATCAATTTTAATATTAATTCTAAATTCTATAATTTAAAATCCAATTGTGTCATTAAAACATCAAACATATTTATAAATATTTATTATTATATTATTATTACATTTATTATATAATTATTATTTTCATATAACAAATACAGTGTTAATGTTTGAATATATTAATGGACAGCAATACTGCACCGGTTGTATTGACTGAAAATTGTAAGACCGGTTAACAAGAAATAGTTTTAAAAACAAATTGAAATAACAATTATTAAGTTATCATATGTTTAGCATTTGCTAACTGAACGATGCAATTAATACTGCATTTCATTATCGTTATCTGTATTTACAAACTAATAGTTAACTAAGTTTTATAAGTTCTTCCTATTATTATCTTGAGGTGCAATCCGTACACATATTATTGTAATGTAATCAATATGTTTAACCAAACAAAATAATTAGCTTAATATAACATTATTAATGCAGTAATTATTCCAATATACTGTACGATATATTTTGATTCAATTATATTTTTAAATTATAATCATTTATTGAACAAAAAACCATACATTTTTGTACCAAATGCTAAAAAAATTAAATATCGGGACAATGAAATTGTCTATAGAAATGATATTATGTTTAGTTTTGTGAAAACATTAAAAATAATTTAAATATATATATATACGGTATATAACTAAAGAAAAAGAGCATTAAAAGGGACGCAAACTGTATCTAAAATACAATATAATGTAAAAATCTATCAAATAATAATAATACACAGTATATAATAATGATGTGATAATGCCTTAAATAAAAGTATAAATAAAATTATTAAAAAATTATTTATGATGTCTTCATTAATTAACATTTATATCAATGTCGACTACAAGTCATTAATTGATGAATCAAATGATGAATTGGACAACAGGTCCGATACGTCGATGTCTTGATTGGCTTCTTTAAGTTCCGGTGGGTCGTACTCATGAAGTCTTTTGCGCCACAATTTGATTTGTTGATCCCATGAGCGTCGGCTATATTTAATGAATTTTTCGGGTGTTGTCGGGTCTTCGTGTTTACGTTTATTTTTCATAACCTGAGTTAGATATTTCTGATAACCGATAGTATTCTTTCCGTAATCGATTTGCTTCTGACGACGGCGAATGATAGCCAAATCGGTTTCGTATTCAACCGAAGTGTCCAACGATCTGTTCTGTAGGTATCTTCGAGATGAACCACCAGATGATCGCTTGTTGTTTGTTTCGCTGCCAAATATACTTCTACGAACACGACTAGGCTTAGGAGTTCTGAACTCAAAGTTCTTTGTCTTGTCAGTGACGGATTCGTCCTGCAATTTCTTAATGGGTGATGATTTGGGAGAATTGAAAATATCATACATTTGGTCTATATTTGTAGTGTTTCGTAGGACACACTTCGGTGTCGAACTTATAGCCGGTAAGTGTCGGTAGTCTTCGCTAGAGATTTCACTGTAGCCGAGACCTGAATCCAGTTCTTTGAATGTGTCAGTCATATCAGTCATCAGCTCATCGTCATCTATGGTTCCATCAGTTGTCTTCACTACCGCTTCATCTCTATTATCTTTATTTTCGTTGCCCTCTTCATTGTTTGGGCCCTCGACTTGTGGCTCAATAATGGATTTGTCGACAGACTTTCCTAACATACGATCAAAAACATGAGACCATTGTTGGTCTTCGTCTTCATCGGAGTCGCACAGTTCAGCCCAATCTATGGCAAACTTTTTGTGCTTCTGAATCATGAGATCTTCTTTAGTTAAACTCATTGTCCTTTTTCTGTGATGTCTTTGTTGTCACACAATTGAATTTAAGTCAACAATTGGTTTAACGGGACGATCACTCAAATGACAACTAAATCCAATAGATTTACTCAATTATATTACTGTTATATTTGATTACAATAACTGTGTAATCAATTTATGGATAATTAAAACAATCAATTAAATGGTTAAGACTTTTGAAGACAATTTAAAGGAAACAGTTGTTGTTATCAGTCATTACTTTCAAGTATTGTCTTCTGTATTGCAAAGAGCGGGTCATTGCATACATATTGGCGCCAATACTATGACATTAAGCGCTCAACCAATCACTGACTAGTATTTACTGTAAACATAATTGTCTGACAATTTATATTAAGCGCCAAAACATATACTATTGGTATATAATAACTAAAGCACTGGTATTACTGTATATACTGTAATGTACTACTAATAGGCGTTACTACTAATGCTGTATTGAGTCATTCATAAAGTTTATGTTTAAAATATATATTAAACATTTGTAAGCATTGATTACATTATAGGGTATGAACTGTATATCAAACACTCCTATAAATAGTAATGATGTTTAAGTGTGTGTTTGGGTGCAGTTGACTATTAATGCCAGTGCTGTCTGATAGGGACCGCCTCATTGCCGGCCATTACTATTATAGATGGATGGGTAGTGTATGTATGTATGTGTCTGTCTGTCTGTATGTGTAGTGCCGCGCCCTAACACAGTTCGCCCCAACAGTACAGCCGACACTGTGTGCCGACTGTCCACTGCTGACTGTAGAGCAGCTATCAGTGCTGTTGACTGTTATAAGTGACCATTAGTTGTATATATGTATTGAGACACTTGTTTGACATAAATTTCTATTACATATAATTAAAACCCATTTTTATTAAACGAGTCAAACATTTGGTTCAAACGGTAAGTCTATTTTGAATACAATTTATTTTTAAAACAGTGTTTCACTGCTTCAGCAATAATATAATATTAACATAAATACTATGATATTCTCTGTCGATGCTATTGAATGCCATTTGAATTCATTTATATTTAATATGACATACAATTTAATATATTTATATTATAATATTAAACATATAATTTTATACATTAGGATATATATACTAGTATTTGATTACACGAGGTATATAAATATATATATATATATATATATATTATGATAAATTCATTGATGATTAGTTTATATAAAAAGATAGGACAAAAATAGTGAATTTCATTTGTGATAATAATATTATATAATATATGATATATTTTCACTGATCGCCAGTTAATTAAAATTACTTAATATATGATAATATTATACTATATTTCCACAAAATTATATTACATTAACCGTTAAATTTTTATTATTAATAGGTAATATAATTTGTCTAAATGTCTGAACTATTTTTATGCAATACTTGACATATTTTGACTGAAACCCCGAATCATTATATGATATATTTTAGTGTCATTTTTAGTCATATCATATTTAATTGTATTGAATATAACATTTAGAAAATAATTTAACAGTTAATATACTGTCATTCATATTTAAAAACAATTGATGTTTTATTTTATATATAGTATAGTATTATATAAAGTATAATGTGGTAATAGTTTATTTTTGTTGTAAATATTATATAATAAAATTAATGCAATAATATTATAAATACATTTTTATGTCTATTATTAAGAATCATTTATTTATATATTTGTCTGTAATAAAGTCATTAAATACTAGTATTGAAGAATATTGAACTTAGTGTTTGCAAATAATGGCATTTTAATAAAAATTTATTTAATTAACGTATATTAGTAAAAATATTTACATTAAATAATTTACTGATATTTATAATAGTTATTGTCTACTTATAATAGCTGATAATACTATTATTATATAATCAATTTAATGCATTCAATGAATATACTTTTAAAAGCGTTTTAGAATTAATTATTAGTTTAACTGTATATTTGATATTTAATTAGATTTTATTTTTTATAATTAATATATATATATATATAGTATTTTAACATTAAAATGATTTGCACTATTTGTTATTTAATTTAATTGCTATATTTAAACAGCGTTTTAAAAATGAGCACAAAACTGTTTAAAATAAAGTGAATGAATATAATCTATAATTTAAATACACTTTTACTATTAGAAAATACATTGTATTTTAAATGTTATTTAAGGTATTTAATACTTGTTTTATATTCTTAAGGTTATCTATAGTAATACATGAATAGTAAATGCAATTTTCAATAAAATCTCATTACAATGAACATATATATAATTTTATCAATATTTAATAGTTGTAATATTTAATATATATGATCAAAATGTTTTAGATGTTATTAAATATATTAAATATTATTATTGATGATTATATTTGAAAAATTTGTCCGAAATATAAGTTTTCAGATAAGTTTGTATAAATGTTTGTCAATGAAGTGCTAAATAGAGTGACTTGTATTAGCCTTTTAATAATATATTTTACTTTTTAATGCTATTATGTGAAGCCTTGAAATTACAAATATAATAAAGTTTTCTTTTTGAAGAAATATAGTATAATCAACAAAAAAGTATATTTTGTCGATGCTTTTAATAGTCTATTATCATTTGTTTCAATGAAAATAACATTTTATATTTTATTGCAAATGTTTGAAAACCATTTATGATTTTAGTCTGCAGTCCTTCATCCCCTTCCCTATCACCCTATCAGCCCTTTATTTTGTGTGTCATCCCAAACATTAATGAATGTATTGACTCTTTATTGAACTGAATTATTTTATATATTATATTAGTTAACAGTGTTGTTATTAAACATATATTATATTGTGGTATAATATGAGGATTGCCTTATAAATGATAATAATTATTTGATTTCCATAGTAACTCAAACTATTTAGAATTTGTTATTAAATACTATTATAACTTTTAGTATTTTATCTAAAGAGTTATTAAAACTTTCAAAAGTAAATTGTAATCACAATAACAGTAATATAACAAATAATAATAAGATTAATTGGATATATTATTATATTATGTCTCTATTTCAAAATTATTGTTTTTAAACTATTGTTATTTAATATGTGATTTTAAAATAAAGCATAAATTATATAAATAATGTGTACAATAGTATGATAGTATGAGACGCATCAATGTTAGCACAAATGAATGTTATATTTATTTTTATGTATTATATATTTGCAGTTTTTTTTATTTCCTTTGACTATAATTTTTTATTTTTATATATAAATTATATTTATTGTTAATCGTAAGGCTGATGCATACACGCATTTAAAATACAATATATTATGAATGTATGTATATTTTAAACATATTGCTTGTGTTGATTTGTGGGATGGGTTGGACTATGGTATGGATGGTATAGTATGGTTTGGTTTGCCTTATTTAATGCCAGAGCTATGCGATTGTATTATCTTTTCTGATTTTTGTCAAACCAGTTGTGATAACAAACACATTTAAACAGCACTTTATGTATACATTTGAATGCATTGAGGGATGTGTTAAAACAGTGGCTATACTTTGTTGATTTGATTATCATCTTTTGATTTGACATCTAATTTCACAACAGTTTCTGTTTAATATATTGAAAATTTTTATTAATATAAAAAATAGTTTTATTGAAATATGAAAAATGTTTAATAAAATGGTAGAGATATGGGTTGTCTTAAAGTAACTGTCAGAAGGACGTAATAAAAGAAAAATATAATGATTTACTCGTAAAACAGTTGAGCCATGAGATCATACCTCTAAACCAGTGTTGGGTTGTCTTGTTTTTTGTTGTTTTGTATATTAACTGAATTTCATGTGTTTTAATATTAAGTTAGTGTTGACTCTCAGACCTTGTTGTATGTAAAAGCTTACACAACAATTGGTACAAAAATGTTGTATTGTCTATAAAGTTTATAATACAATATAAACCTTTTGATTATGACTACAACACTATATATATGATGTATTGTTAATATAGTAAACACATTATTATAAACGAGTTTCTCCTTAATAGCGGCACTGGTCTTAAAAGTTGTCTTATTTTGGCTCTCATGATGTGAATAGTCGTGATTTGTAACCAAACACTTGCTATTTGATTAATTGCACACTTAATTTGATATACATTTAATGTTTACATTATTGTTGTTATTGTTTTAATTTTTGTGTAAATTTTAATTTCTTTAATTAACAATATTTACAGTGAATTAAATTTTAATAGTTAATAATTAATTAAAATAATCATTTAAATATATATTTCATGTTAATTATTGCTAAGCGATTAGATATTAATCAACATTTTATAGTGAATTAATTATATGTTTTGAACACACCTCTCATTTATGTAAATAACTTATAAAATTATAAAAGTGAGTGATTTTTTAATTATCATTAAATTTTTATTTAAAAAAATATATATTTTCACAACTATTTGTTAACAGAAGACTAACATTAAAGTATATTATTGTTTTAATTTTGTTTTTTAAATATTTATCATAAAATATATATAATAAATATTATATAAATTTATATAATGTATTACATGTTTGTCGAGACATTTGTTAAATTCCTAAAACTTATCTATATTTACACTAAAATATAACACCACTCGACTTATGTTTGTTTCTCAGTTAATAATAGACAATAATATACTTAAAAAATAGTGTTAATTATGTTTATTTGTAGTGAAGGACTTAACGATGAGATATAATTATTAGGTTAACCATTATTTAATTTGTTAGATTATAATAAACATTTAGATAGATTGGATAATATTTAAGCGTAAAATCTTTACATTTGTTGCATATTTATTAGTCATATCCTGTGGCTTTCACTGTCTATAAATGTTTATCTTTTTTCAACGTTACCCAAAAATATTATGTAAGTTACAGTACTTTAGAAATGATAACAAAAATAGTCATAAATACAAAACAAGCAAAACTTTATTTGATATGAAAGTATAGATAAAATAGTGATCATTTAATTTTGTAATTTATTTGGTAACACATAACTCTTACAAATGTAATAAAATTCAATGCAATAATCAAACTTTAAATGACTATTATTTAGAGTCCGTCGACCTTTGTTTTTAAAGGAGGGGTTGGACTTCTCTAAAGTTGTGCCACATTTACTCAAATTTTATATTATATCTTCAATGATGTTTGTATATTGTGTAGACTAAAGAGTGACCAATTTTTTAATCATATTTTTGTATTTTCAATAATTTACATGTATTATAAAATTAGTATTAAAAATGTTTAATATTAAATATATTAGAACAACTTTTAAGTAAAAAATAAATAGAAGTGTAGAAAAAAATCTTTATTTAATCCATTAATCTATAGACTATAGTTTATATTTTTACTATCAAATAAAAAAATAGTTGTTATAGATTTAAATCAAATTTTAGTGTAATTTGCACTTATTTTAATAAAAAAAAGTGATTTATTTTCTTACTTTTTGACTAAACTTAGTAAACCTTAATTTACAATCGATATATTGGACATGTGTCTCGAAAAGATATATCAATACTACTTTCCTTCACTCAATTGTCCAAAATATCACTTTTAACTTACGGTTAGTTTAACCAATAAATAAGTGATTAAATCACATTTATTTAATATGTGTATACTGTATATATGTATTTTTATGATCAGTCTAATTTACTGTTGCTATTGATTAGACTGTATAATAGTTTATAGATTATAAATTATGATTTTTACTAGAAATAAAATAAATTTATGAATAAATAAATAATTTTTTTTATAACATTACTAATTAACAATTATACTATTCTGATAATCTCAATAACTTATTTTTATTATAAGTGAACTATAAATTAACTAAAATTTATTATTATTTTTATAGAAAAGTTTTGAATAAAGTATGTCTGGAGTGGAGCAGAACGGTGTTAGAAGTGTTAAGTTTGATCCGGATGACCCCGAATGCCAAAGAGAAATGTGGAGACCACCCGATATTGACGCCGATATGAAGGAAATGGATCGCAGGAAACGGGTTGAAATGATTATGAATAGCCAAGTGTTTAGGGAAGAACTCGAACGCATCATTGAATCGCAGCTAAATGAGGGCTATTTACCCGCCAGTCTATCGGCACTACAACAAGTAACTGAGCTCTTACTGCCGCAATCAGCTCGTGGTTCATCATTGTCTAAGTTAGGTCACTCAGGAATGCCAATTAACGACATTCGAGGTGTCGATGCTTTTCGTTATGCAAAAGGAGAGAAACCTCTTCGATGTAAACTCGCAGCTGTTTATAGACTCGTTGAACTGTATGGTTGGTCGGAAGGCATTTATAATCACATCACTGTATGAATCAATTATAATATATTATAGTATTTTATGAGTGATTTGCAAATTTATAGGCACGTGTCAGTCAAGATGCCGAACATTTTTTGTTGAACCCCTTTGGTCTTCAATATCATGAGGTGACGGCATCATCACTACTCAAAGTCGATATGCAGGGCAACATACTTGATCCCGGCACGACTAACTTTACATTCAATAGGTATAGATAATAGTTATTATTTATAACTTTTGTTTTTATTATAATGATTAATGTGATGAATGATTTGATTATTTTAGGGCCGGTTTTGTGCTTCACTCAGCCATTCATTCTGCTCGACCCGATATTAGAGCAATCATTCATTTACATCATCCGCCGTGTGTTGCCGTCTCTGCTATGAAATGCGGATTACTAGCCGCCAGTCAAGAGGCAGCTATTTTAGGTGATATAAGTTATCACGATTACAGAGGAATACTTATAGATCCCGAAGAAAAGGATCAAATAGCCCGAAATTTGGGTCCTTTTAATAAGGTATAAAAAGTTTGTTTGTTTTTATTTGATCTTTAATTACCTATAATTTAATTTATAAATTTTTGACCATTACTTTTAACAGGTCTTAGTTTTACGAAATCATGGAGTCCTTACATGTGGCGAGTCTTTAGAAGAAGCTCTTTATCTGATGCAAAACTTAGTGATCGCTTGCGAGACACAGATTAAGTTAATGTCCTGTGGATTGGATAACATTCGTATTATGACACCAGAAGCCGTAGAACAGGTTCGCTCTATTATCAAACACTCCGGTTCTCAAGTCCAGGGAAAGCCCTCAACTGATGATTCAATTGTTGCTTCAAATTCGGACCAAAACGAACACAAAGAGAAGCTCAAGAAATGGAAAGTTTGGGATCTGGAGTTTGAGGCACAGATGCGAATGTTAGACAATGCGGTAAATAATATAATCTATTAATAATTTAGATTATTTTATTATATTGTTTATTATTAGGGATTTCGTACGGGATATCTATATCGGCAGCCACTTCTTCGAGCAGATCAGACACGAACTAAGTATGACGTTGAAGAGCCTCCTTCGGCCTCTTCATTAGCGCATTACCTCGAAGAGGACAAATGGTTGAGTCCACTTAAGAAGTTAGTTGAAGGCAAACGGACTCAAGACAAACTTCGTTGGGTAAACTCGCCGAATGTATACCAAAAAGTTGAAGTTCTTGAAACTGGAACCCCTGACCCTAAAAAGATAACTAAGGTTTGAAATTAATTCAATGATAGCTTTCATTTGACACTTAATGACAATTAGGGCCACATTTATTAACTAAATAACAATAGAATGATAAATAATTTAGTGATAATTGTATTATATAAATCTCTAATTGTAATCAAAATGTATTTTTCTTACAAAAAACTCCAATTTAAATGTAATCTCATTTTGTAAAATATTTAAATGAAATATTTAAAATAATAGATTATATGCTTAAATAAATTGCTTTATTTGACATTAAGTGTTATTTAATAAACCAATTGATATGTTTTGTTATGATTGATTGCAGTGGATTCAGGATGGGTCTCCATCACACAGCACTCCTATTAAGATAGAAACTCCTCACCAATTTGTTCCGGTCAATCACGATCCCAATGAATTCAAACGAAAACAAAAGGAGGTCAGACATTGTCACAACTGTTTGTTTTATCGATTTATTTTTTAATTATAAACAATTGGTTGATTGAACTAATAGATGAAAGAAGTTCGCCTCCAAAATAAGATATCCGGTGGACCACAAAGTCATATTCTGGAGGGTGTCACGTGGGAAGAGATTAGGCATATGAATGAACAAAAAAGTGGTGATCAGGTTGTCTTAGTTGGCGCCGCATCTAAAGGTATTATTCAGAGAGAATATCAACACAACGCTATGGTCTATAAGAGTGCTTACGCTAAGAATCCGTTCGATAACATAACGGAACAGGAAATTGAAGATTACAAACAAACTGTTGAGAAAAAACAAAGGGGAGAATTAGGTTTGTCATTATAATATATATATATATATTGTATTTATTAATAAACAAATTGATATCATAGTAGATGACGTGCCCGACAATGTGCGACATCTCCTCATTGAACCGGTTTCTCAAAATCAAACCACACAAGACATAACTAGTCCTACATCACCCACATCACCACTTTCTGATGATGATGGTATGTATTAATACACATTCAAACACAATGTGTTATTAAACTTTGATTTGGGAATATATTTTATGGTGGTTTGGGCACTGCTTTTATACTTTTAAAAGTAATATTTAAATGAATAAAAATTATTATATATTACAATAAATATGTGGATAAAAATATAGGCAAAAGTTCAGCCGTTTCAAGTGAACCACTGATAGTGATCACACCGTCATGTGATGGTTAGTCCAAATGACAAATTATGATTTTGTTTGTCTAACTATGTTTGTAATTAACAATAATATGACAGCAATGATATGTTTGTTAAAATCATAAAACATAACTTAATTAAATCTAACAACTTTTCGCAATGCATTTTTAAAACATTTCCGTTTCAACTAATACTAATACTTTCTAAAATTTAAATTAAATGAAAATATTTAAATTGCATGAATTTTTCATTTGATAGCATCTATATCTAGCAATAATAGGGTGCACCGGTCGCACTCGGCCCGACTCGCAGCTCAAGGTGTGTAATATTTAATGATTTGTCTAAAAATTTTCTTTTCTCTTCCCTTTTTAAATATCGCATCACTTTATCTATATTATGGATAATATTAAAGTTACTCTCTCTGAGTCTCAAAAAATTGAAGGTATTTTACTATTTGTATAAATTAGGCGTATTTTTAAATGATATATTAAACAATAAATTGAATGAATCATATGTTAATTTTATTTGAATTTTCATAATATAACTGATAGCCTATTATATTATAATTATGTATTTTTTTAGTTTGAATCAATGAGTTATGAATTATTTATCTTTTTTTTTTAATTGTTATTGCTTTTGAATTTATTTATTATTTTGTTTTTGTTTGCATGAATTATATTATTTTATGTTTTGCACGATCATTATAGCCGCTGAGGACAAGTACTTTTCTCGGGGCCGCTTTAGGTCTGAACGTAAACCAAATAAACAGAGCACCAGTAAGTTTTGTAATGATTTGGTTTGTCATTAATTTTATTGTCTTATTTGATGAGATGATGTAATTTAAGTTTGTATATGTAATTATAATTTGATTTAATTGTTTGTTTTAGTAAACAAATAATATTATTAAAACATAGAAAGTAAATATTATTAATAAATAACTAAATTATTTGCATTTAAAAAAACATTTGAAATAATTTACAATAATACTGTACATTGATTTATACAATTATCTAAATTTGAAAATGTATTAATCATTAGGTGATACAGCAGTCAATGGTGAAGATAAATTAGGTGACCTTTCAGGTGCTTCCCGAAGCAGTAAAGAGGTATTATTACATGTTTTTAATTGATTGATAAGTTTTATATCACTAATTGATTGACTGATTATTGATTAATTAAAGGGATCGCCTGTTAAAGAGTTGGAGAAATCCAAAAAAGACAAAAAGGATAAAAAAGATAAAGGCTTTCGGACGCCAAGCTTTCTTAAGAAGAAGAAACACAAGAAAGATAAAGACAAAACTGAGGCATAATTTTAGAGACATTTTAGAGTTTTATTGCATTTAAAAATTCATTTAACAAATTGAATGCTTCGCTCATCTATTGATGAAAAGACTGCCACAAAAAGCTTTTTGAACACAGCGTTGAATATTTGTTTTTAAACTCCATTACTTCATACGCTTATCTTTTCTCTCAATTTTTCCATCAAAGTTGCATTAAATATATATATAAATTTGGATTTATTGCTCATCCATTTGAAATAATAAGAAATGATAATTATTTATAATATATTCTCTAATTGTTTTGAGTTATAAATCAATTTGTTTTATGAGAGGAAAAATTAAAAAAGTATTAGATGTCCGTCGCCTACATTGAACCAATGATAAGACAATTTGAAGTATTTTACAGATACTTCCACTCTATGGCAGACTTAAAACTCTTGTTTTTCAACTAAGATTTTGTTTTGAATGACAAATAAATATATATATCTTTAATATTAATATATTTAAGACTTTTACTTTTGTGCAAAAGTGAGACTATTTTAGGCCTAAAAGCGTTTTAATTATTCGTTCATTTTATTCAAATTTTAGATTTGAAATTATGATAATTATTAAATTATATTATATTTACATATTGATTGAATAATAATTTAATGAATTTTTAAAGACTATATTATTACCTTATATAAGATAAAACAAATTTATAATGAGGACAATTGTTTCATTTAAACGTTATTTGGGAATAATATTTATTTGTAAATACACTACAAATATATAAATTATTATTAATCATCTTTTACTCAATGTTTTTGAGATTTTTAAACATCATTTTCAGACATTTTAAAAATACAAATTGCTTTTAATTGTATTGATGTTAATGTTTTAAAATCTCATTTGTATTTTACAATGAAATATTTATTTTGGAGAATAGCATATTAAATAAATAAATGCGATATTAAACACATTAGAAAAAGCTGTTGTACTTTATTATAATTAAATGATTGAATTGTCGTCAAATTAGYAGCTAATTGTCGGGCACTCCTTTGTTATCCCATTTATACAGTAATACATATTTTAGTCGTTTTCATAATTTTGTGATTTTAATGAAATTATAACATCAAACAAAATCAAATGCTATTTGTTTTATTTGTTAGATTTTCTTTACTAAGTTATATTATTAATTGATTTTATAATCATTGTATAAGTAATTCACTATTTTCTTTATTTAATAATAATTTTAACTAATTTATAAAAATAATTAGTTTCATTGTCATATTTCTGATGGTTTTATGAAAAAAGATTTAATATTGTTTTGAAATAAAAGTTTCCTTTTATAATAAACATTGTCTTATTGTGTTTTTTTTAATTTTAATTATAGTGAACAAAATTTGAATTATATAAAATTTATTTTAAATAAGATCTATTTTTATACAAACGATTGATTCAAATGTATAAACAATTAATTAAATGTATATAACATTATATGAAGAAAAACAAAGTATAAAATATTTAGCCCAAAATTTCTTCAAAATGTTAGAAAAAAGGTGAATAACAAACAGTTTGAATGTCAAAAATTAGGGTATTATGTATAAATGATTCACTAATTTAGTAATAACTACAAGTGTAGAAATAAAGCACAATAATTATTGAGACAAAATACAGTTTCATTTTATGTAAATTATATAATATTTGAGTGATTTTTGCACATTATATGAGCAAATGATATCTAAAATGATTATCAATTTATATATAATTTATATAAATTGATTGCAATAAAAATATAAATATACATTAAATATACTTGAAATAAATTCAATATAAATAATAAATAAACCATTATTTGTATTATTTTCAGTAAAAAAACCAAATGTCAAATTAAATTAATTCATAAATGTTGGCAATGTTGGAAAGGGAGACATATTTGGGGCCCAATTGATAGGAGTAATATAATTGTGTCTAAGTTTTAGCTTAACTGCGGGTCCACTTTGACTAATGGCATTAACTGCATCGGCATGTGTTAGACCTACAGTTGAATAACCGTTAATTTCAATGATTTCATCGCCAACATTGAGCAGTGAAAAGGCCGGACCGTCCGGTGCTATCCTGAGTATGAAGAGAGGCATACCATTAAACTCTGCTCCGCCTCTGATTGAAAATCCATAGCCTTTTGGGCCACGAATTAGTTCAACGGTATAACAATCAGCGGGAATAATACGCAAACTGAGTGTCTGTCCCGACTCTTTAATCATATTAACAATATCCGGATGAGAGAGTGAAGTGATGTCAAAGCCATTTACGGCTACTATTCGATCCCTAATATGAAGTCTTTGACATCTTTGCGCAGGACTTCCTTCAATGATGCGACCGATGAGAGCACAGTCACCGCACGATATAATAACAAACCCAAAACCTTCAGAGTCTTCGCGAAATAGCGTCACTTCATATGTATCGGCGTTACGCTTACGTCTGACCAGAATTGAGACCATTGGTCCCGTTTGTGACATAAGTTGAACCACTTCCTGATGACTGGCGCCCATTACATTCCTTTCATTTATTGATATAATTTCATCGCCGGCTTTTAGAACGGCATCTCTATGGGCAACACCGCCGATGACTATCGAACCAATAGCAACATTTCGTCCCTCTTCAGCGCCACCGACAATCCGGAAACCAAAACCTGATTCAGAGCGAGTCAGTGATGCCCTAAAATATTCATAATCTTCTTCGAGAGAGTTCGATGCTGTCATATCTGAATTGGTTATTGATGGCTGAAGAGGTGGAGTTTCGATTTGCATTTCTGGTGACAATGTTGTTAAAGTAGGAAGTAATGGTGCGGATTGTGATTTGAGATTGTTTTGATTCACATAAAAGCCATCGATTGGATATGAGTTACTATTTGGTAAATATTGAGATACTGAATGGTTAATCATTAAGTCATTGTTGTCGACATAAGTGTTAGACATCCGTCCTATCATTTCAGCGTTAGGTGTCTTACAATTACGGATTGGTTGAACATAACCATCGTTTTCCCAATTATTTTGCAATATTAATGGAGTTTTTGAGCGAAATCTCTTTTTTCGTTTAACCATAAGAACAGCCGGTTCGTCGATAGGACACTGCTTAAGAACATCTACCACTTCCAAGTGTGACATGTTTGACATGTCGATCGAGTTGATAGACATAAGAATGTCTCCCTGTCTAAGAGCTCCGCATCGATCAATATCAAGGATTTTCTTGACCTTTTGACCCGAATGTGCATCACTTATAGTAAAGCCAAAGCCTTGCATTCCTTTAGTGAGAGTAATACTCAAAATATCATATTCTTCATCATTGATATCAGCGGGCAATTGATATCCGCGAGCAAACGTCAGTTTAATACGATCGCCGACTGTAAACGTGGCAAACAATCGGGCAATTTCTGAGTGTTGCAAACCAGCCACTGATACACCAGACACTGATACGAGTACATCACCCGGTTGTATAGTACCGGCTGTATGTGCTGGTCCTCCAGGTATTATACTTTTGACGACTACCAATCCTTTATCGATCTCAATAAGCGTAAAACCAAAACCGGACACTCCTTTGATAAGCTCAGTCTCATATGGCCTCTCATATTGAGTTCGTTTGTTAATATGATCGATATAATAGATACCGTAGTGGGCATCGGATATGCGTTCCCATCCGTGAGGAAGAGAGGCCGCATCGATGGCCGCTATGTTTGACCGATTACGACGACGTTTCGCAGCTAATGATGTCATCGAGCTATTCATCGATTGTTGTTCATAGTTAGGGATATTGTTTGTCACGTTGTTTGACATATCATTGGTCGGAAATGTTGTTAATGGCAATGGAGTGCCATAAAAGTGTGCCGCATAGACACCAGACTCTAGTAAAAGTCCCGACCGATCCATTTCAATGAACTGTTCTTTAGTGACAAATTTATAGTCAACACCATCCGATTCATTAGGTCGCGGAGGTCTAGTTGTACACGGAATGGTACGCATATAGACATTGTCCCGAATAGTCGATTGTAACTCGTGATCAATACTTCCTCTGGCAAACCTTCGGGCCAGATATTCGCGTAACTCAATCGGCAGTCCGTAAGCATTTGATGCCTGAACTGATTTAATAGAATGGGATGTCTTCGAGTTGATGATCTCGCAGACATCGGTTCGGGTGAGACCCGCAACTTTTGTGCCATCAATTTCAATGATTATATCACCAGAGTCTATAAGATATGGCAATTGTCCGTAATCAGATCCGCCACCAATAGACCAATCGCCGATTGTTATATTGTTGTAGTAATTGATATGATGTGACCAATGATGGCTTTCCTCATAATTAACTGCTAACTCGTTATCATTTGTATTAATTTGATCCCTTGTTTCACTTTCTTCATGATTTTCTTCATTATTTAATTGTTGTAAATATTGCTGTTGTTGTTGTTGTTGTTGAGACTCTTTATTGAGATCAGCTGCAGGTGATAACGTTTCTTGCATTTTGAGTAAGCAATCAATTATCACCACAACTGATGACAATTATGGCACAATTGGTCTAAACTAATAATAAGATATTGTTTGCAACAAACACTTCGGCAATCATTTAATCTCATTTGAAGACCACTCAGTGGACACGTTATCGGTGACTGTCATTGTTGCCACACATTATCGTCAATAATAATCATTTAGATTATACCGTATAACCAAATAAATGATAAATATGTTAATTAAATAAAACAATTATCATTAAAAATAACAATAAATGTGTTAATYATTTGATACTAATAGTGATGTCAATCAATGTGTTGTTTATATTGTCATAACTTTTTTAAACATAACATTCAATACTCAATAACATCAATGCATTGATGCACTACTGGTATTGCTTTATACAGTAGACTCACACTATTTTATCTCTATTTGCTTTATATTATTGTTATTTTTTTATAAATTATATATTTTAAATAAATTTAATAACATTTTTTAAACACTAATTTATACTAAGTAGCAATAGTCATTTTTAAAAATTATTTATACAATATTTATATAATAATTATATAAATTTATATCAAATAATAGACTGTAGTAAACTGTAAAAAACTGTTTGGTTATATTAATTCATGTGTTATGCAGTGTCACACATATACTGTACAATAGTATTGTCAAAACACTGTATTACAGTTTAACTAATCGTAAAAAATATTTAAATAAATAAATTTTAAATAAATAAAAAATATATTTTCAATATCTATAGATAGAAAAAATTGATTAAATAATCGGCATTTTATGTAAATAAATAACACTATTTTTGATGCTTTGATAAAACTGTAAAAATAATAAATTTTATACTGTTTTGCTTAAAATACTTTATTTGATTTTAATAAATAAATAAATTTTAAAATCTTTCTTTAAAAATATACAATATTTTGCAATACGTATTTTAAAGCAATGCCTAAATCAACTTTTGAGAAAATAAAACTAATTGTTGTCAACCAATTTAGTGACGTAACATCAAATAAAACATATGTATTGTATTTTTGTACTCTTTTATAAATATATGCTATTTTTAATAAGTATTTTACCGATAATAACAAACATTACAGTACATTAAAGTAAATATATTTATACTGATTTTTAATAATTACCATAATTTCAAATAATATATTAAATTTTATTTAAAAACGTATTGATAACTTAATTATATAATAATATAAACATTAGTTGATAAATAAAAGTTTTTATTTAGAAAAAAATGAATAATTTTTTATTACTAATCATACATTAAAATATATGAATAAAAAGTTATTATAAACAGTATTCAGTTGACATCCATAACCCAATGTTTAATCATTGTTTATCTTCTTTCTAATAAAAATAAAAATTTATTTTAAATAATTTTCTAAATATTTGGTACAAACCTTGTCATCGGTATCGTCGGTCTCCATCGGAACGGGAGAATCGATGGGTTTGTTACTCGATTCCTGTGCCGATTGAAGAGACATTTGCATGGCGTAAGCAATCTGTTCCTCTTCAGTCATCGTTGCAAAGTCAGGCATTGATGGCGTGTCATTGCTAGCACTCATCTGATGGTCATCCGTTTCCAAAGACATAGCCAGAGCTTTCTCAAGAAGGGCCTCAGAAGTGTCTCCAGAAGGTATTCCCGCACCACTACTAGAACTGGCAGTAACTTCTTCTCCAGTATTAGTCACAACACGACGGGCCTCCTCTTCTTGTCTCGCCCTTTGCTCTTCCATTGAAACTCTCAATGCGAGCGCCAATTCTGGGTCTTCATTAGGATCAATACCGAATTCAAAGCCCGAAGAGCCAATACCAACGGCTCCACTTCCGTCCTCGCCTTGAATTACTGGTGAACTAATGAGTGCATCGGAAAGATGAGGTCCCGGCGGAACAGTCACCAAATGTGAAGCCGTTCCTTCAAGAGCTTTGATAAAAGCGGCCAACTTTTCCGTATTAACGGCCTCTTCACCAAAGTTGACGACATCGACATTAACTTTCTCTTTCTTGAGACGTTTAGCTAACTTTATTAACTCTTTTTCGTCGGCATCGACAGGACTGCCAACAAATACAACGATTCGCATCTTATGGTTCTTTCCCTGTCTGTGTTTAAGTGCCAGATGTGCCACACGAATGCCTGTCATGAGATTAATCTCACCCAAAGGTTCGACGGCATGAAGTTTAGATAATATGCGACCGACATCAGTGGTCAAAGTGGTCAACACTTGTGGGTTTGCCGCCATAGTCAACAATCCAACATTGTTTTCGGGATTAGAGCGGGTCTTCGAGTGGCAAACCATCGACACTGCGTCCTGTTGTGCCTGAAGTCTGGTGGGAACAAAGTCACCATTTCTCATGAACTCACTGTTGTCCACACTGTTGGTCACCACAACAAGTCATTGTAAATATAAATTATTTATCAAAGTTGTCATCAAATGACTTACCAAATGATAGTACTCTCCAAAACCATTGTTAATGTCTTTAAATAATAAGTACTTCTTCTTGAATGACAAACACAGTCGACAACAGATGAAGTGCTGAATCACTGAATCACTCGTTTGTGTTGTTTGTGATTCAATGCAATCCATAGATAACGTAAACAATACATAATTATTACACGTATTGTATGTCAAGTGTATGTAATGTCTGGCAATGAGTGCTTAAAACGTGTCATAAAATGAGAGACACATTGAATATAACACGCATTGTGTGATTGACACGCGTTAGCCGTATATTAAATATCACACAACAAACACAACACATCACCACTTTTGCCATATTTTTGTCACTATTATCACCAAAACTGGTCTCAAGATATGCCCATTTATTTTCATCGATTGGGAAATGCCCTCAAAAGGGCTAATGGTTTGTATAATTGATGCAAATGTGTGACAATAATTGATTTGTAGTCGTAATCAATATATTAATAATAATAACAATTATTGTCAATCAATGGCCTATAAATTGTTTACTTAATTAACTTATATATCACTTGTTGTTATTATCAAAGAAAAGATTATATTTTGAATACATTTTATTATTTTAATATATTATTATTATATAATTTGATTATCACTTGTTTGACCGGCATTTCGCCGGAAATTATTATTTAACAAATTGTTTGATTGCTTTTTTTTATATCCCAAATGTTGATCTTCAGAGTTCATCGATGTCGGCAAAAAGCCACGGGCTTTGGAGATATTGTGCGATGTGTTGCGGTCACGGAAACACAGAACCTGGCAGAAGGAACATCCAGACATTATGATGAAGTACTTAGAATTATGTGTCGAACTCAAGAAGTCTTATGTGGCCAAAGAAGGCATATATCAGTATAAGATTATATGTCAACAGACATATATACAGTCGTTTGAAGAGGTGGTCCGCAAATACATCGAAATGGCTGAAGAGAAGGCCGAGTCTGCCAAACGAGAGAGCAAACAAACGGTTCTCGATGTCGATGATTTGGATAACGCACAAACACCGGAGGATATATTGTTGAGTGCAGTTAGCAATGAAGACAATCAGGATCGCACCGATCGTGTGGTACTCATTCCGTGGGTTAAGTTTCTTTGGGAGTCATATCGTCAATGTCTGGATTTGCTTAAGAATAACTCACGTACTGAACGTCTATATCATGACATCGCACACCAAGCGTTCAAATTTTGTATTAACTATAACCGAAAGACAGAGTTTCGTAAGCTTTGTGACAATTTACACACACATTTGGATATCTTGAAGAAACAACAACAACAGCAACAACAAGTTGGACATCAACAACAAAATATTATTAATTTGAGTTCACCTGAGAGTCAAGCTATGCATTTGGAGACCCGACTCGTTCAGTTGGATAATGCAATTCAGATGGAGTTATGGCAGGAGGCATATAAAGCTACTGATGATATCAAACGCTTTGGTCTAATGAATTTGTCTAAGAAACCACCGAAACCTCAATTAATGGCTAATTATTATCAAAAGTTGTCGCTTGTATTCCAGAAAGCTAACTGTCCTCTCTTTCACTCCGCCGCACTCTTCCGGTTGTTTCACTTATCTAAAGAATTACGTAAAAACATTACTTCCGAAGACATTCAAAAGATGGCCACTAGAGTTGTTACCGCAACTCTTGCTATACCTATTCCTCCCAATAGAGCGGAAATTGATAAATTGGTTGACACAGAGGAAAATGTTGTTGAGGCTCATCAACGAAATTTGGCGTCACTTTTAGGCCTTACTTCTAGTGTTCCCAATAGAGGTTCGCTCATCAAAGACCTTAAGCGAATGGGTGTTCTTCAATGTGCTTCACCTAAACTTCAAGAATTATATAGATATCTTGAGATAGACTTTCATCCATTAGTTCTTTGCGGTCGCGTTCAGACAATTATAGAGTGGATGAATGAAAATACAGATTATCCTGAATTAAAACAATACACGACAGCACTAAAAGACGTGACAGCAATGCGTTTATTAAAAGAAGTTTCACAGGTTTATCAAACAATTGAATTTAAACGACTTCTTGAACTTTGCCCTTTTGCAAACTATACATATTTGGAGAAAATGGTGGTCGAAGCCGCCCGAAGAAATGATCTTCAAGTTCGCATTGATCATAGAAAAGGCTGTCTTATATTTGGCACTGAATTACGTGTCTCGACCGGCGAGGAAGTGATTGAAGGCCCGCATTTGCAATCAATGCCTTCCGAGCAAATAAGGAAACAATTGGTTAATATGTATTCAACATTACAAAAGGCTCGCAATATGATAGAACCCGATAGGGTTAAGGTTCAGAGGGAAGACATTAAACGCAAAATTATGAAGGCTTACCACATGACTGCAAATGAAGAACACATAAAAATTCTTCGACGACAAGGAGTTATTGAGGAACGAAAAGAAGAGTTGGAAAGATTGGGTCTTAAGAGAGAAGAAGAGGAAAGAAGAAAAGTTGAAGAACAGCAGTTGAAAATCAGAGCCGCAGAAGAGGAAAGAATGATGGTTGAGAAGAAAGAGAGGGAACAACAAATTAAATTGAAACAGGATATCGAACTGAAGAAACAAATGGCAAAGGATCAGATATCTATGATGAAAGGCTCACTTGGAGGTGCTTTGTTGGACTTGGATGACGAAGAATTAGCTAAAATGAGACCCGAAGAGATTCAAGTTAAACGAATTGAACAATTAGAGAAAGAAAGAAAAGATCAATTAAGTAAACAGAGAAAATTGGAGCGCAAAGTGGATCACTTGGAACGCGCAAAACGTATTGAAGAAATACCCCTTCTTGAGAAATCTGTCGAGGAATGGAAAGTAAAAGATAAAGAATTATGGAATCAAATGGAAGAAGAACGCATCAAAGAGATCAAAGAGGAGAGGATTTTAGCCCTTCAATGTAGAGATAGATTGAGAAAAGTTTTGGACGACAAAGAGATATTTGCCCAAAAAATTATCAAAGAAAGACATAATGTATTTGTCGACAAATTATCTGAATTTCAGACAAAACTTGATTTGGAACGCAAAAGACTTTTGGATGAAAGACGCGAAAAACGTAAAGAAGAGCGAAGAAAGAAATATATCTCTGAAAAAGAGGCCGAAGAGAGGCGTATACATGAAGAGGCTAAGAGAAAGCAGGACGAAGAAAGAGAAGCGAAGTTTAAAGAACAACTAGAAAAACAAAAACAACGAGACTTCGAAATTGAAGAGAAAATTCGTCAAAAAGAGTTGGAGAGAGAAAAGGAATTCGGAGAGAAAAAGAAAAAAGAAGAAGAAGAAAAACGATTCAAAGTTGAAGAAAGAGATACGAGAGAACCGGAGAATTGGCGCAAACGGGAAGAAGTTCCGCGCAGAGCTCCGGCTGATGAAGATAATGATTGGCAAGAAATTAATAGAGTTAAAGATAGAGACAGAAGAGATAATAGAAGAATAGAAAAGGAAAGGGATACAGATAGTTGGCGAACACCCCGACCTACTCGTGACAACAGACCGCCAGCTGAAGGTGTGCGAAGAGGTCCAGCAGATAATGACAGTACATGGCGTAGTGGTGGACAACAGGATAAACGATTTGAACGAAAAGATGACAGACGTGATGATAGGGGAGAAAGAAGTTATCCCAGAGGAGGTGATAACAGAAGAGATTTTAGAAGAGATGATAGAACTGAAGACAGAAGAGACTTTAGACGTGATGATAGAGATGACAAAAGAGAGTTCAGACGAGACGATAGAGGAGAAGATAAAAGAGATGATAAAAGGTTAGAAAGAGATGGCGATTCAAGAGAATCAGGCAGTTGGCGAATGAATCGACCTCTTAGAGAGAATAGACCTCCAGAGGAATCACGAAGAACCCAGAATGACGACAATGAATGGCGAGATGGGAACAGAGATCGAGACAGAAACAAATTTAGAAGAGATGACAGAAGAGTTGATGATAAAGAATCAGACAATTGGCGATCAAATCGACCCATGCGTGACAATAGATCACCAATGGATGGCCAACGAAGGTCAGGCACAGGAGGTCAGGCCGATGATGACAATGAATGGCGAAGAGATGATCGAAAGGCGCAAATATCCAAATGATATGAGATATACAGTAAATCATATATCAATTAATTACACTTATAATAAGCATATATTTTATGATTATATAAATTAATGATTTATTAAAATTTAAATAAAAATTAATTTCTGGTATATTATATTTTGTTTTAATTTGTTGTATTCTAATATATAATTGATATAAAAATGTCTCATTTATAAAATTAGATATAAATTTAATTAAATATGGTAATAGTAGACAAATTGAAATTAAATTTTAATAAATTTATAGAAATATTTTTAATAACTTTAAAATTTCTATACAATATTATATTAATTTGCGAGTCGGGACTTACCACTAATTATTGCTAAATATGAATGTATTAGTATATCATATATCAAATTATATAACTGTTTGATAAATATTTAAATTATTATTTATATTGTTATCTGGTATTATAAATAATGAGATAGTGAAGTATTGATAATTAGTTAGGTTACCTAGAATAATTAAGGTACTAATTAGTTAATAATAAATGTAATGCTATTTATACTGTATAAATATTTATATTACTACTGTACAGTACTTTCAAAATTATAAATATATATTTAATTATTTATATATAATTATCAAATAAAATATAATCAATTAAAGTTTTTTAATCTCTGGAAATGAGCCAAAATTAGTCTTATATTTCTTTTTAAAAATGTTTTATCTCTTACTATTAGTTTTCGATGAGAGTATTGGGTATTAAAGCAATTGAATGGATAGGAAAGGAAAGAGAGAGAGAGAGAGAGAGAGAGAGGGAGGGAGAGAAGCAATATATTTTTGTTGAATTGAGTTTGGATGTGATGGTAGTGTGTGTGTGTTTGTATGTGTCGGTTGTATTGGTTGTATAAGTGATGGCATATCATGCAATTGGTTGTCCAATGGACTGCCAAATTGACGTCAAGCCTAGTATATACTGATCTGAATCATCTAATAGGCGACACTTACGACCACAAGAAAACATTTCATCACAGCTTAACCTCTAACAGACAGATCTGACTCAACAATTGCCCATAAAATCTGCAATTATAGCGATTCTTCATTCAGTACATCATCTCAAGTGAACAATGATTGAGAAGTTTAGTAGACTTTGAACTAACAGTCCTCTCAGTTCACAAACTCCTTGCGATATCATTACACAAGTAGTATCTCTCTGGCTATCAAACAGTGTGTTTGTACTGAATATATGTGTTGTCATACAAAACGAGTTTACAATTATTATAAAACTTGGTTTGAATTACAGTTTAACTAACAACACGATTACTGCTTCGCAATTCACGTGCTTTTTCACTAAATCTATGTAATCATTGATTTGATAATTACTTTTACAAACTTTTATTTGACAAATACTGTACAAGTTTTCAGATAAATTCTATAAAATATTCAATATATCATATTATTATTGATTAGAAATAAAGTCAATCATTGAATCGATTTAAAAATAAATACAATGAAGAAATCAAATAACAATTACTCTTTGGGATTGTTTTCATCTCTTATAAATCGTTTGGTAATAGCTTTGATGGTTTGCGTAATACTAATCAATTATAAGCCATCAGAGGGTCGTCCGCGAAGTAATTCCGCTAAAAATACTTTTGAATTGTTTGGCAGAGAAACGAGGTTTTCAAAAGTAAGTGTTATTTTTAAAACAATTGTTTTTACAGATATTTTATACTTAAATTTTTTATTTATTTAAAGGAATTAAATTTAGATAAATCAACAAAATCTAATAAATCGTATAGAAATCCATATTTGAGACTCAGAGAAGTGCCAGAGTCTGAAATAACAGCCACCGAGACTTCAACACATATACTACAGTGCGAGGCCGGGGGTACACCCACTCCTACCATTCATTGGCTCAAAAATGGAAACAAAATTGATCAAGTATGTTTTCAATTTGCTCTAATATTAAATATATTTATAAGTTATAATTCAATATTAATAAGTAAATAATATATATATATATATATATATATAGGGAGACACCGGTTCCTATGATGACGACGACGATAACATTAAGAAAGGAGAGCTCAGTCTAAGTATGACTCGTTCTCGACTATTCTTAGACTGTGTTCATCCAAAAGATGAGGCCATTTACACGTGTGTCGCCTCTTCACCGGCTAATCGCGTGAGCGCTGAGACGCATCTGAAAGTGATTCCCAATTTAAGGACATCCAATGATTTGATAAATGAAGACAATAATATTGCCAAATGTCTAACAAAGAAATCATATGGTATGTCCTAAATAATAAAAAATTTTATTATCTATAATATTTAGCTAAATTGCTGATAATTCCCGATAATTTGCTGATAAAACAAAATTTTTTTCATGAATTTACCGATTTTGATAAGCTATGTTTTATTGCCATTGAGTTTAATTTTTCCCCTTAAATGTACTAAAATACATGAAAATATACTAACATTATAATAATTTATAATGTTTATAAATTAAGTGAAATATAATTTCATTGAATATTTTAATAAAAAGCCAAACTTTATTTACATTATACAGTATTATCGGAAATAATTTTTTGTTGTATGAGTTTTCTGAGTAATAAATTTTATCCCAAAAAAGTGTATTTAAGTTTATATAATTTCAATACACTGTACTACAGTATTATATATTATAATAAATAAGTATATCTTAAATATAAGGCAAATATCATGCTGAATTTATAAATTCTAAAAAATAAAATTAATTATATAATTATAAAGTTTTATAAATTATAACATCACAGTATATTGCATAAAATCTCGGCTTTTTTAATTGCACATAAAAATCGGTAAATAAATAAATAACTTATTGCTGTTATATGGTATTTGAATATAATTATCAACAACAAAAAATTAAATACTAATGCAGTTAATTAACAATCATTTATATTATTAGTGTTTATATTTAAAATTAAGTGTATACATTAAAATATACTGTTTATAATTTTCAAAAAGAGTGAATATTTTTTTTAAATTTGAAAATAATATCCAGACAAACTTTTTTGATAAATCTTATATTTTATTGAATTAAAACAAAAAATCGACACTTTCTTTATGATTAGAAAAATTGCTTTTATCTTTAATTAAATGTTTATAAATATTGAATATCACATAACATTTGCATATTTTAAAATTGATTTTATATTTTAGTTTATATTTATATTATGGCAGTAGTAATATAACGGAAATTAATTTATATAAAACACAAAAAATTTATATATAATAAATCTTCACTAAAACATGAAAATTGATATTAAATAAAATTATTTTCAGTTTATTGCAAAATTAATATATTTTTCATTTATATTATGAATTTAACTATACTATTAGTCTTAAATTTTAAATTTTTAGACTATTTTATCAATTTTTAAAAATTTCAATAAAGATATTTGATTAAAATATCAATGTGTAAAATATAACTTAAAATAAATTTAAAGTAATCATTATCACATTTTTGAATCATGAATAGGTTTTTAAAAATTATTTTATAACTATTAAAAATACAATATAACCACAATTAAACTATTATAATTGAAATTTAATTTTACACAAATTTTGATCTATTATAAATTAAATATTGCTAAATTGTTATTTGAGTATTTTAGTGATGTTATTTGTATGATAAAAATTATTTGTTGTGTTTATAAAAAAATAAGCCACGAAATATATTTAATGTTGTAATTTAGCTAATGATCGATAATATATTATATTTTTACAGTTATGCAGTGTATATATATTGTAAAACATATAATTTACTGTATATTATCATTGATAATTTATCAATATATGTATAAATAGGTTCTCCGGCAAGAATTCATATGTGGACTCATAACATACTGGAGCTAATAGGGTCTGATGTACAACTCCTGTGTCGGGCCAGCGGTACGCCCACACCGACAATCAGTTGGGTCGGTCCTGAAGATAATACGCTAACAAATAGCGAAAAGTACAAAATTTTAGAGAACGGAGACCTTGTAATACGGGACTTGTCGTGGGATGATATGGGAAACTACATGTGCGTCGCTGACAACCAGCACGGCTCAGACAGGACTACCCTATTTCTATATCCAACTCTTGTAAGTCTATTAATCATTAGTATTAATGCAATTGAATTTTAAAAATTAAAATCTAATTTTTTACTTTTTTTTATTTCAATAGCCTGAGGACAGAAAATGAGTTATTTTAAGTAAATTTATTATTATTATAAAAATTATAAATTTAAGACACAAAACAAAAATGACAAAAACATAAATTATAAAGAAAAATACATTAGAGATTTAAATGATATTTTTATTTTCAAGTTTACTATCATAAGTGAAAAGTTAAATATATTAAACAATAATCTCGAGTCCCGAATAAGAGCCGAGATTATTGGCGACTAATTTAATTATCAATATATTGATTGCAGTATTAGTTTCAAAATAAATGTTAGTTTAACTATTTATTTTAAGAGTCAACTGATAATAAATATTTAATACAAAGAGTTTTTATCAACAAAAATATTATTATTTTTATGTAATGTTTTGTATTATTATTATCTGTGAAACTCTTAGAAAATGTTTTATTTTTATTGTTTTATCAATCATTTATTTTTAATTTTTATATACATAGACATTATTATCAATTTCATTGTCATTTTGTATTTTGATTTCATAAAATTATTTATTTATAGATTCATTAGTTTTTCTTATAAGTTATTATTATAAATATATTAATTAATGATTATAATGTTTTGCACCTTTAAAATATTTTATTTTAATTAAAACAAATAAATTTCACTGTTTTTAAAACAGATATCAGTTGTTTGTAAAAACTTTCAATTATAAAAATATATTTTAAATAAATTATTGAATTTATAAGTATAATTAAAAATTAAATAAATCTGATAAATAAAATTTGTATTATAACAAAATAATTGTATATTTATTAAAATAAATGAATTAGTTATAATAAATAATACTTATAGTACTGGACTTATTATTAATATAAATGACTCGGTTATTGCACGATCGTATAAATGTGATTATACTGTAATAATTAAATATACAGTAATACTCATAAAACATAAATACAGTATTTATATTATATATTAATTTATATAATATAATATTCTATATAATATAATTATTATTGTAATTAAATTTGTCATATATTGTTATTAAATTATTTTGTTTAAATCATATTAGATTCAATAGATAAAACCTAAAGTCAAAATTTTGAATATCATTAGACCATCTTATAACACTTAAATCATTATTGTTTAATCTAATTGTGTTTATATTATATAAAATAAATTATATTAATGTAATTTTAGTTACAAATTATTATTTACATAATTTAATACACTAAATAAGTAATAGATAAATAAAACATTTTAAAAAGTAAATTTAATCAAATTACAATTTTAATAATTATAATCAAACAATTAAGTTAAATTAATGGGTCATATGAATTGGTTAAATAAGTTTAAATAAAAGTTTAAATATTTTGATTTTAGGTATTATGTAAATTTGATATTTAAAAGTTTGAATATTTTTTACTATTGATAGATCAGGTAATTATTAATTGTTAATATGTGCTATAATTTAGCTATCAAATAATATAATAAAAAATTTGAATTTAAGGTTAAAATTTTTAAAAATAGTTAAACATTCACAATACGTTTGGAGAAACTTTATATATTTCATACACATGACAACTATTTGCATCACTTTTTTATGTCAAATATTGTTTATGATTTCACTTAACAATTGATTTCCTTTTAAAATAAATATATTTATTGTTAACTATAGCAAACAAAACGGTAAAATCCAGTGACAGGTAAGTCCGTGAGCTTAACAGTCTATGCATAAGACATTTGTCACTACAGTACTCGTTACCTATTGAACGGTAAAGCGATGACAATTGTAACGCAAATGTTTTATATAATATATTATACCATATATTATAGAGTATATGTTATATACTGTATTTAAAACCAGATCAACATTTTGGTGAGAAAACATATTAACAAAAATATCGGTCAACTTATGGAAAACTACCTGAGCTGAGTAAGCAGAGGGAGGTGAGGGAGAAATAAATTCATATAAAAGACTGGGAGAAACTCAGGAAGTTTGCCACTACTCTATAACCTGTTAGATGAAACCATTCATTTATAACATACAGTATTTTTAATAAATAAATGTATGAATATATACATCAATATTGATTACTTGAAAATAAAACATTATTTTTCCAAAAAACTAATCAAATTAAAAAAATTCTAAATTAACAGCACATGAGATACAGTAAATGATTAGATATTAATAAATGATAGATAAGTCAATATAAGTTTGTGTGGGCATAACTTTATAAAAGTTTGTCTTTCTATGTAATAATAATAATAATAATAATAATTACTAATATTTAACGGACACATTAAGTTATATTAATACTATTGATTGATGTTATACTGTAGTATACCAGTATACTGTATATACTGCATTTATATGGATATAATCATTTAGATGGCATAAAAAGTCTATATTTAGTATACTATATCCCAAAGGCTATTATTGTTGTGATAATAATAATAATAATAACAAAATAACAATCAATATAAGTTTTAATTAAACAATTTACTTCACAGTAAATATCAATTATATACAATAGCAATATATAGTAAATACTGTTTATACTACAGTATAATACTTACATTATTTGACATTTCAAACTAAAAAATATTGATTCTCGTAAACATTGATCTAATATAAAATAATTAATTATAGTTTTCACTATAAATTCAATCACAATTTAATCTTGTTAATTTTAATTTAATTTACTAAATAAACTAACAATTTAAGTTTATTATTTGAGAAATTAAATAAAAATTTCCCAAACCGCTAATTTAATTTAAGATAGTATTAAATAAATTATATGAATAAGTAATTGAATGATGAATACACTAAATGTTTGGTTAATATGTAAATTATGTAAACATTATCATTTTGAAAGTTTTTATTTTTTTTATTGTTTATTGAAAGTGTATGAAATTCATACAATGAATGAGACATAAATTTTTTGATTGATTATCTGTCAAATGATAATTAATGTGAGCCGTCATCGACACTGTGGACAGTGTGTTGATGAGCACGTCTTCAATAAATTATTTGAAAATCACTTTTTTATTATTTATTTTATTTCGATAATCACTTTGACTTTTATTGCAAAAGCCTCGGAGCGAAAACCATTGAATTCTGGTTTTTGGCGATTCATTTGCTAACTTAAATAAACTTTATATTTTAAAAACTAAAACAACTCACAAATATTTTAGATTTCAGTAATTGATATTATAATTAGTGGTGTGATGTGTGATGTTTAGCCATTGATTAAACTGCCAGACAAGTTGTCGTCGTTTTGATTACGGCTGTAACTATACTATGGTTTGAATTATTATTATTTAGTCTAATAGTCATATAATTTACATTATCGTTAAATATAGTGCTTTGCTTTAAGGGCTAATGAGGCCCACAACACAAATTTACTCTTTAAAAATGTCATTCAGTTATTACTATATATTTATATACCCTATACCTGTATATTGTATACTGTATTTAACTATAAATTTTATTCAAGTGTTTGAATAATATAAGATGGCTTATAAGTTACAGTATTTTTATTCAATTCACGATTAAAGGCTAATGTCTTATTATTTTTTTTATTAATTTTGGAAATACAGTATATCTATAGATGAATTAACTTTTACTTTACACAAAATACCCTTTCATTGATTAAAATTTCTAAATTATAACTTATCTAATGTTGTATCATAAAATATATTAATATATTAAAGTATTGTAAGTTTAACATAATCGGTAGTAATTAAAATAAAAATGTGATTTTTTGTAATATAACTAAATATAATATAATTGTGATTAACTAATATATTTGTATCAAAAGTCGAAAATAGATTTAATAATAATAACATGAGTAAAGACTCGCATCTAAACATTACTCTTAATTTACAATAAATAATAATATAATAAAAATTATTTTAAAATACTAATAAAGATAAATAATTTAAATACAAGTCTACTATTTTATATTTATCATGTTTACACAATATTTTTATTATAATTTAAAAATATATAATTATAATTTAATATTAAATACATGGTATTAATAATATTAATCAACATTTTGTCAATTGATAATTTTCAATATGGGGTGATTCACATATTACGTTTGCAATTAGGGAGGGGGTGTCGGCCAAAGCGAACTTTTGCGAACGAGGGGAGGGGTAGAAACCTTAAGAACATTCGCATTTAAATAATATTTTATTTTATTTTTTTAGGGGTGGGAGGTCAGGGGTTAGAGACATGCAAACGTAATTTTCTAAAATGACTACATGCTAACACTTGCCAACATAGGGGAGTGGGTCTAGATTTCTTAAAAAGTGCTAACGTAATATGTTAATTATCCCTATATTGATAAAATTATTAATACCACAGTATACTTAAACTGTATATTAAATAGATTATATGTACTTAAATATTATATATTTAAATGATAAAAGCATTAAATAATAAATAATGGATCAATATTTAAATCAATTATTTTTATATTTGGTATATTTATGATAATTGTTTTAACGAAATTATTTTACTTAGATTACATGTATTTCTTAATATATAAAATTTTATGAAAAAATTCTTAAATTAATTAAATCATATTTTGAATAAATAATTAAATAGATTTTACTAAAAAAAATCAATGATAAGTATTGGTACAAACAGGTAATTCATTTTTTTAAAATAACAGCATTTTATAATAATAAATATAAAAAATATGCTTTAAGTAAAACTATTTACTCAATATATAAGAATTACTACTATATTAAAATTAGTAATATAATATTTTTATAAATATTAAATTTTCATAAATTTAAGATACTATTTATTTTATATTAAATATAAAACTTATTAAATAATTGTACATTTTTTTGTTACTCATTAAAAATTTAATATATTACATCTTAAGCTTATTGTGTTTTAACATAATTTAAACATAATTATTATTATTATTTAAAAGTATATAATTATTCAATTTTCATTATTGATTTAGATGTTTAAATATTTGTTTTGAATACTATACTAATTATAAGCGATAAAATTTATGAGTGATTCAACACAATCATCAAAAAGTAAATTTTCTAATTAAAGAATTATTTTATTTTTGTAATT